TAATTCAAAGCGGGATTTCAGATTAACACAACTTTCCTTGGCAATTCTTATTGTAATAGGCTCTGTCTCATACCTGATGTGTATATGAACACATGTGTGTTACTGCAAGCTGCACATTACAGTAAAAATACAACAGCACAGGGTGTACTTACAGCTCCTGTCAGAACCGTGATGGTCAGACTCCGGCTGCCCTTCAGGACTTTCACAGCCTGAAAATATAAACACATAACCTCAATAATTTACTTTCATTTAAAATAAATAAACTATAGTTCATTCTGTAATTATCTACTTAAAGTGAGAGTCAAGGCATGGGTGGAGACTTATTTCATCCACACTTCCTGTTAGGAAAACGCTTCTGAAAGAGGCGTCGCCTGGCGGACCGCGACAGCGGCACCGAGGCAGTGGTAGACGGCACCCCCCTCAACCCTCCCGCGTGTGCTGTCGGAGTTTCTCGGTCTAAAAGCACACACTCACAGCAGACTTACCGCTCAGAAGAAAAGCAAACTGATTCTGCAGCATTCTGGAGGATTTCCTGTTGACCGCGATTATTAAATGAAAGAGGGGAGGAGGGCATTTTTTTCCAAGGAGGCGAGCGGCTCCGAGTGCCAACGTGTCAAATCGGCAGGTGAGTGGCTGAGCCAGGTGGGGGTGCAGCTACCGTAATAGTAATTAGCTGACAACGTCACGTTTTTCAGCTTAGCCATCAGCCACAGCTGATTCTGAATACATGTGGAGCAGAGTTTTAACCTGAAGATGGAGACATAATTGTGGTTTGGGCTGAAATATTAATTTTAAAGTAAGTTGCACTAAACCGCCACACTAACGATTGTACATGTGTACAGCACTATTATAAGTTATCAGTAAAAAAAAAAGTTCATTTAGGTGTTACTCGCTCTTTAAGTAAAAAGAAAGGATACATTTATCTGCATGTTTGCGTATTTATTGGAACGTGAATCAAAACTGGGTGAATTTAGGTTTTCTGTGGGCTTTGTCCATTTCCATCAGCCGAAAGAAGGATTTTGGCTGTTCAAATTGTTCTTTTACTCAGTAAAATAAGGGGAGAATAAGCATGCATTAGTATTAATGAAAATGTTTACTAGCAAAGGGATCAAATGTTCATTTGATCGGGTGATAATAAAATCTGAAGAGTCACCTCTTTGTGGTCCAGGGTGGTGAAGTCCACTCCATTCACCTCCACAATCTGGTCTCCAACCTACAGTTGGTATGTGTGATTCATCACACACACACACACACACACACACACACACACACACGCACACACACGCACACACACACACACACACACACACACACACACACACACACGCACGCACGCGCACACACGCGCACGCACGCGCACACACGCACACGCACGCACACACGCACGCATGCGCGCGCACACACACACACACACACACACACACACACACACACACGCACACACACACGCACGCACACACACACGCACGCACGCACACACACACACACACACACACACACACATACACACACACACGCACACACACACGCACGCACACACGCACGCACACACACATACACATACGCACACACACGCGCACGCACGCACACACATGCACACGCACACACACACACACACACACACACACATACACACACAAATAAGTGCACACGCACACACACACACACACACACACACACACACGCGCACGCACGCACATACATACACACACACACACACACACGCACACACACACACACACACACACACACACACATACATACATACACACACACACACACACACACGCACACAAATAAGTGCACATGCACACACACAGTTTGCTGCACGTTTTTGATCGTAAGGATTTTATAGAGGCTTTAAAGGCTTTTGGAGAAACCACCTCAAGTCCAACTTCTGCAGAGAGGGATCCTGGCTTGACGTTGCTTATGTAGATACCAGGTTTCTGTGTGGGGCCACTTGAGATGCTGATACCCATACCCTTAGCACCCACAAGACTGAGGAAAACCTTCTTCTCCTTGATCTCCTTCCCACCAATTGAGGCCAAGCCAGCTATACTGGTTTTCTTCTCCTAGGGAAGTGAAAAAACAACAATAAAATCCAGATAAGTCCACGAGGTGGTTGAATCCATGGAGAGAAAGAAATATAGATAAAGCTCTCACCCCAGACTCAGACACAAACTGATCCACAAACTGCCACTTCAGAGGGTCATCAGATGAGCTAGATGAATAAGAAACAGCAAAGATAAGGTCTTTGGATGTTATTCTACTGCTGAAACAGGATTTCTTTTAAGCGCCTTGCCTTTTAACTGGAATCATTCCCACGTCTGCATGGGAGGACAAATGCACAATGAATAGTAACGCAAACAATAATCATTCAAATCCACTTGGTTTGTGTTCGTAAAATATGTTTAACCTACGTCGAACTTTCAGAGACACAATCTTCTTGGTCTTGATGAGACTGATGACTTCCTCGTGGATGCAAGAGGAGATGGAGTAGCCATTGATGCGAACAATCTCATCACCCACCTGCGAATCAACACACAGACAGATATTAAAGATGACACTTTCAGTTACACATCTGTGGAAGAAAAGTTGGCTGTGCTGCAAATCCAACATTTGCGTTCCCGTTTGCTGAACACAATGTGATTTATTGATTTGTGTGATCTGTTTCTATTTTATATTTGAGCCCCTGATGTGACGCTCTTCCTCTCTGTGTTGATTTGAAGCTTGTTTACATTCATGTTCTCCAGATGACACAAGGAGGAGGCGACGGGATGAAATATTGACCGGCTCCTTTGACTCCTCTGTTTGGGACTTATAGGAGGACACATTTTAACAAAGACTTACTAATTAAAAAATATATATTTTTTTAATTACCATATTTTTTACTAGAGCTGCGCAATATATAGTAAATATATCGTTATCGCGTTATCAGCATGCACAATATTCATATCGCAAAGAACAGATAGAAATCGCAATGAATGGTCAGTTGAAGTGTTTGCTACACATAAAGCATTCTGTCAATCAAACGAAAACATTACGTTTTTTTAACAAATCAAACAGAGCTCTTTACCCATTTGGCCAATTGGGTGGGTTCTCATAGGCTAGATGCCCGCCCCCGAGGTGGACGGCATTTCATTGTGATGGTTAGCAAACACCCAAGTTAGCCTTATTCTGCTCTTTCTGCTGATTCTGCTTTTCCCGGGATCCACCGATTGCCTTTTCTTGATTATTTTCTTTTTCCCTTTCCTCACATCTTTTGCTTTTCTCATTTTTATGACTTTTTTTATTTCTTGATTATTTTAGTTCCTGAGTTAAGTTTTTATCTATCGCAATATTAATCACTGTTATTGAATATCGCAGGTTTTCCTAATATCGTGCAGCCCTAATTTTTACCATGCACCAATCTCAAATATCCATCCCTTGCGTTGTATTTTTGTATTGTATTCTGCTAAGTAGAGATGCGGGGCTGAAAATCCCTTCTACTCACAATCATGGAGGTTTTTTAAGCATCGAATAACAAATTATAGTCAAACCTGTTAGAAAAGTCCATGTTTAGCATCAGGGAAGTACAAACTATGTGAATCCAGAAGAGCCAACATCTTGAAGAATCTTTCTGCAGCGTATTTTAATTCATCAAAACAATGTCCCATTGGTTTACTTGGAAGGGGCGGGACTTATGCCTCCAACTGGAACCAACCATTAGAGGGTGTTCTGGTCCCTTTTGGCTTCTGTACTACATTCCTACATCTAGTTGTCATAACTGTTGAGAGTGTAGGAGGATATTTTCTTTAAATTCTGTTAATTAACCACTTAAAATTTCCTTTTGTTTAACATAAAATGGGGCTGCACAGTGGTGCAGTGGTTAGTACTGTTGCCTCGGTTCAAATCCCAGCCTGGGGTCTTTCTGCATGGAGTGAGCATGTTCTCCCTGTGCATGCTTGGGTTCTCTCTGGGTGTTCCGGTTTCTTCACACGGGCTGAAAGCATTACTGTCAGGTTGATCGGTCTCTCTAAAATAACCTTAGTTGTGTGTGTGTGTGTGTGTGTGTGTGTGTGTGTGTGTGTGTGTGTGTGTGTGTGTGTGTGTGTGTGTGTGTGTGTGTGTGTGTGTGTGTGTGTGTGTGTGTGTGTGTGTGTGTGTGTGTGTGTGTGTGTGAATGAATTTAGTGCAAAAGGCACACTACCATAGCTTTAGACTCGAGCTAACTTTGATTAATTAGCAGCAAATATGTATCTGTAAGAAATGATCTACACTCTAGTTATTGCTAATGCCCCCCCCCCCCCCCCCCCCCCCCCCACCCCATATTAGCCTAGAATATAAGAAAAATAAACAAATTCAATAGTTAAACACTATTCAGGCCCTTAGATGGTTCGTGTGGTTTTTCTGTTTTGTTTCTTGGGGGGGGGGGGGGGGGGGGGGGTCCTTTAACCTTCACACAAAGAAAAAAAATCAATAAAAACGTATTTGTTTTTATTCATCTTGGCAACAGAGGGATGTAACATACTGTCAATTCCTCAGGATCCACTGATTTCCCTCTTTCCTATTCACTCGCTCTCTTTCTTTACATTTTTAATCCCAATTGTCTATTTTTTGCTCATTTCAAATATATTTTAATCATTTTCTTAATTCTTTTTTATATTTTACAATTTTTGTGAAGCGCCTCGTGATTTTTATCTTGAGAGGCGCTATAGAAAAGATATTTTCTTCTTCTTCAATTAATTCTATTAAGATTAAGTAGATAATCTTTTGCTTTTTAACCAGTGCCGTCATATTTTTTAAATTTGTTTAGCTGCTCTTTTAGTTAACTTTTTGGACACACCACGCTGTCGGTGTAAATCAACTAATCAAGAGCATCCTCTAAAATCATGCTCCTCTAGCATCTCTATACAACTAACTGGTACAAACACAACAGTGGATGTAAACATAGAAATTCCACCAGTATGAGCTGCTTTAAAGCATCAATTTAAATTAGCTTTTTAGAATTTTGTTTGGGCGTTCTGAGTATTGCAGGTCGACCAGACAAACATGAGGTTAACCCCATCTAGTGGATCCTGTTTCTATGACTCTGCGGAGACAAGGGCATCACAAAGGAACATAGAATAGCCATGCATTTACAGACTGATGGCAAATAAGGAAAACACTGCAAATGAGCATTTATAGGAAAAGAAAAACATGTAGTGGGGTGGTGGTATGAAAATAAAGTGAAACAGAAAAAGAGGTGGAATAAAAGAACTGATATTTAATAAGAACAAACCTGAAGTCCGACATTATCAGCTTGTCCATCTTTGACTATCTGAGATATATAGAGTCCACATCCAAACTCTAATCCTCCTCGGACGCTGAGACCCAAACCTTCACGGTGCGATCGGTCCAAACGCACCTCTTTCAGCTTCCTGCACCAACAGCGTTCCATCAGCAACAAGAGCACAATCAAATTTAACACAAAGGAATGGCACCAGTGGGAAGACGAGTGAAATACCACTCTGGACTCACCGTGACCTCTTGGGGGTCAGCTGGTCATATTCTACCTGGTGTTTGAGTGGGATGAGAGGTCGGATAGCCTCGAAGAGAGGAAGCCTCTTTGGTTCATTGATCACCAGCTTCAGATCTCCCACCAACACGGGCAAATCCATCGACCTGAGAGAGGGAGGACAGATTTTAGATTTATGCAACGCCACATTCATCAGAGATAAGGGACAAAAAAACTGAAAAAAACATTTAACAGCTGAATAAGAAGTACAGTTTATTTAACAATTAAGAGAAATTTTGTCTAAATATAAAGGTTTGTAATAATACCAAGAATAGATGGAGCAACAGGACCTAAAAATAAAACTGCTATTGATGACTCAAAACTGGAATCTTACAACCAAAACGGAGCAGATTATTTGATTTATGTTACAGATTAGGGACTCTAGGTTCTACAAAATGCAATTTCAAAAAAGCAACCTCTTCCTTATTCCTCATTTATTCCTTAATACAGAGTCCAAATGAAATATAGCGGAAGACACGAATATGGCTCCTCTCAACCACACCTCAGAGCAAAGGTCTGCAATCTGCAGCTCTGGGGCCACAAGTGGCCCTTCAGTGCATTTTGAGTGGCTCCTTGCACAAAGATGACATGAACCTGACTAATGGCTTTCTTCACAATAAGTGCATGAGGTTTCCACAGTAGAATAACCTTAAATGAGAGAAAAACAGAAAAAAACGGATACAATTTCCAAGCAGGAAATTGGCAGTTCTTTTATAAATCCATCTTCTGTATTCCTTTTTCCTTATACTTTTAAAAGAAAGAGGAAGCCAGATTAGAGCATAATCTGACAGTTTACATTAATTTAAGAATGTTGTGGATTCTGTCTTTTAGTGTTGTTAAAATTTAATTTAGAAAATTGTTTAGGACAGACCATTTGCATATTTCTATCTTTAGGCCCTTTATGATTTTTACAAATGTATCTGAACATGGCTGAACTGCAATGAAAATGCAGACATGTTAACACGCCCCTCAAACTGGCCTCCAGGTTCAACTCAACATGCTATACAGGACTCCAGCCAATCGTTTTTCATTTAGCAACGTTTTCAGCCGCTAAACAAACAGCTAACATTTCAATTTTCTTTAGACTTTTACAAATGCAACAAAATTCAACTTTCTCCCCTGAAATCAGGGCCGGCCCAAGCCTTTGTGGTGCCCTATGCAGGGTTCCTATTGGGGACCCCACATACCAACAAGTCAACACCAGATGATTCACCATTCCTCGGCTAAACCAGTTGTGTAACATGACCAATATCATTAGCATCTTTTGTAATTAGCTTACAAGGTTGTTATGGATATTTTTACTTTACTGGAGCAGCAACAAAAACACTGATTAATTTGCATTTTGAAATATAAGGTGTTATTTTAAGTGTGGTATATTAATTAAACTATTTGAAAGAAACCTCAGCAGACAAACACTGATTTTACAGTAAAAAAAAGTTAGAATGACTACCTTTTGTTCTTAAAATTTGAAATGTGTAAAATGTGCTACACTCCACGGGGGGTGGGGTGGGGTGGGGGGTAAGCACTACATAAAATAATATAGATTTTTTTTTTCATGGTAAGTATTATTTTGTTTGTATTATTTAAAGTTATTAAAACATTTTTCTCATGTTATCTTGGTGCTCCTGGGGGCCCCCTGGTGGTGTGGGGGCCCAAAGCAGTCGCTTAATTCGCATATGACTTGGACTGGCTCCGCCTTAATAAAAAAAATACTCTTTTTGATTTTACATTTTAATTTGAAACAAAAGAAGAAACATAAAACTGTTTTAATGATGGAAAAGGTAATTAATCATTTTCTCTGTTGTTATTTCAAGGAAGAGAGAGAACAGCAACAATGTGTTCAATTATTCATGTGTGTCATTTCAGCCCTATTTGGAGGACATGAAAAGGGCTTTTGTTGATAACTGGCCAAGCCTGTTGGAGCTTAGTGGGAATGGATCAGAGGTTCAGCTAACAAGGCCTCTGTTCCTGTACAGAGATGAATGGAAACCTAGAAGAATTTTAGCCTCTCTGACATAAAAACCACACCACCTCTACAGATTTCCAAACCCATTTGGAAAACAAGGAAAAAGAGACTACTAATCTGGATATTTATTAATTGTATCGCACAATCTTTATAATAACAACAAGAAGCTAAAAAAGAAAAGAAACGAGCAAAGACTCACAACAAAAAGCATCTGAAAATTATGAGTAATTTTTTTAGACATCAACATAAAACAGTTTCAAACGAGGTTCTTGTTTAGGGACAGACTATTTTATTAGCATTTAATTAAAAAGAATGACTGAAATGTGAACAACACACACGACAACCACCGGAGGAGACAGATACTTACTGATGATACATGCGGAGCACATCATATAAATAATCCTTCTCCGCCTCATTTTCAATCAGCAGCTCCACCTGAAAGAAGAGAGAAACATCTGGTGCTTCTGTCAGCTCCCCGACACACACTCCACCCCGTCCTGTGGTCCTGTCCTGTCATGTGTGTGTGTATGCGGGTATATCGGAGCCATACAGACCTGATGATGGCTCAAATGGAGCAGGATGGTTTTGAGGAACCGCTTCGGCCATTCTCGGATGCACATCTCACTCTCACTATTTCTGTCACAAACTATTTTGATTTCCAGGGGAAGAGTTAAAATTTGGTTTTAGGAAGGATCTGTGGATGGAGGAGTAAGAGGGTGCCCTTCTCTAACCATCAACCCTCAGGGAATGAATAAAGCCCACAGAGATGAGGAGAGGCAGGAGGAAGGTCAGCAGTGTCACCTTACATCCCAGACAGACGTGACACCAACGAGCACACAACTCATCTCAAACTCATAACCTCCAAAAGGAAAATGGTAAAAAAGGGATTGACTCTGTATTATTTTATGAAGAGATTAAAGTAAATAATGAACAACAAATGGGTGTGTGCAGAAAATGCTTTACGACCTTTATAAATGCTGCTGTTTAGTGCTGTGAGACACACGGTTCACTCCCCTCGGGGATGAACTTTAGACTTTGGAATCATAAACCAGAAGGCTGGAGCTAACTCACCAAGTCATTTAGAAAACAGTGTTTTTGATACACCAATATTTAACAAATCAATCATCAATTAACACTTTTATTGTTGATGAACACAAGAACGAATGTTTTGAGCAACTTGAGAGATAATTCTTATTTAAAATGGGTTAAATAGAAAATCTGTGGGTGTAAAAAGCAAAAGCCTGATTGTGGAGAGTCCTCCCCACTGCCTCTAATTAAACCAGTAAATTCTGCCATCTCTTCTGCTCAGTCGCTCATGTCTGACACATTATCTAATGCTACGTTGCCCTTTGTGAATACAACATGGGTCCCTGCGTGATAGTGCAGCACAGATGGCTGTGGGCTGACCCTTTCATGCTCTGAGGCTGAAAATGCCTCAAACATATCAAGTTCCCTTCCTTTTTTTTAATCTTTGGTTGTTTTTAGGTCTTGTCTGAATGAGTCAACAACAACCAGAAATCTGTTAAAATATTTACATTTACTTAGAAATTAAATGCCTGGTTCCATTATTATATTAGACATGATGGCCATGGCTGAACATTGTTTGTTGGAGAAAGAAGTACGAGTAGCATTTTATTTTTATTCTTAGAAGGGAAATAAAACAAACTATAGAATTTTAACCTGACAGTAGAACTAAAGACATTTTAATTCTAAAGACCCAATGAATACTAGTTCAACCCTACAACTGCACTTCTATAAATACTCATTCACTATTTTATCTTCTATGTGCAATGACCTGCTACTAAATTGTAAATGTCCAATATTTTTTTATTTGAAGGACGCTATAAACATGTAATATTAAAACTCGTTTCCTTGAATAGATTTGTGATCATTTTACAGTTCATTTTTCATGAGCCTTGTCTGCTTATGCGTCCGTCCGATCAGGTGAGACGCCTGACCTGAGACAGCGTATAATGCCTGACGGATAAACGTGAATTCGATGAACCTATATTACATCTCAAAAGAATGATTTGTCTTCTTACCTTATGCCTAAATTCCCGAGCAACTTTTCGCTCCATGGCTGACAGAAATGGAAACGCTCCGATACGAGAGGGCTGTGGTTAAGTTTAACGCAACTTGACCAGGTCAGTGCATCAAGGTAATTGGAACTGTTTAACTTCCGGTACACATTTCTGCGCGAGACACCTATTATCAATCTGAAAAGCATTTTATAAAAATATTTAAAGTTATATTTTGTATTTAAATTCTTACAAATGCTTAAATATTGATTTATTAGTATTGTTTTAAACATTTAGATTTGTCAATGATGACCCTTATTTTGAAAATACAAGCATTTAACCTACGTTTATCTTCTAACTTTATCAGTAAGTCGCTAGTTCTGGTTTTAATGATCCCTCTGAATTTAAGTATAGACGCAAGTTTAATCACATGTTTCTCTAAACTAAATGTAACAAATAATATTGATAATCAACTGTCGTCAGAATTTATGAAAATATATGTATTCGTTTTACGGGCTATCGCTAGGGGGCAGCAACAACTTCCATGAGACAATTCCTCGTGAAGAAGTAGAAACTTCCGGAATTTAAAAAGCACAACACCGTTGTTTGACTCGACTGGCTACTCAGTTTGGAAACACTGTGGTTTGTATGTTAAATTACAGTTTTATGCAACTTAAATGAAATACTTGTAAATGAGTGTACTACAGTCATGTTAATGGGCAAATGTGTGCTAACTTTATTTAGCTTAAATGAATAAATGTTACTTGAACCAGGACGAATCTGCTGAGTTTTTCTCACAGTATGTTGTCGTACCCGTGGATTCGGACACTTCCAGAGAGTAAAATGTTACTAACGTGTTTGTAGAAACAAATCTCCCGCTGGCATCGCCGCCGAGAAACAGGAACAAGGTTGTTTACATATTATTGATCCAGGTATTTTAACTGTTAAAACTTTAAATTACTAAACAAATCATTCTTAAAGATTTATTACGCTTAAATGTTCTAATTTACCTACAAGTGATATATTTTATGTTATTAGATTGTAAAGCTATAAAACGCAGAAATGTAGCATTCATACTTTAGGTTTTTAAGAAATTGTAATCACATAGGATTTTAAATTACAACACAAAAATTATAAATAGCATCTAAATTGTAAAAAATGAAATAACTTTCCATAAATAGGTATAAATAATATACATGTGTTTTTATGACATTTATCATATTACACAACGAGGGAAGAACTATGCCATGCTGAGTTTTTACAACTGAACAGACATTAGATTTTGTTTCATGCAGGCTTATTGCTGATCTATTATTTCACAGATTTTTAGTTATGTTCATAATTAACTCCAGGATTAATTTGAGCAGATTATAATATTTAAAGCTGCTGTAAGTCCTGCTAACATTCCAGGGCACTTTTCCACTCTTTTAGTAATTGTTGCTGCTGAAATGGGATCTCCTGAGAAAAATGCGACCCCGCACCGGTAAGAAAATTCAACTGGCAAAGAGAAAATTTGTTGTTTATATATTGTTTCACCCTTTCTGTAGGCTTAGATGAAATCTTTACAGTGTAAAATGTTCCTTTTTTCACCAACAAATGTTTAGAGAATCAGTAAGATCGTCATCAAAACGAGTTTTCCAGATTAGTTTTTATCTTGTTCTTTTTCCACAGAGTGAAAATTTGTTCCCCAAGTCAAGAGCAAGACTCCCCACTTCCTCCCATCGAGGAGCGTCTAGCGTACCTCCTTCCTTCCAGGGAGCTGCTGGAGTTCTACAGACAGAAAATCACCCAGTATGACGATGAACACGAGGATTTGTTGCAGACGCTGGAAAAGTATAGAAGTGTCACCGAGGACCAGGTGGGAATTCCAGGTAGCGTGTGTCAGAGGAAGTTAAATCGGTTAAATTAACGTTTCGTGTCCATTCCCGTTCAGAACAAACTACAGCGGGAAATACGACAGCGTGAAGGAGAGATCACAGAGCTTCAAAATGCTCTAAGCGACATGCAGGTCTACCTTTTCCAAGAGAGAGAGCAGTCTCTAAGACTTTACGCTGAAAATGATAGACTGAAGATCAGGTGGGTGTGTTGTTCAGGTTAAAATACGATTAGAGGACATTTTAGTGTTAGTTTCATAGTGAAATTCAAAGTGGCTATAATGGAAAATCTCTATAGGAATCTAATGAAGGGAAATTTTATGGATCATTTGATCAAAACTCGACTACCTTTAGAAAAGTCTTGTGTCAAAAATACTTGTTGCTTCTCTTTTTCTTTTCTGCTCATAAGGCACCCATGCTTATAATTAGGGATGTCCCGATCCGATCACATGGTCGGAAATCGGCCACGATCACGTGGTTTCAGACTGATCGGGACTCGGGCTTTACTTCCCGATCCGGACTCGGATACTGGGTTCAAATTACAGGAGAGCAACTTGGTTCTCCTTAAAGGTTGTCAGGCTCCCCTGATGCCCTTAACTTCCACACCCAGAAAGAGCACAAAAGAGATCCAGTTTCTACCTTTATTATATTATTTATATGGACTCAGAGTAGCGGGGATTCTTTTGGGCAGAGATGCAGAGCAGCAGGCAGACCGCTGATTATTCATGAACCCCAGCTGCGTTCTGCATGCGGCCACAGTAACAATTTCTAAGTTTCTAAGTGGTGTCACCAAAAACATATAATTAACACACATTCGTTCCTGTCCGTTCATTTTCTCTCTGGTAAGTTCTGTCTGTATTTGAGCATGACGTGTGGACGCGCTCGCGCTGCCCCCGCTGCAGCGCTCGCCACTGGCGCAGCCGGGCAGCGCGGCGCACACTCCGCTTTTTTGCGGTCAATAGATCAATTTGATCTGCTAGTTAAAAAGTCACTTGTGAGGTGAAAAAGAAGGAAGCAGGCAGGAGTTTTTCTGGAGGACTGGGAGATGCAGGAAGATCAGAGACAGACAGGAAAATAAAAACCGAGAAAACAAAACAAAGTTCTTCAAAAATAAAATGTAGGTAGATTGATCCCACTACACGTTTGTACCTGTATAAAGCAATCATTTATCAGCATGTAGTTTTTATATAGTTGCTACAATTCAGATCATCTTCAAAACTCCGTCCCATGCCCAGGGACGTACCTAAGCATTTTGGGGGCCGAGGCAAAACAGACCCCTGCCAGGTATTTTAAGTTGAAGTGCTATCTGTTTTTATATTAGACTTTTTATATTTGCAATAAAGTCCAAAAGTGAAGAATTTATGTTTTTATTAATTGATTGTTCAAGCTACCTCACAGACATGATCTGTTGTTAAAAATTAAAATAAAAAGGTAATTAAATAAAAAATAAGGTACATTGTGGAACTGTTTTTTCCTGTTTCTTTTTTTTTTAATGTATCGAAAGTATCGGATCGGGACTCAGTATCGGCAGATTCTCATAATCAAATGACTCGGACTCGAGGACAAAAAAACCTGACCGGGACATCCTTACCTATAACTGTTTAACTAGGGATGATACAGGGGAGACGATACGATATATTGCCAAACATTCAGCCAGAGGATATTAGCCTTTTTTTTATACTTATTAAATTTTTGTAGGAATATTCAGTAAACGGTCCAAACAGATACGTAACATGTTTAACATGAGTATCTGAACCATAACAGAGGGATTTACATTTCAATGGTGAAAACAAAACCCAGTGCACACTGCTGCCATCTAGCGGTCGGTGTTTGAATTGCACCAAAAGAAAAGAAAATGTTTGCCAAATGCTTGCATGTAAATTCCTCCAAAAATTTTATACACGACTTTTGAATATTAATATAATATCGCAGGAAAATACTTCTCAATATATTTCCATATCAATATTTTCTTACATCCATATATTTTACCATCTGATGATTGTTGCAGGGAGTTGGAGGACAGAAAGAAAGTCCAACACCTTCTTACACTCATTGGTCCTGATGCTGGAGAGGTCACGTATTTCCATCAGGAGCCTCCTCACAAGGTGCATCTTTACTCCATCATCTCATAGTCACTTAATGTTTTTTGTGACTTGTAGTTCATGACTAAATAGTTCTAGTACAGGGTATCCGCGGGTCCTTAAAAAGTCTTGAATTTGCTTTTCCAAATTTAAGGCCTTAAAAATCCTTAAAAATTACTAATAATCCTTAAATACAGTTTCCAGAGGTCTTAAATTACCAAAGACCCAATAAACAAGATTATTTTATTTCAATTTTCAAGAATTTCTAGTTAGTGTTCAGCATTTTTTGTGTACGATGTTGGCGTAAGCGGAACCGTACACATTCAGTTGGTTGTGAAAGGGGGCTTTTTTAGATGAGCACATTAGCTGTTTAAGCTAGTGGGAGATTGCGCCATGGGGACGTGCAACTTTTATGGTAACTGGATGGCTAATCCCAAGTTCGCAACGTGGTTAGCACCGGTTCCAGGCAATAGCTGGAAATTATAGTTTAAATTTAATTTAAAAAATAGCTTAAATTTGGTCAAAGTGGCCTTAAAAAGGTCTTAAAAAGTCTTAAATTTGGCTCCCTTAAACCTGCAGATACCCTGTTCTAGTAATATAATGGTAAATATGTCAATGAAATAGTGAATATGTCTGGTGTTCAATGATTTATTTGAGTCCAGGTCACTATAACTCAGAAGCGCCTTGAAACCGAATTGGAGGAAAATTTTAATCTTAGGCCAACGAGGTTAAGGCCGTCTGCAACAGCAAAAGGTTTGAAAACAACTAATTTTAATTGTTTTAAAATACCTTTTTACAATTTAATAACTTGTTTACTTTTAATTATTATTCAAACAGAAACCAGTAGACGGACAAAATCAACTGATGGTTTCAGTAAAGGAAGCTTGGCTCAGTACAAGAATGAAAACCAGACGTTGTTGCTACAGGTAGGACATCATCATCTCTCTCTTGTACTTACTTTTCGTCTTGTTAATTTGAATTAAAACTGTATTGTTGGTGTATTTTTAATATTGTGGCACGTTTTAAGGTGGAGGCGCTTCAAGCTCAGATGGAGGAACAGACTCGTTTAGCCAAAGAACAGGTTGAAGCTCTGCTTGAAGACCGAAAGATTAAAACCGAGGAGGCTCAGGCGCAGCGGCAGAGAGACCAAGAACGCATCGCTGCTTTGAATGACAAGTGGGTCTTTTAAAACATCATTTATGAAGCTGAGCACCTTCTCTTAAAGGGGACTTTAGTCCTTCTCTTTTGATTCCTCAGACTCCAGCGAACTCAGAACTTGCTGCATGAAAGCACCAGAGATTTCTTACAGCTGAAGTTTGACACCCGAGCTCGTGAGGAGAGCTGGATGGTTGAAAAGGATCGGCTGCTGAGGGAATTAGATTCTTGCCACAGTCGCCTGAGAAAAGCCGGGTCCAGTGGTGCTGAGCGGGGAAGAGCACGGCAGCCCAGCAGCAGCAGAGCAACTCTTCTGCCTCGGCCTCAGCCGAAGTTAGGACAGCCTCCAAAATATGAGTTAAAGGTAAAAATGATAGGTTATAGTTATTGTGATTACATTATCTATAATGTTTTGTCCAATATTAGGCACTGCAGGAGGATCTGAAGCAGGCCCACCATCTGGTGGAGATGTACAGAGAGCAGTGCATTGCTATGGAGACAGAACTGTCCCAGATCAGGGAGGAAGGAGACGCAGGACGGGAAATATTCAAGGTTTGCCATATTTAGTCTTTTTTTTTCCTGTTCAGTGCTTATTTCCATCGTCTCACTGGTGAGTTGTTTATTGTTATTATCTATATGTACAGGACCGCTCAGACAAAATGGCCAAGCGTCTCCAGCTGATGACTCAGCGTTATGAGGCTTTGGAGAAGAGAAGAGCTATGGAGGTGGAGGGCTTCAAGGCAGACCTGAAAATCCTCAGACAAAAGCTCAAAGATGTGGAGAAACAGCTTTTAAAGGTAAACAGACTCTTGATTTTTCTTTTATTTTTTTCCTTTTCCATCAAGATGACAAGATTTAAGCACACAACATTTTATTCTTCAGGTCACGCTGAATGTTGGACCCAATCAGGACCTGGCCATTCTGCATGAAGTACGACAAACCAGTTCCAGAACCAAACGGGTTCAGAGTGAGCTGATGGCCCTGAAGGCCAAAATCTTTGGACTTGAAAATGAGCTTCGATTCAGCTGAAAACATTCAGATTCTGTTCCTGATGTTTTTCTGAATCCATGACTTTGATGGTAATCCCTATAATTTCTTGAAATGAATGTCTATAATTTCTGCTTTGACCCAATAAAATTTTCATTTTGCAGTAATTTTTGAATTATGGTGAAAATGTCTTATTACAGTTATTAGTTTTTTTTTTTTGTCCTCTTTGACCAAGGTGGCATGTGGGAAACATCAGGACAATCTCCGCTACACTAAAATGATTTCGGATCTGCATTTTCTCTGCCATCTCATAAAATCGAGCCATTGCTGAGACTTTTTAGTTGGCTGATGAGATGTGCCTATGTGATGCAGCCCATTCACTGTAATAGATGGGTAATGATTTATTTATGCCAAAATTAAAAATAATTGTAAACGTTTCCTTTTGTAGACGTTTTCTGTGTGTATCTTCTGCATGGATCAGACTCTAGCAACCCTACAGATGCAGGAATGAATAGTTCTGACTTGGAGGATGGGTCAAGAATTCATAAAGGTGGTTTTGAGAAATCTGGGATGCACTTACAACTGTTGACCGATGGATGGCGGTATATGGGAGGATTTCCAAAGTTTACCGAGAGCATTGAGTTTATGGGTTATTTTTTCTCTTTATTAATGTCTACGGTGTTTTACCGAACAAACCCACTTTTTAAAAACTTGTTCATTTAAACAACCACTGTTTGACTTTTTTATGACTCTTAAAACGAGTTTGAATTTTATTCTGAACTCAATTTTGTTTTATAAATTTACTCTAAACTTCATAGCAAAGTCAAAAACTAGTTTCGCTTCATCATAAACGGTACAAGCGCGCACATGGGCCCGGTGCGTAAAATGTGACGTAACGGAGTTCGGGTTGCTTCTCTGCGCATGCGCACGGGCTGTCACTAGCCCTCAGTAAGTGCTAACGTTTGTCGTGAATGGAGACGGGGAGAGTAGAAGAACATCAGAGTTGAGTATCGATCCTTTATTTGGAGGTATTATGAGGCCTTTCCTCAGCGATCACGTTTGTGAACTGGCGCGGTTACAGTTAGCTCTAAGCTAACTCGGTATCTTTAGTTTACCCGCCGAGGCTTTTCCCTTTCCCATCACACACACACACACACACAAGTGCCTGGAAACATGCAGAGGCTGAAATATTTTAAAAGTTGCTGGCAGCTGCTGAAATCGAGCCTTGAGGGAGCAGCTAAACAAGCAGATACATCGTCTTCATTCTCAAGAAGCTATAGCCACGTAAGTGACAGCTTTATTACTTTAAATGTGACCGGAAATAAGCTAATACTAAACACACGGTTTTATGCTTTTATAGCCCTTGTTTTACCATCATCAGCACTGATATCTGTGTATGATCCTGTCTGACTAAGAAGTCTCTGACATGAGATCAGTCAGTCCATAAGTTAATGAACAACCCATCTCTCTGACCCAGCGCCCTCCTCAGGGCCCCGGCTCTTTTGGGCTCCTCTTTGATATTGATGGGGTGCTGGTCCGGGGCAGGACCCCCATCCCTGCAGCCAAGCAGTGCTTCAGGAATCTGGTGGACCGGAATGGGAAGTACAAGGTCCCGGTGGTTTTTGTCACGAATGCAGGGAACTGCATGAGGCAGACAAAGGCTGAGCATTTGTCTGATCTGCTGGAGGTGGAGGTAACTAAACACCCATGTAGCCATCATTTGTTTGTTTTCCCCTCTGATGCCACCTTCTCCTCTCAGGTGTCTCCAGACCAGGTGATGCTGTCCCACAGTCCTCTGCGAATGTTTACAAAGTTTCATAAGATGTGTGTGCTGGTCTCGGGACAGGGACCAGTGGAGGAGGTGGCTCATAAGTATCCTGTGTTAACAGACCCACACGTATTTGATCTAGACCAGACTCTACATGTTTTATTTGGTTTGTGTGTTTCTGTTCAGACTTTTATCAGTTTAATCTTTGTACCCGTAGCTGCTCTTTTTGCCTAGTTTTCACTCATTCCTTTCTTTTTATAACAGACTGAAGGAGTTGTCTTTATTTATTTATTTTTTATCTGACATGATGAAATTATGATTAATGAGAATGTAGAAAGAATATTAGTATTTGGAAATGAGTTGTGAATGACTTTAACTCATAAAATGTCAGCCTGGGCTTTGAGGATGTGGTCACTATAGACATGCTCAGAGAGGCATACCCCACCTTAGACGTTGTGGATCACAACAGAAGACCCAAAGACGGTGTAAGTAAAACTAATCCTGATGCCTGTTTCTGTTCACACCATCCTTTAGTCATCATAATTATTGAGAACTTTCTCACAGATCCCCCCCACCAAAGGCTTACGGCCAATAGATGGTATGTTTTCTCCAGCGTGCGTTAAAAAATAAATACTGACAATTTCACTAGAACTCTGCAGTATCTTTGAATTTCTGCAGCTGTCGTCTTATTTGGAGAGCCAATCAGATGGGAGACCAACCTCCAACTGATTACGGACGTCCTCCTGACTAACGGAAATCCGGGGAAAACCTGGAATACAACCCAGTATCCTCACATCCCGGTCCTAGCCTGCAACATGGACCTGCTGTGGATGGCAGAGGCGAAGAATCCAAGGTGAATGTGTGATTGTAAATGCACATTTTTTATGTTTACTGCTGTGTTCTAATAATACATGTTGTGCAGGTTTGGCCATGGTATGTTCCTGGTATGCTTGGAGAATTTGTACAAGAAGGTGACCGGTTACGACCTGAAGTACGAGGCTCTGATCGGCAAACCAAGCATGGTGACTTATAACTACGCTGAGCTGCTGATTCGACAGCAGGCGGAGAACCTTGGTTGGAGCACGCCTGTGAAGAGGCTGTATGCTATAGGGTGAGTGACTGTCTGCATTTGAGATGCTCTTTAATAAAAATGCTTTTATTTATTTATTTATTTTTTTACTTGACGCATTGCTGCTCATGTTCTGTAGTGACAACCCCATGGCTGATGTTTACGGAGCCAACCTCTACGACCGCTACCTTCAGACCTCTCGTTGTTCCAGAATCAAAATGCAGGGTAAAAGCTTTGGAGGCACTGTGGATCACTCAGCAGAGGCTGTTGATGTCCCTCAAGTGAAATCAGGTGGAGCTGCAGGTGTGTTTGGGTCAGAGGAGCCGCCCGAGGGGTGCAGCTCCATCCTGGTGTGCACAGGAGTGTACAGCAGAGACCAGCCGGAGCTGCCATCAGACCCGGCACAAACCGTCACCGAGCATCGCATCTTCCATGGCCACAGGGACTTCCACTTTGATCCCACTCTCCTGCAGCCGTCCTATGTGGTGGAGGATGTGAAGGAGGCGGTGGAGCTGGTGTTCCAGCGGGAAGGCTGGCTTCTACAGTAGCACGAGCAACAGCAACATCTCATGTTCTGCCTCGTAATTCAAATTCAAAGATACTTTATGAATCCCAGCCGGATTAAATCCCAGAGAGATTACGCTTTTCTTTAATCACAACAAGTAGTAGGAGGCTTAATGAGAGTTTTTATAATCGTCTCAGGACAGGCTGTAATAGAAATTACAGGAATGTGCATGTATTTGTTATAATTCACGTCAGTCATGCATGGAAGTGTTCCGGAATGGTTTTTCTTAAGTTTTCTACCATAAAGGTTTTACAGAGAAACCAGAACCTTTTATAATAATAATAATACATTTTATTTAAAAGCGCCTTTCAGAACACCCAAGGTCACTTGACAGAAAATACATTCAGAAAAAACATTAAAACAACATTAAAACAACAATAGAACGCAAAGAAGAAAAAACAAAGAGAGAAACAGTTCAATAAAATCAGAGGTCACAGGCAGATTTAAACGTGTGTTTTGAGTCTGGTTTTGAAAAAGGTGAAACTGTCGATGTTCCTGATGTCTTAGCAGTTCAGCAGTCAACCTTGGCGTGAAGATGGATGGTGCATTCTGCATGGATGCTCATGTGGGTACTGCAGTATCCTCTTCATTTTATCATTTAAGACGTTTGGCTAAAGTAAAGCCGTTTTATCCAGACGTGACCTTGAGACTGTTGTTCATGCTTTTTTTACCTCACGACTCGACTATTGTAATTCCGTTTTATTTGGTGTAAGTAAGGGTACCGTAAACCGGCTGCAGCTTGTCCAGAATGCTGCAGCAAGATTCTTGTACAACAAAAGGAAGCATGAACACGTGACACCCATTTTGGCTGCTCTCCACTGGTTGCCTGTTGATTTTAGAATTCGTTTTAAACGTCTTTTAATGGTGTTTAAGGCGCTGATCGGTGTGGCTCCGACCTATTTGACAGAGTTGCTGCAGCCATATGTTCCGGCCCGGTCACTCCGCTCTGAGAACCAGCTGCTGCTTGTGGCTCCTAAGGCCGGGTTGAAGTTAAGAGGGGACAGGGGATCCGAAACTGTGGAACACACTGCCCCTAACCATTAGGGGCTCTCCATCAGTAGCAGTTTTTAAAATGAGGCTGAAAACCTACTTTTACGATCTGGCTTTTAATTCTGTGGGTTAGCAATTGTTAATGTTTTATATTTTGTAATTCTTATTTGTGGTTTTAATTATGTCTGTGGCGCTATATGTTTTATTGTTTTATTCTTTTATTTTGTAAAGCACCTTGGTGGCATGCTCATGCCTGTAAGGTGCTTTATAAATAAAGGCTGATTGATTGATTGATTAGGGGAGTGAGTTCCAGAGACGGGGAGCAGAGCGGCTGAAAGCTCTGCTCCCCATGGTAGTGAGACGGGCAGAAGGAACAGCAAGATGGATGGAGGAAGAAGATCTGAGAGAACGGGAGGGGGTGTTAATACTTATAAGGTCTGAGTTATATGGAGGAGAGTTTATGGATGGCTTTGAAGGTATGGAGGAGAATTTTGAAGATGGAACTGAATTTAACTGGGAGCCAGTGAAGCTGCTGGAGAACCGGGGTGATGTGAAAGGAAGGGGTTCTGGTGATAATACGGGCTGCTGAATTCTGGACCAGTTGTAGTTTATGAAGGAGTTTACCTTTGCACTAATATCAGCTTTCTGGGGTCTTACAACTCACATGTAACAATAGTATAAGTTCACCTTATTTCAACTTATTGAAAATAAAATTATTGCACATTTCAAATACTATTGCACCCGTGCTGCTGGACGATAATCAAATAAAATTAAAGATACCTAAAAGGTAGCCTGGAAAGCCATAATCCTATATATGCCGAGCTAAATCATTTTGCTTCTCCTGCTCACCGTCTAGATTTCTAGGCTACTAAAAGGGCACAAAAGAAGCACTTTTTAAAATATTTTTTATTTAATACAAAGTGGCGTACATCACGAGCTCCTCCAAACTAACACAAAAACGTGTTCATTTAAGTGCTGTTAAACATGTAACTAATGTTCATGAGATAAAGAAGCTAACGTCTGATTTAGCCCCTAAAAAGTGCAATTAAACGTCCGTTTTTGTTTTAGTAAAATTTATAGAATCGTTTTTTTATTTTGTCTATTAGACAGAAAAAGGGTGCTGTTTTTCTATGTGTGAATGTTTGTTAGACTTCAGTAACAATTGCAGCACCTCTTAAGGTTTATGTGTAACCAACATGTGTAACTATGGCAACGTTAAAACAAAGCTTTGTAATTAAAATGATTATGCAGTATTGTGTCAGTACAGAGTCCTTGAGCAAAAGGTGTGGCTTGTTATCGTGGTCAGAGGAACATCATAAAATAAACCTGTTACAGGCCCCTGCTAACTAAAAAATAAATCAATGCCTTAGTTTTGCTATGAAATACACACATCGCCCTCAAATAAACGTCCTTTTCTCTTAAATAAGCCTATAAAGCAAAAGTCCAATAACACATACGTAACCTCCTTGGGTCTGCTCAGCAGTCACACCTCTTATCTGAAGATGCTGCACCATAAATAGGCTGACAGTTGTCACTCAACATGAACTGCGGAGGGCACTGAGAGGTCTGGTCTACGATGGTCATGCCGTTGCGGGCTAACAGTTCTCGAGCCATCAGGATGAAGGCGGCCTCTATGTTCTGGGCTTCCTTGGCTGAGGTTTCTAGAGCAGCCAGAAGGCTGTTCTTCTCAGCCAGAGTGCACGCGTCCTCAAATAACACTTGCCTCTGAGGGTGGAGGTCCGATTTATTACCTGCAATATTAGGAAGGAGGATAGATCTGGAGGGCTTTTTGTAAAGCTTCACAAATTTTTTACGCAATTTTTGGGGTTATTTAGCCTGTCACAAGTTTAAAAATTGTTCATTTTATTATATATATATATATATATAGATAGATAGATAGATAGATAGATAGATAGATAGATAGATAGATAGATAGATAGATAGATAGATAGATAGATAGATAGATAATCAATTTCCCTCTGGGATTAATAAAGTATTTTTGAATTTGAATTTGAATTTTGAATAACAAAATAGTTTGGAGTTAAATACTTATTTTATAAAATAAATACTTAGGTCTAATCTGAATATTTATTTTGTAAAATAAATATTTAATTTGCAAATAAAATAGACTGGAACTAAATATTTAGTGTACAAAATGCATATTATGCATACATTTCAATAGTGAGTTCCAAATTAATTACTTTGGTTACAAAATATATATGAAGCTTAAAATTAAACATTTTGCTTGCCAACTAAATATTAAGTTTGGAATCGTGACATTTATAAATGTATCAGTGACATGGTTGAACATTGGACTGAACCATGAACTCCTGTTTTTTTTCTTGTAACAGGCTAAATAATCAAAAAAAAAAGTTTTTCAATGTATATTATTTAATTTTACAAACAGCACCCCATAAGTAGATGTCTTTAAAGTAGAGACCGACCGATACATCAAGCTGAAATATTCAATTTTTGAAATTATTTTTATAAGCCGATAAAAAAATAAAAATCAGGCACCTGTGAGGCCAACTGCCGCCACTACTAGGCTAAAGAAAGGACCCCAACACAGTTTTTTTTAATATGTTTTGAGTTTGTTTTATGTTTGAAGTTCAATGAATAGTAAGAGATTTATTGACTTATTTAATTTATATTTCACATAGTGGGTGTTCAGTTGTCTTTCACAATCAATGTGCTGCTAAAACGTATATATATCGGCCTTAATAATCGGCTTTAGATATCGGCCATCGGAAACAAAAATCTTTAAAAATCGGCATCGGCCTTAAAAAAAACCATGTAGGTCGGCTTCTACTTTAAAGTAACTGATTAAAGAGTTTTCCGCTTGTTGTAAACAGCTACAATAGAATATTCAGAACATCTATGTGATCAAATAAAGAAATCAACTTAAAAAACGAGTCTTCAGAGATCACACCGGTCTGTTTCAAAGACGTACCGATAAGTATCACAACCACGTTGGCGGCCCCGTACTGCTCCACCTCCCTGATCCAGTGAGGAACAGATTCAAATGTGCTGCGGCGGCTGATGTCGTAGGCCACCATCGCTCCGTGGGCACTGCGGTAGTAGCTCTGTGTTATGGTGCGGAAACGCTCCTGTCCAGCAGTGTCCCACACCTGCATCTGAGAACAAGCAGCACAAACAGGAGTCAGCTGGTTACAAAACATGGAAGAAGATGCTGTGTGTATAGGTGACACAGACATGAACGCTGAAGATTTCCAGTCCTAACAGAAGTACAATCACAAGGGCAGAAATGGCGGAATGGAAAATCATGTTTTGCAGCACAGTAAAAAAAAAACTCTTGAAACCTACCTTCACCTTCTTGCCGTCAATATCCAGGGTACGAACCGTGAAGTCGACCCCTATCGTGTTCTGTTGTTTCTCTATGAAGACGCCAGACTTGAAGCGCTGCACCATGCAGGTCTTCCCAACATCTGAATCCCCAACCAGGATGATTTTAAAAAGAAAGTCAAAAGACTCCTCAGCCTCTGGCTCTGCAGACTGCATGGTGACAAAAGCAGCAAGGTTGGAAAAGTGGTATAAAAGAACTCTGCCTGCTACAAAACTGGTTTCCTCCAAGTTGTGTCAATACATCAGACTATTTACACAAACTGCAGATGCATCCTTATGAGAAACTAAAAAGTTGCTGGTTCTGTTGGAGGAATAGAAAACTTATTTTGGAAATCGAACCGTTTTGTCATTTTAACCCCACTTAAGGGATTAAAATGAAATCATTAAAACAACTAAAGGTCAAATCAATGTAATTAATGTGCAAAAATTTAAATAGTTTCTTCCTGAATAGAGTAGCGATTAGAAAACAAAACCAGTGCCTTCATGGTGACTTTCTCTGCGCTACACTATCAGACACGTTCTTTAGATCCAGACTCAAGTCTGCACTTCTGCCCTTTAGACCGTCACTCTTCGCCACGCCACCTTTCCTCCTTTTCTTTCGTTCTCGGGCGTTTTAAGACATGCCTCCTACCTGTCTTGCCAAGTGTGACCTCCAACTGCCAGCCCACTTGCACCACTGCATCTTGGGAGATTTCACCTTTGTTTAGGGTTTATAATGGGATGCAGTACCTGGAAGAGCCAGGTATAAAATTCAGTGACCTGAAACTTGAGTCGCTGCCAAGAACAATCTGTTGCATAAATTGTGTTTCGCCTGGCAAATAAACAGTTAAACGCTTTAGAATCAGAACACAAAGAGCTGTAGGCTGATTCTGAACCGAAGCTTTACCATATGAGTGACATATTTAGCTTATAAAGCTCACAGAGTAAACACCCCTGAGCAATAAATAAATAAATACGTAACCTCTGCAAAGTAAATCCTAGCAATATAAACCATCTTCAAATTGTGAACATCTCAAGGACTTATTCCTTTTCTTTAAACAAAAAAAGTCCAGGATTGCAGACCCCGCCTGCTGTCAGCCAACGCGTTCCACATGCAGGGAAAAGTCAGAGCAAAACACGGCAGGGGAAACATAACAGCAGTATTTGAAAAATAAAAACAAAGTGTAAGTAAAATCTTTTTACCTCAGCCTTCACACACTGGCATCACAGCGAGATTGTGAACCCAGAATGAGCTCTGAATCAGTTGCTCTCCTTCCACCCCCACGCTCGTTTCTGTCGTCATCTCAGCCCACAGAAGAACAAGGCACAGCTGGACACGGAACAATGTGTGAGTGTGTGAGGGGCACTTGAGTGAGCTGGGTCTATCTTTGGCTATGACCACCAGATACCTTCTTTCTTTTGTGTGGTTGGTGTCTCATTAAAGGCGGGCTGACAGCTCAAAGTTAAGGAAAAAATAGCAAACAAACTTAGGAAAAATAACCCCTTCGTTATTTTTTTATTCCATCTCAAAACAGGAAACTGAAGACATTTACAAAATAGCATGGATTAGAAATGTTTAGTTGCGATTTTTACTAGCATTTTAATATAATAAAGATCTCTGTAAGCTCATTTAAACATTAATCTTACACAATCTAATGCAGTTTATAAATCTAAACCTAAAGTGTAAACACAGCAGCAAGCCCTCTTCCTGACAGGCACTTAAAAAAAAAAAATCCTTCCATGAATCAGCAGAGATTTGGTCCAGGAGCAGAGCTGGTGTCGATGAGTCATATCTGAGCATCACTCCTGTGCTCGTCAAGACTGTTGGTGTCATCTTTTCTGCAGCAAATGAGTGTTTCTGAGTCTAATAGCAGAGCAGGAACTCTGCTGAGTTATTTTCTGCTTTGAAGGTTTCTTTCCACTTGTCTTGTTTGGGGACGTCTCTGGAGGAGGGACATGAATCGGCTTCCAGGGGATCGGGTTGTAGAAACTAGGTGCAGGGTAGGATTTGTCATAGGGACCTAAAGGTAAACAATCCATTATGATAGTTAGAGATGACACGTTTTAGCAAGAGTTGAGAATATTTCTATGTAATTCCAACAATTTGTGAATAATGCATTGAACAGATGTTTTGATCTATTGACATTTCTTAGTTAATTATTTGCTGGTTATTAAAATGAGCTTACTTGTAGGGTAGCTGGGCAATGCGGGACTCGCTCTGCTTTTCTCTTTGGCCTGTGTCAGCCACTCCTTAAACTTCTCCTCTGCGCTCCTTCGGCGCTCCCTCTCCAGCTTCTCCTTCATCGAAGCTTCCTCCTGTCAGATGTAAACTGTTAAACCATCTCTGTCCGAACCTTTTAAATAAGAAAAATAAAGGTAAAATGACCACATTACCTTCTCTTTCTTTTCTTTTTCAGCTCGTTCTTGGTTCTTCTTCTGAAGCCAGTCTTTATATTTTTGTTGAGCTTTCTGATTAATGTCCCTTTGTTTTTCTTGCTGTCTTTGCATCTCCTCCTTCTCTTTCTTCTGTTTTTGAAGCTGCTCTTGCCTCTCCTAGGATTATAAGAAGTCAAAAGGAGAATAACAATTAGTTTGGTGATCCCAAATGTTTAAAACAAAACTAAAAAATTAAAGAAATCTTTCTTTACCTGTTCTCTTTTGACTTTTAGCCATCCCAGAATCTTCTCTTCAGCGATAGTCTTTTTTAGTTCCTGCTCCCTTTGCTGCATTTCTTGTTTTTCTTTTAGTAAGCTCTCCTGAGTTATGGGACACAACAGACTCAAGTAAGTAACTCTGAAATAATGATAGCTAGATGACTCTACAAGTAAACGCAGCTTGCCTCTTCTACTTTCTTTTCCATTTTAAGGCGATCCTCCTTAGTTTTGTTCAACAACCACACTTCCCAAGCACTGTGAGAAGAAGGTGAGACAGCTGGGTGCACAGCTGGACTGGACATTCGCTCAGAGGGAGTTTTAGGAAGCTCAGATCTATAAGGTTATAGATATGTAAATGAATTGTTATTGAGTTAATCCAAAAGCATGCTTGCAATCGAGCAGCTCTACCTGGCTGGTGACGTGCACTGCCTGGAGTATTTGTCATGCCTGGGTGAAGCCTGAGTCGATCCCAGCTCCTCTTCATCACTGTCAAAACTGTCATGATAGATCGGAGAAAGCAACGAAAACGTGTCTTCATCGTCGGATAGAACACCGTCGTCCAAACCCTCGGAGACTTGGAAGTCTGCACGCTGGCGTGTCTTCACAGGAGTCGAGCTAAATCCTTTGCACGCAGAGGCAGGGCACTTGGGCATAATGCCCCCTCCAGACATTACTAGTCAAATTCTGAGGAGCAAACGAATATAAAAAAAAACTTTTAGTCGTGTTAACTATCGACAAATTAAACTAAAATGAGCTGCATTACACAAGTGTTCCATTTTAAACATTTACGATGTTAAAATTAGACTGGTTCACAAGTTAGCAAATTTGAGCTAACTAGCTAGCTAACTATAAGTGAACGTTGAGTGTCAACATTCTCAGCTGTGTGCATCGTCTATCGTTAAAAGGAGCAACACGAATGTTAATTGGATTATTTAGTTGTTACCTTAGCGTAAATGGCAGAAAAAGTAGGCTTAGTGACGTTTATTCTCACAAAAGTAGAGGTTTCTGGAACTAATGTTAGAAAGGCTAACTTTTTCCCCACAATGCACCACGACCCCACGCTCTACACGTTGGGTAACTATAGTGACGCCTGACGTAATGTTTACGTTTTATATATTATATTATATTATATTATATTATATTATATTATATTATATTATATTATATTATATTATATTATATTATATTATATTATATTATATTATATTATATTATATTGTATTGTATTATATTATTATGTCATTTGCACATTTAATGTGTTTTGCTTTTGTTTTAAAAGGTATTTATTCTAAAATACTTTACTTTTTCATAGATTCATAACTATATATTATAACTATATATTCTATTTAAATAACTGTTTATATAATATTCAGTGGGTATTATTTATTTTCATTTCCTTATAAGAGTTTAGATATTTTTGGAGTTTTGAATAGCAAATATGTACACCTGCTCAGATGATCTTTAAATCTGTTTACTGCTATAAGAGGTTGTTTTTTTGTCTCACAGCTAACAGACTGTTGCATATAACCTGCTCTCATTCTCACTCACCTCACATTATCAGTCTAATTATCAGCAGTTGACCCACAATGATCTTGTCCTGTAACGGGCTGCTTTCACAGGAACGTGTCACATTTTGAGCGAGTTTGTAACAACATGCAGCAAAGTTAATTTGTCATTGAAACAATTGTTTGTTGTTTAGTTTCAATGATGCCTTAATTTAGTTTCAAACACAGGAGATAAAAGGGCTGCAAGTTTTTTGAGTATGTTATCCTAAATACTCCTATTCATCATTTCTCCTTGACATAAATATGCATATTATCTCAATTTCATGTGAAGCACCAGCACAGCTGAGAAACATAATGACTCAGCAGACAGACACCAGAAAAGATCTGATCCCGCGTGTTTGTAGTTCTGCTCCAGGGTCACACCAGCCTGTGGGATTCCAGCTCTGGCCTCTGATGCTAGTTCAGTAACAGTCTGGATCATCGAACGCAGACGAGGAAGCAGTCCAGCAGCTGCTCCTCAGAGCAGTTGATATGGTGGCTGGAGAGCATCAGACACTGCTAGAAGGCAGAAATCGAGTACGTCGTGTCTCCCGGACTTCTCCTCTAAATCAGGGACCACAGAAGAAGTCTCGCAAGAAGCTTCAAGCTGTCATCTGTGTTCTGCTTGTAGAGCTGTGTGAAAGGTTTACGTTCTTTGGGATTGTGTGTAACATGATTCTCTTTTGCACCGTGAAACTGGGCTACGGAAACTTTCTGGCTGCGACAATCAACCTGTGCTTCATAGGAACCAGCACCCTGACGCCAGTTCTGGTTGGCTGGTTTGCAGAGACCTGCTTAGGACGGACTAAAGTGCTTTACTTGTGTGCTCTTCTTCATTTTTGTGGTAAGACACAATATGATCCAGCAGATAGTGTTTTTTTTTATTTAGAAAAAAAAATTCTACATCTGAATGTAGAAAATGAAGCAGAACATTTTGTTTGATGGCTGTATGTCTTAGGCACAGCCATGCTGCCTGTGGTTGCATTTCCATTTGAAGATTTCTACATCGATACTCATCACATGACCCACAAGCTGCAGCCTCTGGAGCAGCAGATCCTGTTCTACACAGGTCTCCTGGCTGCTGCACTGGGCATCGGTGGCATCAGGGCCATCCTCTGTCCTATGGGAGCCTACAGCTTGCAGAGCTACAACAAGCACCAGCTCCTGTCCTTCTTCAACTGGTAGGTGGTGCATCTATGTGAACACATGCTTGCTTTGATAAGAATTAAAGGAACCAGTTGATATTTTTAGTACAAAAACATTTAACCCTAAAACATTTGCAATTAAACCAGAATGTATTGATTAAATCAGTTGATGTCGGGGCATATTTTGCGTAGGTTTGTTGTAGTTACTGATATTTTGTTCATTTGCCCACAGGTTTTACTGGCTGGTTAATCTGAATTCCTCTGTTGTGTTTCTGGGTATCGCCTACATCCAGCAGTCAGTGGCTCAAAATCTGGGCTTTCTCATCCCCTTCACCTCTGTGCTGCTAGCTCTCATCGCCATACACATGACTCGCAACAAACTCACCTATAAACCCAAGAAAGGTAACACAGATGCGTGTTGGAACACATGGAGAAAAAAGTGTTAAATGGCCCTGTGATGCTCTCAGGTGGATCTTTGTTGACCACTCTGGGAGTTTTCCTAAACTCTCTCAGAATGGGCTGCCTTCACTACCGCCACCTGAGTGGGGACGTTGGTTCTTGGCTGGACCGAGCGAAAGAAAACCACGGCGGTCGATACAGCGAGGTGCACGTGGAGAACGTCAAGGTCCTGGCAAAGCTCTTCCCTCTTTATGGGCTTCAGCTGCTTTACAGAGCCTGCATCACTCAGGCAGGTTCCTAGGGATGAAAACAATATGATAAAAGATGGAGAACTTTTTTTTTATTCATGTGTTTTCCACAGATTCCTTCAGGTTACTACATACAGACCATGAACTCCAACCTCCATCTGACTGACCTGCTGCTGCCCATTGCAGCCATGAACGTTGTTAGCATCCTGCCTTTGCTGCTCTTAGCTCCTCTGATTGAATTTGTGACGACCTGCTTCCTCTCCATGGACAAAATCCCTCTGGCTCCTGCAAAAGTCATAAGTAATTTGGCCACACACGCTCAGCAGTCCACACGTGACCTTTGAATGTATCTTAAATGTATCTCTCGCTTCCCCTTATCCTCCTGAAATCACAGCCCCTCTTTCTGCAGCCCTCTGTCTCACCACCCCACCCTATCCTTCCTCCCCTTCCAGCTCTGGGCCATCTGTGTGCTGCGCTGTCTGTCCTGGTGGCAGGTTTGTCGGAGCTGCACAGAAAGACGTATCCCCTGGTGGAGCAGACTATGTCTGGGAAGGTTCTGCATGTGTCGTCCATGCCATGTTTCCAGCTGGCACCTCAGTACATCCTTCTGGGTGTAGCCGAGGCTCTTGTCACACCCGCATGTAATCACGACATCCCCCTTTTTCCCATTTGCGCATCTCATCCAACAAGTTGAAATCTTTCAAATTTCCCAAAATTTCTTTGTTATTCTCTCAGGCTCACTCATTTCCTTCCAGCTGACCCCGAGCCACATCAGAGGAATATCCCTGCATTTCCTCACTCTGTCCTACGGAGGGGGCTGTTTTCTTGGAGCTTTCATCATTCTGCTGGTGTACTACTTTTCTGGAGGTAGAAATGAAAACAACTAACCAATTAGACACTCTTCTTCCCAGACATGGACGTAATTTTCATTTTAGAAGTGTGTGTGTGTGTGTGTGTGTGTGTGTGTGTGGGGGGGGGGGGGGGGGGGGGGGGTCTTTACAGTATGTTCTAATGGGAAACAGGCTTCAACACAAATGGTTGTTTTCTGCTTGGTCCTAGAGCTCAACCAGTGTCTATTTAATATAGCGTAATATTGTTTTTGGATGGTAAAAAGTACAGGGGTCCAAACTTGACTTTGGAAAAAGTGGGGGGGACATGTCCCCCCCGCCCCCCCCCCCCCCCCCAAAAAAAAATTACGTCCATGTTCCCAGATAGTTTGACTAAAACGTATTGATGTCATTACAGGTAACTTTTACCCAAGCACACTGCAAGATGGGAATCTGGAGAGATTCTTCTTCTTCCTGGCCTCCCTGATGTCCCTAAATACTCTTGTGTTTTGGAAAGTATCAGACAGGTATATTGTTTTCTCTGAGCACTGAGAATAAATTTTATTCAGCTTGATTAGAGTTCAGTCTGGGTTCCACCCAACATCTCACTCATCTGTTCTTGTCGTTTAGGTATTTGGACCTGAGTGTTCAGGGGAAATCGGTGACCAGCAGCTCTCTGACGGAGAAGCTGCTGCATTACAAGGCCACTCTGCGCTTCTACGAAACAGTAGAACATCTTCCCACAGACTCTTTTTCATGAGGGTTTTGTGCAGAGCTGCTCTGTTTGCGGCGCTGGCGCTGCACTTTACCTACAAAAAATGTCAGATTTTTTTTTGTTCTTGCTTATCTGTCAAACCTAGACACAAGATTCATTATCAAAGATAACACGAGTAAAGTTAAAACGTAGTTTTCAAAAGATCTGCAATATCAATAAAGTATTTACATATGCTGTGAGCCTGTCGAGGTTGGGTGCAGAGGCTTTGCTGGCCACTCACTGCTGCGAACCCAAAAAACTCCTTGGAGTAAGAGGACTGCAACTGAAGAAAGCCACCAAAACCATCCTCGAGGCCGCAGAGAGGACCTCGCGGTGGCTGCGGATCCGCAGGGGCTTTCGTGGAGCAATGGGTCACTTGGACACTAGCTGGGAACTGATCACCCCCAGCTGGGTCGCCCGGGTGGGGGTGTATGAAGAGTAAAGACCCGAAACACCCTATGTCCAAGTAGCACTGGAAGGTGTGTTCAAATTCTAACATATGTGTTGTGTGCATGAAGGAGTGTTAAAACTTTTATTTGAACTAAAACAATGTCAGTTTGTGTTGCACATCAGACAAAATATGTGTTCAGCAATGTTTATTGAACTTCATTTTCAGAACAGTTTTACAAAATGGACGTTAGATTAAACACAGAGAGAGCTCCAGAACTAAAACATCTTAAAAAGCCAAAAAGCAACAAAGAAATTAAAGATTTAAAAGGTGAAAGAATACCTATTTCTATATTTGATCTAAATAGATCTACAAAATCTTTCACAGATTTAATATTTGTGCTGTATTAATTTACTGTTTTGATTCCTTCACATGCTCACTGACAAGGTCAAATGTCACAAATCGACAGCGTTGCACCCAAATCAACAGTGAATCCAGGGTAGAGCGGCTTGGTGAATGTGGTTCGGATTTGGTGCAGGAGCTTAATCTCTTCTGGGCCTGAAACGCTGTAGAAACTCAGCCTTCCTTCTCGATACTCGAGGTGCACACCCACTCTATGGGAGCGAGCTGGAGGAATCTGGCCTTTGTAAAGACTGTTGTGCCAAAAGGTGCATCCAGAAGGAGAGCAGATTAACTTCCACGACAGCTTGTTATGACCAAAACAGCTGCCTTTGCCTGAACCCATTCGTTGTATTTCTTTGTAAGACACAGCCACCTCGACGATGCCGCCGTCCCATTCCACCTCCCAGTAGTGGTTTTCCTGAAGGCCATTTTGGCACAGAACCTGGTAGAAGCGAGTAAATCGGCCTGGGTGATCAGAGTGAGATTGGCCTGTTGTTGCCCATGATATCTCCTTCTTTGTGTTTGTCACGGAAAGGCATTCATGTGCTGTGTTGGGATCCAGATCCAGAGTGGTGCCTGCAGAGGAAGATCAAATGGTCTTCACACGATGGAGCTTTTGAACACATTTAATGTTTATTCAGTTATTTACACTTACGCTTGAGCAAAAGGTCTTTTCTTGATTGTATCGGCATGCGAGGATTCTTCTGAAACGATGACACTGGGGGGAAAAAGACAATACAGAGTGACCAATCTCTAAGGATGTCCAAGAAGGTATTGTTTTACAATTAGAAACTGTTCTTTGAGCCTCTATTGGGCCATTCCCATCTGTACCGGGTCGGCCCGGGCCGGGTAGCCCCAGTCGGCCCCATCCTGGCCCGGTTGATTCCACACATCCTTGTCTTAAGCCCATGTGGGCTGATTCTACCCACCAATCAGAGGCTTGCTCTAATGGAAGGTGTGAATTTGCTGTCAGCAGTGGGTGTGTTGGCCCTGGTCGGCCTGAAGCAGACCCCCTCGAGAAGAGGGCTGAGAATGAGCCTTGGTTGGCCCGGAAAAATACCAGGCCACCCAGATATGTAAACAACCTATGCTACCCGGCCCGGGCCGACCCGGTACAGATGGGAACGGCCCATTAGTAACTTATGCAACTTTGTTGGGGCTCACAATGGCCCAGGAGCCCAGATAAATGGACAAATACACCCCATATTAAAGCCCCCCTTCCCCATGGAAAGGCTGGCATTCATTCAGAGTCTGGATACTCCACATCCTGGAACATAAGTAGTCCTCCGACATTCCTGTTTGTTGTTCTCCTCTCCTTCAACAAGGGCATAGCAGTAGATCGGACTAGCAAAGTTCTGAGGCTAGGTTAACTTTGACCAATGTTTATATGTTGCTGACACTTTAGTGGGATGGAACATGCAGATTGAAAGGTGGTATGTTTATGACAAGTTAAACCAGCTTTTGTTAGAATGAACCATTTCTCCTTCATCTTTACAACATTACTAATTCACATACTGTAGGTCAGAAATGGCAAACGCTTTAGGTCTAGCATCTTAGACACCCCAAGGTCCCTATATTAAAAAAAAGGTAAATTTGATTTTAAATTCTAAGGACGCAAATTCTCATGAAAGTCTTACCTGACAAATCTTTAAAATGAACAAATAATTCACTTTTTTGCTTGTCGCACATTTTTTTCAGCTTGTCTTTGTGTGCAGACACAACCTGAGCCGGCGCTTGAAATTGCTGCTGTGAGTCTGTGACTGCAGGACGTTCCCCCATGGCCTGGAAATCCTGCAACAGCCAAGCAAATCCATAACACTCAAATTCTCTGATCAACCAAATCGAGAACAAAACAGGACCAAATGAGAGGATTACTTTAAGAAACTGAATGGGATCGTCTATTAGAGAAAGCTGGTGGAGTCTGTGCTCCATCCTTCTCAGTTTATTCACTTCCTGCTCCAGCTGACCCAGGTGACCTGCTGTCCAGTCCACGCCAACTTTCTCCTCTTGTCCAACTTTGTCTCTCATCTCAGAGCATTTTCTCTCCAGAAAGATGACATAGGAAATAATGTGTTCTGAGCACTCTCGCTCAAAGTCATCACAGGCCTCCCAGGCGGCATCCTGATGACAAACACACACCGTTAGAACACGGACGTCCTTGCAGAACAATAAACGTAATTCTTAAAACATCTGTTTGCATCTTGGATTTGTCAGACAATGTCAGAAGGAAAGGGCATTCATTAAATAGAAACAGCATTTAATTTTATACATCCTCATCTACTTCCTCTTTTGGTTTTCTAGACAGATTTTAAAACACTGGAATATTTAGATGAGTGTGTGTGTTTGAGTTTCACACTCACTCTGATGGCATCTGCAGCCTTGGTTAGTTCCTTCATTTCAAGCAGTGAAACCAGCACTCTGTCTTCGATTTCCTGCCTAGCACGATCCACTTGTTGCTGTAATAAAACAAAAAAGAACTTCAGCAACGATAAACACGCAAATCCAGGTTCAATCTGAAGTGGTTCACCTGTTTCTCCTGTTTTTCAGTCATAACTTCTACGATGTCATGGCCTTTGTGCTCCACCACGCAAAGCGGACACAACAGCTGCTCATCAGAGCGACAGTAAATCTCCAGACGTCTGTCGTGATGGGAGCAAATGCTTTCCTTGATCCTGGCGCAGGCTCGGATCAGCTTGTGCTTCTTCAGCACCGGTACCTCGACGTGAGGCTGCAGGTGCGTCTCACAGAAAGAGGCTAAACACATAAGACAGAACATCTTAGCTTTTCTTTTTCTCCCTGTGCAGGCATCACACAGCACATCTCCTGGTGCGGCAGCATCCTCTTCACAACCAGCAGTACTTTGACTTTGCTTCTTATATTCCTCCAACAGGTTTCCCAGAAGGGTGTTCCTCTGAAGATCAGGCCTTGTGTTGAAAGTTGTTCGGCACTGAGGACAGCTGTATTCTTCTCTGTTTGAACACCAGAAAGTGTTGATGCATTTCCTGCAGTAACTGTGTCCACAGGCGGTGGTCACAGGTTCCTCCAGTAAGTGTAAACAAATAGGGCACTCAAACAGATCCAAACTGTGAGCCATTTTCACTCATCAAGCTGAAATAGTTTCAGTTTCCCTCAGAGGGGAGTGCCTTTTTCCAAGTGGGAGGACTCTGCCCTCATCTTAACCCTTTAATGTACATGATACTCGTTCTTTTTGACAAGGTTTCAGAATAAAACCAGGCTTTATGATTTTAAAATATTCATGACAATGTGTTGGTGATGTAAGATAATTAACTTTTTATTGAAACTTCCTGTTTATTTTTTGATCATTTTAAAACAGAGGAATGAAATTTGAGAAGTTGCTTGTCTCACTTCTGCTTTTTAATTTTGGTAACAAATGTGAACACTCCTTAATTTTGCCTCCATCTGTTCAGCTGAGTTGATGAGTAACTTTACATTTACGTTAAATTATTCAAGAAAACGGGTTGCGCAGTGGCACAGTGGTTAGAGGTGTTGCCTTGCAGCAAGAAGGTCCTGGGTTCGCTTCCCAGCCTGGGATCTTTCTGCATGGAGTTTGCATGTTCTCCCTGTGCATGCGTGGGTTCTCTCCGGGTACTCCGGCTTCCTCCAACAGTCCAAAAACATGACTGTTAAGCCCCATTCCCACCTGTACCGGGTCGGCCCGGGCCGGGTAGCCCCAGTCGGCCCCAGCCTGGCCCGGTTGATTCCACACATCCTTGCCTTAAGCCCATGTGGGCTGATTCTACCCACCAATCAGAGGCTTGCTCTAATGGAAGGTGTGAATGGACTGATTCTACCCACCAATCAGAGGCTTGCTCTAATGGAAGGTGTGAATTTGCTGTCAGCAGTGGGCGTGTTGGCCCTGGTCGGCCTGAAGCAGTACCCCTCGGGAAGAGGGCCGAGAATGAGCCTTGGTTGGCCCGGGAAAATTCCAGGCCACCCAGATATGTAAACAACCTATGCTACCCGGCCCGGGCCGACCCGGTACAGATGGGAATGGGGCTTTTGGTTGATTGGTCTGTCTAAAATGTACTTAGGTGTGTGTGTGTGTGTGTGTGTGTGGATGATTGTTTGTCCTGTGTGTCTCTGTGTTTCCCTAAGATGGACTGGCACTCTGTCCAGGTTGTACCCCTCCTGATCGCCCATTGACCCCCCCCCCCCCCCCCCCCCCACGACCCCACAGCAGGCTCAGACAATGGATGGATGGATATTCAAGAAAACTTAAGAGTACTCTAACATGTACATACATCAAAATACAAAATTTAACCCTTTACATGGAGCTCACTGAAATTCACTTTCCAAATTTTATTAGGGCTATAAAAATACAACTAAAACAAATTAATTTCCATTTAGCTGAAATAAAGACTCATTATCATATTTCTGTAATTAATCTAATGTCTCACTTTTGACATACACTCATACAGGTGAATGTGGCTGAATTATGGCATAAAAGAACTGGTCAAGTCTTTTTTTTTTCATAAATGTACACAGGGTTGCTTAAAAAGCATGAATAAAAAGCTCATCAAAGGTCACCTGGGTGATTAAGGATGCCAATGCTGAGACCTTTGGGGTTTGTGGTTTACATACTTTTGTTTCATAAATTTAAAAAAAGAAATCAAATATTAAAAATTGCATTACAGAAGTAAATAATTTAGACACTAAACAAATTAAATTGTGACTTCTGAGAGCCATTTGTCACTTTTTTAAAACAAATTTAAAGAAGGGTTTAACACACCTAGGGCCTCATTTATCAAGCTTGCTTACGCACAAAACGGGGTCGGAAAACTGCGTAAACAACTTTCCACGCAAACTTTGGGATTTATGAAAGAAAACTTAGTAGAAAAATGTGCGCAACTTTAAGTAGACTAAGGACCTGGCTTATCCACATTTTGGACATGGAGAGCTCCCGCAGTGCTGCTGCTGAGAAGGATAAAATTATGAAATCCTGCAGCATTATCACTTGTACTGCTTCATTTTCACACAGAACAAGACCCCCCACACGCACGCACACATGCGCGCGCGTACACACACATGCGCACACACACACACACACACAGTCTGAAGCGCAGAATACGGAGTGCAGAATATCAGCAGGGGGACAGATTGAGACAGAATGTCATGCGTCTCTGACAGTGTGTGTCCTGTCACTGTGATCCGATTGATCATGCGCCCTGGCTACTTGTACAGGGGAGATCTCCATCTGGCTGACTGGTTAGCGCGTGTGACTTTCACCCAGGAATCTGGGGATCGAATCCCAAATGGACCATTTTTTATGTCCGCCACAGATCTCTCTGAAGAATTCACAACATTGACGGCTTCAGCAACGCTGTGCCACTCGATTTTCTCTTATTTGTTTAGCAAAATTACTTCCTTTCATTTCTCCACCTCACCCACAAGTACCTCAATTTCTGCTTCTGTGAAATTGAGCTTCTTTGATCTGCTTTGATCTACGGTCGCCATCGTCATTGGTGGAGCGCTGCAGCAGCTGGCAAATGTACATGCATGAGGTCCACAAGGCACTTTGCATTGATATTTATGGCAGGAAGTGGGTGTGGTGAGGGCGGGATGTGACTAAAATGCAGCTGAGAAACATTCTTGTTAGTCTCCCATTTATGAAGCGGAGATTGCGTGCAGCTGTGCGTACTCCATGTTTAATAGATCACAAACCTACTTGGCGTAAGTACATTTTTTTGCTGAGCTTGAGTACGGTTTTAGTAAGGATTCTACACAATGTTTGATAAATGAGACCCCTGTTCAGTTACTGGATTTACGACTTCCAGAGAACTTTATATTTGTAAATGAAGCTTAATAATAGTAAGTATGTACATTTTGTTTATATAGCACTTGTCACAGAAAGAGAATCAAAGTTCTTCACAGAGATCAACAAAACAAAACAAATAGTCATAAAATCATAATGATCATAAAAACAAAACAGCAAACATCATAAATCCAATTAGAACCAGAAAAATCAAAGTCATCAAATAAAAAATAGAATGATCATAAAAGTCATAAAACAAATGAAAGATGATTATAAATGTGAGTTAAAAAAGAAGAAAAGCACAAAAGAATTGGGTAAAAGCAGCGCTAAATAAAAAGTTATTTAGTTGGTTTTTTTAAAGTGTCCAGATTGTCAATGCTACGTAAGGATAAAGGAAGATCATTCCAAAGTCGAGGTGCAACAGTCCGGAAGAAGCGATCACCTCGACTTTTACATCTGGTCTTTGGAACTTCTAGAACACGTGTCAGATACGAGGCCCGCGGGCCAGATGTGGCCCGCCGCATCATTTTATGTGGCCCGCGAGAGCTTCGAGTGTCTTAAAATAGGTCTATGCTGCTTCAAAGTGCACATTGACTATAAACTACATTTCCCACAATACATGGCGATTGTGTTCCCAGTGCAGTGTCAGTATTTCGCCACTAGGTTGCAGTGTATCCAAATTCGTGTTTACAACAAGTGAAAATAACTATCCACAAATTATCCAAAAATGTCCAGGAAGATGGATGCAGAAGGAAGGTGTTTCAGCAAAGATGGAACATGTTTATGCTTCAAGGAGAAAAACCGGTATCTTTACAGTCATTAGTGCCCATGCTACTCATGTCAGCGTCTGCAGCGGTACCGTCCGCCGCATCGGATAAACCCAAAACACTCCCTCAGCGCCAAGTTTAATCAGCAATTTGCCTACTTTCAAGCCCAGCAATGGATTTTAACCTCTCAGTAATCTGCTGCTGACAGAGAGCGCACCGACTTTCCAGACCGAGATGATTTAACGACCCTCTCAAATCTGTTCGACTCTGTGGCTGCTGCAGTGTTTATCTTTCCACACTGACGCAACTGCATGGTCCAGCTGCTCAGATGCTCTCCATGTTCAGCAGCACTAACTTATGAAATGGAAAGAATGGAAATAAATAGAAAATCCCTTTATTGTCCCTCAGTGGGGAAAGCTTGGTGTCACAGCAGCAATAACATTCATTAAAGGAGCAACAAAGGAGATTAAAAAATAAGAATAAACAAGAAAATATAAAATAGAAATACTTAAAAAATTCAAAAGATCAAAAAACAATGCTGAATGTATACACATTTTAAGGAATACAAGTCTTTAAAAGAATTGAGACATAATAAGTAACGAATACCACCGATGTGCTTTATTAAACATTGATTTGCTCGTGTGTAATTTTGTTATTCCAGATTCAGTGTTACTGCAAAACTAAGTTTGTTTCCAAATGAATAGGTTCAACCATACACAGCTGTAGATAAAGGAAAATGTGCACATTGTTATCACTTTAAAAATATATATATATTGAATTTGGCCCACGACTTCGTCCCAGTTTTTCATTTCGGCCCAGTGGGAATTTGATTTGGACACCCCTGACTTGGAGATGATTATTTTGACTGAAGCTCCTCTAGAGACCATGAAACCTGGGTACAGCGGCTGGGAGAAAGTGGTCTGAACCTTGTGGAGGAGCATCATCTCACCGGCATCAGACACACAGTAAAATGACAAGTTCCCTGCTTTGTGGTTCAGATAAACGTCCACTGTAGGGGAGACTGGAGCAGATATTTTGGTTTTTCATTCCACTGTGCCAAAAATAGCTCGAAGAGTTTGTGAAGGAAATGCACCAGGACCGATCTGTGTATCCAAAGTCACTTTCTTCCAGCTTGGCTTGTTTGTGGCACAAAGCAACCTTGACCCGAGGGCCCCTCCATTCAACCTCCCAGTAACAAACACCAGACAAACCCTCAGAGCACAACACCTGATTGGATTTTGTGAATCTCTCCGGGTGGTTGGGATAGTGCTGGGCCCTCTTTATCCAGGTCACCTTAGTGTTTCCCTCAGAGAGCAGCAGGTTGTCAAATGCCGTGTTGGGATTCAAACTCAGGCTGCAGGAATCTGAAATGTCCAAAGAGAGACAATGTTATTCAGTTTGATCACTGCTGAAGCCAGATGGGAAATGTTTTACACAAATCACTCACACACAGACATATCCTGCCTGGTCTTTGGATTGGCGTCAGCTTCAACTAAAAACAGAAGATGGGACGTTTCATTAAGAGCACCACACACACACACACACACACACACACACCAGAACATATGTTTTCTTACTTGTTTCTGACATTTCTTGAATAGCTTTTGTCGCAATTTCCATTTTGTCTCTCACGTCGGACAAAGCCTTTGTCACAAAATCAAAGGCTACATGTGGGTCAAAGTTGCACGTAGGGCTTGCATCAAATTCTTTCCCATCAAAAATCTGCCTGTATTGCTGGACAATTATAAAACAAGAGCATTAAATTCTGCCGGATAAACTCCATAAACTGTGCATGAGTTTGTGTTTTTTCACCTCCAGAAAATAAATGTTATCATCAGTTAATAACAGCTGCTTCAGCTCATCCCGTCTCTTCCTCAGATCACTGGTTTGCCTCTGGAGTCGTCCTATGAGTGCCTCAGCCTGGCCCAGAGCTGCTTTTTCCTGATGCATGATCTGTTCCTTCAGAGCAGCACGTCTTTAATCTGCCACCAACACCAGTTCAGCATAGGCCTTCTCATTTTGATCAAGTGCTGCATCTCTAGAGCACTGAAAGAAAAATAAATATATACACATATTATTTAATAATTTTAATAATGTGTTCGTGTTAATCTGTTAACTATAACCACCTGTAATGCTTTTATTTTCTGTCTCAGCTGTCGCAGACGCTTCTCTTTTTCATGAAGTCCTTGCTGGAATAGCTTCTTGTGTCCAACATGTTTCTAATAAAATATAGAAGTTTTACTTATTTGTTTTTGCTCAATAATGTGTTCAACCACAAGGACATTTAAAATGTAGGAATAAAGTCTCTACATTTTATCTATATGCTGTATCTTTGGGATCCAATAACCAACCAAAAAAAGCGTACCTGTTTCTCTTTCCGCCCTGCTGCAGCTGATACAGTGTCATGACCTTTGTGCTCATCCATGACACAAAGCAGACAAATGCATTCATCGTCAGTGCGACAGCAAACCTCCAGCAGCTTGTCGTGCTTAGAGCAGATCTTCTCTTGCATGGAAGATGACACTTCCACCAGCTTGTGCCTTTTGAAAGCAGCAGACTCAGTGAGGCTGCACATGTGTGGCACAATAAGAGGCCAGACACACCAAGCACGATCTGATAGCTTTCAGCTTCTTCACAGTGCAGAAATCACACTCCACACCTTCTGACCCAGACTCCTCTTCTCCAGCAATGGTGGCTTGGTCTGATTTAGCCAGTTTTACTATCAGATCAGCCAGAACTGTGTTCTTGTTCAGCACAGGTCTTGAGGGGAATGTGTGTAGACACTGAATACAGTTGTAAACACCTCTCGGCTCCTTCAGGACCCAGTAGCTGTTCACACAGTCCATGCAGAAGTCCACATGTCCACAGTAAAGAGGGTTCTTCATCAGCTTTGAACACATGTAGCTGGACAGAGAATCAGCTGCCTCTCTTGTTGCAGCTATCCTAGTTTCTGCTAGAGCGGGAGTGGCTTCACACACAATCAGTAATTTTCATTTTCTCTTAAAGCAAAAAAAACAACAACTATGAAACAGGTTTTTTCCTCCTCCTGGTGTTATTTGCCTGACTTGTATAACTAAAAAAAACTTACTGAGCATGGTTCCCATAAGAATGGAAGCCCATTCCTGCCACTCTGATTAAAAAAATGTATCTCATAATTATGACTTACCTATCTCATAATAACAAGACACAATCTCATTATTTAGGGATAGCGTCTCATAATTATGAGATACTATCTATTCATTTCAGCCCCACATCTCATCACGTAGGGTGGAAATTAATCATTAAATGGTATGAATGGTTTGATTAATTAAATTTCATGAACTATTTTTTACTGATTCAAGACTTTGTTAACCCTCCCACTGTCTTTATGGGTGACCCCACGAGGAAAGTTGACCATAAAGCAGGATTGATGGTTTATCCCTTGAGGTCCACGTGGCAGGGGTGAGGTGGTGCTCACTCCTCACCCCTGCCACATGGACCCAAGGGATAAACCATCAACCCTGCTCAATGGTCAACTTTCCTCGTGGGGTCACACCCATTAGGACAGTGGGAGGGTTTAAATATGTGCACCAAATTTTACTGGTGCAGAGAGGGAGGGAACTAGACAACACCTATTGAATACATACTATTTTTACATACACATTTTTTGCAGAAAGCCACAATTTTGTTTCACTTAAAACATTGTCAAAGAGAATCAACAGAGGGTTCGATAGAATGTTCGAATACTAAAATGTTCGATAGCTGCAACCCTAGTATCACTATAATGAGATAGCTAGTAAAAATTATGATGCTGTCTCATAGTAACTAATTATTCTGAGACATAAAGCCATATCAAATGCTATCTCATAATAATGAAATGAGATATTTTTTAATGAGTAGCGTTAATCAGCTTCCATAAATATTATTTGAGCTACACATTATACTCTCCCCCCTATCTAGTCTCGCTTTTTAAATTTTTATTATCAATGTAGTTAAAATCTGGGAAGTTTTGAAAACGCAAAAGGAGACACGTTTTGCTTCTGGCCTTTCACTTTCTCTCACCCCCACTACCATCAATGGTTACCATGGAAACGACGGTGGCTTTCACGACGGAGCTAGTAGGAAAAAGCGGAAGTGTTTCTCCTCTGGTCATGTTGTTTTTAGCCTGATTTTCTTTGCAATGGAGCTGCCGGAGACAGTTAGGAGGCGCTTAGAAGATTTTTCTCGGAATGTTTTATTCGACCAGACTCGTAATGAGCCGTTCTCAAAACACAACGACTCGTTTATACCTCACGGTAAAAAAAAAAAAAAACACAAGCTAACTATGAAGTCGAGTTAGCATGGATGTTAGCATGGATGTGTGTAGCCTTGTTACTTTACCATACCGATTTTAGTTATTTCCCCTCATTTTTTTTGTATGTGTTTAGACAAACGGGTTCTGTCCAGCCTCCAGCTCCAGATGTCTTTGTACTTTAACACGTGGTTCTTCCCGTTCTGGTGGATCAGTGAAGCTGTGATGCTTCACCTCAAGGTACGAGGTTGGTGGATGGAAGCCGCGAGCAGAAAACCCAGAAAGAAAGAAAAATCCCAAATATCTAAGCTAGATTTAGGATACTTTGGTGCTTAAGTGTGGATATGTATTAAACTATAGCAATTCATTTTAGAATCAGATTTTTCATGTATGTTTTGAAGCTTCCAACACAACAAGAATGCTGATGGTAGTTGTTCTTGCAGTATCCTGCCCTTCCAAATTACTACAAGTTTGTCCTTGTGACTGTTCTTCTACTGATGACTCTGATTGAGGCCATCAGACTTTATCTTGGTTACTCTGGAAACCTGCAAGAAAAGGTGAGACCATCTCAGATGACATGATACAGGTGCTGAATGCAGGGTGGGGTTTGAATGTAATTTCTGATCTGTGGAAGGTTCCAGAGTTGGCCGGCTTTTGGCTGCTGAGCATCCTGCTGCAGTTTCCACTCATTCTTTTTCAACTTTTTAATGAAGCCATAATCATACTGCCCTTGGAGAGAGGTGTCCACATAGTTCTTGCCATATTTATCCTCACACAGGTATGACTGGATTCTCAGCTCCATTTTACGTGGCAAATGCACCTAAATACACATGTTATTGTGTTTTCTCAAATTTGAGATCAAGTAATTGTGACTGATTGTAATCTGTTATTTTTGTTTTTTTTTTTGTTTTTGTTTTCTGATTGATCCAGGCTGTCTTTGGTTTTGTGGCCCTGCGGGAAATGGTTAGACACACAGGAAGCCAGTTTCATCTCCAACAGTTTGACTGACGTCCACATATGTTCTGGTGTTCCATTTGATCAGGATTTATTCTTACTTCATACCTCCCAGTCTCAAATGACAAAAACTATGTATTTGCATATAGGATTTGGTACACTTTCTTCACACAATTTTAAATTTAATGCTAAAAAATAATAGAAAATATTTATTTTTGTATTTTGTTCCACTTGTATCATTGCTTTTGTAAATTTGAAGTAAATCATGTTTACTTGACTCACTCTGTACTGTTAGTTAGCATCTGGTTTAGATTTGTTGACCATTTAGTTATTTTTTAATTACAAAAGAAATTTTTGTACAAAGTTACCGACATTTACGCTGCTCTTTGTTCAGGAGCTTTTTGCTTCAGAGGGACTGAAACGTTCTGACCAAAACAGAAAGTTTCAACAAAATTCATGAAACACCCAAGTGCTTTATTTTATTTTATATTTTTTACAACATTTATTTTCATGTACTGAAAATATTATTTGAGAAATCATGAGATTGCATTAGAATAATCAGAAGAATTAAAGCATGTTATTGTCACAAGACGAAGAGATAAGTGAGATTTGGTATAAAACGTATGTGTTTTTCTGTTAGATCTTCCCAATGAAGCATCATTGTCACAAAAATAACTTGTTCTATTAAAATGCAGCTGAACTTTGAGAAGAATCCTGGCACCCGTTTCACTGCTTTGTCTTGATTAGGTTTGTGTTTGATGTGGAGGACGCCTGAAGACAAGATCTGTTTCTAAAACGATGCCGACTGCTGGGATTGGTGGAGGTGAAACTCGTCAGCGGCTGGTTTTTTGGAACAACAGCTGGAGCCATGCTGGTAGACAAAGATGGGGGACATCTGCCATGAAAGCAACACAGCATACAAAAATTATGAACACACAACACACCCTTTTGTAATAAACTATAATCTATCCATGAAGTTTACCTGCCAGGTGCTGCAAAAGGAGATGTCAGCCCTGAAAGAAGAAGGTGGTTCGCATTAGGCAAAAACCGATGGAGACTTTAAGCTGCTGTTCAAGAAACAAACCTCTGCAGACTTGAGAGTGGTAAAGAGATTGGCGCAGAGGGAAATGCTGGTGCTGCGCAGAGGGAATGAAAGTTGGAGGAAGTGGAAGGAGAGCACTCAGGTGTAGTAGCTGAGAGGAGCATTTCCACTGTCCTCTCACTATTGCATCACCTGTGAAACGAGTCATGCGTCCTTATCTGCTGGAAAACCTCCTATGTGTCTCCTAACCTTACCTGAGTGGGGTGACGCAGCTGCGCGCGTGTCGGCATGTGGAGACGCTCTCCGCTGAAGGCATGAGGTGCACCGGCTCCCTGAGCAGTTTTCCTAAAACACACAAAAAAATACCATAGAAAGATCCACAAGTTGGAATTAAAATAACACTTTTTATTATCTTTCATTAATGATCAAAAATTAAAGGTCATGTAATTTTGTAGCAGAAATAACAGTTACACTTGACAATAGAGGCCCCATTATTAATCTTAGTGCATTATTAAGCATTAATAAACAAAACATTTCCACTATTGTTAACTATTAGGTGTCCTTAAGGTTAGGACAAAGGGCCATGGACGATATCTGCTTAGTAATGCATTACATAATATGGTTAAGCTGTTGTTAACACTTTTATCTAATAATTTATTAATGCTTAATAATGCACTAAGTAACATTAATAAAGGGACCCTTATTGTAAAGTGCTACCGAAATAATGTTTACCAAGATGTGCTTGCAGTCTTTCCTCAGAGTCCCCTGACTGGCGTCTCCATGGTTACCAGTGGGAGATGAGAGTTCAACCTTTTTTATGAGGGTGTTGAGCTTCAAAATAAAAGTCTCTTATCAGGAAATCAAACTTCCCACCTAGTTACTTGTATCACATATCATATTTCTACTTACTGTAGTTTTTACCTGCTGTTTCCTTCTTTCTCCTCCAACAGGTTTCTCTCTTTTTCTCTGCTTATCTGTGTTGTCCTGAGGCAGGTCAGCCTCCTGCAGAAACGGTTACTCATCAGCTTACAGAACTAATTTAATCTGAGCAGCAAGGGCTCTTTACTAGTCTTACGATACTCGTGCTGCTGCGTTGCAGGACTTTTGGCCGTGCACTACTCCTCGCTCCGTCTGGCTGCAGCCCGTTTCTTTCTCTGCGAGACTTCAGTCGTTTCTTTTTCTTCTTGACTTTTTTCTGTAGGAGAGAACAATGTGAGTAGGTAATTACCCAAAACAGGGAATGATGAGCTGCTGAGACTTTTTTTTTAACGAAGTGACAAAAGTAACTTTTACTGCACACTGCTCTGTCCCTATTTCCTAGCAGTCATGGGACAAAACACCTGGAAAAGACCAAGTATAAAATATTTCTTTTTTTCAGTGTCAGGTGTGCTTCATACCAACATTTATTTGTTTAAATTGGGTATTTTTAAATGAAATAACTAACAATGCTACAAACTAATTTCCCTTAGAGGAAAAAAACAACATAATTTGGTTTAATTAGTCTTTATACCTCTGCATTCTGCAGCTGCTGCAGGAGATGAACTGGAAGTCCATCTGAGTCAGAGCTGTTTGAGCCACCGGTGCTGCAAAAGCAAAGCAGAGTAATGCACATCAGTTTCATTCAGATTTCCCTGAATGGCACTAGATTCAAGAAACTGAAACATTATTTCACCTTGTTTCCAGTTCAGACACAGAGACCTTTTGGTCGGTGCCCACATCTTTGCCAGTTCTCTCTCTGACCTTCTTCCCCAGCATTGTTGCCAGTTCTGTCAAACAGAGTGTAACCTAAAATAAAATAAATAAAAAACACAAAATTAACCTCTAAACCTGCACAGAACAAACATCTCACACCATTTAATTACACTTTTTAAACCTGATTTATTTATTACAGTTTGTAGAATATATTGTTTCTTTTAGGTGAAAAGGAGCATTTTGTGATCTCTCGCCTTCGTCTTGTCGGGGTCACAGAAGTCCAGCAGGGTGTCACAGAAGTTAAAGCCCAGGGACTTCAGGTCTTGAGTGGAAAAGTGAGTCCCTCTCCTGTCATCTAAAGTAAAAATGAAGAAATGATGGTGTAAGTGTAGAAATGCATCAACATAATAGAGGGGGAGCATATTCACCCAGAGTGGAGCCTCCAAAGGTGGCCTCCATGGTGTAGCTGTTCCTGATGCCGAGTTTCCACATGGAGATTCGCCCAGTCCCCTCTTTGTTTTTCTCCACCCGGAATTTGCAGCTTTTAAAGGAGAACTAAGAGTAAAGATTTAGATGAGACACGGAGATAAAAACCAACTTCTTAAACAGGCAAACTAGAAATGTGATATAAAACTCTGTATAGTTTTTTTTTTACCTTGTTGCTTGCGTTCTTGCTCATCATTAGTGGAAAGACCCTCTCTTTAAGTGTGAGGGATGCGTCGCCTCGGCTGCTGCAACCATACATGAAAACGTTGTTTTTTCTGTTGTGGCCGTGGAAGTCGCAGTATAGAAGCACCTCTGTGTCGGCCATCAGTCTGGAGAAAGGGTGGGTGGAGATAAACACAAAGTCTCACTCAGACCAGAAAATTTTTTGAATTTTTCACAAGATATATAGGAAAGTTTTGCTATTTTAAACTTGATAAATGAATAGCAGATTACATCCAAACAGGATAAAATGGAGATGACCGGGTTAAAGACCAGCCTGCAGGTTTTAGATCATACAATTTGATTTATTATATGTTTAAAATAGGGGCAAGAATTAAAATTCAACCCTAACCCCCCAACTGGAGACTGAAAAATTTTAGCATCGCAATTTATGCCCTATATATCAATCATCAAGCTGCACCTCAAACACTAGAGCCTGGACTGGAAGACCATAGAAACTTTTTTATGTGCTCCAAACACAAGTAAAACTACAATTAAATGAATCGTGACAAATCATTCTTCATGAAGGAAAGAAAGGATGAAAAAACTTTTACATTTTTACTGTTAAGTTTTGTAGTTGGTAGAAAGCAGGCAGGCGGTACCTGTATGAACTTTATTACAGCAGGAGGAACAAGCATGTTGTAACTATCTGCAGAACTTCCCCTGAACTCTACACTACACCTCTATGTATATCAGTAGCACTCATTTCAGTACACATTTACAATGTTCCGTGTCCATTTACACTTCATCAATAACACATTTACTAATATTTACACATCTCAACCAATCACATGATGGTTACCTTTATAATGAGACCAAAGTTATCAAATAGACCTTGTGGTTACAGAAATATACTCACTAAAGTGTGGGTGTGCCATCTGTGCCTCACTAACATTATTTTTTATTTTAAAAATTTGCTTGGGCCCAAACTGTCTTGAACGATAAAAATGCGATTAATCAAAATTAATTACAAAGCCTCTAATTAATTTGATTATTATTATTTTTTATCCTACCTTTAGTTTAGAGCTGTGAGTATTCTTGGGGATTTTTTTCACATCTTTTAATTTTTAAGTTATTTATATGTTTGTTTTTAAAACACGATTCTATCATATCCACAGTATATGTTTGACTCCCATTTAAAAGAATAAAATGAAATATTTAAAAACTGCCGAAAGCATATCATCTGTGTTTTGCCGGATCAGGGCTTCCTACGCAGTGTGCCAACATACACGGAAAAGCAAAATGAGAAATGAAAAATCCAACTAAACAGAATCTTGTATTTCTCTTTTCTGACTTTAAAGGGTTTCTTTCTTTTTTCATTTCACCCTCCATCTCAATTTCTAATTGTTCTGGTAACGTGAAACAGATGCTACTGTTTTACCTTTTAGCATAAAACCTGCTTTAGTTCTTATGTGTAAAAATGTAGAAACACGTATTTATTGTTATATATTATTAATGAGCTGACTTTTAGTGTTTAAATTGAGGTTTCCTTCTGAACCAGTGGTTCAGTGTTGATTTTTGCAGTGTGTTGCTACCTTTTGACCATATCTCTAGTGTGCCACACACACGGAAAAGAATCCTTCAGCAACGTCTTATAGTTCCTGTTCAGGTCCCTGCCTGCCAGGGAGCAGCGATAGTTACCCACCACCACGCCATCTGGGTTCAGCATTGGTACCACCTTCAGAGCCACAGAGAAAAAAATGCTGTCAGAATATTTAAATCACTCTACACTGATAAGATAGAGATGATGAGAAAGAGAAATACACTCAATGAGCACCTTGAAAACAAAATTATCCCTGAGGATTTGAGCGTCTTCTGAATCCCCCAGCAGAAAGTCAAGGAATCCCTCCATCACCCATGACCCGTTGGTTTCCCCAGGGTGCACTCGGGCCGTCACCACCACAGCCTTTTTGCTGCTGGTGTTGAGCCTGTTGGCCTGTCTGGATGTTATCGTCATGACATAAACTGCATTCCCTGCAAGGCTTTGACACAAGACCCGCAATTTACAGAATGACATCACTGTCGGGTTGGAAGAAATGCGCTGAAGGTAGCGCTGCAGACGTGAGTAGGTGTAGGGGTAGCAGTGGGCCAGGTAGCAGGTGTCAGAGTCGTAGGGGAACTGAAGCGTCCAGGTGAGCGAGAATAGGGTGGCAGGATCACTGTTTTCATCCCTCGCCTTTCAAAAAGACACAACACAATGTTTTGTTAAAGACAAGTCCTAATATGCTTCAGATTTCTGCGTTAATGACCAAACTTCTCTCACGAAAACCCATCCAGATGTTACCTGACTGATGTTACGATAGTATCTGATACCGGAGCCTGCCCGCTGCCATCCGACGCCGTTCTCCTTAGCGGCTCTTTCCGAGTACAAAAGTGGTTTCAAGCCCTGAGAATACAGACTTCTTCTCTTCATCAGGTTGGTGATGGTGAAGCGGTACGTCACCCCGGCCCTCGTGTTCCTGATCCTGAAGTAAAACCACTGTGTGTGCTTGGCGGTGTACATGTCTGTGCGTAGAGTGAGCTCGTAGTCATGGATGCCCCTGAAATACAGATGGAAATAAAACGGAACAAGAAAATTTTTAAAACAATGGATCATGATGGAAGACTCAGCTGGTCTTGAGTCAGAAAAGGGTAGAATGCCTTCTCCGGGTCAGGGACGAGGTCCTGGCTCAAGTGGAGGAGTGTCAGTATCTAAGTGGACGAACATCGATGGTGGAAAATGAGCAAAAATAGACATTGATCATTTGTACTTAAGACTCACACTTGGATGGCCTTCTGGAGGTTGCCGCTCTCAAAGCGGGATTCAAACTCAAGTGTGACGTCTGAGGTATGGATTTGGGAAGTGGAGATCCTTTCAGGTCGTGTGCTTCCCCCAAAACGGGAAAAGGTGAAATAGTGATGCTTGATAGCTTGACAGGATGAGAAAGATGTGAAACATGAAACTTTAAATTAAACACTTGCAAAAATCAGCTATTAAGAGGAAGCTTTACAAGAAGCATTGTTACACAGATTACCCCAAATTAGATGCTCATAGTTTTATATAATATACTGATTAAAGTGGTCCTTGTGTTTAAACATTTGTGTAAAATAGAGACTATCGAGACGTACCCGGGTCATTAGAGTACACTACCTTCCCCCGCTCCTCTCCAACTGGCATGGGTTCCTCCTCGTGTCCCGAGGCCTGATAAAAAGGCTCTGGCTCTGGGGGTTCCCACTCTACGATACAACCCAAACAACGTGTTGGTAACAAACAGGGCGATGTATAAAAGACGGACTGGACAAAATGTTACCTATGTGTTGTATGATGTCGCCAATGACCTCACACTCTATGGGCCAGCGCGAGCGGGGACTGGTTGGGAAGTTAACAATGTCCAATGGCTCACTTAGGGTCAAGACGGGTCGGCCATCACTGAAGTTTATGAGCAGCTGCCTGGTGCGCAGAGTCTGACTGAGGTTTACAGAAACTGTAGGGACACAAATAATGTATGTTTTGGTAAATGGCCTATATTTGTATACGGTTCTTCAACCCCCCCAAGGTGCTGCACAACACAATCAGTCGTTCACCCACTCACACACTGGTGGGGACAATGTAGGCAAAGCGCTAACAGAGGCGAGGCCTGCCGAACACTGGCCTCCAACCAACAGCAGGCAAGGTGTGTCTTGCTCAAGGACACAACAGCAGCATTCTCTGGTCAGAGCCGGGATCGAACCCGCAACCTTCCGATTACCGGACAACCCGCTCTACCGCCAGAGCGACTACAAATGTAAGCTATTTGAAGATTGTCCTACGTTGCTTTCTTGCAGCCAATTCGTCTTCTTTTGTGTTGGAGTCATTGATGTCCAGTTTGTCCAACCGACAGGAATTCCACAGATTCCTGACTGAAGCAGCAATAGTCGACGTTTTCACTGCCTGAGAGGAAAAACAGTGTTTATGAAAACTAATAAGTCTTTAAAAGTTTGAATTCAAAATGGAATATTTTTGTACATCTCTTTTTTCCCCTACATTATAGAACTACGTGTTTGGGATTATCTGCAAAACATTCGATGCCAGTGGAATTATTATAAACGGCAGGTAAGATATATTTAAACAGCAAAGTTTTATCTGAACTTTTCGCATCGTGAAAAATAGCTTTCATAACCAATTATTTTAAAAGCAACACATTTTGATGGTAAACAGTTGAAATCATAATCAGACAGTAAACGAATAATGGCTGTCTGCATGTTAAGATCAGTTAGCTTTGCAGGACCGATTCCTGCTTTTATTTTGAAAGTCTTATTTCCCCATTATTTACATGGAACATTATTAAGTCTGTCGGTCACTTACCTCGGTCATATTTACAAAAACATCATGCAGAGAGAACTTGTCAAACACAACGTGATCTCAGAGCGAACCACACCACCAGCAACCCAAAGACACAACACTGGTTGCCATGGATACGGAAGACAATAAATGCTTCAGTAAAGCAGCCATTGGTTCAACATCATTCAGAAACTTAGTAAATGTTATATCTCTGCTCAGTTTTAACAAGCTTTATGTACAGCTCTATTAAATATTTTTTATAAATATTTTTATTATTTTATTTACATGCAATTTTAAGGAACAATGCAGCAAACTTATTTAAAAAAAAAACTTTAATAACTTTTTACAAAATATACAAGTTCCATTAGGATTCCCTCCCCTCCCACTAACACAGCCTGCCCCAATTTCTTTATACACAGCTGTAAAAACACTCCATAAAATAGACAATTCTGCCCAACAAACTGTGGTGGGCATCCGAACCAGGTCTGTACAAAAATGTGACAAACTGACTTTAGCACATTTGGCACCTTTACAGATACAAAAACACAGAAGAAGACATTCAACCCCCTCTAGTAGAATGGCCTGCCATGTAAGGGCTTCTAAACGTCTGTCACTAACAAAAACCAGTGAGAAACGGATGTTTGCCATTTGTAAAAGAGGACATTGTAGTGACGGCAGGAGCAGGAGAGAGGTTAGGTGGTATTCATCAACTTTCGTTTCTTGAGGCGCTCTCGCCAGTCTGCAGGTAACGCCTCAAAGTTGGCGTTCTTAGAAGCTTTTCCCCTGGAGAAGAAGAAAAAATTGAATATCATCAGCACTAATTCTACTAAAAGAACTGAAATGACTTAGAAACATACGTCACGAGTTGTTGTTGTTTCCAGTCCTCTATATTCTTCTTGTTGAGCTGCTCTCGGTCTTCATCGCTAGAACTGCTCTTCTCCTCCTCGTCCAACTCCTTCTGGATGCTCTGCCACTTCTTTACCAGCGAAGGCATTTTAGTTTTACTCTTCTTTGACGACTACACAAACAGGAGGGATAGAAAAAGATGAGATGGACAGAAACATCATGTTTTTTTTATTAATAGGATTACAATAGTCAAATGGAGATCAATTTTCTGTGCATATTTCAAAGTGTAACACTAACTTTTTCTTTTTTTGGTTTCTTGGCCTTATCCACAGCTGAAGCTTTGGTGCCAGGACTTTCGTAGGCAGGCTGGGATGGAGGAAGTGGTGGCTGAAGAGGAAGGGCTGGTACGGGTGGGGCAGGAGGCTCACAGGGGACCAACGAGGCAGCTACAGCCGGCATGCCCCAGTACGCAGCAGCTGGCATCAGAGGAGCTGCACAAAAACCATAAAAACAAGATCATTATGTGAAAATGATGGCAAAAGGTTTTTGGAGTTAGTAAATCGACTCTGAATAGTTGAGGATGTTTTTACCTGTATTAAGAAGTGATTGGGTGTAGATAATGGGACTGCTGCCAATCATAATGTTTTTATTCATCTGGCCAGCTTTGCGTTTCTGACCCTTTCCAAAAGAAGTCGCTGACTCAATAATCTGTAAAAAGAAAAATCAAAGAAGAACGTTAAAACTACATTTTCACAAAACAAGTAAATCACCTAAAAATGTTACATCTGCTAGCTCTCTCACCTTCATGCCGACCGAGCAAGACCTCCCGCCATCCTCCTCTGTTCCAGGAGCTGGAGGCTCCTCGTCATCATCATCCATCTCCATTTCCACTTCCATTATCTCTCCATCGCTGTCAGGAGGCGGGGGAGGGGGAGGGGGAGACTCGGGCGGGAGGGGAGGAGGTGGGGGGTCGCTTGGAAGTGGAGGAGGGCTGTCAGGGAGTGGTGGTTGGGATGGGGACCAGTAAGAGGATGAACTGGGTTGAGGTGGGAGTGGCGGAGCAGTGGTGGAAAATGTTGACGATTCTGTTGAAAAGATCAAAATACAAGAATGAAGGGAGCGATTCGTGACGTCGATGAGGAGCAAAAATAAAAGATCCTGTATTAACAGACTGACCAGCTGATCCAGATGCTTTGGCCTCCTCTTGGCTCATGGCACATGGACCGTCTTCTGGGTCCTCCTCCTTGTCCTCCTCCGTCGGAAACTCCCACTGGGAGGTGCCGTTCCGCTCCCGCACGTAGAAATATCGCCTGTGCTCTCTAAAGAATGGAACAACAGAGATAAAAGACAACAGTCTCAACCACCATCCTTCAAACCTGCCGTGTGCCATGATACCCTGGGACAGCGGGGCAAGGCAGCGGACGTAATGGCAACAATGGGGAATAGGATTGTTGGTATGGACAGCCATTTTAGCCGTCCAGAACAAGGACCCAATTAGAATGTCTTTATGGGTGTGGACAGGGGACCCACCTTGCTCTTAAGAGTAAATAAAGTAAAACAAATCATCTCTAGGTCCTGAAAGTAGCTGTCAGCAGCTCACATGATGGTTGTCATAGTTTCTGTTTTAGACAACCATTCCCTCCCAGATAGAGGACGACACCAGGGAGGAAACGCCATCATTATTATCATCAACAGTCAAATCAGACAACAATCACACAATCAATTCATCTTACATAAAAAAATAGTAATTTTAAAAAAACAGGAAGACATAAAATAGAGTTGGTCTGACCTGCAGGATTCCTCGTCATTGCTCCATCTTCACATTTTGTTTTGGTGACACTCGTTGCATCCACGACATCAATCTTTCTGCTTTGCATTCTGGGTGTTGCAGTCCTGTAACGTGCAAGGCTTCCCCCACAAAACCAACCAATCTAACACAAAAACCCTCCCGGTTTCTTATGTCTGAATGAGCCCGTACTCAGTCTACAAACGGCCCCACAACACAGGGCCCAAGAGTCAGTTACGGGACATGGCATCCTCTCTGCAGCAGGTTTATTTAACAGGAAGCAGGCTGGCTCAAAGTGGATGTTTTCTTATAAGGACTGTATCACAGAAACCTCAAGTCTATTTGTGGAAATCCACTCGCACAGGTTAAGCTTCGCCCCAAGCCATGTAACACTGGCTGCACCCTCGGCACTGAGGGAGGTGCTGAGACACCGTAAGATTTCTGGGGGCGAGGGAGGTTATAGATGTGAAAGGTAAGGAGCGCGTACCTGTCCCAGTGGCAGGACCAGCCTTTAGGGGTGGCGTTAAGTTCATAAAATTTTATGTGTTCTGCAGCTTCTTGCAGCTTGCGGCGGAGATAGATCCCGTTTAGAGCCCCTTCCCTCCAGTCAGCAATCCGTGTCTGGAGATAAAAAACACAACAAAGACCAACATGAGATAAATGATACAAACAAAGAAACAGATTAAGACAGAACCAAGATGTAAAAGTCATTTCAGTATGTTTCTACGAGGACACATTATAAATGAATTATTGAGAATTTTTAAATATTAAACACAGGCCTGTGCTAAATTACATGACACAAAATGATGAATATTTAAAATAATGAGGAAGCAGCAGCAGAAATGTCTTCTCACCTCGGTTTGTAGCAGAAGCAGGTGAAAGTTTGAAATTGTTTTCTTGTTTATTCCCAGAAACTCCATTTTGCTAGTTAACGTGTTGGCCAGCTCTCCTATCTGAAACTGCAATTAGACAAAAAAGAAAAAAGAAAACGTTATTATATTGTAAGTATTTATTTACGATGAACAACAGTGACGTTGGTGAGTTTACCTTTAGCTCAGGCGTCTCCTCCTCATCTTTGAAAGTAAGTTTTGGAACTGCCGTGTCCTCTGGCGTTTCTGCCTTTTGGTCCTCTCCTTCCACTTCCACAACACTTTCTAAGATGTTAGGGGTTGCTATAAAAAGACACAAAACTGCATTTAAAAAACAGATTTAATAGAGGAATTCTCAACACTATACTATATTTACTATACTACTAGTCACAATCACCATGCAAACACTTGAACTCACCCGACTCCGAGTTGTCCACCACGTCGGAGTCTCTGCTGTTTGAGTCGGGGCTGGCAGCAGAGGGAAAAACCGTCTTCCACCGCTTCTTCTGCAGTTGGACGCCACGAGCTCCTGCAGTTTCTTGACTAGCCTCAGACAATGGACTAGAGCCCCCGGCGCTCCCGTCCCCGTCCTCGAGTGCTCTGAGTTCAGCCTGAGAACCAGGTGTTTACACCAAGTTAAATCCAGGTCACAGACATTTAACTATGCTTTACTATTAACCCACAAGTAGCATCATCATCATTACAGAGAGATATGTTGGTGACAAACCGTGTCTGAGCTTTTATGTTCAATACAAAAATAAATAGTTTAAGCGAACAAGAAAATAAACCTTGATGAAATGTCCAGGGACAAAAATTAACAAGACAACTTTATGTGTGGTTAAACTACAGTTTTACAGTCCCCACCTTCTTCCTCTCTAGAGCCAGCTCCAGATCCACCGTGTCCTCCTCTGGCTCCTCCTCAGCACCTGAATTGTCTCCAGACAGCTTCTTGGTACAAACATCTTTCTGGGCTGTGACGGCTATTTCTGGTTCCAAAAAGGGTATAGGAGGAGACCCTGCGGGTTTTACATCCTCTTCATCAGAATCCAAACTATTTACTGTCTCATCCAAACCCGTAAGCAGCTTTTTTCTCCATTTTTCCTCTGCTTCTTTCACTTCAGATGGGATCAGTGGACCAAGGAGAGACGCAGCCACTCCCTGGTTCTCCTCCTCTTCGCTTGTAAGGCCTACGATATTTTCAATGACTTCCTATTAAGACAAAAACAAATTGGAACTCAGAGTGAGAACACAGAAAATAAACCTTTCCAGATGAGTGTAAAAAGACTTGCCTTAGCTTTAGTCTCCATCACAGGAGCTTCGGCTGCAGCGGAGACAGGATTGTCCTCTGAATAATAACTTGCGTGGGCTGAGCCATTGCCATTGACACTTGTGCTAGACAGGAAAAAGAGCAACCTTTAGACTAGGGCTGCACGATATTAGGAAAACCTGTGATATTCGATAACAATGATTAATATTGCGATGACGATATTACTTGCGATAAATAAAAACTTAACTCAGGAACAAAAATAATTAAATAAAAAAATGAGAAAAGCTAAAGATGCGAGGAAAAGAGAATGAACAAGAAAAGGCAGTCAATAGATCCCGGGAAAAGCAGAACAAAGCTAACTCTGGTGTTTGCTAACCATCAAAATAAAGTGTCGTCCGCCTCGGGGGCGGGCATCTAACCTATGAGAACCCACCCATTTGGCCAAATGGGTGAAGAGCTCTATTTGATTTGTTAAAAAAACATCATGACAGAATGCATTATGTGTAGCAAACATTTGAGCTGACCATTCATTGCGCTATTTATCTGTTCTTTGCGATATGCATATTGTGCATGCTGATATCACCATAACGATATATTTACGATATATTGTGCAGCCCTACTTTAGACAAACGGATTTCTGAAGTAAAAAAAAACCTTAAATTACAAAAGTGCGTTGTTATGATTCTAATTCAACAATTTTTGTTTTCCTACCTGTTTGCAGAATGTCCAAGGCTTTGAACCTGATCAGCTAGGTAGTGTGGAAGTTCCCAAGACACCTCATTGGTCAGAGTGTTCCAGTAGTAATAGCAACCTGAGTTCTCATCCCATACCTCCTGCCAGTCTCCCATCTCTATACCAACTGTAATACAAGCACACATTTTTTACATAAATGCATAATTTACAACAAACATGACAGCTAATTCATGACAACAGTAATGGGTTACCTCCAGCTAGTGAGTCTTGTGTATTGTACTCGAACTCTGTGCTTTGTTGATTCTGTCCACCCTCCCCAGGTGGCTCCTGAGGTTTGGCTTCAGGTCTTGGTGGAGTAGCATTTGGAAAAGAGGGATGAGCTGTTGTGTCATCTGTACTTGGCTGAGTTGTGATTGCATCAATTTCCTTGAATAGGAGAAACGGCAACAAAGAAAAAAATTGTGAAAAATGTAATGACATTTTCTGCTGGTGGAAAAAAAGAAGCTACTAATAAAGATGCAAGCTTTTTACATCTCATACTTACAGCCATGAAATTGGCCAGAGTACTATCAATGTCTGCCGGTTGGTTGTGTCGGGAATTTGCAGCTGATCGATCTCTAGCATCTTCTTCATCACTGTCCTCATATGCTCCGAGCAATGACAAACCCTCTACGTGAAAGGAGACAAGTCAAATAAATCACAGCGCTTGAAAAACAGGTTTTTGTTTACCTTCAAACTCAATTTCACTCACCCGTTGCCTTTACTGCTGGTGTCTTAATATTAGTATGTCTCACGAATTTGTGTCCGTCACCGTCCTGTTCATCTGCACAAAAATAGTCCACAAGAAATCCGGTTCAGCTCCAATAAACACGAGTAGCTGACAACACAGACGATTACATTGTTTCTTTACAAGGGCACCCCTCTTACTTATACACACAGAAAAATAATTCTGTGTTGTAATTTTAAGATTTTTGAATTAGCCTCTGTCAGTGCGCACCAGGGCAGCTGTGGCTACATCGTAGCTCATCACCATCAGTGTGTGAATGGATGAATGATACACCGTAGTGTAAAGCGCTTTGGAGTCCTTACTCTGAGAGGCGCTATACAAGTGCGGGTCATTTAGTTTGGCTATCTGTCGACAGCCCAACTTGCTTCACAACTGCCGTAATTTTAACAGCTAGCTTAGCGCTAGCCCGTAGGGAGTGATAGCATACATACATTTTTAGATTCAACCGTGAGCAATGAATTTAACAATATAGCAATAGTTGTGCATACATTGTCTAGGCTAAAACTTTAGTCACGTAAACGTACTGTGAAAAAGTGGTTTTTTTTTTTTGTTGTCGTTGATGAGGCCCACTCGTCAGGCTTTAACCTTTTTTAGCACTAAGCTAACCCTCGCTAACGTGTGACGACAAGTACCATCAGATCCCGAGTTCGCTTCTTCCCTCTCTCCGGGATTACCACCGCGGTTTCCGGGAGGAGAAAGCTGTAAAATTGTTCTCCGACCAACAGCTCCTCCACCAAGGCGAGTTTTCTTTCCCATTATTGTGTCTGCTAGAAGAAAATAGGCGTCAATGGTCGAAGCTCTGCTTCGAAGCTGACAAAAAAAAAATGTTCTAACCCGGATGTGGTTAACAATATCCGGGTCGTGGGGTCATGTTTTTGTTTAGCCGCATTTCAATGATACTAAGTAGCTAACGAGCTTACAGAAGAGAGCGTTCGTTTTAAATCTTAAATAGTTCCGAATATTGATATTTTTCTACATTTTGACCAAGCATAACAATCCTACCAGCCGGGTTTCCTGGTGCGTAGCTATTTGAACAACGGACTTGATTCATGGGAAGTGAGGATAAGCAATTACAGTTTTGACGTGGTGCCACCCACTAATGTCTGAATTTAAGGATCCGCCACAGAGGCAGCAGCCCACAGGACTCCAGAGAGGATTAACAGACCAAAACAGAAGCGGATCAGACAAGATGGGAGGAACGATGGGACCATTTCTTCACTGGCTGCAGGACGTGGCAGCTGTGACTCTCCTCAAAGCCCAACGGACATTATTTCAGGCAGCCATCCTCTGTTGTACCCTGGTCCTTCTGCTCTGGGTGTCCATATTTCTCTATGGCAGCTTCTATTACTCTTACATGCCCACTGTGAGCTTCGCCACTCCTGTGCACTTTTACTACACATCTGATTGTGATGCTGGAGAATCAGGTCTCTGCTCCTTCCCTAGAGCCAACATCTCCTTCATGAGGAATAACAGAGACCAGGTGATGGCTAATGGTCAGCCTTACAGAGTCTCTTTGGAGTTGGAGATGCCCGAGTCTCCAGTGAATGAACAGCTGGGTATGTTCATGGTGAGGATGTCCTGTTACACCAGAGGTGGGAAGGTCGTCTCGTCTGTGGGGCGATCCACAATGCTGCATTATCGCTCCAGCCTTCTGCAAACCCTGAGCACTTTATACTTCTTTCCGTTCCTGCTGACTGGGATGGCTGAGCAGAAGCAGCTGATAGAAGTGGAGCTCTACTCAGATTACAAGACAAATGCTTATGAACCGACTGTCGGTGCAGTAATTGAGATCCATTCTAAACGGGTCCAGATCTACTCATCTCAGCTCCGTATCCACGCCTACTTCACCGGTATACGATATCTGTTGTACAACTTCCCCCTGACATCTGCAATAATTGGCGTGGCCACCAATTTTGCTTTCCTCAGTGTCATTGCACTTTTTGGGTACTTGCAGTTTATTTGGGGTGGGCTCTGGCCCCCAGATCAAGTCCGAGTTAGGGTCATGATGGGAGACAACACTCGCATCCAGAAGAGGAGGGAGGAGGCTCGGAAGCGCATTGAGAGGGAAAATTCCCTGAAAGAACTCAATTCTCCAGCAGTGATCGGGTCTGTGAACGGGATTCTCAGTCTCCAGGGAAATGGCACATTAGGAGACGTCTCATCAGAGGGCCCGTCTTTAAACCTTGATTCCTCTGGTACGGAGGTGCCGGATAACAAGGAAGAGGAGTCTCATGATTCTGAGGGGCCCGAGGACATTGGCAGCTCAAATGAGTTGAATGGAAGCTTTTCGTCTCAATCTGGAGAGACAACTGTTCGCCAGAGACCTGGACCGTGGATGAGTCTCTGAGCCCTAAAGTCAGCACAATCATTAATCTTATGATGGGAACATTCTCTTATTGTTGGCACCTTGAATACAATTAATAAAAAGTAGGCTAAAGCAGATGCACAGTTTGAACAAATTCACATGCATGAGAAATGTTGCGTTAGCTGTAACCGGTAACCTGTTACTGTCTTTTCTTTTTATCTTAGGACTGTTACAAGAATCTAGTTTGTGCCATTTGAGTTTTGCTGGTTTTGCATTCTAGTTCTGACATGTTCTTCAGCATCATTAGTCACCAGACACCGCCTTTTAATCAGCTAAACCTGCTTGTGTGTTTGTGACTGTTTGTCCACATCAGCACCAGCCTCTGGTAAATGAGAGGTAAAGTAATAAACAGTGCTTCTGTTGATGTTCAGCTCAAACACTGTTACTGTTCTTGGATGAAGAGAGCATGTGATTGAAGCGAAAGTGCATGTGACTTATTTTTATCAAGGCAATCTGATCAGGACCTTTAGCTCAAGAAAAAGCATCTCTTGTCTTTCACAAAGTTCCAGGAAAAAAGAAAAGAGAGATTTTAGCCCGAGGGATGCTAACTGTATATTTCTGTCCTGTCATGCAAATCCGCGTTTTGTCTCGCTGTAATTGGTGATTTGATGCTTGGGTCCTTCTACACAGTCGTTCCATTGTTGGGTTGCTGCAATGTTGCTGTGGAACGAAGTCTAACTTTTTGTTTTATTTATTTTTCTCTAATAATCTAGGATTTCTAGATGAGCGACACAAGTCGTGTGTTTAACATTTACGGTTGCACTGAATAACAAGAAAAGGTAAAGTTACAGATCTGGAGTTGATGTTAAAAACACAGCTGGATTAAGGTTGATGCAGATGTTGCTGGAGGACAGCTTAACCTCTGACGTTACTCTCTGAGAGCCTTAAGTGTTAGTAACATGTAAGTTTTGTTTACCTGATTCAGGATTTTGGACCAAAGATGGTCTGAGAAGAAGAAAATGTTATTTATACATTTGAACATATTAGTTAATATAAGAGTGAAGTGCTTGTTTATTAAAGCTCAGTCTAACTGATTATTATAGTAGAATAGGAGGAAACTTTACTTGAGGTTGCTTAGAAAGAGTCTAATGTGTTTTTGATTTATGGGAACCTGCTTCATCCAATAAATACTCCAAAATCATTTTTGTTTTTCATTTTCAAATTACATGTGATACTTCTAATGATTTTGATTCATATTATAATTAAAGTTGCAGTTTTTCCTAAAGTTTGATGATTTCTATGGAAGAGGATTAGAGTCACCAAAAAAGAAAGAAAAAAGAGAATTCTGACTTTAATCTCAGAATTCTCTTTCTTTTCATTTATTTTTGTCTTTTCAGTGACCCTAATCCTCTCATGTAGATTCCAGATTTAACCCATTTTAACCCCAAGGTGAAAAAACAGACATAATGTGGGATAGTATGCTGGAATTTAAAATGCACGCCTTGAAATGAAAGATAAACAGAGGAAACTAGGAGGAAATTATTCAGAGGATGAAGAGTGAACATTTCTGTTTTGTCAGAAAGCTTTGAGAGCAATGGAATGAGACAGAAAACCTCAAATGCTCAAAGGATAGATTGTAAACAACTTTGCTTATTAGATATTTATGCTTTTCCAACACTGATAACATTTTAGTTAACTGAACAAACTTAAGGAGTCCTCAGTTTTTTTTTATAAAAGCAAACAAGGCTGCTGCTTTTTGTTGATGAGAACGAGGATGAAAAAAACTTCGCTTATATATCAAAACACAGTAAACCAAACAAAGCTGGGTAAAAGGAATAAATACACTCAACAAAAATATAAATGCAACACCTTTGTTTCTGCTCCAGTTTTTCATGAGATGGACTTAAAGATCTAAAATTCATTCCAGGTACATAATATCACCATTTCTCTCAAACATTTTTCACAAATCAGTCTAAATGTGTGATAGTGAGCGCTTCTGCTTTGCTGAGATAATCCATCCCACCTCACAGGTGTGCCACATCAAGATGCTGATCTGACATCATGAGTAGTGCACAGGTGTACCTTATACTGCCCACAATAAAAGGCCACCCTGGAATGTGCAGTTTTTTTGCTTTATTGGGGGTCTGGGGACTCGGAACCGGTCAGTATCTGGTGTTACCACCATTTGCCTCATGCAGTGCAACACATCTTCTTCGCATAGAGTTTATCAGATTGTCAGTTGTGGCCTGTGGAATGTTGGTCCACTCCTCTTCAATGGCTGTGCGAAGTTGTTGGATATTAGCGGGAACTGGTACACGCTGTCGTATACGCCTGTCAAGCACATCCCAAACATGCTCAACGGGTGACATGTCCGGTGAGTATGCTGGCCATGCAAGAACTGGGACATTTTCAGCTTACAAGAATTGTGTACAGATCCTTGCAACATGGGGCCGTGCATTATCTTGCTGAAACATGAGGTGATGTTCATGGATGTACGGCACAACAATGGGCCTCCGGATCTCATCACGGTATCTCTGTGCATTCAAAATGCCTTCAATAAAACGCACCTGTGTTCTTCATCCATAACAGATACCTTCCCATACCATAACCCCACCACCAACATGGGCCACTCGATCCACAGCATTAACATCAGCAAAGCACTCACCCACACTACGCCACACATGCTGTCTGCCATCTGCCCTGAACAATATAAACCGAGATTCATCCGTGAAGAGATCACCTCTCCAACATGCCAGACGCCATCGAATGTGAGCATTTGCCCACTCAAGTCTGTTACGGCGACGAGCATGAATCAGGTAATGATCCCGATGAGGACGACGAGCATGCAGTTGAGCATCCCTGAGACTGTTTCTGACAGTTTGTGCAGAAATTGTTTGGTTATGCAAACCAATGATTTCAGCAGCTGTCTGAGTGGCTGGTCTCAGACGATCTTTGAGGAGAGCCTGCTGGACATGGAGGTCCTGGGCTGGTGTAGTTACACGTCGTCTGCAGTTGTGAGGCCGGTTGGATGTACTGCCATATTTTCTGAAACACCTTTTGAGATGGCTTATGGTGGAGAAATGAACATTCAATGCACGAGCAACAGGTCTGGTTGACATTCCTGCTGTCAGCATGCCAATTGCACGCTCCCTCAATGCTTGTGGCATCTGTGGCATTTTGCTGTGAGACAAAACTACACATTCCAGGGTGGCCTTTTATTGTGGGCAGTATAAGGTACACCTGTGCACTACTCATGATGTCAGATCAGCATCTTGATGTGTCACACCTGTGAGGTGGGATGGATTATCTCAGCAAAGCACAGGTGCTCACTATCACACATTTAGACTGATTTGTGAACAATGTTTGAGAGAAATGGTAATATTGTGTATCTGGAATGAATTTTAGATCTTTAAGTCCATCTCATGAAAAATCGGAGCAGAAACAAAGGTGTTGCGTTTATTTTTATTTTTATGAGCGTACAAAAATGATTCTTTTTAAATCCTTAAACTTAAAGATAAAGAAAAAACAGATTCTTGCTTTTAATGTATTTTCTTGGCTTTTGTTAAAACGTCTCAGATGGCATCCTGCTGAATGGCACTTACTCCTGTTATAGCCTTTTGCTGGTACACAGGGGAGCCACAGCACTGCATTCATTATCTATTTCAAACCAAAAGCTTTTGGTGATGATATTAAGGCCCATTAGTGGTCTTTATTCAAAACCATACCCCTCATTTATCAGATGAATTATGCATTTGTCTGGATAAGGAGTGCACTCGGTGACTTGGGCCATCCATCACTGGTATTAAAAACCTAACTGTTTTTAGCCTCGGCAGGTGCTGCAGCTGTTTCAGACTCTGAAGACTTGAAACTCCTTTAGTCTCATTCTCATCTCCGCAAAAGGAGACGTGAGCTGAGATCATGTCGCTGGGGTCTTTTTCTCTATGATGATGGAAGGAACAAGGCTCAAAAGAGTGTGAACGAGTCCTGAAAACACTTTACTGAGTTTATTAACTACAACACAAACTTGCTTTTACAAATTTTCATAATACTTGCAAAATAATGTCAAATACTTTGAGAAATCTGTCCTGCACCTGCTGCGTTCTGTCTTCACTAACGCTACACCGCGACTGTTTCCTGTCCAGGACGCCACTGAAGTGACGGACTTCATCATTTGGCTCTTAGTCATTCTGCTTCTCCTCAGATTGGACATCTACCACCTCATCTGTGATCTCACTCACTGCTTTAGTCGCATCGTCTTCCAGGTCATCATCTGAGCTGTCGGCCCAGCGCCCGACCCTCCTGACCCCGTCGCCCACCGTCGGGGCATTAATGCAGGGGTTGTGGTCGTATATGATAAGTTTTAAGCCGCTCATGTGGGACAGGCTTGGAAACTGGCGTATTCTGTTTCGGTCCACATCAATAACAGCCAGAAAGTGCATTTCCAGTAATACTGGCGGAAACTCTGTCAGGAGGTTCCCAGCAAGCCAGATACTTCGCAGTTCCTCCAGCTGTTGTATATTGTTTGGCAGCATGCGGATCTGGTTATAACCGAGGTGAAGGGTCTTCAGATTCGTGAGCTCACAAACAACCTCAGGGAAATCGGTGAAGCAGTTTGTCTCCAGCCACAGAGTCGTAAGTTCCCTGAGCTCACTCAGTTGTTTGGGAAGATAGTGCAGCTTGTTGTTGCCCAGGTAGAGGATGCTGAGCTGGGGCAACCTGCATACAGCTGCTGGGAGCTCCTCGAAACAGTTGAAGTCAAGAGCCAGGAGCTGCAGCTTCCTCAGGCCCTGCAGCTCAGCAGGCAAGCTGCTCAGGTTGTTGTCACTCAGGTAGAGCTTCACCAGCTCATCGAAGACACAAGCAGCAGCAGGCAGCCGGCGCAGCTGGTGGCTGCTCAGATCCAGAGTTCGGTCCAGCGGCATCTCTTTCAGATGGCCCACCAGGAAGCGCTGACAGCGTTCGGAGGGAATGAAGGCGATGACGCCCCGCACGGCGTTTCCCATCCTTCCCAGTTCCCTTCACACACAACTTTACATGAGTGTGAGACAAACGCACCCGATCAAGCTGTTGGAGGCGTTATGTGAGTTTCATAGTGAGCCATTAATCCATCTCCACATTCAGTCTATTTCTATCAAAGTAAAAGAAACAAAGAAAAAAAGGAAATTAGCAACACTTTACAACTTTTATTATCCATCCATCCATTTTCTTTTCCCACTTATCCACGCAGGGTCGCTGGAGGACTGGTGCCTATCTCCAGCTGTCTTTGTGCAAACAGGCAGGGTACACCCTAGACAGGCTGCCAGTCCATCACAGAGAAACATAGACACACACACACACACACACACACACACACACACACACACACACACACACACACACACACACACACACACACACACACACACCTACGGACAACTTAAAGAGACCAATCAACCTGGAGAGGTCTCACGCTTGCACAGGGAGAACATGCAAACTCCTTGCAGCGAGACAGCAGCACTAACCACTTCACCACTGTGCAGCAAAACTTTTATTATTTCTATATTAATTTTAGTAACAAAACTACATAAATAAAATAGTTTGGTACAGTTTTGATGTGATTAAAATCTGATTAAATCATTTTTGAGTTAAGGTTTTTAAATTATTATAGAAATATTTTATTTAAGAAGAAAAAAAGAAAGGGAAAACCTACTTTCCAGGATCTTTCTGTTCATATCCGTGCCTCTCAGCATCTCCAGCAGTCAGTTATTGTTTATTGTACTTAACGGGCTGAATGCATATTGTCCTCCCGGAGCAGACACTCCCTGGTGGTGTCCTCTGCTATCTCTCAGTGGTGTGGAGCTCTGCCCTGACTTTCATGGCAACCACCAGCTCTCTCCTCCCCATTTGTGCCTAATGACTTTCCCCCCTTCTCCAGAATGACACAAGTGGTGGAGAGAGATGAGGAGGGGCCCTGTGCTTTTCAACAGAAATGCCATAAAATGAAGCTAATGTAATTTATGTTCTGCACGGATCAGAGTGAATTCACTTCCGAGTTTGTGCTCCTGCCTGTTTGATGAGCTTACTTTGCTTTTGGTGACTCTTTGAGTGCCAGACAACATTTAGCAAAGAAAACAAAGGTGGATTTTTGTTTAAATTTGAGTTTTATCAGAAACAATTTGTATTCAGTAATAAATTATATTGATTCTGATCATTTGAGACATTTTGAAAACCTGCCAAATGCTGATAATGTGCATTTCTCTGGTTGAGAGGCTCAACGTCAGTTGAAGGTTTTTTCTTCTTCTTTCTTCTTCTGAGAGTAACAGCTCATCGTGTGTCGTCGTGCATGTCAGCCCTGCCTTCCTGAGGTGTGATCTGCTCATGCAATCTCACACACTTTCATTAGGGCTATTTTCCAGCAAGATAAAATGGAAAGGAATTTCATTTTCCTTATCAGAGAGGCCAATACTTGACCCCATCTGCTTTCACTCACCGGCACCCTGCTTATAGCACTTCCCTGCTTCCACTTAATCCCCAAAAGGCTTCCCATAATAACTCAGTGGGAAGACCAAACTGAACTTTATCCACTCAGGAAAACCATTTAATGCAGTTAAGTTAGTTATGACCATACTTTTGTTCTCATTTACCAACAGGGAGTTTGGTGCAGTAGTCACTTCAGCCCGCTTTGCATGCTTTTTCATTTATAATTACAACTATACTGCATGAGTACCACATTTAAATGTTGCACATCAGACTGTTATATATATATATATATGATATTTTAAGATCATGCCAGTACAAATATATTATATTAATGGCATTTCTCCTCAAATTACTGTTAAAATACATATTTTAAACCTTTTTTTGTGAAACGTGCATGTTCTGTAAACACCAGGAATCATCAACATCTACAACTGAAAGATAATTCTGTTTCTAACCCTAATTAGATGTTAATTTCCTGCAACAATGCTTGCGTTTTTAACATAATAAGGCTTTATTAATTTGGGCGAATTAGAAAAGCATAAAATCTATGATTAAACAAATGTCTAAAAGGCCTGTAAATCTTCCTTAATTTAATAATAACCTTTCTTTATTCTTTATTTATACTTACATAAGGTGTAATACTTTGAGGTGTTTAGAGTTTATCTGATTTAATTATTTGGCAAAACAATGAATTAATACATTATATAGTGTTTTAGAGACGTTCTTGTTCAGAACTATGCAGCTCTTTTATTGTCCAAAGTGGGAGTGAGGTAATAAACTATTAGTTCAACAGTAATGATTTTTACTGCATTTAACAACAAAAATAAATTAGTTTTTAGGGGAAAAATTGTCAACAAGCAGCTGAGAATTATTAGGGCAAAAAAGACTAAAACTCAGAGTTGTTCAGATATAAAACACAATTCTCAAATAATGTAGTTTATAATGTTTAGTCCAAGTATCTGTTTAAATAATAGATTTATAAACCAAAGGATGGGAAAAAGGCCAAGAGGGAGAAACTTCTTCTTTCCCTATATGTGTGAGTGAGGATTTAATGAGACTTCAGGGTAAAAGAAACCTTTCTTTTCTTTTATAACTGATTACATTTTTGGTCAAAATGAGTCAAATGCAATTAAATTACAAACACGTGCAATTTTGCAAGAAGGTGAAAAAGGAATACCGATAATCACACATAATTTTATTACAGATGGCTCTATTTCTTAATTTTTTTTACTTTATGTGCTATTTTAAAGGTTAAATTAACATTTCACTCTAATTGTAACAGAAAACATATCACAGTCAAATCCAGTATTTGTATTTTTTTCTTTTTTTCCCTGTAAAATCTTCATCATTATTAGAATATTTGTGATTTTAGATGCGATCGCTCGTTGAAGACATAGATATATATAAACGTATGTTCATTTACATGTGTATGGTTGAGGACACCAGCAGCCGGCTCGGGTTTGTGTACGGAAGTGGTCAGCAGGGTCAGAGGGTAAAGGCTCTTTCCACTGGAAGTACACACAGCCATCTTGGATCTAACGAAGCGAAGGGAAATTGATGCGGTGAGCCTATTTTACTTATTATCAGTCTTGTCGGATGGTGTTGTATAAACGTGACCTCTCGACTGGAGCTTTGAGCTGGGTTTCTCTCGTTTTGATCCGTGGCAGCTCGTTAGCCTTTAGCATCAGCGGGTTGCTAACGCTGCAGGTGCTTGCAAACGGAGCGTAGCCGATAACACGGACAACTGACTGTAGATATAGAAACACAGAGACTATTGCAGGTAAATACAGACTGCTGCTGGATCGTTAAATCGTGGTGATTTGTAACGTAAACGCTTCCACTATTCTCACGGTTAAAGTGGCTCGTTCACAAACTGAAACTAAGCTAACAAAACACCTAGCATGTTAACGTTAGCTACTTAGTTTCGGCTAACTAACATGTTAGCATTGCTGTTATAGTTTTCACTCCCACTAAGTTTTCATGAATATTACAACAAATTCAGCTGTCAAATGAAAGTTAATAACCACCTGGGCTAAAAACTAAACTATTGTTTAATTTCTCCAACATTTATATATGTCAGTGTTTTTCAAATGTCATCTATGTAATAAATTAGATTTGAGGACAATTTCGTAAACCTTTCTGAATTTTCTTATTGAACATTAATTGCTTTTTCACTCATAATCCACCTAGCCTTATTGAGTCGAGTAGTTGATCACTTTCCGTTAATTATTGTTTGTTTTTGAGCCACATCTGTCTCCGTGTCCCATCAAAACGAAACAGTTTTCTATATTTTGTATTTAAGATCTTCAAAAATGATCAAGATGGCAGTTTAAATTTATATTTGAATTCCTCCTAAGCGATTCCCAGCCTCCTATTAGTTGAAAAGTTCTTATTTATAAAAAGACGTGACTTTTGGACGTTAGTTATCAGGTGTAGATTTTAAGCCTTGAGATTTATTTCTACTCAGCTTCTCTTGTTTTTTAGTGTAATGGTCATGTAAGAAAAAAAATACTGGGAAAAATAATAAAAATCTAAAGCCAAACTTTGAAAAACTTCACAAAAAGTTGAAAGACTGTTCTTCAAAAGCACATGTAAAAGGTTAATGGAAAGTCTGCCACAGCCTAACAGGAAACATACTTGTTTTGTGGTGGTTTCTGCTTAAAATTAATTTTCTGTTTGTTTTGTGATGTTGTGATTTGAAAACCTAAGTGTGTCTGAAAAGCTGAGTATTATTTACCACAGTCTTCTGGGCTGGAGCAGCGCCCAAGTTGCCGTGGCTTGCCAGAGAAAGAGATCGACAAACAGGGCTCAGGAATATCTTAAAAAATGAGTTTGAGAAGTTAATCTGGCCTCCAAACTCCAGTTGTTAATCCGATGATCTTGTCTCATTTATTTTGCCCCCTTTAGTCTCCACCTTTACTAAAGTTCCCTCATTCTTTAGGTGACAAAAGGCATGTTTGGTGCTAGAAAGAAATTTCCAGAGTTCGTCGAGGCCGTCGACAATGACTTCCCAGATGAAATGTATTACAGCCAGGGGTCGATGTTCCCACATCGATCCGACAAAGATGTAAGTCTCGTCATATTTCTGTGTGGTCATGTTATCTGATGGGGAGTTTTTCTGATTATTTTTCTTGTTTGTGAATCTTATTGTCCAGATACTGTCTTCTCCTTCACCGTCGTCTGGTCAGCTGTCACAGCTCGGTCCAAGTTTGTACGGTCCACAAAGTTAGTATTTGCTGTTCTATTTGTACCACAGAATGAACTAGTTTCACATTTGTTACAGATCAGTAGTAGACGTGGACTGATCATACAATGCAAAGAATTCTGTCTGGATTATTTAATATTATTTTGGATTAACTTGGTTCTTTTTTTTGTCCAGGTGCAATCGGCTTCCCCGTTAGAAGCTTGGGAAACAGCACACCTCAGTTAAACCGAAATCTCACGCAAGGGTCGCAGCTACCAAGTCATATCACCCCAACAACAGGCGTCCCCACCATGTCACTCCATACCCCGCCGTCGCCGAGCAGGTTTGTGTTTCTGCTACTAATAATTGTAAAATTGCAACAAAATGTTCATTCTTAAATGTGTTTTTGCAGAGGCACGTTACCGATGAGTTCCAGGAACATACTAAATCACTCTCAGGTTGGTCAAGGCATCGGGCTGAGCAGCAGGACCAATAGTATGAGCAGCTCAGGACTCGGGAGCCCCAACCGCAGCTCACCTAGCATCATCTGTATGCCCAAACAGCAGCCGTCACGCCAGCTGTGCACCATAAGCAGGTAGATTTTAAAATCCTTACGTTTATCAACATCCCTCTGTGGACACCGGCTGCAGAACCGGTCTTTTATCTTCTCCGTGCAGCATGTCAGGGTTTGGTATGAACCGCAATCAGGCGTTTGGGATGAACAACGCGTTAGCAAGCAACATCTTCAACGGCACAGGTGGGTAGTTTCTTTTGAATTTCGAAAGGCTGCAAAGTGTCACGGAGCTTCATGTTGCAGTGGAGTTAGTGAACAACTGCTGGCTCTGCAGTAGAATGTGTTTATGTTAAAGTCTGGTTTTAAATCTGAGCAGCACAAAAATGAAAACAAAAGAATAAATGTATGCATTTTATCAATCTTAAAGACAAAATGTATGGTTTTTATTTGCTGCAGTAGCGATTAGTACGTATTACTATAGAGAGTGTGTTTACATGTTGTTGCAGATGGGAGCGACAGCGTGATGGGACTGGATCTGTCAGACTTCCCCGCATTAGCAGACAGGAGTCGACGGGAAGGGACGGGAAATCCAACACCGGTGTCCAACCCGCTAGCTGGACGTGCTCCATACGGTAAGCCAATTATCCCCTAAAGATTTGTCATCTCAGCAGTGGAACTAGTTGCTTCTGTTGGAGTTGTGCTGTCACTTATGTGACTGTTTTACTCTGGGAAATCGTTAAGTTGGCATGGTGACAAAGCCATCAACTGAACAGACACAAGATTTCTCCATCCATAACGAGGACTTTCCTGCGCTGCCTGGGTCGAACTATAAGGACACCACACTGAACAACGACGACAGTAAAACTGTAAGTGAGCATTCTCGTTTCTGCGTTTGTGTCGGGGCGCCGATCAGGAACCTTTTCCGCAGAGTTTTATGTTTCTCTTCTCCGTTTTTAGAACTTGAACTCCACAAACAAGAGCACGTCCAGCACAGATGGGCCCAAGTTCCCCGGAGACAAGACGGCCTCCGCACAGAACAACAACCAGAAGAAAGGCATCAAGGTGTTACCAGATGGTGAGACTTCACAGCCAATCGTATCGCTCCAGTTCCTCTGAGACATCCCTTCTTAATCACACAGCTTGGGTGAGGCAGTTGGGCTCTCTCCCCTGTATTTTGGGTTAAATCAGTATTGGATAAGCTACTATGAGACGGTGTAATTGTTTGCTCTGCGATGTGTGCACAAATGAGTCTAGAAATAAGGATTTGGTTCCACAGTGAGTATTTGCTGTAGATCAGAGTCCATCGGTAGATGTGTGGTTTACTGAGTCTGGATGGTTCTGCCGCTGCAGGTCGGGTTACCAACATTCCCTCAGGAATGGTGACGGATCAGTTTGGGATGATCGGTCTGCTGACGTTTATACGAGCAGCGGAGACCGATCCGGGGTTGGTCCATCTGGCGCTAGGAAATGACCTCACCACGCTGGGACTCAATCTCAACTCACCAGAGTAAGAGCTGTTCCTCCACAGAAACGCTCGCCTTTAAGGTTGGTTTATGCTTGACGCGTCCGCGAGGTCCGTACGACTACGCGCGGAGAAGTTGCGTCATTTTAACAACCACGCCCCTCCACCGCGTCTCCGCACGGGTCAAGATTTCCGCAACGCGCACCTCGGAAAATTTCTAACCACGCGGACGGACGGACGCGGAAAAACATGGCGGACCGGCAAGAACTAGTATGGCAGAGGTTCATAAATACAGACATTTGTATGATTCAGCTCTCAAAGATCACCGTGATCAACATGTTGTTAAAAATTCTTGGAGAGAAATAGCTCGCACTGTCGGAAAAGACGAGGACGCTGTTAAAAATGCTGGAATGCCATGTTGTAAACAGTAATTTTTACTTCTATATTGTAGTGTTGGATGCATGCCTAGAGCTCCACGCTGCTCCGTTCAGTTTGGGAGAATATTGGCTCACCGCAGAGACAAGCCCCATGAACCATACACGCTGCGAGTTGTGAAGCACGTTCCATCCGCGAGCCGCATCACCGCGTGGAAAGTGAATGCGTCAAGCATAAACCAAGCTTTGGGGGTCCAGAGCAAAGTGTTTTTGTTTTTAAGGATGTGTGCTTCTCCTGATTTTAAGCCTTCTCTCTTCAATAGAAACTTGTACCCCAAGTTTGCCTCTCCCTGGGCCTCGTCACCATGTCGACCTCAGGACATCGGTAAGACAGATTGTCAGTGCCGCTTTAACTCAAAAGGCAAACAGCGTAACTTGTACCTGTGCTTCCAGACTTCCACGTTCCTTCGGAGTATCTGACCAACATTCATATAAGGGACAAGGTGATGCACAGCTGCACGACTATAGCACTTTTACACTTTTATTAGCATTAAACTAACATTCCTTACTGTCTTGTCTCTAGTTGGCGGCGATTAAGTTGGCCCGGTATGGTGAAGACCTGCTGTTCTACCTGTACTACATGAATGGTGGCGATCTACTACAGATCCTGGCAGCAGTAGAGCTGTAAGTAGGCCTTTATTACACCGAACATCCAAAACGAGAGGGATCAGGAGATGTGATGTTCTCAGGGACTGAATCCGGATTCTCTTACTCTCCCGTCTCCAGCTTTAATCGGGACTGGAGGTACCACAAAGAGGAGCGGGTTTGGATAACAAGAGCACCCGGCATGGAGCCCACACTCAAGACCAACACCTACGAGAGGGGCACCTACTACTTCTTTGATTGTCTTAACTGGAGGAAAGTTGCCAAGGTAAGACCTGCTAAGTTGAGAGTGTTTTTTTTTTTTTTTTGTACTGGTTGTGGATTAGTCTAAACTCTGCCCAAATCTCTCAGGAATTTCATCTGGAATACGACAAGCTAGAAGAGAGGCCTCACGTTCCGACGACGTTCAACTACAATCCAGCCCAGCAGGCCTTCTGAGGCCCAAGCAGCTGTTCCTGCACACAGAGCTGACGCCCAGCACCGGCGCTGTGGTTTTTATTCCTCCAGGATTTGGCTGTTAGACTGCAGGGGTTGTGATCACCATTAAAGCTGTCCTGCCTTTCTGAACTTAAATTCTACCCCAAAACACTTGTTCCGTTTTTATTACTCTGTGTTTCAGGTTGTTTTGTTTTTTTTCCTTTCTCTTGTTTTGAGCAGGGTCTGTGTTTTGTTTACGTCTCTGAATCAGAAGCCTGCGTCCTCTCGGCGAGGAGGACTAACTTTGTGGCACGGGACGGGGACAGAACAGAGGTTCCACCTCTTATTTACAGCAAGTGTTAAGAACACAAGCAGGTGGAAAACAAGGCTGTTAGCATTCTCATACACAAGTGAAGGGGTGAAAGAAATGCAATGTTTATTGTTGCACTATATTTAGTAATAAAAGAACACAAAATTTTTTGTGCTTTTTTATATGAACACTCCCCGAGTGTTTTTTCTTTCCCCTTCTTTCTGTATTTCTTGAGTTTACGCATCATTCCCTCATGCAGTCCTTTTAATTCCATCTTTTTTAGCCCTCTGTCTGTATCCATCGTTTCTCCAGCGTCTGTATTTGCACTACCAAACATTTTTCTGTTCCTTCTTTCTCCGTTCGTCTCCGTCTTTTGACTTCTGTGCCGACCAAACAAGGACAGAAATACGAGAGTACATTTGTGGAGGATTTCTCGCCGCGGCTGAACTTTAACACCAACTTTGCTCAAGAGCAAACAAACACTTTCCAGTCTTTGTTACGATTTTGTAAGAAAAGTGTACATTTTTGTTCTTTGCATCACACAAATTAGTACATGTATGTATGAATGTGTATATATGATTGCTATATATATATATGTATGTGTATATATATATATGACATCTATTTTGGAGAAAAAAAAAGCCCTGCCTTGTACCTCGGTTTTTTTAATGAGATGAACATGGAAAAGAAAATGTGGATGTAACAGAAATGTTCTGGATCTGCTGCCGTTTGGCGCCATACTTACCTAAAAAACTCCTTCATGGAAAGGCCGACTTCTCAACATTTGGCAAAAAAAAAAAAGTTAAAAGTAAAAGGGATGCATTTCAATTTAACCTGAACAGACATGAACGAGGACATTTCATAGGGAAATGATAAACTGGCAATTTGCTAAAAAAAAGGAAAAAATAAACCCAATCTTGTATTATTTTAAGTGAAACGCTTCTTTTCTTTGTATTAAAGCAGAACAGGCTTTCCTGAACCACCGTGTCATGTTTATTACTTTTGAGATTTTAAAGTTTTTTTTTTATTTATGAGCTAAATCACGACCACTGTGCAGATATTTTACATTCATTAGACCGGTGTTATTTTTTAAAAGCTGCATTTTCACAAACGAACCAAATTTCAACAACATTCTCAACACAAAATTCTCAGGTTGCTAAAAAAAAAAAACGAGGACGTTTTTGTTACGAATAAAAAGGTTTAATGACAAAGTTAATGTTTCCACACATTCAAAGAAATATATTAAAAGGCTCCAAAGCAGCAGAAAACTAAAACTTAACCATCTTTAACTTTAGAGTACAGTTAAGTCGAATGATCAAAATGATGCACAGTTCATAAGGCACCCACATTTATTCAGTGTTTAAAATGTTAAAAAGAAACAGCACTTACATTTGGCACAAACATAAAATATTAGGAAAACATTCAGGCAAACCTTAAACGATTTGCTACAGAAGTGGAACTTTACAAAATAGCAGATATTGCAGCTGATAACTAAACTACAATCTTCTCTAGAGATGACTTTGTGGGATATAAAAACACCCAGCAGCTTCTCTGGGCGCTCTCCAGTTCTTCATCCTGAAATCTTTTGTGCAGTTTGTGTTGCTTTAGCTGCAGGCTGATTTTTACCCGGCAACACTTTAATAGTTCTGATCCAGTCAGAAGGGAAGGTTTTCACTTGGAGGGTGGTTCAGGAGCCGTGGAGCCCTCCGATGAAACTCCCGCTTTCCCAGCATCCTCTGATGAAAAACATAAAAGCATTGAAGGTGCGGTTCACTCGTTGAACTCATTCACTACATTTAATTACTGTTTTTAATGGGGTGGGCTTTGGAAGGAGCTCCTGCGCCTTGAGAGTAAACATCACAGCTCTAAAGGCGATCTCCATCCATGTGTGCCACACGTCACGTGATCAGCAGAAAATACATGAACTAGGAGATTGTTTTGGGACGCTGCTGTGAAAAGCGCGAGGCGCCAACGGGAGAAGCTTCTGTCGCTCACACTTGGCCAATGTATTGTGAAAGAACAGAAAAAGCAACAAACACAGATTTTTCCTGATGTAAGAAGTGAGTCTACTCTGTTTTTTGGTGTTCACATGGTCATAGAGCACAATATTCTGTTACTCTTCAACTAACAGCAAAAATGCTGGCAGGCAGAAACGGCTGGCAGTGAATGAGTTAATACATCTGCAATGGTCTCTAGTAATAATAATAATAATAATAATAATGCATTGAACTTATATAGCGCTTTTCTAGACACCCAAAGACGCTTTCACACACTCTCACATTCACACACTGCTAGTGATGGTAAGCTACTTGTAGCCACAGCCACCCTGGGGAGGTCTGACAGAGGCGAGGCTGCCATTTGGTGCCGTCGGCCCCTCTGACCACCACTAACACAGGCAAGTTGGGTGAAGTGTCTTGCCCAAGGACACAATAGCAGGATACCCCTGGCGGGAGCTGGAATCGAACCCATGACCCTCCGATCATGAGGCAACCCGCTCTACCACCTGAGCTACTGCTGCTCTAGTAGAAATTAATGCATTGTAACTCATTCTTGCTGGGGAAAAAAATGCACCATTTCCAGGAACTAACAGCAACCCACATCACAGCTGAGCTTCAGACGGCAGGTTTTGAAGTCTTATTTTCTGGTATTTGGACATCTCGCCCCGGATTGGATAACCACTACACAACTCTGCCACTGACTTGCAATGTGGATGTTTTACCTCCACAAATAACACAAGCTAGAAGGAGTTCTGCCATGTGGTGGAGTCGCTAATGCTAACAGTTAGCTTCTACCGGCTGAGACGTTCTCTGCCGTTTCCTGGACGCTAAACCAACAACAACCTTCCCCATCTTGAGTCAAGATGGGTGAGTCCATGAATGTTATGTGACAGTGTGACGTAGATCTGTCAGGATTTTCTAATCCTAGAGTTTCACCGTCTATTTTCCACCAGAAGCTAATGCAGGAGATCAGTGTAGACTATTTTCATGTTCAGCCTGCATGAAAAACTCAGTGACCTATTTTAATCAGAAATAATAATAAAAAAAAAAGGGTTTTCAGTGATTTACACCTGTAACTTCTGATGCCCAGTCTAAATCCTCACTAAAGACAAAATATCTGCATCTCAAACCTCGAGTTTCCTCGGCTGCGGTTTTGTCAGCTCTGAAGAAGATCCGTGCGCTGCTCAATGAGAAGTAAAGCAGCTCAAACTCCTGGGATCAAAAGGAAAAAAAATAAAGAATCTCACATCCTTTAAGATATTTTACTCCACATTTGAAATACAACAGACGAACCCGCAGATAGAAGTCGAGCCTCTTCTGGGTGAGATTCATCGTCTGCAGCAGCTTCTCATCCTGACCGGCTGACTGGACGTTCTGCTCCTTCACCACCGTGCTCAGCTCCTTCCTGTATTTGTCTCGGACCGCTTGGAACCAGTGCAGAGAGTCAAACTCCAGATACTGGTCCAGCAGCTTCAGAATGTACGCCACACCTGAGAGCGCAGAGATAAGAGTCCTGAACCAACCTACAGAAAACTAAGAGTTCCTTTGTGTTGTTTGTGCTCACCCATTGCAAAGCCGTCGTCTGTGAAAGCAGCGCCGGTTTTGTTCTTCTTGTTTAGCTTCTCTTTGCAGCTGATGGAGTGCTCCACAAAATTCACAGTCTGCAATTCAGATTTGTGGTTAGTTTTTAAAGATTTTGCGCAAAAAAAAAAAAAAAAAAAAAAAAATGGAGAGACAAGTTAGAGCAGAACGGGGTGCAGCTCTGACCAGAGGGGGGACGATCATGTAGAAGTTCCTCAGGTGCATGTTCTTCATGCTCCGAAACTCAGGTGCAAACACGGCCACCAGCATCTTGAAGTACTCTGACCCTTCTGCAGAGTTACTGGTCAGATCACTCAGCACTGAATCTAAGACACTGGGATGGAAGACACAATGATCAGGGACAGAAAAGCCTGCAAACAGGTAATACTTCTTATTTATTAGGCTTTGGCGCCCCCTGCAGACAAGAAATGTAAACTGAACTAAAGGTCTTCCTCATGGAGAGGTTTTTGGGGTTCCTACCTGGCGGCTCTCTGGGTCTCTTCTGAAAGTCCTTCCTCCTTCACTAGCTCCTCAAAATTCACTATATCCTCCAGGTCTGGGACAAATCTGTAGGAGATCCAAAAAACAAAAACAAACAAACAAAAAAAACAACCTTCAGACCTAAGAGAAAACTAAATTTAAGTATATTAGTCACATTTTCCTGGTGGCTCCGCTACCTGATAGCGCTGCTGCAACAGTGGAGGCCTCCAGAACGGATCATACGCACGTAGCCCATGGCGTTGCCTGACAGTAAAGCAGAAGAGTGAAATGCTGCACTTTTCACCCTGCAGACACATTTCTGAGTCCGTGTTGAGATCGTCTCACCGATCTGGCTGATGAGCTGTCTGAACTGATCCAGGTAGCTCTGTCCATCAGGAGTGAGGCCCAGTTTCCGGATGCCACGGTTAAACTTCTCTGCGCGCTCAAACGGGTACTGCAAAAAAAACTGGTGCTGAGCATCAGCAGCTAAGCCGTAACCCTGTTAGATCTGGACATGACGTGAGCGTCACCTTCTGATCCGACTGATCCTTGGTCTCCCTGAAGAACCGTATGTCCTTTATGAGTCTGGATTTGATGTGCTCGTCGTACATAAACTGACTGAAGATGTAGAACTTCTTCCGCAGGAACTGGTAGGTGAAGTTGACCTTTTGTGAGAAGAGAACAGAGTTACTCTCGGCTCTTCGGCAGAGACGCTGCAATGCTGGCGGCGGACTCACGGTGGTGTTCATGATGCCGGTGCCGTGCGTCCGGATGGAGTTAGCCACGTGACGGATGTTGATGGTGTTCAGATGCTTGTTGTTACTCGCCTTTTCTACGAAGATCTGTTGAGAAGGTGTCAGTTTCATGGCGAGCTGTGTAACAGCGAACTGAGCTGAACCCTGGGGGGGTTAAGTCTCACCTGGTTGTTGAGGTTGTAGAGGTAACGTGAGACGAAAACATGAATGTTTCTCATGATCTCCAGAACATCCAAACCCTGATGAGAACAGAGGTTTATTATTTTTATGCGAAAGCCCCGCTGACAGGACGTGAGGGGTCAAAGCTCAAACCTGCTCCAGCGTCTGGCTGGGGAGGTGTGCCTCTGTCATTGTGAGTCCGTAGCGCTGCGTGGCCAGGTTCCTCATCTCACTGTAGGTGGCCCAGTCGTGCAGCGCCACAGTGGTCAGGTTGTAGAACGTCTTATCCAGGTAGTGGGTCACGTAGGCTGCAGGGACGATAAAAACAACCCAAATCATTACGGCGCCTTCAACAAAGCCACACCACTTAGAAAAGACGCCATATTTCCCACACCTTTGATGTGAATGAAGCGGTTGAAGAATCGGATGGGTTTGACGGAGAAGAAGTGGGCCAGGTCCTTCATGCCCACTTTGAAAGGGTTCCTGTCGTCAAGCTTCAGGTGGGTGTGGACGGAGAGACGCAGGTCCTTCTCGATCTCCTTACACAGCTTGTCCAGGAGGTGCTGAGAGGAAGCAGGATTTCTATTCAGTTCATTTATTTAGCTCCAAACTAAAACAAGAGTCGTCTCAAGGCTCTTCACAAAGTAAACTTTCCAACTGAGTTCAGTTCATTAAGATAATTGGGAAAAAGATTCCAGGATAAGGAAACCCAGCAGATCGCATCGAGTCACTGACAGGCGTCTTTCCAGCAATCCTCATATTAAGAAGCCTGTAGCGACAGAATTTATTAATTTATCAAATTATCACCGAAATATGTTTTAATTGGCAAAAGTAATTGTGACTAAACAAAGAAAATCATGACATTACTTTTAAACTGTGGTTCAACAGAAATATTTGATCCGTAACCTAATAGTGTGTTGAACACTTTGAGGCAAGTCACTGCAGCCAAATGATTTCTGTGACTCAATCAGAATAATGTCTGCTGACAGACGTTTTGGCCCGTTGTTATTCATTTCAACCACAACTGAAAAGCAATGTTTTATTTCAAGGATCAAGAACAGTTTCTTTCCCCAAGTGATCACCACTCTGAATGCCCACATGCACCAAAAACTTTATTTATAATAACCTACTTACAATTATTTAACTTTCAGATGGCGGCCATGTTTTTATGTTGCTTTTGTTTTATCCTATGCTTTCCTTTTTGTTTACTCGTCTTATGTAAATATTAGGACCAGCACCTTTGCAATGTTGCTGTGACAGCAGCATATTCTGTTGTTGTACGACAATAAAGCTTTCTAATTATAATTGTTTAGATTAGTATAATTCAGCAAATATTTATTTGTTATTTTTGAGTTTCTAATTATTTCAGTGATTATTGGGAATTTTGCCTTTTCTTTAATGAGATGTGAATAAACGTTAGGATCACTGTATTAACATGGCTCAAATCTTTATGTAAGTCCCAGAGACGGTTTGGTTTCACATGTTTTCGGCTTTAAGGTGGTCAAAATTTCAAAGTTGAAATGTTTCATAAAAAAAACATATATATGTTTTTGTACGTGCTAAAAATGTAGTCATCTGGACAAAGCTCCTGATCTTTTCACTGCTTAATCCACCCCTGCAGCCAGCGATCTGGGTGTAATTCAGCAGCACAGTCTCTGGATATGCTCCAGGAAGCACAGGAGGAAATCTCATCAGATTCCCTGAAAATCTAAGATTTCCCAGGCTGGAACTTCTGCAGAAGGTGTTTCAAAACTTGAAAGAAATAATTCATAATTTTCATTTTTTTAAACTCTTCATTTCTAATTTTGACAATGCATCTGTTGTTCATTTACTATATTTCAGATTCAGACTATTTTCAGACGTGCTTCCATGCAAAACAAGAACATTTCCAGGTTATCCCAAATGTCTGAACAGTAATCTTTCCATCTTTGGATTTGTATTTAAGTAGGTTCTGTATTCAGCAGTCAACAGTCGTGATAATGGTCAATTTAAACCATAAATAACTTTTGATAAACTGTTCCAGTATGTGGAGCTGAAACTGTGTTTCCTGGCACCAAAGCAGTTTAGATGAGATCCATCCATTTTCTGAACCCGCTTGTCCATGTAGGGTCACGGGGGGGGGGCTATATCCAGCGGTCAATGGGCAATCAGGTGGGGTACACCCAGGACAGAGAGCCAGTCCACCGCAGGGCAACACAGAGACACACAGGACAAACAATCACACACACACACACACACACACACCTAAGGACAATTTAGACAGACCAATCAACCTAACAGTCATGTTTTTGGACTGTGGGAGGAAGCCGGAGTACCCGGAGAGAACCCACACATGCACAGAGAGAACATGCAAACTCCATGCAGAAAGATCCCAGGCCGGGAAGCGAACCCAGGACCTTCTTGCTGCAAGGCAACAGCTCTAACCACTGCGCCACTGCGCAGCCTGTTTAGATGAGATCCATGAACTTTAACGCTATTTCTTCTAGACCAGTTAGTGTTACATCTAATTTATCAGACAAAGTTACTCTTAGTGGTTGAGTTCAAATATTTAGATGGTAAACCAACAGGAAGTAGCAGCTGGAATTCTAATTGTTAAACTGGAAAAACTCAAAGCCAGTCTGCTACAAAAGAAAAAAGGACTGAATCTGTGTGAGCTCATAATCTGACCGTGGTGCTCTAATCTTTAAACAAGCTGTGTTATTATTTATTGAAAACCTATAAAGACAACGTGTGATGTTACACTTAAGTGAAGTTTAGATCCCAGTTTTTGTACCTTTTCTCTGCTTTTTATATATAAATCTAGTTAATAAATGAATCTTTGACTCGTTTTTATAGAAGTGCTTCTGCTTTAAAGTTAAAGTTGTCCCCTCCCTGTGGAGACAACAACCAGGAGGTTTGGGCCAGTTCCGACCGACCAGCAGCCAGCCACGGAGCGCGTCACTGCCCAGAGTCCAACTAGGTTAGAGACTGAACAAGTTTAATGTAGATCCGAGTGTGTGTTGTTGTTTTACACCTGGTGCAGGTAACCCAGATCTAATCGCTCTGAGCTGCTCCGAGTCGAAGCGTGTTTTAGAGAACTTGCGTCGTGGCTCCGTCATACATAACTGTGTGATGTTGCGATTAGGTCTGAGGCCCAGCAGGCCACAGGATTTCAAATGTAAACAATCCACAATAGAACCGTTACTGCCAAGGTTGTGGAGCTCATGTCCTGAAAGTCGAGATCCTTCTAATCGCTTCAGTCACTCCCTGTGCAGAAAGACTGTTTGCTATCAAGCCAGATGTTTGAGAACAGACTCAGCTACTGGCAGAAGGACCTTGGTGTAAAAGCCAAACTAAATGAAGCTCCTGTGTGAAAGCAGCCAGCTGTCTGGTCTCAGTGTGAAGATTAGATGAGCTATAATATTTGTGCAGAAGCCGTCTGTGTTTATGCTCCAAAAAAAGTCCTACAAGCGTTTCAAATAGAGGCTTGTCTTCTTTTACATAATTACATCTCTACTGAATACGTCACATTTAAGTACAGCCTGGCTTGTAGCTGAAGCTTTGCAGGAGCATGATGACGACTCGTTTGCTTCACGTGTGGCTCACCTCATTGAACACGTCCATGATCTCCTTGTCGTAGCACTCCAGCAGCTGGTCACATGACTCCAAGTGCTTGGCGTGCAGCATGGACGGCACGGCGTCTCTCAGAGCACTAAACATGTACTGCTCCAGCCAATCACAGAGATGAAAATCACCATTACAAACATTAAAGACAAAAGGTTAAAAGTAAAAAATAATAAAAATCAACAAGTTGGATTAACAACATCACGAGTCTCACGTGCATTCGTGCTGCATCCACAGCGTTGTCGTACACGTCGTCTAGATAAATGGGGAAAACTGCTCGGTGCCAGTAAAGAAAACTACAGTCACACTGCAGCTTAACCCTGGGGAAAAAAACAAATATACAATGGTTTTCTGCATTTTTAAAACGTGCCAATTAAAGCAGAGATCAGGAAAATAAAACGCCCCTCTGGTTAAGCTCAAACTGTCGACACAGCAAGAAAAAAAAACAAAAAAACACGTGTATTGATTATGTGTTGTATAGTGTATACGTAGTGTTGTGGAAAATAAACCTAATAAAGTGCTGTTGTTTCTTTGTTCCACGATGTTCCTGGTTTAACCTTCTAATATAAGCAGTTTTCCACCTTCCAAGTTCTTAGGATTCTGCACGCGCCTCGTATTTCAATCATCCACACCTCCCGGTGTATCACGACAAATCTGACTAGATCTTACTAAATGAAGCCTGGCACCTTCTCCAACATGCTGAAGGCCATAAACCTGTTGCCTTAGTAACCAACATTCTTTGTTTTCTCCATCCTGCAGATAAGTCGGGAGTCAACCTCTGTTCCATCAGGTCTGTGTCTTATCTCCTCAGCTAAGACTGCAGTGACATGGCCGACCTCTTTGAACGGCCAACAGTTTATTATTCTGCACCTGGCCTTCACATAGCATGAGACTCCTCGTGCATTCAGCTGAAACTAAAACCAATTTAAGCATGCATTGATCAGATATGGGTAAAACTCAATATAAGGGTGTACAAATCATCCATGAACCATTCAACATGAAAATGCACATATCATATATGGATCATTCTGCAGAAATCACTTAAGAACAATAGAATGAACATAAAGAAGAGCATAATGGTAACTCTAAGTTTTCAGGATAACACGTGTGATCAAACATTTCATATATTTTCTTCAAGAGCTAAAGAGCTCTGCTCTGGAGAGCAGGATGTTAGGACAGCTGCTCGGAGTGTGAAAGTGATATAAAGCTGCTGACACACACTTTTGAAGTTTCAGACAACTAAGTGGCTTCGCCCGACATGTCAGATAAGACGGGAGGAACTCACACCTGTGAGTTTGAGGAGGATGTGCTTTCCTTCACAGTTATGGTGGCAGGAACAAGAAATTCAGTCAGTGTGTGTTTAGTGGAGCTTAGCAAGCATCACTCAACGAGGAAAAGCTTGTATACGGTCACTGAATATAATAACGCTGACGATGGTATAGAAGAGTAGGAACAGAAAGACTTGAGGGAAACTACCCAAGAGCAGCGGTCACTCAACAACGATTGTTTTTGCAGCAGTTTAACCTGAAACCAGTTGCCACCCTCAGTTAGGCTGTCCCCATCTCTGCCAGTCTTTAAGAATCGCCTAAAAACCCACCTCCTCCGCTTCGCGTTTCCTGAACATGTTTGATTTGGCCCTCTTTTACGTTAAATTTATTTCACAGTTTTCATTGGTTCACTCTATCCCTTGTTTTACCCATCTGTCCTGTACTAGAATGTTTCACCTTTTTTTGTAATTTGAATTGCTTTTATTTTTGATTTATTCACTATACTTATACTTCTACTGTACCATGTTCAGCGCCTTGGGCTTCCTGACAGGGTTGCGGAAGGCGCTTTATAAATAAAGCTTTGATTGATTGATTAACCTTCCACATAACATTTGCCAAGAACAATATGCTGGTTAAAGCTGGAATGTGGGTGCAAATGCCATGCTTTGCCTGGGAATTCTGTTACACACACACACACACGCACGCACGCACGCACGCACGCACGCACGCACGCACACACACACACACACACACACACACACACACACACACACACACACACACACACACACACACACACACACACACACACACACACACACACACACACACACACACACACACACACACACACACACACACCTTTCAATGAGCTCGGTTATCAAATCCAGCTTCTTCAGCACCAGCTGCAGAGGAAGCAGCTCCTCCTCTTTGAAGGTTTTCTGAAAATAAATAAATAAATAAAAAAAGAAGAAAGGACAACGTATAAAATGATTTAAGAGTGTGTGTGGTGGCTGTAACAGACGTCTCCCTGCCTACCAGCTGAGTGCCAACACACAGGGCCAGAGACACCACCAGGCGGCGTTCCTTTGTGCTCGGTCCAGTCAGAGCATTTTCTGCCAGCACCAGAGAAGACAGCACATCCAGCCGCTGCTCGCTGTACTTCTTGTCAGAGATGACTCTTTTCTTTGGTGGAAAAAAGAATAAATAAACCACAGACCAAACAGAACAGCCTTTGTTATGTATAGTTTCTTTGGGGTGTACCTTAGCGATGCCGATGGCGTTGAGGGCCTGAGACCGGAGCTGCAGAGTGATGTGAGAAACAGAGTCGGCTACGACCATCGACCTCCTGTGAAATGTGTGCTCCAGAGCCTGAAGGGAAGGGTCAAAGGGCATGAGCCGTCCTTGTAAGTTTCACTCCAACAATAACAAATTCTGATTTGAGGCATAGTTAAAGGTTTAAACACACCTTGAGCAACTCAACTAGTCGACAAAGTGCTTTAACAGAGGCCTTGGTCATGGGACGCTGCATGGACATGTACATGTTCATGGTGGTCTTGATGATGGTGCTGATGCTGTACGCGTACAGGATGCCCTGTGAGCAAGTTAGAAGTGAAGCAAAAGTGGAGCAACTATGTGAGGGCCGTTTTCTTCTCGTCATGTTTTACTGCAGACTGGCAAATGGTCTGTTTTTGTATAGCGCCTTCTTAGGGCTCGACAACCCCCCAAGGCGCTTCACAACACAATCAGTCATTCACCCATTCACACACACATTCACACGCCGGTGGGGATGAGCTACGATGTAGCCACAGCTGCCCTGGGACGCACTGACCAAGGTGAGGCCTGTTGAACACAGTCGCCGCCGGTCCCTCCGACCACCACCAGCAGGCAGGGTGGGTTAAGTGTCTTGCCCAAGGACACAACAGCAGCCTTCTCTGGTCAGAGCAGGGATCAAACCTGCAACCTTCTGATTACTGGACAACCCGCTCTACCTCCTGAGTAGGGTTGAGCATCATTTGACTTTTGAACGATTCTGGTTCCAATTCCTCGTTTCAATTCCGGTTCCTATCCATTCCCGATTCAGATTCTTTCAAGACGTGACACGTTTTACATGAGCCAGCGAACCACAGGTTCTGCTTGATGAAATAATCTTAACTTCAACATGAATTTTAATTTTATGAACAACAACATCACCTTCATTTAGACTAAAACATGTTTTGGAGGAAAAAGAAAAAGACTTGAATTAAGTTTTCAGATATTATGCTTCATGCGTGATATTATCTGTCTGCAATAGGAACACGTGTAGAAACAGTGTTCGTGTGTGACGAGGCTTATGCAAAAAGAACAGAAGCTTTCTTTGTGTGCAGAGGGGATGCGTTCCATGTGCCTGCTTCTTCCTCTTCCTGTAGCTGATAAACTGGGGGTGACTAGAACACAAAGTTTGTCTGTGGTCAGAACCAGTCTGACCCAGTTCTTATCAAAGTAACCACTCCTCTCTGTTTTCTGTGTAATAAAGCCTGCGTAATAAAAGAGCCTGTGGTGGAGAAGTAGACACGTCCAACTACACTCCTCTATAGAGTAAAAACTCAGCTGATGTCTCAAGTTGTCTGTCTGTTCCGATTTCGAGGTTGCAGGGTTGAGAAAAGACCCCATCAACTTGCAGCACAACCAGTGTGTTTGTTTCGGACCACAACCAAAGTCTGGAAGAAGCCTCTGGGATGAGAGGCTAAATGTCTCCAACACATCCAGAAACGTCCAGCTGTTTTCAGCTACAACTCTCAGGATGATCATGTCCAGGATGACTGAGAACTACACCTCCACGCTGCAGCAGCGTTCAGTCAGAACTAGTGATGGGATTTATGGCTCTTTCATGGGAGCCGTTCATTAGTCGGTCGTTTAACTCAAAGAGCCGTTCAAAAGACTGGCTCCTTTCAACGAAGTGAAGCCAGGAGGGGGGGTCGGTCAAGAGCAACGTTTTCCTGCGGTGTCCATAAGGGTGCACGGGGTTGGTTAGCTTTCCTCCCATACATTCCTCCTACGCCCGTCACAGCAGTGGGTGGGGTTTGAGCGGGTGAGTTTGACCGACTTCCGGGGAGGTTTGGTAAGATGAAGGGCTCTCTTTAGGGACTCAGCTCTCGTTCAAAACATTCGATTAGTTGGTGAACGTCACTAGTCAGAACAGAAAGTGAAACTTAAATGTAGCTGCTGTCAGCAGCAATCTTAACAGATTTTAAACATTAAAACTCTCAACAGAAATAGTTCAAAAAGGAAATTAAAATGTTCACAACTTTGTGTGTGATTTATTATTATTATTATATTTATTTACTGTGGCAGAAGCTGGTGTGGTCCACCACAGAGAAAGCTACTCTAGCATGATGACTTTAATTATTCTACAGGTTATTGTTCAGCCTTCTGACACACACACACACACACACACACACACACACACACACACACACACACACACACACACACACACACACACACACACACACACACACACACACACACACACACAGGTGAGCGGCTGTGTCTGACTGCTGATGCTCCGTGTGTGTTTTTATTTCTGCAGTGAGACAAACTCACCTCACACCGTCCAGTTAGTTCTTTAAAGTTTCTATTAAATCCACCGTGTTGACGTATTTTAACAACTTTCCTCTACGTCGCATTTTTCGCTGCAGGAGTTAAAAGTTTACATTATGGAGTAAAAGTTCGGCAGACGCAGTTGTTTTATATTTGGCCGCTGCGTGCCGGGAGGGGGACTCGGTGCTGCACACAGACAGCTGCGTTGATCACAATTTGCAGATCACGTTTATTTTTCACGGAGATCGGCTGCGGATTCCTCTTCCGGTCGGCATCAGGAATCAAAACTAGGAATCGAAATAAAAAAACTTTGAACGATTCTGGGAAAAACTAACAGTTGGTCCCGGTTCCAATCAATGCTCGATGCCCAACCCTACTCCTTCACTACTGCTGTCCCAGACTTGTGTTTGATTTTGTGCTCTCATAAAACATCCTGGGTGCTGCACTTTAGACTTCTTCAACATTAGTTTAGAGATCAGAATAAAGAAAATCGACTTTCAACATTTTAAAAGTGACTAATAACTGTTAATGTCCATCAAAAACAGCAACCTCTTCTCTGTGTACCTGCACAAACACGTTGCATCTGCTGTTAAGGTCTTCCACCATCTTGTCCTGTTTATGCTCCTTGGACAGGATGGACTCCATCTTCATCATCCAGGAAGTTACAAAGATGTAGTACGACTGAACGTCTCTGATGACAAAAACAAACACTAATAAATGATAAAAACGGGAAATTGAACTCAACAAACGAACTATTGAGTCGACTTGTACTGACTTTGTTAACGTCTGAGCTCTTTGCTGCAGATAGGTGTCTCTATGCGCTCGGATTGCCTGAAGACTCTTTTTGTCCATCTGTTTAGCTGCAGCCTGGATTTTAGTGGTGAGGAAGGTGTCAGGAAACCAGATGATGTTTGAAACCAGAGTGACAGCAGGAACCTGAAACGTGAAAAGAAAAAAAATCATCAGGTGTTGAAGAAAGAGCGAGGAGGCAAGGGGTTTAAAGAAAATTTGACCTTTTTACAGACATCGAGCAATGCCTTGTAGAGTTTTTTATCCACACTCCTGAAAATGTGAAAGTGAAGAACAAACAGAGCACAGACTGCAGCATATTTATCTCTCTGGTCAATCTCTGTAGGCTCACCTGAATAAAGAGACAAAGAAAATTACGTCAAATGAAACAGAAAATTTTGAAAATAAAAGAATTTAAAGGTGGGTAAGAAACGGACCAATCTTGGACTCCACGTTGTTGAATATGGTTCGAATGTTGAAGGCAAACTCCTCAGCAAAATGGCTGTTTTTGGAAACAGAGACTCCCTCCTTTGGCTCATCAAACCTCTGCTCCACACAGGCCTGTCAAACATCAGCAGGGTCAAACGTAGTCAGCGGAGTCGAGCAGCTTTTAGCTGACCATAAAGAAATCACCTGCAGGATCATGCCCTCCAGCAGCTGTTCCTCAAGGTTCCGCAGCAGCTTCTCAAACGGCTTCAGCTTCTCTTCGGGAATGGAAAACTTTCCAGGGTTATGATGCACAGACTTTAACAACCTAAAGAAAAACACACAAACTTCACTTTGACTAATAAATGACTGTTTTTATTTGGTGAATCACTGAGAACTGTCCTTGAAGTCCACTTCTTAAAAGATTTGTGCTTTTGTTCAGAGGGCCCTCGAGAGATAAGAGAAGCTCCGTGAAATGCCCAACAGATCCAGATCTGGTGGGATTTCTTCTTTTGCTGTACCCTTAGCCCGCCCACTGTCTTCATGGGTGACCCCACCAGGAAAGTTGACCATTGAGCAGGGTTGATGGTTTATCCCTTGACGTCCACATGGCAGGGGTGGGGTGGTGCTCACTCCTTACCCCTGCCTCACCAACTTCCCTGGCGGGGTCACCCATGAAGACAGTGGGAGGGTTAAAGGAAACATGAGCCAACCCTGGCGAGGGGGGCCAAGATTCCAGAATGTTTTTGCAAAGGAGTCATATCGTAACCTAGAAAAGGTGTTTTCACGTCAAATCAAGAGTCCAGGTTCAAACTGAAACATGCTGGAGGGACAGCTCGCCAGTCTGAGATTAAATAATCACGCTCACAGAATGTAATCTACGTGAAAACACTTTAAATCATGCGGCGCCTGTAACAAAGTTCAATCCAGACGATAAACAGTTCAAATGCAGCACAGAAAACCAGAATGCTTCAAACATGGCACTAAAAAAGCGAGAATAGGAATGTCTGAATGGACAAACGACAGCAGAATGACTGGTCTTCAGCAACAAGCCGCAGTAAAACACCTGCTTTCACCCCCCTTTTCCCATGACATATAACCCCTTCCACACCTGGCACCAACATCTGTCCAGAGCAGCGTAATGGATGAATCCGATTAATGTTTTTCTCTTATTAGTTCCACGGTCACGATTCTTGTATGTCACAACCAGACAGTAAAGACCATTTGTGGTTTGGGGTTTACGGCAGCCATAATCGTTGGCTTAGCTGCAGTTTCTGTTGGAGCTATAAAAGTGTGCCTACGAACCAAGATTCAAGGTCGAACGTGCTCCACAAAAAGCCAGCATCCTGTTGTCCAGTAACATTTTCTACCAGTTCCAGTAAGGAATGTTATTCAGGCAGCAGATGTTTCCTGGAGTTTTGGTACAACCAAATGCATTTTGGGCATTGCTAATGTTATGTAATTTCCCATGAAATGCATTTTGGCGACATCAGCATTGTTCTTTTATATGTAACATTTTGCCTGCCAGAATCTGCTAAAAACATGTGGTCTGCCAACTAGATTTCATTGTGTGTGTGTGTGTGTGTGTGTGTGTGTAAGGTCCATTTCCTGGTTATGCAATACTGACGTCAATATTGAAATAGTCGCAACTTGATGTGATGAGAAGGCTTAGTGAGTCACTGTCCAGCGTTGATAGTGTTGCTCACGCTGTGATGAACAACTGGCTCTTCTCCCATGTCTTCTTGAACCCATAAAGAACCCATCATTTCCAGATGTCCTACTCCAAAAGGCATGGGGGGTATTCTGCTTCTTTATTTGTGGCAGGTAACACCCCGTTCCTTTTCCAGAGAAGGGTCCAGTATGGAAAAAGAGATCCGAGAGGACCGAGTCATCCAATTGTCCCTGCCAGCTTTCCCAAAGATTTTCCAGAACTACAGTGGAAACTGCCTGGACAGGGTGAGATGAAACCCCCTCACAAATTTACCTCAAATGCAGACTTTTTAGGCCACTCCAGAACAAAGCCTGCAGGAAGCAGAAGCTTTCCCAAAAGTCACCATAGAGCAGGGCAACGTTGATCTTATTCTCTGTTACTTCACTACAAAAAAAGGTGATTGTTTCACTTAGTGTGTTTGTGTGCTTACCTTTTATACATTTTCCAGTGATCTTTTAGTGTATTATGGTTTTCCATAATCTCATCAAGTGTAATCAGTACCACCAACAGCTCCCCCAGGTGCTCGTACACAACCTGCAGAAAGACACGAGGACATCCTAAATGTGGAGAAGGTGGAAAAAATTTCTAAAAGTTCATCAAACCTTAAAACTCACTTGGAAATGGACACCCGAGGACTCAATTATTTTTGTTACACCCCTAAAAATACAAAAGAAAACAACAATTTCAGAGCTAAAAAAGGAAAAAGACAACTTATCTGAACACTAGAAAATTCATTTACGTTAAACTTGTTGGATCTTTTAGAACTTTCATTGTTGACTGGTCCGATAAATAAAATATCCCATCTCGATTAAAAATGAAAATGGAGTGTATACGACCTTTAATCAGGGGTTTGGGTAATGTGTTAGAACGAGGAACCTGAAACTGTAGAAAGTCTTGCTGTCTAGTAAAAGTTCTTCTTTCTGCCCCTCTCTTGCCCTTTTCAGAAGTTGCTTTTCTCCTACATTAAAGGCATCAGCAAACTTAGTTCTGCAAAATGAGGTACCTGTTTGGGTAAGGAATGACAAACCTGTTTCCTCCGCTGAGAAACCATATGCTACTTGTTCTTTTTCAAGTACTATCAATCACTCTCATGCTGAATGTGAACATTTTCATCAACCCCCATTGCCCGCATTAGCCGCAGAAAGTAAGTAGACAAGAAAATAATCCGGTCAGAAAGAGCCGGTCTCTTCAACATCAGAGAAAATTAGTATTTGATGACCACGTCCACCTTGGCTTGTGACCACCAAAGGTTGTTTTGATTTCACTCCCAGGAGACAGAAGAGCATGTGTTGACTACTAGAAGCTAACCATTAGCATTAGCAAGTCAATAACATGGTGGAACACATTTGAGCTTGGGTTATTTGTAAAGATAAAACATCAGTGTTGCATATTTTACCTTAGAAAAAAACAAATGGAGGTAGTAAAAGAGTTGCATTGCTATTAGCCAATCAGTGGAGAGATGTTTGCATATCATGAATATTAAGACTCTAAATCCTGCTTTTAACCAACCCCTACTCGTTTGAATTAATTCAAGCCCCTGAAACAGAAGCACCAGAGCAACAGGGCATTCATTCATACCTTTATACCACAGCCAGATTATTATAATCTGTGAATGAGACTTTTAAAGGTGTGGAACACAGAAAACCCCATTTTTAATGATTATTTCTGATTATAATCAATCACTCTGGGGTTTTCATGCAGGCTGAACATGAAAATAGTCTCCCACATAGTGAAAATCTAGGATTTGAAAAGCCTGACAGATCTATGTCACATTGTCACCTAACATTCATGGACTCACCCATCTTGACTCACGACGAGGAAGGCTGTTTTTTGTTAACTTCTAGGAATTAGCAGAGGACATCTCGACTAGTAGAAGCTAACGGTTAGCATTTGCAACTCCACCACATGGTAGAAGCTCTTCCAGGCTTGTGTTACTTGTAGACATAAAACGTTGCAAGTTAGTGGTGGAGTCGTGTAGCTGTTATCCAATCCAAGGCAAGACGTTCAAACATCAGGAAGTAAGACTCCAAATCTGCTGTCTGAAGCTCAGCTGTGATGTGGGTAATTTTAAGACCTAGAAATGGTGCACCGGTTTATTTCCAGATGTTTCACCTCCCCAACAACCCTTACAGAAATCGTGACATTATTTAGAGATTGCTGATCAGTCTCTAAGTTGTTTTTTATGGAAGCAGAGTATTCCATGTTTCCACTGGAAATGTTTGGATTTAAGTCAATCAAATAAAACCTTCATGATAACTAGCGATGGGTACCGAATTAAGTACTTTTTAAGGTACCGACCGAATTCCATAGTACCGACTGAGCACCGATTCACGTCATTTGAAACGGTGCCTCGTTTCGGTACCCGTCCTTCATAACGAGAACTTGCCTAGACAGCTGCGCATGCACAAGAGTGTTATGTCGTTAGTCACTGGGAGCCAGTTGTAAACAGAGCAGCATGGTAGAAAGAACACACGCTAAAGCTTGGGTCCACTTCACTAAATGTGATGGGTAACTGGGTGATGATGAAAACAGCAACAACGATCTAAGTGAGACATCCTCATCTTAATCTGCTGCGGTAGGTAAATAAAATGTTTAAGATAACGTTAGCTTGATTCGTTAGCTTCCGTTCCGTTAATGGTGTGTTCGCTTTCTCCTCGGAACTCCGAATTTCCGACTAGAAGAACATGAACGCGCTCTAAAGTTTGGCTTCACTTTACTAAATGCGACGGGTGATTGGGTGAAGACGAAACCAGTGACAACGATTTAAGTGTGAGGCATCATCGTTTAAATCTGCTCCAGCAGCTAAATAAACTGTTTAAGATAACGTTAGCTTGATATGTTAGCTTCCATTGCCACCATTGTTATCAGCTAATGGTGCATTCGCTTTCTCCTTGGAAATTCTAACTTCCCAGTAGGAAAAATCAAATGGAAAAGGACGGCAAAAGGAAAGAAGATACACAGTAAATTTAGTTCACAGTAAAGATGTTTGCTTCAGTTCAATTATCAGCTTATACAACTACAAGGACGATGTTAAAATACAAACAGTTGCATGTTATTTATCGTGATATTTATCAAATATGGTTATATATTGAGAAAAATATATATTTAATTATAAAAGAGAATTAAAATATTAAACACTCAAAAGTAACTAAAATTAGTACCGTTAAGTACCGGTATCGATTCCTAGGTATTAGTACCGAATCGATTCAAATGTCAAAGGTACCCATCCCTAATGATAACCACATGGGTTTCTCAGCTCATGGCTCTTACTTGCTGCTGTTGTAGAGGGCAGCTAGCTGGTGAACAATGTTGACCACCACCTCATAACATCTTGAAACAAAGCAGGACAACTCCTATGTGAGGAAGACAAAAATAATGACTGAAACAACAGCACTGATAATGAATAAAACTCCTATGGAGGGTATTGCTAACCACCCACCTGAAGGAATGAAATGAATATGCCCATTTGAATCTGCGACCCCCCTTCAACAACACTGGTTTCACACACTGCGACATAAAAACAGACCAAACTGCTCATTTTCATTATTAAAACAGAAGTGCTGTGTATCACTTAGGTCACAAATAATTGCAGATATTCTACCTCCTTCTCCATAGTACAATAGGCCATTGTAGAACTTGGTTTCTGCCTGAAAAAAGGAAATGATTTGAATGAAAATCTAACAGAAACAGACGTCATAAACTGATTCTGAGCTCACCATTTGACCATTCTCACCTCATATTTGAGTTGTTTCACTTCACTACAGAGAGCTGCATAGACTGTGATAACTTTGTTCAGAACCTGAACAAAACAGGGATTTCCAAATGAAGAAAAAAAAATTGCTCTGAGTTCAACAACATGGCAAATTTGTGTCCGCTTACCTTGTTGTCTGTTTTAATTAACTCCAGTAAAGATGACTGCTCATGAGGCAGAAGCTGTAACAGAGCAGATGGTAAGATACAGTAACAGAAGTCTTTTCAGGCTAATTTTCTGTTGTTTTTGCTGCTTTACTTTCAACGCGATGGGGTCCAAAGTGAAGTCCCACACGTCTCCTATGGAGTCATCAAGAGCTTCTTCGATGCCCTTCAGCTGGGACGTGTACTCCTCCAGAAACCTGCTGTAGTTCTTCATCTGAACCTCTGTGTGTATTTCTGACAGGTGGATTACAAAACATAAATGACTGAGAAAAATAGTTTTCAAATGAAAGTTATTACATTTAAGAACACACATTTTGAATTTAATTAGTTCTGCTCTCAAATTTTAGAAAATATTTTTTTTACTAAACTATGTCACCTATACCTCTTTGTATAGAACATTGCTTTATTCAGTTGCCTCAAAATGAACCAAATACAGCTACAGAATTATTAATGTTTTGGTAATTAAGCAAACATATGGCAATAAGTGACTATTAGAAGTTGCATAATAACGTGATGTTAATGATTTACTTTTAGTTTTTTAAGACGGACAGGCTTTTGAAGGTCTTGTAATATTTTTTGATTAAATATTTGCACGTTGAAGGCAGAAATGAACACATTAGAAGTACAACTGTTTTACAGCAGTGTTACAATTAAGTAAACAAGATACATTTGTTGAGAAGGGAATTATTATTAATGAGACACATTAGACATTACAGGAACAAATAAGCCCTTTTGATGATAGTAAGAGTTATATTATTATTATTATTATTATTATTATTATTAGTGTTGCTGTTACAAAAGGAACCAGCTGTCAAAGATGCAAGCTAAACCTTAGCTATCCTAGCTAGCTTTGACGTCCACTAACTACGTCTTGTTTTCACTTATTTCCAGCATGTTTATTTACACCAAACACTAAATTTTTCCAAGAAAAATGTCTACAAAATAGTTTTGAATGAAAAACATTGTATTTTCTTCTGGTAAGTACAAGAAATCAAGCAGCAAAGCATTTAGCTAACAACGTCGGCTGACACTATGTGCAAACTGCAGCTAACTTTTCTCTGTTGCTGTATTTCTGTGAATGCCAGGACTGCAGGGAGCACTTACTTTGGGAACCGTCGTCAAAACGGTCAACCTCCCAGTCGGGTGCGATAGTGTCCACAGCCATATCACCAGAATAAATCCCAAAGAGACGCTAGTAAGCAAGACTACACTCTCATGATGGGTCTTGTGATTTTCACCGCAAGAGCTCATGGGAAATGTAGTCTTCCGGCGCGGCGTCAATAACCAACCAGGAACATACTGAGAAAGTAAATAGTGCTTTATTTTTAGTTATATATATATATTTTAAGCACTATTATGTAACAAATATGTTACATAAACACACACACATGTACCGTATGTATATATATATATAATTTACAATAAAATAATAAGAAACTTTTTAGAGGAAAAGGATCAAAAATATATAATTTAAGCAGTGATTCTCAACAAATAATTGTTAAAAAGAAAATGGGGAAGTGAGGGTCACAGAAACAGTTTTCCTTACCTCATATGTCAGGTCAAAAACAATGTGCTCAAAGCTGAAGACCTTTCAAGTGGCATATAAAATATTTTTGCATCCATGTAGAATGATTAAAATAATTATATTGAATGAAAAGTGAAGTCTCTACACAAACACAGTCACACACCCTCATGCTCACACATACACATACAACCTAAGACTCACAAAAATGCAAACAATTAAAAAAAGATGCAGTTCAATTGTTTGGCAGAGCAAATTTTAACCCATATTAAAAGAATTTAAACAAACAAAAAAGAAATATTATATATACTGCTCACAAAAATTAAAGGAACACTTTAAAGAAACACACTAGATACATCAGATCTCATTATGAAGTTGGATGTCTATACAAATAACGACAGGGCAATGTCTTAGGAACAAAAGGATGCCAAGTCATTTAATGGAAATAAAAGTTATCAGCCTACAGAGGGCTCAATTGTGTAGACACACTAAAATCAGAGTGAAATGAAGATGTGGCAGGCTGGTCCATTATTTCAAAAACTTAATTTCTGCCACTCAAATTGCTTTTCAGTATCTTGTGTGGCCCTCACGAGCTTGTGTGCATGCTTGACTACGTCGGGGCATGCTCCTAATGAGACAACGGATGGTGTCTTGTGGCATTTCCTCCCAGATCTGTGTGAGGGCATCCCTGAGCTCTTGTACAGTCTGAGGAGCAACCTGGCACCGCCTAATGGACCGAAACATAATGTCCCACAGTTGTTCTATTGGGTTTAAGTCAGGGGATCATGAAGGCCATTCAATTGTTTCAATTCCTTCATCCTCCGGGTACTGCCTGCATACTCTTACCACATGAGGCCGGGCATTGTCGTGCATTAGGAGAAAACCAGGACCTACTGCATCAGCGTAGGGTCTGACAAAGGGTTCAAGGATTTCATCTCGATACCTTATGGCAGTCAGAGCACTATTTCCTAGGCAGCAGAGGTCTGTGCGTCCCTCCATGGATATGTGATGGGTAAAAACTGATATTAACTTTATTAATGTCTTGACTGTTTAACATCTGGTGTTTATTAAATGTAGCTTCATCTGTTTATTTTACTCTGTGATGGAGAACAGGCCCCTGCAGGTCTTACAGGGAGGAGGTTTTGGGAGGATGACCTTGCCTTGGTACCGACCTCTTGTCAGTAAAACTCCCTTGAGAAAGTCCAGACTGCTTTGTTGATTTAGATTGCAGCTGGAGTGTTAGAGTTGAGACTTTCTTTTACAGCTTCCTGCCTGAGAGTCTCAAAATGTGTGTGCGTCAATCTTTTGTGTGTATGCTTAATAAATACTGTCGGAAGGCGTCAGCCTGATGAGAGTGAACTGGCAACCGTTGACTGGTGTGCATTTTTCCTCTCCACTTTGCAAAGTCTAAATTGATTGTTGATCCGTATTGGTATTGATGAATTGATTACTATAACCCCCTGTGCTTTGAACTTTCCCTAAGGTAATCCTGGATTGATAAAATTATGCCTCCCCAGACAATCACTGACCCACCACCAAACCTGTCATGTTGAACGACGTTGCAGGCAGCATAACATTCTCCTTGTCTTCTCCAGACTCTTTCACATCTATCACAGGTGCTCAGGGTGAACCTGCTCTCGTCTGTAAAAAGTACAGGGCGCCAGTGGCGGACTTGCCAATTCTGGTGTTCTTGAGCAAATGCCAGTCGAGCTCTATGGTGCTGGGCAGTGAGCACAGGGCCCACTACAGGACGTCGGGCCCTCAGGCCATCTTCATGAAGTCTGTTCCTGATTGTTTGGGTAGAGATATTCACACCAGTGGCCCTCTGGAGGTCATTCTGTAGGGCACGACCAGTGCTCAGCCTGTTCCGCCTTGCACAAAGGAGCAGGTATCGGTCCTGCTGATGGGTTGTGGACCTTCTACGGCCCTGTCCAGCTCTCCGAGAATAACCGCCAGTCTCCTGAAATCTCCTCCATGTTCTGGAGATTGCTGGGAGACACATTAAACCTTCTTACTGCAGCACGTGTGGATGTGCCATCCTGGAGAAGATGGACAACCTGTGCAACTTCTGTAGGGTTAAGGAATCGCCTGGTACTGCCAGTAGAGAGCCAAAACTAGCACGGGTGGAAAACCAGCCGAAAAAGATCAAGAGGGAGAAACTGGAAATGACCTCTACATGTGAAACCAGTCCTGTTTTGGGGGTTTTGTAAATGTTGCCACTTTAGTGCACCTGTCGTGAAGTCCATGAACACCAATACAGCTGAAAGTGATTAACAATGCCCTCAGCTGCTTAATCAACCAGGAAATTATCAGACAAGTTTAATTGATTTCATGCCAGGCCCAATAAAAAAAGTATTCCTTTAATTCTTGTGAGCAGTGTATATATAAACCTTTAGCAGTTAAAATAAAAAGTTACATTTATTACTGTACTTACTTTATTACTTTACACATTTTTTCATAGTAACATTAATTTACATATTATTACAAACCAAAAAAAGAGATTGCTCAGAGTTTATGATAAATGACCCACACGTGTATAGTATACACTTGTATACACACTCTGATGGTGATGAGCTACGATGTAGCCACAGCTGTCCTGGGGCTCACTGACAGAGTCGAGCATGACATGCCGAGCATAGGTGCCGCTGGTCCCTCCGACCTCCGCTACCTTCTCTGTCCGGAGCCGGGATCAAACCTGCAACCTTACGATTACTGGACAACCCGCTCAGCCTGTTGAGCTACTGCTACTGCCCAGAGGAAAACCGTCCACGCATAGATGATGCTTCACATAATGTAATTTCAGTAATCTCATTAAAGGCATTCAATGTGGTTGTCTCGAGCAGCTGTGAGAGTCACAAATACCTTCTCTGTGTGTGTGTGTGTGTGCTTATGTGTGTTTCTGTGTGTAAATAATGGTGTAAGAGCAGCTCGACATACCATTTAGACAAATGATCGACAGCTGTGCGCCAGACTAGATGCCTATCTCTGCTCCAGGTAAGTCATTTTTTAGCCCCTACCCGCTCTAACCTAGCTGATCAGTTTTACATAGTTTCTAGTGTTTGATTGTAAGGTATGCAGTTGCTGAAAAGCTGGAGAAACAGAGAGGTACGAGGAAAAAGCAGGCTTTTAAATGATTTCACCTAAGAATAAAACTTTAGTATAGTATTGTGTCAGCTTTCTGATGCTGAAAAGCCTAGAATAAACTATTATGCATTCATTCTGTGATGACCATCGTAATCCATAGTAACTGTGTAAAAAAAGAAGTAATAGCTAGAAGTGATTCAAAGTTTTGATGTGGTTTTAGATCACTTTATGTGTCCTTATGTAATCATCTACTAATATTGTAGCAACCTAACGGATTTTTAAGTTATTCGAAACCCCATCTCAGACTTTGTTTAGTTAAATGTTTACATTTCAGTTTACTCTAAATGTCTTAGCAATTTGAGTTTAAATGAATTAAATTCCATCTTACTGTCAAATTTCCATATTTAAGAATTTAATTGAGTTAAAAGGGTATTTTTTCATATCTCTAGTGCAAAAAGCAATCATAATATAAACTTTTGAGGGATACTTCGCAATTTTTTCATATTTTTCAATAATTTTCTTGAGCCAGTTAGCTAAAATGATTCTTTACAGGGTCGATGAAAGGCCACCGGGCCCCTATCTCCCCATGTGGCCAGAATATTCCACTTGCAACATCAGACTGGCGAGCTCTGATAGGACTTAGAAATAATTGAGCTAACCAACCTGGCAATGCAGTCTGGTTCTAATACATGTCCTGCATGTTTTAGATCGTGAACACAGCTGATTTGTTTATGTCAGTGATGAATCACTTCTGTAGATACTAAGGAAGGCTGGGGAGACATTTTAGCAGTTAGAAGGTGTTAAAAAGATGAATGCACAGCAAGGAGATTTTCCATTCTACAAACGGACACTAGGGAGTGCTAAAAACGAGCCAAACTGCAGAGTTCCCTTTTAAGTTATAATATGGTCTATAGAAAATGTGTGTCTGAATTTCTTCGCATAAAATCCCGTTCATATAAAACAATCTTATCAGTTTTATTCTTGACATTTTCAGTACCTTCCAGAATGAGTCATCAATCACTTCATTTATTCAATACATTTGCAGTGGTCTGTAGTGGGAATGGATGCCTTGTAAAGCCTGATTTTTACCTTTCAGTGTGCTCCGCACCGGAGAGACGCACACGGAGTGTCGGAGAGGTTTTCACATGCAAACTTCTACGCAGGCAGGGGAGTGTTGCAAAATAATTCCCCACCAGGACAACAGCAGGCGTAGCGCTCATGTATCCAGTTCACAATAGTGTATTTACTAATGTGCTTATATATTTCAGAGAGTTTATAACACAAACAAATTTGTCCTTCATTCTCCTCCACCTCTGCATGCAGTCGCCACCTCTAAACCTACGTTTCCCATCATTTCCATCCATATTTTGTACTCCTTCAGTCACGGGTGAATAAATGTTCATATTTTCAGAATTTTTCCGTGATGCATTCTTCAGTCTGTTTGGGGCCTGCCATGAAATATCTTTTTACTTTTTAATGGGGCAACAGTGGTGTTGGTGAAGAATTTACAGGAAGCGACATCCTGACCAATCACACGCTTGCGGTCTCCGTCACTTTCGACGGATGTCACTTCCTTCTCTGTTTATCCGCGGGCAGCAGAGGAGGGTGTCGCCCTCTGCTGCCTGTGGATAAACGGAGAAGGAAGTGACGCCGTCATCAGCAGCTAGCTCTGAAGATTTCAGGAGAGATCGAAACTGTTAGCAAGGAAAAAAAACCTTTCCTGTGTTAAAAAAAAAAAACTTAAAAAAGCATTTAAACACTGAATGGTTTTTCAATTATTCAGTTTTCACACCTTTAAAAGTGGGATCTGGTCATGGCCACTCACCCCCCTCTCAGGGTGCTATAAGCTGAGAAGCTCCGATGTGCAGGAGGAGCTTGGAGTAAAGTTGCTGCTCCACCAGCCTGGAGAGGTGGTGGTGGTGTGTTTGTGTGTGTGTGTGTGTGTGTGTGGGGGGGGGGGGGGTGCTAATTTGTGACATCACAAACCGGAACTGTTTAAAACAGTTTGCTTTAGTCACATAATTCCTAGAACCAAACACTGAGAGGAGATGGATTTACAGGTTTTTGCACATTTGAGTGTTTAGAGAGGCTGCAGAGACCTGCAGCAAAGAAAGAAAATATGTCCCCTTTAAAATTTAAAAATAAAATGCAGTAGAAAGGAGACAAGTGGTAGCTAAAATGAATGTAAAACTGAATAAACAGTAAAAGCAGTGTGTTCTTCCATGGAAACGTTTTGGTTAATGTCGGGGGTTAATGGGGTCAGAGGTCAGAGAAGAAAATGTGGGAGAGCCAGGAAGGATTTATACTTTCTGACAGCGTAATGGATAAAGATGTTCTTCATTCTGCTGGTTCTGGCACGCATTGTTGCTTCCTTAAAACATAATGAACGTGACTGTTCAAGAACCTGGTCAATTCTCTAGAATTTTACTTAAATCACAAGTTTTGTATGAAACAAAGCAGCCATTGTGCTGCTGATGGGAGAGAAGCATTATGAACAGTGAGGGTTCACAACAAGTGACATCATTGTCACTTTCCCTTGCTAGGCAGATAGCCTCTAGGGTTGCCACCTTTCAAAAATCAAAGTAAGGGAAATCTTAGGTGTGTTCTTGCTGTGTCTTTCTAATTCCATGCTTTCGTTCTTTTTAAACACAAACAGTTTTGTTTACCTGTTTTGTAGCTACAGTTTCGCCGACGGCTGCCGGCTTCTTCAGGCTGACGCTGATGGTGGCGCGTCACTTCCTTCTCCGTTTATCTGCGGGCAGCAGAGGACGTTGTCACCCTCTACTGCCCGCTCTCCCCTCTCCGACAATGCAGTCCCATGCGTGGTCCAGCGTGTAAACTCCGTCGTCCCTGTTCATGGTCCCACATCCACGTCTCCTTATCTCAATTGCTTCCTTGATCCATCTTTTGTATTTTTGTTGTTCGGTGGTTATGATCCGTGTGCTGTCCCAGTCCATTATATGGTTTTCTCTTAAGCAGTGATCTGTTACGGCTGACTTTTTTATTGTACTTTCTGCTTCTTCTTTTGCTGCTCTTGTGTGTTTACGATTTGCCTCTTTCTCACACTCCTTGTGTTCTATTGTCCGTGTGGCGTCCGGTTTCTCCTATGTATGTTTTATTGCATATTTTGCATGGGATTTCGTAAATGACTCCACATTTTTGTCCAGCTGATATTTTGTCTTTTGGGTGTACTAGTCTGTTTCTAACTGTTGTGTATAACTTTGTTGGTGTGTTTATGTTGTGTTTTTTCATTGTTGCTCTTATTTTTTACGTTATGCCTCTGATGTATGGTAGGGTTATCACTGGTTTTGGTTCTTGTCACAAGAGCAGCAAAAGAAGAAGCAGAAAGTACAATAAAAAAGTCAGCCGTAACAGATCATTGCTTAAGAGAAAACCATATAATGGACTGGGACAGCACACGGATCATAACCACCAAACAACAAAAATACAAAAGATGGATCAAGGAAGCAATTGAGATAAGGAGACGTGGATGTGGGACCATGAACAGGGACGACGGAGTTTACACGCTGGACCACGCATGGGACTGCATCGTCGGAGAGGGGAGAGCGGGCAGTAGAGGGCGACAACGTCCTCTGCTGCCCGCAGATAAACGGAGAAGGAAGTGACGCGCCACCATCAGCGTCAGCCTGAAGAAGCCGGCAGCCGTCGGCGAAACTGTAGCTACAAAACAGGTAAACAAAACTGTTTCTGTGTTTAAAAAAGAACGAAAGCATGGAAAGTAAGGGAAACTATTTCATACATCCCTGTTTATCTAAAAATGGGAAAAATATATAACAAAGTGCCATGATCACAGTCTAGACCCCTTTTTAAATCTGTGTTGAGCTAGAGTCAAAAAGATAAATTAGAATTTATTCAGGCAGAAGTAAACACGAGTCTCTATCGAGAGCAGTAAAGGTTTTAGATCTTTGTACTGAAATATTTTAATGCATCGTTTTCTTTTTGGAGAACTTTCCATGGATACAGCATGCGCTGCAGAGGTGTTTCATCATTCATTTGTCAAGCATATTTTTCTAACCAAGGCTGGAGGGAGTCCTCCTATCTGGCTAAGATAGGAGGAGACGGTACGAGCTGGTTAAGACAGCTAGCTTGGTTCTGGGCTGTCCACTGGATTATGTTGAGGATGTGTGTGAAAGGAGAATGTTGGCGAACTTGACCTCCATCTTAGAAAACCCCTCCCCTCTCTTAGTGGCAGACTGAGACATCCGAGATGTAAAACAGAATGCCACCATAGGTCATTCATTCCCACTGCAGTAGAGTGCATAACTCCACAGTTTAAAGGGAGACAAGGCAGTTTCTGCTTGTTTTTAGCACCCCCTAGTGTCTGTTTAGTAGAACAGAAAGCAAAACTTATGTCCTTGCTGTGCGTTCACCTTTTTAACACTTTAATCTAACAGCTGAAATGTCTTGCCAGCCTTCCTTTGCGTCTACAGGAGTGGCTCATCACTAAATTAAACAGATCAGCTGTGTTCATGATCTAAAGCATGCAGGAAACGTGCTGGAAGCACTACAAAGCCAGGTATGCCAGCTCATTTTGTCCAACCGGACCGGCACTCTGAAGTTGCAAATGCCGTAGTCTGGCCACAGAGGGTGAGGGGGTTTGAAGGATATTTCATTAACCCTATAAAAGGTCATTTTAGCCCATGCTGGCTCAAGAAAATAATTTAAAGCCATGAAAAAGTTGCAAAGTATACTTTTAACTGTTACGGGCACTATCCCTTTTCATGCTAACATCAGTTGTACAAGTGCAATACCCAGATGTACTTGTGTGTATGTCTGTGTCCTTTATGCGGTTCCTTCTGGGAAATTAAATTTTTTATTTTTTATTCATTTTATTAATTGCTGATGGTGACAGTAATAACTTGTATTATTTATTTTTCCTCTTCTCTGAGTGTATGTGTGCTGCCTTAACGAGTACATTTCTCCATGGAGGGATAAATAAAGTCTATTCTAATCTATTTTAGCTCACCAAATCAGAACAGAGAGCAGCAGGAGAGACCATTCTGCAGACCCTTGCCTAACACCATGGCTGTACCAAAGTCCTCTGATAAGAACCTGTCTCTAACACACGGCCAGCAATATGGTTCAAACCCAGCTTTGTCCCAGCTCTCTGGAAGACTTCAACTGTCCAACTCTAATGGGAACTTATCACCGGACAGCGTCACTCCTGTGTCTCAAGAGTTTACTGAGTCGGACGCTCTGCTCCCCAGGAAGCTGAGTGGATCCAGACCCAAGGATGCAGAAGGTTCTGGAGGACATGAAGAATCGATGTGCTCCTTGTTGCGGCAGATCCTGCTTCCATTTCTGCTGGCCGGGCTTGGGACGGTTTCTGCTGGGATTCTGCTTGAAATAGTCCAGGTAGGAACACAGCGAGAATGCACAACTCATTACATCCTCCAACTGGATCCTGTGCACATCTGAGCTTAGAATGTTGATTCAAAGGGCTGTGAGGCTTTTAATCAGATTTACAGAGAAACTAACCTCATCTTCAGAGAAGTGCATGGATCAGGGTGTATTTATAACAGAGATTAAGTTAGTGCTACATAAGCAAACTTTTGTTTCTCACATTCAGTCAGTGAAAATGTGTCGGCAGGAACGTTGTTTGTGAAACTGTAGGATCCACCGGTCACCAGGTGTTTGCAGAGCTACCATTCCTGATGAATGTGAACATCTGGTGTTGATCTAAACCTTCTTCTCCAGCCAAAATAGTTGAACCTCACAGACAAAAATATACTTGTTCAACCAAAGTGGTCATGAAACAAAACATCAGCCATGTTAGTCATTCCTAGGGTTGGAGTTAGGGCAAACTTTGACTCAAACTTAGAACCTAAAACAAGACGGTTCATGAAACTCTCCCAAGCTGACATAATCTTGGAGTTTGAAACTGGACAAGTAATCGATTCTGTCTAAAGTTGTCATGAGACATCCAAAACTATTTAGTGAAGAGAAGTCGGACCTTCTTCTTATGTCCTTTCTGTTTTTCCTCTTCTAATCCCATAGTGTAAGTCGGACCTGTCACAGAATTCAATTTAGGTTTTCCTTTTACCCCATTTACCCCCTAAATATGGGGCATGTCAGTGTAGATGAGAAAATTCCTAGTTTGATCTTTAATTAGCTGTACTCAGTGAGTTTAGTCACCGGCATCAACCATCACTCGTACTAGACAGCAGCACAAGAGAGAAAAGGGAACCACCTTTCGTCAAACTTTTTGACAGGTCGATTGTTCTTTGACCTTTATGCCCTTCCCTCAACCCACCTTTCATCAAACTTGACAGGTGCATTGTTTGTAGTCCCCTTTTGTGATATGATCTTTAATGACCCTATTTTGTGTTAACCCCACAGTTCCCACAGCCCCTCCCTTTCATACGTGAGACCCCACATCCCTGCACACACACACACACACCCACACACACACACACACACACACACACACACACACACACACACACACACACACACACACACACACACACACACACACACACACACACACACACACACACACACACACACATTTAAAGCCCCCCCCCTCCGATGGGTATAAACTGATTTTGACCTCACCTTGTTAACAACTTGTCTGTGTAAACATCTGGTGTTGTTTTTAAACTGAGGTTCATCAAACTTATTTACATTTAAATTGTTGCAGGAAGGCTGACCTCGCTTCAGTACCTTTTATTATTAAAACTTCCTGAAAAAGCTGAAAGCCAGACCAATATATTGATTATAACTAACACCTGGAGGCGCCTTCTCAGTGCTTCTCGGTTGACTGTCTGTGAAGAATTTGTGTGTGTCCTTATCTTTAACTTTGTGTGTGTGCAGTGGCGGATTTAGCAATTTGGGGGCCCAAGGCGAACACAGACATGGGGACCCCTTACACAAAATTTTCGACGATCTTATCTTTAACTGGATTTGCGAAACTCTCTCCTCTTCTGACATGAGTTATTTTGACTTTTTATTAGTCCTTCTCTTTTTCCTATCTTTCTCTCCCTTTGAGTGCCTTCAATATTTGCTCTGCTTTCTTCTCCCTGTCAGTGCTCCTGTGCTTTTGCCAGAAACCAAAACTCCTGATGTGCTTCATAGGCGCATCCAAGGTTTTTGATAGAGTTAACCAGAGGAAACTATTAATAAAGCTCAGGAGTGTCTCCAACTTTTATTTTTATTTATTTTCCAAATGGATTTCACTGTTTATGCAGATGACATCCAACTGTACATCTCCTTTAAGCCCCATGAGATGTCTAAGCTGCAGCTGTTACACACCTGCTTAGACTCTATCAAAACCTGGATGGCTGGGAGCTTTCTTCAGCTGAATGAAGGTAAGACTGAGATCCTCGTCTGTGCCCCAGACAAGCTGGTTCCCAAAGCCAGAGACTCTCTTGGTCAGCTTGCTTCTCACACCAAACCTTCTGTCAGGAATCTTGGTGTGACCTTTGACCCAGCTCTCACCCTGGATTCTCATGTCAGTTCTCCTGTTCGCTCTTTCTTCTTCCATCTCAGGAACGTTGCTAAGCTGAGTCCCATTCTGTCCCGCTCTGAACTTGAGACAGATCTCCACACCTTCATCTCCTCACGCTTAGACTAGTGTAACTCTCTTTTCACGTGTCTGAGCAGAACCTCCCTGAACCGTCTACAGGTGGTTCAGAATGCCTGTGCTCGGCTTCTGACCAAGTCCTCCAAACACACCCACATCACCCCGCTTCTCCTCCAGCTTCACTGGCTGCCAGTCAACTTCAGGGTTCATTTCAAGATCCTGGTTCTGGTGTATAGGGCTTACATGGACAAGCACCATCTTACATTGGTGATCTTCTTAGTCCCTACACCCCCAGCAGGTCCCTGAGGTCCAGTGATCAAAGCCTACTGGTTGTGCAGCACCAGACTAAAGACCAAAGGTGACAGATCATTTGCTGCTGTGGCCCCCAGACTCTGGAACTCTCTCTCCCTGAGCCTGAGATCAGTGGACTCAGTGGTCTCCTTTAAAAAGCAGCTGAAGACTCACTTGTTCAAGCTGGTTTTTGTATGACCTTCTTCAACCCCTCTCTCTTTGTTCTGATCTCCCCACCAATTCCACCTTCCTCAGGATCCACTGATTTCCCTCTTTCCTATTCACTCTCTCTCTTTCTTAACTTTTTTTAATCACAATTGTCTATTTTTGCTCATTTTAAATATATTTTAAACATTTTCTAAATGCTTTTTTATATTTTTACATTTTTGTTTTTGTGAAGCGCCTCGTGATTTTTACCTAGAGAGGCGCTATAGAAATGATCTTTTCTTCTTCTTCTTCTTCTTCTTCTTCTTCTTCTTCTTCTTCTTCTTCTTCTTCTTCTTCTTTTTCAAGTGTTATAATTAATATAATAAAATTATTGGTAACGCTTCCTTTTACAGTCCCCTAATTAGAAAGTACTTACATGGTAATTACACAGTAAGTAAAAGTCTATTATTGTGTAATTAAAGTGTATAATTGTAAGAAAGTGTAATTATTGCGTAAAGCAGTATTTACTGCAAAAGGTTAATAAAAATAAAAACTAGAATTGAACCTGAGTTACACGGTAATAACTGTTTAAGAACTCAGAAAGAATAATACACTTTAACTTACTATGTAATTACCATGTAAGTACTTAGTAATTAGAGGGCCGTAAAAGAAAGTTTTACCAAATTATTATAATTTAAGCAATTATATAATTGCTTAAATTATAATAATTTGGTAACACTTTCTTTACAAAAACGTGGAGCTTCACGGGCACCCTTCAAAAACCAGAGCGCCAAACCACAAGACCACCTGGTGCATTATACCTGCAGCTCAGGAACCAAGGACAAGGCAGGGCTAAACCCAATTAGCCAACTAAAGGTATTACAACTAAAGGAATCTGATCAGATCTAATCTGGTTTACAAAAATCACAAAAAGACAGCAGGTTATTGTGTTTTACATGGTTCATTGCTTTTTTTATCTCTCCATCTTTAGTTCATGTAAAATATTTTAAATTCCAGCTATGGGTAGGCAATATCATGTCATTCACAATATTACCAGTAATTATTTTATTTATCATGTTGAGCTAATTTATGTAATTTCATCCACTACACAATCCATGTGGATCATCAGCACAAAGTCTTTAAAGTTATCAAAGCAATCATGGCTGGAATCTCAGTTTTAATTCATATCAGCCAGTAGGATAAAATAGGTTTGAGGAATTTTGGCCTCACCTGGCTTCCGTACCTGTTTTTAGTTTTAGCTATTTTAGGGGGATTTCTGTGTGTGCAGGTGACTATTACTGTGCATGATTATTAGGCAACGTAACAAAAAACAAATATATACCCATTTCAATTATTTATTTTTACCAGTGAAACCAATATAACATCTCCACATTCCCAAATATACATTTCTGACAATCAAAAACAATATAAAAACAAATCAGCGACCAATATAGCCACCTTTCTTTGCAAGGACACTCAAAAGCCTGCCATCCATGGATTCTGTCAGTGTTTTGATCTGTTCACCATCAACATTGCGTGCAGCAGCAACCACAGCCTCCCAGACACTGTTCAGAGAGGTGTACTGTTTTCCCTCCTTGTAAATCTCACATTTGATGATGGACCACAGGTTCTCAATGGGGTTCAGATCAGGTGAACAAGGAGGCCATGTCATTAGTTTTTCTTCTTTTATGCCCTTTCTTGCCAGCCACGCTGTGGAGTACTTGGACGCGTGTGATGGAGCATTGTCCTGTATGAAAATCATGTTTTTCTTGAAGGATGCAGACTTCTTCCTGTACCACTGCTTGAAGAAGGTGTCTTCCAGAAACTGGCAGTAGGACTGGCAGTTGAGCTTGACTCCATCCTCAACCCGAAAGGCCCCACAAGCTCACCTTTGATGATACCAGCCCAAACCAGCACTCCACCTCCACCTTGCTGGCGTCTGAGTCGGACTGGAGCTCTCTGCCCTTTACCAATCCAGCCACGGGCCCATCCATCTGGCCCATCAAGACTCCCTCTTATTTCATCAGTCCATAAAACCTTAGAAAAATCAGTCTTGAGATATTTCTTGGCCCAGTCTTGACGTTTCAGCTTGTGTGTCTTGTTCAGTGGTGGTCGTCTTTCAGCCTAAATCTAAATGAAAAATTCTTATCAAAATTAACACGGGTGTTTAAAAAAATACTTAATTACTTTAGTTTTTTTTTTATTTCAATAATGGCAGGCTGCCTGTGTTTATGGCAGCCTGCTACCACTAACCTGGTAGGGAAATCCCATGATAAAGAATGTACTTTATGTCATTCAGAATTGTGGAGTTGGATTGATCGACAGCTTTGACCCTATTGATCTATTGTTCCTATTGTTTCTATCATGCAAATGAGTTTAGCGAGTAGTAGGCCTGTTGATACCATACCATACCATACCAATTTTATTTATAAAGCACTTTTAAAAATGGCATGGCAGCCGACCAAAGAGCTGTACAGAATAAAAAGTAAAAACACAATATAAAAACAAAACACGGTCAACAATAAGATACACAACAAAGCAGATAATCACGGTCAATAAAAAGACACATAGTAAAATAATAAAAGTCAGGGATTTAAAATTGCCTGGTCGTAAAAGTGAGCCTTAAGTAGCGACTTGAAACGGAGGAGGGATGGTACCAGCCTCACTGAAAGAGGAAGAGCATTCCAGAGTGTTGAAGCAGCATAGACAAAGGCACGCTGCCCCCGCGTTTTGTATTTCATTGTTGGAACGCGAAGCAGCAGGCAATCAGCAGATCTCAACGCCCGGTTTGGCGCATAACGAGAGACAAGATCAGACAGGTAATCCGGAGCCAGACCATTCAGGGCCTTAAAAACAAAAATCAGGATTTTAAACTTGACTCTGAAGTTTACGAGTAGCCAGTGGAGCTGCGCCAGTACAGGTGTGATATGGTCTCTTCTAGGGGTGTTTGTTAAAAACCTGGCTGCCGCGTTCTGTACGACCTGAAGCCTGTTAAAAGTGGAGGCAGGTAAACCAATTAAAATGGAATTTGCGTAATCCAGTCAGGAGATGATAAAAGCATGAATTACGGATTCCAGGTGTGCTCGTTTCAGGATCGGTTTTAAGAGAACTAGTCTGCGCAGCTGGTAAAAACACGATCTGACCACTGCGTTAATCTGAGGGCCCATGATCTATTGTTTATATCCGTGGGAACAATTTAATGACAAGCAACCTACAACCCTTGTGTTCCATCCTGTCATGTTTGATTTATGATACCATCCACATTGAGCTGAATGACACAACCGGTCCCAAACTGGAACCAGCAGCCCCCCCCCTCCAGCCTGGCCCTCCTCTCTCCCTCTCTCTCGCTGCAGACAAACACCTGCAGGATCAACACCCCTTTCAGCCCCCACTGCCTTTCACTGTTTTCTAACAAACAACTACAGCCAAGGTCTTTGTGTTTTTTCACCATCATAAACAATGGTCTGTGTTTACGGCAGCCTTCTGCCACTAACCTTTTTGAGAAGAACCCCATGAAAACAAGATGATGCATTTCTTGGGGTTATTTTTCTTTGAATAACTGTGTAAATAGATGACTAAAAAAACCTCTTGGAATCTTTTTTTTTTTTTTTTTAGAAATTACACTACTTCCATTTTCAGACTTTATTCAGAGATACATTAATTTTTTTCCAAAATACTGTCAGAAAAAAGAAAAAGCAGTCTTGATTTTATTCAGATTCCCACTGAAAAAAATACTTTGTCCACCTCTCAACAAACAAATCCACGGAGGTGCTTGGAAAAGGCACAGATATTTGGTCAGCATAGATTCTCACACACACGTTGGATATTTTTTGGCAAGTAACTAGTTTCCACAAGTGTTTCCAGGAAGCCGTGACTCCCTCTTTTTGAAACGGCTCAGATGTTTAGATAAGCTTGGAAACACCTATTTCCCATCTGGACTCCTAATAGCTTGCTTGTTGCAGAAACAAATGGGATGTTTGCATGATGATGCTGAGTCAAGCAGAAGACCTCACACACACACACACACACACACACACACACACACACACACACACACACACACACACACACACACACACACACACACACACACACACACACACACACACAGAGAGAGAGACAGACAGACACAGGTGTGGCTGCTCATCTTCACCCGTGTGTGTGCTTGGGTGGAAAACACACTGTAAAGCGCTTTGGAGTCCTCTGACTCTGAAAGGTGCTATCCAAGTGTGGGTCAATTATCATGAAGAAAAGGTTTGTTGTGGGATTTAATTAGAGGCGTATCAAGCCTTGAGAAAACAGTCCTGGATTCAAAGTGAGTGGGTGTTTTTTCCCTGGCAATAGGAGGCAGTACATACCTAAATCATTGCAAGCGAGCAGTATTTTTGTGTTTGAGTAAGACCTTACCAGCGGATGGTCATTAGGGTCAAAATTCCCTGCTGCGCAATTTTCAAATGAGTACTTCGCCAGATCATTCAAGCTCCAGCAAAATGACAAGCACATCAGACTCCCTTTTATCACTGGCAACGAGTGAAATGTTTAAAACATAACGTTCATATATAGTGAAAGTTTTGTATTCATTTTTCACAGTATTTTGATGGATATTTCCATAGATTAATGGTAAAAACTACACATTGTCACTTTAATAAACAAAGTTTAGATTCTTATTGCAATAAGAAGAGAAACCACAGTCGCACAAAGCAACCCGTTTCCAGAGCAATCGTCCTGCCGACAAATGTCTGCAGCATCAATACTCCTTTCACCCCCCACCGCCTTTTCCGACTCTTCTAAGAAATCAAAAGGCACCAAGCTATGCCTTCTAAGGACTGGAAATGGCCCTAGGCCTCTTTCTCAGGCTGTTAATCACATAACAGAAGATACTTACTGCAAACAATTAAATGCTTCATTCCAGTCAATACTGATAAATCATGAACCAAATTTATCCATCACAGTTTTATAAAATAAAGGTGATTTCTTGAATCTTTGAGGTGTTCGCTGTGATCTAACTCGTATAATCACATTCCGTGCTCTTTGTGTGTGTTTGTGGCAGGGATGGGATGTCTTCCAGGAATTCACGGAGCTCTTTATCCTGGTTCCAGCTGTTTTAGGCATGAAGGGGAACCTGGAAATGACTCTCGCCGCAAGACTTTCCACTGCTGTGAGTGCTTCGAGTCAAATATATTCAGACATCTAGAAAGCTTAAAAAAACCAACACCTTACTGAAAACACACCCTCATGATACTGAAGAAGAAGAGCTTTTTTCAGGGAGTTTCACTTGACATCAAGCTAGTGTGGCAGTGTGAGCGTCCTGTCACAGTGTCCCGATTGATCATGCGCCCTGGCTACGTGGCCAAGGGGATGTCCCTTTGGCTGACTGGTAAGCACGCATGACTCTCACCCGAGAGTCAGGGGATCGAATCTCACTTGGGCCCTCGTTTCTCCACCTCGCCATGGTAGGATATTATCTGGCATGTCAAGCTCCAGATGTGCCACGAGGAAAATAAAATGGCACTAACTTTTAATCATTGGCTTACAACTATGAAGAAAATGTTGTAATATTTGTACTTTTAGGGCAGCAGTCGCTCAGGAGGTAGAGCAGGTTGTCCACTTATCAGAAAGTTGCAGGCTTGACCCTGGCTCTCGCTAGAGAATGCTGCTGGTGTGTCCTTGGGCAAGACACTTAACCCCGTATGCCTGCTGGTGGTGGTCGGAGGGTCTGGTGGAGCCTGTGCTCAGCAACCTCGCCTCTGTCAGTGAGTCCTGGGGCAGCTGTGGCTACATTGCAGCTCATCACCATCAGTGTGTGAATGGATGAATGATACACTGTGGTGTAAAGCACTTTGGAGTCCTCTGAAAGGCGCTATACACATGCAGGTCACTTATCTTTTACTTTTTCTTCACATGTAGTTGGTAAAATAAATAAAACAACTCTACTCAAAAGCGTTTGTGAGATGAGAAATATTCACCCGATGATCCTAAAAGTTTCATTGATTTGTCTTAAGTTCAGTGAAGAAGGTAAATGAGTTCCAGGGGTGCCCAATCCTGGTCCTGGAGGGCCGGTATCCAACATGTTTTAGTTTTAACCAGTGGCGTGTCCAGATCTTTTAAAACGGGGTGGCCCAGGTAAGGCACAACTTTGTGCAAGGGTGGCACCAACGGTTATGCTTTTTTTGTTTTACCCCCAAGCCTTTTGTGGACAATGAAAAGCCTATTTAAAGGTAAATTAGTGTGCTGGCATCTGGGGTGGCCAATCAGATTCCAAGGGTGGCATGTGCTACCCCAGGCCACTCCCTGGACACGCCCCTGGTTTTAACCCTGTTTTAACACACCTGACTTTAATCAGCAGGTAATTAACAGGCTTCTCCAGAGCCTGATGAGCCGCTGAACAAGTGATTCAACCACTGAATCAGGTGTGTTGTAGCAGAGGAACAATAAAAACATGCTGGATACCGGCCCCGCAGACCCAGGATTGGACACCCTGACAACCCTTTGTTGTAGAAAATTTTAATAACTTTATGTGATTTTTTCAGGTGAATGCAGGGAGAATGGATTCTACCAGAGAAAAGTGGATGCTAATTGTTGGTAACTTAGCACTTAAACAGGTATACTCTGCCTTTTTTTACTTGTAATATTTTGTCCTCCAATTAGGCCAAATGTTCTTTTTTTTTTTGTTCTACATTTCTATTTTACAGCTACAAGCCACAGTATTGGGCCTGTTAGCTTCTCTTGTAGTGACTCTGCTGGACTGGATAGCAGAAGGAAGGATGCCCTTGAATCACCTGGTGCTCCTCTGTTCAACCAGCCTTTGTGCTGCGTTCATGGCATCACTGCTGCAAGGTAATAACACCACTGTAAATTTAAAACCATCGCTTCATTAAAAATATCCTAAACACATGGAAAGCTTCATTAAACAAGTTTCTGTTGTGTCATTTCTCCAGCAGCTATTCAGATGTCTGTGTTCCTTCAGCCCCTGTGGTTTTTAGTTTTCCTTCCTTTGACCTGGTAACCTGCACAGCTTTCAGCCATCACACTCAGCACACCTTCCTCTGTGTATTGAAACTCCCAGTCATTTACCCACATTGTCAGACTGTGATCTCCTGTGTTAATCCAGCAGACGAGCTCACATCACTCCAGTTTTACAGTCCCTCCACTGGCTCCCGGTAGAATATAGAATACAGTTTAAAGTTTTAGTCCTGACCTACAGAGCTCTTAACAACCAGGCTCCAAGCTACCTATCTGAGCTTTTATCCCCACACACCACCTCTCGGAACCTTAGATCCACATCTGAAAACCTCCTGGCTGTTCCTCGAACCAGACTAAAAACCAAAGGGGACAGGGCCTTTCAGACTATTGCACCCAGACTTTGGAACTGTCTTCCTTCAAACCTCCATCTCTCTAACACTGTAGAGGTCTTTAAAAATAATCTAAAAACTCACCTTTTCATCCAGGCGTTCCCTCCCTAAATGTTTCAGAATGATGGCTTTGTTCGGGTTCACACCTTCACTTTGTTTATACTCATGATTTTATTTTCTACGTTTATCACTGCTATTGTTTTTCTGATGTTTTTTTGGTTAGAGGTATTTGACCTGATCTTTATCATGCTGTACAGCGCTTTGTGATTCATATCTGAGAAAGGCGCTATATAAATAAACTTTTACTTACTTACTTACTTACTTTAGTGCATCAGTGTTTCTTCATAAATCCCTTTTATCTTACCTTCCTGCATCCTGGGGATCTCTCACCTGGATTTGGGTCCTTCATCACATCCTGACACTGACTATGCCTTAATGTGGTGGAATTGTATCAATATTTATTGTTTAAAAAAAACGTAAAAGCATCCAGCATGCAGCGCTCAGTGAGTGACTCCTCACTAGGGGTTGTATCAACTAGTCGACTAGTCGGCTAGACGACTTCACTGCTCTGTAGTGACTTTTTATGCCTTTCATCGACTAGTCGCTGTCACGTGATAATGACCGACAAGATGGAGTCCTCGGAAAAGACAGCAGGTGACGAGCCCCTATGCGCTGTGCCAGAGCGTCGGTCGGTATTTGACGCCCGTGGTAAAAAGGACATTTGACCGATTTGTGACCTTAACCCTCTCCCCTCACCCCCATCCTAACCTTAACCAGCTTGCGCATGCAAAGCTTTGTTTTGCGTTTCATCGTTCCTCTCAAACACGTTTAACGGAAAATTTAGACTGACATACTGGGTAAAGGTTAGGGTAAGGGTGAGGGGAAGGTTAAATAGCAAGAGGGTAAAGGTCACAATTCGGTAAAATCTCCATTTTACCGCAGGCGTCAAAAAGCAACGTGCTGTGCCAGAGCGTCGCCTTCCGACATGTGTCGGAAAAAACACTTGGTCACCCATCGTCAGTTTTAGCCGATTCAGGTGTATGACATCATCAATAATTAGTTGAAGTCGACTAGATTTTCATTACTTGACTGTCGACTTTAAAAAAAATTAAGTTATGCAGCCCCTACACCTCACAGACCAGAGTGTATACACACTGGTTTCACAATGAGGTCATTTGTCATCTATTTCCATAGGTTCTGTTTCTTTTGCTAACTTGTCAACTAACAGCTTTGGTTTCACAATCATAACTTTAAAGAAGAAATATACTTTCATACGAAAGCCTGTCTCGGGCTTCATAAGCTCTGGAGGTGAGGAACTGAAAACTGCGATTGGGGCAGAAGGCAAGGCAGCTTTATTTGTGAAGCACATTTCAAACACAAATGCAATTCAAAGTTCTTTACAGAACCAAGAACAGCAAGCACAGTAAATCTAACGAGGAAATGTAGACATTAATTTCAAATTCAACAAAAATGTAAAAGAAATACTCAATTGGAGAGCAGTTACAGTGCAGAAAGTGCAGCATAAGAACATTCACGCAAAGGCTGATGAATACATGAAAGTTTTTAATTTTGATTTAAACGTTACTAGAGTTGGGGCAGATTTGAGGTCACAAGGAAGCTGATTCCATCTGTGTGCAGCATAGTGACTAAACACAGCTTCACGTTGTTTGTTTCTGACCCGAGGTTCTACCAAATGACTGTTTCCCAAGGATCTGAGAGCCCTACTAGGTGTATATACTGGAAGGAGATCCGACATGTACTTTGGCCACATGCCATTGAGTGATTTATAAACTAGTAGAAGCACTTTGAAGTCGATTCTGTAGTTTACTGATAACTAGTGTGGAGATTTAAGAACAGGAGTGATGTACTCGTTTTTTTGGTTCTTGTTAAGGCTGTAGCAGCATTCTGAATAAGCTGTATTTGTTTTACAGCTGTTTTGGGATGACCAGTTAGAATATCTTGGTAGTAGTCCAGCCTGCTGTACATGAACACATTAATTAGTTTCTCTGGGTCTTGTTCTGACACGAGACCCCTCTTGCTAATTGATGGAGATGATAATACGCTGATCTAGTTATAGCTTTAATGTGACCAGTGAAACTCAGGTCTGAATCAATGGTAACACCAAGGTTTTCTAACCTGAGTCTTCGTCTTTATTCCTGTGTAGCTAAACTGAGCAATAGCTTCCATCCTATTCTTCTTATTTCCAAAGACAATATCTCCAGTCTTGTCTTTGTTTAACTGAAGGAAATTTGATTGCATCCAGTCACTGACTTGCTCTAGGCACTGATAGAGTAAGCCTAGGGGGGCAGATTCATTTGGTGATAGAGCCAGGTAGCCCTGGGTGTCATCTGCTTAACTATGATAGGCAATGTTGTTATTGTTTATGACTTGACCCATGGGGAGCATGTAGAGATTCAAAAGCAGTGGTCCAAGAATCGAACCTTGGGGGACACCGAATGTCAGGGTGATTTGCTTTGATATGTGATCACCAATGGAAAAAATGTAACTCCTGTCTGCGAGGTATGATTGGAAGCAACTATGGATTATGCCTGAAAGTCCCAACCAGTTCATTAGTCTATCAAAAAAGATGTTGTGGTCCACAAGCTGCGCTGTGATCGAGCATCACTAAATTGCCTGAATCTGTATTAGTATGGATACCATTTAATACGTTTAGCAGTGCATTCTCCGTGCTGTGATGTTGTCTAAAGCCTGACCGAAAACCATCCAGGACGTTGTTTGTCTCCAAGGAGTTGCTCAGCTGGATCACAACTGCTTTTTCAATAATTTTCCCAATGAAGGGCAGATTAGAAACTGGTCTGTAATTATTCATCACTAAGGGATCTAGTTTACTTTTCTTTAGAAGAGTTGTAAGTGCAGCTGCTGTTTGTGGGACTGAAAACATTCAAGAAGTCTACTTTTCCTCCATTTACGCTCAGCTTTGTAGCATTCCCTCTTTTGGTTTGTAACTTATTTGGTTAACCTCCATGGAGCTTTTTGTTTGCCAGAGATGATTTTTTGTTTTTCAGGAGCAATGGCATCAATGACCTTCAGAGTTTTGCTGTTTAATCCATTTAGAAATGAATCAACACAGTTGGTTGTTAGACTTGTTGACATATTCATAAGTTCACTAAAACTGATGCAGTTTTTTTTTATTAGAACAACTGAGTTATGATGGACAACAGGTAAAACTGATATATCAGAAAAACACAGAAATGGTCAGAGGCCGGCTTCCTTAACAACAGTGTCTGGTACATCAATATCTTTGGTTAAGATTAAGTCAAAAGTGTGTGACCTTGATTGTGTGTTGGTAGATGAATATTCTGGGCAATGTCAAATAGTTCAAGCACTCCAGGAAATTGTACTGCAGTTTTAGTATTTACGTCATCAACGTGGATGTTGAAGTCACCAGTTATGAGAGGATGATTGAAGTCTGTTGTAATAACAGAAAGCTCAGTGAAGTTTTCTAAGAAATTATGCATGACCCTGCAAGTCTGTATATTACTAACACTAAGATCTTGGGTGTACCTTTTAATTCAAAACAAAGATACTCAAAAAAGTTAGCTTGGTGAACTAGACCAAATTCTTGCTTTGCAAAGTTCGGTCTAGGCATGCTTCATTGGAACCCTCGCAGCCCAATCCACTGTCGTGGCTTTCAATCATAGCTCTTGGGTTGGGCCAATCACAGCAGTCTATAATGTGGGCCAATCACATCGCATATTAGCTTGCCAGGCTACAAAAAATTCAAAGTCACCATACACTATCTGTTCTCAGAAGAGTCATTCAGAGATCCTCACTAGAAAAAGAGTATGCTCGAATTTCCGTAACAGCTTGTTTCTTTTATAAGTTAGACAAAAGATCAGTTCTCTATTAGTAACGATCTAAAACATTTCATGAACTTCTATAGAAATGTGACAGGGTTAGTGTCATTGTATGCTGACTGATCATGCGCCCTGGCTACATGGCCAAGGGGATGTGCCCTTTGGCTGACTGGTTAGCACGGGGGACTCTCACCGGGGAGTCTGGTGATCATATCCCGCCTGGACCCTCATATCTCCACCTTGCCACAGAAAGCTTCTTTTCTTGTCTGGATCCTCTGCAGCTAGCGGACCTTAATTCCTGGTTCTTTACTTCCAGGGGAGGAGAACCAGTAATAATCTTTCTGATACACTCCCAAAAATGACCATTGTTCAGTAGGTTGGTTCTAATCTGGTTGATGGAAAAAAGCATAGAAAATGGTACAAACAAGACAATGTAACCCCCATAATCCACCCCTCACAGTCAGTCAAAAGGGCCTCGAATCCTCTCAGACATATCCTTAGCTTGGCCCTCCCCATTTTGTGGCATGGTACATTTCTATTGTATCAGTGCATGGAAATGTGTCAAGATCTGTTTGCGTCACAAATCTTGTCCTAAATAAACAAGATGTAAAAATCATGGGTGTCTGATTGTGTAAAGACACTCCAACATACTACATAATACTGGACAGATAGACAGTGGGGGCATGACCTAAGCCATGCCCCAGATCTAATAAACCATCCAACAAACTTTTGCTTGTGTCAAACTTTCTCCAGGAATTGTGATGGTGGGAGTGATTATTGGCTCCAAGCGGATGGGAATCAATCCAGACAACATTGCCACGCTGATGGCGGCCTGCTTTGGAGATCTCTTCACTCTCGCCTTGTTGGTGTGCTTCAGCCAGTGGTGTTACTCCCTCATGGGTGAGAGATGAGTGGGCTGGACTGAAACAATTTGTTTAAACACAATAGGTGAAATACAAGGAGGGGGAGGCAATTGGGGAACACTTTATGTCATTTAGGAATGTGGAGTTTGATAGACAGCTCTTGACCTTTGACCCTATTAATCTATTGTTTCTATTGTCTTATTTGTTTCTATTGTGAGAACAATTTTAACAACTAGTGTGGGCATTTTCTGTTATTCTTAAAGAAGAAAGTCGGAGTCGTGCATCTCAGTCAGACAGCGTGGGTCTTTATTTATTCATCTGCTCACAGCTTTCAGGACAGCCAAAGACAAAAAGACCTCGACCAAATGTGCAGTCCTAAATTTATACCTTTGTCCCTGGCGTTACTCTCACAGTCCTTTGACTTTGGAGAGAGGATGGGGTGATGTTTTCACTTCCCAATATGGTCGACGTGCCCTCCAGCCCAGAGGTCGACGCGCCCTGTTATCTCTATTACCCAATATGATCCGAGAACTCAAGGTTTATTGGAAGTTACATAAGCTGGACTGAAAGACAGGATGGTGAATTGCACGCACGCAGCTTTTGGTCCACAAAGATGAAAAACAGCATGTTAAACTGCACGCACACTGAACACAGCTTTTGGCACCTTCAATCTCAGTAAGCTTTTAACCTAAGGACTCACAATTCAGCTCAATACATGTTGTAGATGACCTCTTGACCTTTTGGCGACAACACTAGCAGGCTGATTGATCTATTGTTTTGTACGTGGGAACAATGTAAATGACTATTGACCTATGAGCCTTTTTTTCTGCCCTATTATTTTTTATTTATGATGCCAGCCAAGCTAGATCCGGCAGCCATGTTAATCACCCCCTGTACAGGCAGCCAGGTAGCTAGCTCTATTAATCCCTAATAAATGAGAGATTAAATGGTTGAATAAAAGTTGAAATTCTGCTGCTGCAGACTTATGGTAAACCTATCTGTAAAAACAAACATGTTTCTCCTCACCAACTGCCTGGCAAAAGGGTCCTGAAGATTTCCAAATAGATGTTGCATACAACATCTGAAGTAAATGGACAATAGAGTGCTCGTCACCTTAGGACCACTAATAACTGCTTAACTTTGAGGCTGAATAGTGTCTCCTAGTTAGAGTTCTACCTGTCTAGTTAATTTTATTTTATCAGTTCCTCTTTTGAAACTCAACATCAAGGCTCTATCGATGCATTTAACTCTTGATTGTCTTACTTGTGATCCAGCCTACCGGTACAACCCCTGACCTTTTGAGTGGACAGACCCGGCTCGCGCTCGCAGAGGCCTCACTTTTGTGGGGAACCAGACAGGACTACTCGGAGTGGGTCTAGTTCCAGGCTTACCTCTTGCTGGTTTGGACCCAGGGATTGTGCTGGCTAAGAGAAGTCTCTCCACCCGATCCTGTTACTGAATCCCACTGAACTGGTGGCAAGGGTATCGTAGAATTCTGATGCAACGAGCGTGCAGCTTCAGATCCAGAGATGCAGCGCGAGCCTTGTTGATTCCAGCCAGCTTCTGGGTTTAGGAGTAAAGGGCTAAGCCTGAGCTAAGCTGAAGTTCCTCTTATGAGAAAGGAGCTATCAGCTATGTAATTATCTAAGTGGTTTTGATGAGTAAAATGACTTGCAAGTGTCCTTTGGGTTCTAATAAAGCAACCCTTTTAATAAATCAAGAAATTTCAACACAGTAAACTCAGCCAAAAGGCCACGGCAAAAATGATCAAGAAAAACAGTAAATCCACATAAACATTTTTTGTGAGTTTTGTTATTTTATGACTTTTTTTGGTAAATAAGGCACAATGAAAATCATGACACTTCTAGTGAAGCATTAGCACATGTCTACTGAACTAAAGTTTAAGCAAAATATGAGATTATTAAATCAAGAAATATAAACTGAAAGAATGTAAAATTAAAACGCGATTGAAAATCAAGCAATCAAAATGTTAAGCATTACCGGCTCAAAGTTCAGAAGATTAAAACACAAGTAAAATTAAACTTAACAGTTAATATGAAAAGAATGTCAAGCAATTGAGATTAACAAGTTAGAGGGATGTAAATCATAGGTAACTAAACCTTTTTTACAATTAAGTAAAATTATTGATTGTGTTTAGACAAATTTTAGCAATTTACATCTACTATAGTTAGATGGCTAAAACCCTCCAATGAGCCTTTGAGCGTTGTTGAGCTTCTCGTCTACCGGTTTTAGTCAGCACCCCTCATGTGCCGCCACTCTAAGTTTTGACCTCTATCCTATCATTCATTTATATACATACGGACATGGATACAAATAAATGCAGCGCCCAAGGCACTGGTCCTTTATGCCGTCTTGGTGCGGCCCGTGTTCACAACGCTCATTATAGATTTAATTAAAGAATGGCTCGCAATGCGAAGAGCGTTCTCTGAGGTTCTGCGAGGCTCTCTGCCTTCAAGTTACAGAAGGACCAACGCAATCGAGAGCCCCGTTCGTTCTTTGTCGGTCACTTTTATAGCTAAATTCACCATGCTTTTTGGCTCATGAGAGGACCTTCTTCATCAGGCAGTAACATCATTGACCTTTTACTTCACAGGTGTAACTGCAGCTTACGCTGTTATGTGTTCTTAAAGTTGTAACCACATCCCGGCTCTTAGGCAACGTGACATGGAGTTGTTTTCGCCTTTAGCATAGGTGTGTTACCACATTCTGAAAGTAGATCAAGGTGAAGTCAAGTTTACCTTTTTACAGTTGCAGAACATGTCAAAAACATTTAAAACCAGATGTTGTCGCCCCCGCTGTGGTTTTCAGATGTTGGCGGGGTGACGCACATTCCGTGCATCTCAAAGTCTCTGCATCTCTTGCATGCTTCTAGCAGGAAGGCTCGGGTTCAGCACCCGGTCCCAACGGGCATCATGTCTTTTCTTTGTCCATCGCGAGTTCCTGTTCACACAAAGAGGGCCAGGGGAACGTCCCTGAGGCAGCCCTTGCCACAAACATCTATACAAGTTCTGCAATCAAATCAAAGTAAAGTTAGGTTAAAATAAAGAGACTGTATCTACTTTAATCTCACAGTCAGAGACTGAGAGATGGTCAGCTCTCCTGACCTTTGTTACCTCTAATTCCCACAGAAGGCTGCTTTTCCCCCCTATATTTAAAGTTTTTTTTGTTTTCATGATGCGCCTCATGATTTTTATCTTGAAAGACACCTTATAAAATATAGTTTTCTTTCTTTCTTTTCTATCTAAAAGCTCTTCTCGCCCATCAATTTAGCCATTCAGCTTGTATTCTTCTGTGAAATATATAACAAATAATTGTATACCAACTGTCAGTACAACACTGATTTTGTGTCAAAACATCTTTTCAAAAACACAAATGGAACCCTTGAGCAGGAGTCATCAACTGTCGCGAGCCGAGCCATCGGGCTACCTCTAGGTGTTAAATCTTCAGGGCTTCAGCTCACGATACAAAATAGTGGGCTTGACCTCAGACCCCTCCTGACAAACACCCTTACTGTGTGGAGAGAGATTTATGTTGTAAAACCTAGACCCTCATTACTGGTAATAAATGACCTGTATTTGCAGTAGGAAGACTCAAGCTGTATGAGCGCATCACACTCGGAACACACACAAAAAAAACCTTTTTCATTAGCGAAGATGCCCTGAGTCTCCTCTCAACATGCCCCTGAAAACCACTGGCCAGCTGGGGCCAGGAATTGGACACCTCTCCGCCACACCTCTCCTGGCTGGTTCGATGGAGGGGGCACAGCTTTCACCCACATTGGCCCGTTGGTACCTGGAACAAGAAAGCTTGGTGACTCTGAGATCAGCTCGGTGGGTTTGTGTTGAGGGGGATCCACTGCAGGTTCGGGCTCGCTGCGCTCTTGCACGTAGTCTCCCTTTGAAAAATAACTTATTTGAGCGTCTTGTTGGTTCTGGTCCATTTTGCTGGTGCAGGTGAAACTCCCGCTCCAGATCAGGGCGGGTATTAGCCAGGCTGTTAGTGCGCAGGTGCGGCAGCCACACAGGAAAATCCACAGAGCGTCAAAACGAGCGCACCCCAAAGAGGTTTGTTCCCGCCCAGTCCCACAAGTCTTTCTGTTAGCTGAGCGGTTGCTAGGAGATTGTACTTCTAAGTTTTGAGCGAGAGCAGACAAAATCCGTGAGAGCAGGGGACAGACTTATGGGAGGAGTTTTGATCCGTGCAGAGAAAAAGCTGTCACGTGAGAAGACAACACCAGTGTAAGAAGGTTAAATCTGAGCGCAGAAACGAAGATTTGAAGGAGAACAGAGTGAATTTGAAAGAGAGCAGACATTTTGAGCACAAGTATTACAAGTTTTGAGAGCAATAATATCAAATCTTATTCTGAAATTAAAAAGTTGGTCTCTTGATATGAAATTCTGCTCTCAAATTGAAAGTTCAAGTGCTCAATTTCTGGCACTTTAATTCTTCCACGCCTCCAGAGTGCCAAAACTCCCAACAGTCGAGTGAGCAGAATCAGAAACCGAGCGTGCAGAAAGGCTGCCACACGCGCAGTGAGGCTGCCGCACCGAGCGCGCAGAAAGGCTGCCACACGCGCATGTTTTCCTCTGTCGTGTGCTCGTTGGCCAATGCGCGCACGCAGGTTTGTCACTTGCGCACATCCTTGTGCGCTCACATACACAGTTTGCTCCCTCTCAGTGTACAAATGACCTCCTTGCCATGTATATTTTCACTCGTGAGGTTCTAACCTCCACGCGCAAGTCCCGTTCGCACGCGCGATGTGGACAATATGCATGCACGGGTTTTGGCTACACTTGCACGGTTTTGGCGGAAACCTGACACCATACATTGTGCTCCATCCCTGTGTTTGAACTCAGAAGATGCTTCTTGATGCCACAGATATGTGATGATTTAGCTTGTTTCTTTATTTTACTCCAGAATAAGAGATTGAATTATTATTAAAGCAGTTCAATGTAGTTAAATTTGTCATGACGTGTGTGTGTGTGTGTGTGTGTGTGTGTGTGTGTGTGTGTGTGTGTGTGTGTGTGTGTGTGTGTGTGTGTGTGTGTGTGCGTGTGTGTGCGTGTGTGTGCGTGTGTGTGTGTGTGTGCAGGGGGGCTGCAAGAGATTTTGGGCCCCATGGAAAAAAATCAAGTTGGGCCCCCTGGGGGCTCGTCCATAGCTGGAGCTGGGGTTCCACCCTCCCAGATTCGAAGGGTGTAAAAAATATAATATATATACTTAATATTAGTAATGCAGTTTTGCTTAATTATGTAGGTCTACATGCATTCTTACTTATTTACATATCATTTTCACCAACTGTCTCTCATTAAACAGTGAATTTCCTTCAACAGAATTAGCAATATCACTGCTGGAAAAAGCAGGAAATGCACATGCTGAAAGGTGTTAATCTACTTTTCCCTTTTACTCCCTTAAAATGTGTTTATTTGTTCTAAAATTTTATTTGATGATAAAATTCAAATTTGGATATCTAATTAAATTTCCATGTTGTGTCAAAGCTTTACATAACTACATTTCCAGCTGTCTTTCCTCTTGAAATCAAGTATTTCTGCATGACTGACAAAAATTAAGGATTCACTGCTCACAAGGTGACTTCTTTATTAAGTCTCCATAGCTTCATCATAGACACAAAATGAATAAGCACACAGTCCAAACCGGAGTCAGTTAGGGTTACATAAAACTTTAAAGTTGGATAACTTTGCATGAATACATATATAAGTCTCTAGAAACCCTTTTTTCTCAACAAAAAAACAGCTAAAAATATATTCAGCCTTGATTGTACACAGCAAGATTTATTATTTACAGTGATATAATTAATAATGCTCCTGAGTGACATACTTAGTGACGGACTAAATAACAATGCTTCAACCTGCCCAGCATCAAAAACAATCTATACATTTTTACTGATGTATATAATTATCATTATGTGGGAAAAACAATGTGTTTATTACCAAAAATAGCCTTTTTATATTCCTTTGTAATAGTACTGATAAGAGAAGAGAGCCTTAAGTGATTACCACAGACCCCCTTAAATGAGGCTGCTAGCACGAGGGCAAGATGTCAGAGGTTTCCCAACAAAGAGAGACTCGGGTCAGATTTGAACTTTTTCCTTAGCGAAGCTGCCCTGAGTCTCCTCTCAACATCCACCTTTGGGTCTTACTGGAGACTTTTGGCTGGAACACAGGAACATTCTGGTTCACATCAGTTTACTGTTAACATGTCAGATAAGCATCAAACTTTACTGGAAGCACATCTCAACGTTGGCCAAAACAGGAAATTCCTTTGGAGCTGATGGGAAAAAACAGCACACGAACCTCTCCCATCAGGTTTTAACCCAAAGACTCACAATTCAGCTCAATACTTCTTTAAGTTGACCTCTTGACCTTTTCGGCCACTACAGTATATTGAAGAGTTGCTGCAGACCTGGAACCACCTTGCTGAATGAAGAGTTAAACCCTAGCCTACAATGCTGGGCAGTCTAGATGCTACAGAGATCCTTGATGTTGAGGAAGATGTGAGGAGTTTGACACCAGGTTGTCACCAGTAACATGACAGAATATGGCTTCTACCCTTTTATTAAAAATGAAGTTGGGAAGTTAATTAGGCTGAAGTTATTACAAGAGGAAACCTGTAATTTATAATCATTGTTTTTGATGACGTCCTAATGAATATGTTCTAAATAATTCACATTTCTTCTCAACAGAGCTCTATCCCTATGTGTTGTACCTGGTTGATCTGTTACATATATGTCTGATACCTGTTTGGATGAGGGTTGCCTCCAAACACCCAGAGAGTCACATCCTGCTCCGTTCAGGCTGGGAACCCATCATCACAGCCATGGTCATCAGCAGGTACTCAGCAGAGTTTCGTTTCAGCTTCAAGCTCAACAAAAATGTTCAGAAAATTCAACATTTTCTGTGAAATTTGCACTTTTTCTGAATTTTGAACAGTTGAAGCTGAATGTGTTCATATCTAGATTATTATCATTATATTTTACTGGTTACTGGACTCTATTAAACATACAAAATCTGCTTTCTACTCTGGAATTGGTTTCCTCCAATGAAGGCAACTCCAGGACTCTGTTCTCAATAATGCACAATATTTTTCATCCCCGGACTCTCTACCCCCACCCCCCCCCCCCCCACCCCCCCACCCCACACACACACACACACACACACACACACACACACACACACACACACCTGTATTCTGCTGACTCATGTAACTCTTTAATAACCTTCTTTACTCAGAAAATTGCTTCCATACACCAGCAATTAATTCCAAGCTCTTCCCCTCCCCCTGAGATTTTTTCACCCCGCCAATCATTTTGTTCCTTTCTTCTTCCCACCTCATCCGAAATATCTGATCTTGTCTGTAAATCCAAGCCCACCACCTGCTCTCTCGACCCCCTTCCTACAGTTTTGGTTAAAACATGTCTCGCCTCCCTTCTCCCTCTCATAACCACCATAATCCACTCCTCCCTCTCTACCGGTATTGTTCCCTCACTTTTCAAAACTGCATCTATGTCTCCAATATTAAAGAAAAACGGCACTGATCCCAATAATTTCAATAATCTTCGTCCCATCTCAAATCTTCCATTTCTTTCAAAAATGCTAGAAAAAATAAACTCTGTTCAACTCCATGCACATCTCACCCTCAATAGCCTCTATGAGCCCTTCCAGTCTGGTTTTCGACCTGGCCACAGTACAGAAACTGCACTCATAAAAATCACTAACGACCTCTTCACTGCTGCCGATACTGGACTGCTCTCCATTCTCATCCTCCTTGACGTGAGTTCAGCCTTCGATACCATCTCTCACACCATCCTCCTCCATAGATTGTCTTCCCTTGGCATTTCTCATACCCCGCTTGATTGGTTCCGTTCATATCTCTCTGGCCGTACTCAGTTTATTCAACTCAAATCCTTCACTTCCCGTCCCTTCCCTGTCACTACTGGCTTCCCCCAAGGCTCTGTTCTCGGTCCACTCCTTTTCATCACTTACCTTCTTCCCCTGGGAAATATTTTCCGTAAATTTGACATCCATTTTCATTGTTACGCGGATGACACCCAGCTCTATGTATCCTCCAAACCCTCCTCTTCACTCCCTCCTTCCTCCCTCACCAATTGTTTATCTGAAATCAAAGACTGGTTCACATCAAACTTTCTCAAACTTAACAGTGATAAAACAGAAAGGTTACTTGTCGGCACTAAATCTTTACTATCCCAAATCCACAGCTTTACTCTTCCTGTCGACAACTCCTTAGTTTCCCCCTCCCCTCAGGTCAAGAGTCTGGGTGTCATCCTCGACTCCTCACTATCCTTCCAGTCCCACGTAAACAATATTACCCGGTCTGCCTACTTCCATCTACGTAACATTAACCGCCTACGCCCCTCCCTCACTACTCACTCGGTCGCCATCCTTGTCCACAGCCTCAGCACTTCCCGTATTGACTACTGCAACTCTCTTCTCTTCGATCTTCCTCACAAATCCCTCCATAAACTTCAACTTCTCCAGAACTCGGCAGCCCGCATCATTTCCAGAACTCCCTCCTTCCACCACATCACCCCTGTTCTTCAGCAGCTCCACTGGCTCCCAGTCACTTCCAGAATCCAATTCAAAATTCTGCTATATACATTCAAAGCCATCCATAACCTAGCTCCCCCCGTACCTCTCAGACCTCCTTCATCCTTCAACCTCCACCCGTTCCCTCAGGTCCTCCTCCTCCATCCACCTCTCTGTCCCACCTTGCCGTCTGGTCACTATGGGGAGCAGGGCCTTCAGTCGCTCTGCTCCCCAGCTCTGGAACTCACTCCCTCCTGACCTCCGTAACATTGATTCCCTCACTCTCTTTAAAACCAGACTCAAAACCCACCTGTTCTGTCTAGCATTCCAATAGTTACTCTCTTTGCTCCAATTTGTTTGTTTTATGCTGTTCTATCTTTTATTGTTTGTATTTTATCTCTGTCTGTAAAGTGTCCTTGAGTGTTTAGAAAGGCGCAGTTGAAATAAAATGATGATTATTATTATTATTATTATTATTATTATTAATAATTATTATTATTATTTTATTTTCCGTCTTCATCAGTTCCACTGATTTTGAGATGCCTTTTGCTTGCTCGCCATCATTGCATGTATTCAGTAATCATGAAACCCCGTTTATAGTCCTTGTTTTCTTTGTCTTATCAGATCTTCTGCTGATCTTTCTCTTCCTGGGTTCTGATATTATATTTTATGTTTCTGATACTGAATGTATTGATCCTTTTTTAATTTGTTTGCTGTTGCTATGTAATTACTTTTTGGGATAAAGATGCTATCAACATAGAACAATATCAGCAAGTGCATATCGGTTAATATTTCTGCATAAATAGAAATTTATAAATTTATAAACTATTAAATGAGTCAAATCACATAAACTGTCCCAAGGTGGTGGAAAAAAACGTAAAAATCCTTTATTAAGGAGTAAACCCAGAGAATGCAGGGCGCCAAAAAACAAAATCTGAAAATCCTAATAACTAAACCTAGAGAATCCAAAAACACAAGAGACCTAGAGATTCTAAAAGCTAGAGAGGGGGACAAGACGAGGTTGACACAAACAATGAACCAACAACACTCTGAGACGCAGACAGGGCTAAATACACTGGGGCAGGATGAGTGGGAGATGAGCTGCAGGTGTGTGGAGAGAGAAACCTAGTGAAAACAATTAACTAATCAGGGAGAGGAAAATAACATGTCCTAAGAGTAAAAACAAAACCTGAAGACAAGAAGATTAAGATAAACAACTAATGATCTGTGGATAACTAAAAAAACAGTGGAGAAAGAAAACACACTAAAAAGAGACTAATAAATGAAAAGCTGAACCTATAGGAAAAAACTACAGAAAGAAAAACGACACAGTTGTGACTGAGGCCCTGTCCACACGTAGCCGGGGATCTGCCAAAACGTAAATATTTTTCTACGTTTTGGCCTGTCATCCACACGAAAACTGAGTTTTTTTCACACGAAAATGGATATTTTTTTAAAACTCCGGCCAAAGTGAAGATCTGCGTTTTCTCCGTTTTGGGTGTCTGCGTGTGGACAGACAAAACCGGAGTTTTGAGGTCCGCAAGGTCACTTTCTGCGACAAAAAAATGCTGACATCACGTGTGCGACCTGTGTTTACACTAGCCGACAGCATGGATGCCCTCAGAGCTGCGCTCGCTTTATCAATTGTCCAAGCGCTTTTTGCTTGTTTGTGTTTGCAAGCGGAATTACTGCTCCTTGCGGAAGACCACAGACGAAGGACGAGGTTAAGAACGGGGGAAGTACTGCCGCCTACAGGTCTGGCATGTCCTTAACAACGTATTTATCTGGGTACGTGATGACAGAGTTTTTTTTTTTAAACGAGGTGGTGTGGATGCAAGTTTTTGGAGGGGCGGATATTCGTTTTTTTAAAAAAACCCGGCTACGTGTGGACTAGGCCTAAGGGAGACCACGGGAGCAAAGGACCTGGGGGGATACCTGGGGAGGGGGGAAAACCTAGATGGGCTGCAGATCAGGGGACACATGAGGAAGATGCAGACAAGGACACGAGGATGCTAGACACATAAGGAGAACCTAGAGAGGGATGGAGAACACAAGGAGACACATGAGGGAGACGCAGACCATGACATAAACAACACAAAGTTGAAATATTTCTCTAAGTTTACAAATCAGAATGTGATCGGTGAATGACTCCTGTGTTGTAAAGCGCTTTGGGGGGCAGTAGGACTCTAGAAAGGCAGCCATTTATCATTTGTTTATTTACAATTTGCACATTTACAGTTTTGCTGTCCTCGTGAATGCAGGGAGCGATAAAACTGAGAAGCATTTCGCCAATCCAAGCAGATAATTTAAATCATAGTGCAATAATGTTAACTGTCTTCTTCTCAGTCGTGCACCAGCTCCTCTGGTTGCGCTTCAAGGATTTCCTGGGCCAGCCGAGAGATAAAATTCCTCTGTTGTGGCTGCTGACAGTTTGAAACACCTCCCCTCCCACACAAGTGTGGATGGTCACAGTTTGATCGAGATAAGCAGATGGTGAGGATGTGGAGAAACACATCTGGGGCTAAAACAACACTTAGTTTTATCAAGTGTCACAAAGTGCTTAGTTCTTGAGTTTAGAAATCCGAAAGCATTTGTGAGTACAACGATACTGGGTGGCAAAGGTTAAATAAACACGTAAAAATATATACATGCAAATAAATATTTCCTGGAAGCAACGGTGTAGAAATAGCTTTGATGCAGAAATTTTATTCAAGGTAAATCAAACTTATTGTAATGGTGACTGAGATTTTTGCTAATACCTCCAATTGCACCCCATGGGTCACCGTCACAAAAAAATAACTTTTTAATCTTATTTTTAGTGTTGGAAGACTTATTCTGGACAAGACTGTGTCTGATGAAAACTTAATGGGAATCGTTGTTTATGCTCCAGTCATAAATGGTAAGTGATGGTGGTTTTCTCTTTATCTGCACTTTTTTCGTCAGTTTGAAGTTTAGGTATCATTTCGTCATTGTAATTTGTTTATTTGTAAAAATTATTATGGAACAAAACTGCAGATCAGGGCCAGTACCTGTCTCTTGAAAGGAAAAATAATATTTGATCACACATGTGAACCTGAATGCTTATAAATAATCATCTCTGTGTTAATCCTCATATTCGTTTCAATGTCCGTGTGTTACTCATGCACCTTTAAACTGAATGATGCCCTAGTACTGAGTTGGACCTATATCAGATTTATGCAATAACTCCTCAAAATTTTTTCCACCTTCCTGGTTCTTGAAATCACCGAACAAACAAAAAGTAAGCCACCAAGTTGCCTTGTATTTCAATCACCCACTCTTTATTTACCCATACGCATTTAGGATTTATTTCTGCCACCTCCCAGTACCTGTGACAAATCGGATCTGTTCTCACAAAATACAGTTTTATTCTCTGTCCTGCTGCAGATTCTCTTGCTGGCACCTCCCTAGATTTCTGAAGAACATCACCTGCTTCCTCAGAGAATAGCATTTCCACATTTTCAGTCAATCCTCCTGATAGGATGGGAGTCCACTTTTGCCTCGCTCTGTTTCCTGTTTTATCTCCCACACTGTGAACAGACTCCCCCTGCTCCTGGCCTTTGTTCTGCATGTGATTCTTCATGCATCAGCAGCAACTTAAACCAACTTAAACATGCATAGGTCAGATATGGCTAGAACTCAGTATGATGGCATATAGATCACAAGTGAACCATTCAAGATAAGAGTGCCCATGCATCATTCAGTTTAAAGGTAGATAAGTTACATAAGAACACTGAAATTAATATAAGGATTAACATACAGAGGATTAATTATAAGTATTCAGGATTACATGTGTGATCAAACATTATGTTTCCTTTCATAGGCTAAGAATAGAAATGTTTACCCGTTTATCGGCTGTGATTGTTAGTACACAGGATGTGATGTGGGTTTTGCAATTGCTGCATCAAGCATGGTCAAAGAAGATCACATGTGACATGGGGCTGCATCATTTAAAAGGAACATTTTCCATTGTTCTCCTTATCAGGTGTTGGAGGAAACCTCGTCTCCATCCAGGCTAGTCGTATCTCAACTCATCTGCATTTGAATTACTCACCCAGAGAAATTCCTGACAGCCATAAAAGCTGCTTCAACCTCTGTCACACATTCGTTGGAACAGGTTTTCTAACTTTTTCTGTATAATGTAATGTCAAATGTCCTGCTCTTTATTTAAATATTGCAAACAGATGTTTTTCTTTATATACATATATATTTTTTACTTCTTAAGTTAAGTGGGTTAGGGGTAAGTGTGGTGTGGTGCTGAGGTCTGACAACATCCTCCGGAGTAAAAAGAAGATAAAAATTTAGATGGACCAAAGCATCGACAGTACTTAGGAGATACGTTTGTTCCTTGCAGGCATGGAGGAATAATGTTTATTTATTTATTTTATTTTTTTGTTCAATTCATTCAGTCAGATATAAAACAAAACATAATATAATCATAAAACATAAATCATTACATTCAAAGTGACTGAAAAGGCTCAGGCAGAAGCAAAATGCTTATATTTATGCCTGTCCTTTTTATTATATTATAATATAATAATGTCCTTGTTAATATAATAATAGTAATTAATTAAAACACAGACTGTCAAACTGAAATACTCTCCTCAATTCTGTACCTGGTATAAATAATGTTTATTTATTTATTTTTTTATTCAATTAATTCAGTCAGATATAAAACAAAACATAATATAATCATAAAACATAAATCATTACATTCAAAGTGACTGAAAAGGCTCAGGCAGAAGCAAAATGCTTATATTTATGCATGTCCTTTTTATTATATTATAATATAATAATGTCCTTGTTAATATAATAATAGTAATTAATTAAAACACAGACTGTCAAACTGAAATACCCTCCTCAATTCTGTACCTGGTATAAATATTGTTTATTTATTTATTTTTAAACAGAATCATAGTAACACATTTCCATAGTGTCCCCTCCATCCTATTCTCCACATACCGAAATACAAAAGGTTTTACTTGTTGTACGTGCAAAAAGAACTCTGAAATGAAATTGTTCCCGTAATTTATAACCCCCTTCCTTTTCAATTAATAATTTTTGGATGTTTTCTGATAAAAGTTTTTTCTTGCTAGAAATAATATTTGTGCTGTCTGCAATTCTACAATGTCTCTAAATTTTAGTTGACTGTATAAATAATTTATTAGTGTGATCCCTATATCCTACCTTATAAATGATTTGTATTTATTTCTTTAGCAAAATTATTAATAGTTGATTATTAATGGTTCAATAATGTTAAATTAAAGGTGTGGATGTGCTACTTTGTGGGGCCGGTGGCATGGTGTCAAACATTAACCCCCAAATTCCACTACCTCCGCTCCGCTCCGGTCCGCCCCCGCCTTCCGCAGCCTCTCGCTTCCGAATTCAATTTTTACTGGTACCCGCTCTACAACGGCTCCGCTCCGGTGTGGAGACCTGAGGGGGGCAAACAAGCATGCGCGGGATTTTCAAGATCTTGCGATACAGTCCGAGCAATAAACGCGGAAGTTAGATCCAAACACCCGTTGTGTGTGTTGGTCTTTCTTCTGTTAGACCAAGCACAGGTACGGAGAAGATGGAGATAAACACCTTTCGTTGGCAGAATGTGGAGTCAAATGATCAGAAGTCCAGTCACTGTTTTCACCGCTCATGAGGGGGAGAGCGTGCAATTCCAGCAGAGCCCGCGTTCTGCTCCTGTCTGTTGCTTCAGACACTCTCCCCGTTCTGCTGAAACGGCTGATTTTTATTGAGGATTACAGGAATGAAACATACGCAGTTTGCCATGTACATACGTCATTGATCATGACAGGTGAAAAAAATAACAGCCTTGTTAGTGGACAGTTAATACATCACGAGAACATGCATCCGTGAGATAACTAGGAACATCCTGGTACGTCCTTGACAGGAAAAGATACACATACACCGGTACCGGAGAGGAACTCAACAGAGATGGAATGTGTTCACTCCTTTCTCTGGTGCAGGAGAAGATATACAGCTATTAATCATTGTGCAGAAGAACACTGAGAGGCCTTGAGTATCTGAGCAGGATTCTTTCCATAGCATATGATAATATATAATAGCATTGAATAATACAAAAGAGTTTACCAGGTGGATACATATATTTTCATGTGGGAGAAGCATCGAAATGAACAGTTTAATCTGCCCATCATTTGTGTTGAGAGATTAGCAGTGTTTGGATCAACAAAGTGTGATTACTTTGATAGTGGAAACTGTATTTATGGCTTACTTTTGTGCATTTAAACTTCAGCCGCCATTGATAGTTGTTAAAAGTTGTTAAACCTGTGCATATGAAACAAAAAACACCTTTTGTTTATCGATTTATTCTGAAAAACGGCAGTTGTGCTTGCTCCTTTACCTGTTGGGCGGTTGTGATTTCTGTCCATTTACTGCGGAGGTGCTCCGGCGCCCGGCGAAAATAGGATTGATTCTATTTTTGCCGGACGCCGGAACAGAGGGCGGCGCACGGTGCCGCACGGCCGGAGCACGGCCGCAGTAGTGGAATTGCTCTGATTGACTACAACGGGACCGATTTTGCTCCGGCGTTCGTGTCGGAGCGGAGCGGAGGTAGTGGAGTTTGGGGGTAAGAGTTCAAGACCTTCTACTTGAGTTCCTCCTACTGGAATCAAGATGTGGGTTTCCTAAAAATTTCAGCCTGAAAAAAGATCCAGTATCCACATATATGACGTCATTTATGGATTCAGCTTTGTGGGCGTTCTATGAGCAGAGAGGACGCAGCGGTAACGGCTCAAATACTCCAGCTGCGTCCTGCGCGCAGCCGCTGTTATATTCACAAAATTGTTCCACCAAAACAAAGTAATTTGTTTGCGATCGTTTATATCAGCTCATATTCTCGGGTACTTTGCGTACTTTTCAGCTGAGTTCATAATCTGTGTATTTACTAATCTGGGTGTAAAACTAGACTCCTCCTTGTCATTTGATGCCCAAGTTGCTGCAGTAGTTAGATCCTGCCGTTTTCAGTTACAACGCCTATCTACCATCAAGTCAATGATTTCAAGAAAGGATTTAGAGACCGTGACGGGTGCGTTTGTACTATCAAGACTGGATTACTGCAGCTCCCTATATGCAGGAATGACTCAATCTGCAATTGCAAGATTGCAGATGGTGCAAAATGCTGAAGCCAGGTTCATCTATGGGGTAAAATGGTGGGAGCACATGTCGCTCTGCAGTGGTTGCCTGTGAAGCATAGTATCGAAATGAAATTCCTGATTAATGTTTTCCAGGCGCTTGCCGGAACAGTGCCACCCCTACTAACACAGGTCCGTTGCAACAACGTTGTCGCAACGTATTTTCTGACACCTTGTGATGTTGCAGGAACGTCGTATGTTACGTAGTAGCGACTTCCAAAGTGAAATTCCGCTACGACGTTGTCAGAACGTCACATAGGACGTTGCTGGAATGTTGTCGCGACATATCCACAACTTTACTGCGAAATTGTGACAACGTTGCTATTGTGACGTTGTGACAACATACCAACTAAATGTTTGTGGCATGTTGCAGAGACGTTTTCAGGTCAACTTTTTTTTTGTCACCTTTATTCATTATGTAGATACCACAGGAAATCATATTGCAAAACTAATGGCAGATTAACAGCAAAAACAACCAGAATGGCAAAACAAATGTATAAAAACCTTAAAAACAAGTAATATAGGACAGCGGTGTCTTGATTTCATTTTAAAAATAAGCTCTACTGCATATGTTTAGTAGTAGGCAGCAGGATCTGATGTAACTTCACAAAGGATGGACAATAAACTGACTTTTCAGCTTTTTATTACATGAAGGTTTGACATTTTCATACACAATTTAAACAAAACATTTTTATAGCACCTCTCAAAATAAAAATCACAAGGCGCTTCAAAAAAATAAAAATAAATGATCAAAAATAAGAAATAGCAAATAGAAAAAGCAAAAATTGTGAACAAAAGAAAGAAAAAAAAAAGAAAACAGAAAGGGTGCAGGCGGCACCCATGTTTTGCGGATTTTGTTTTTATTGTTTTTTATATCTTATGACATCCTTTATTCATATGGTCTCATTGTTGTCTCTAATTTTAATTGATATGATCTATGATTTTATCATGTACTGCACTTTGGGCAGCCTTGGCTGGTGGCATTAAGGTGCTTTATAAATAAATAAATGAAAATGAAATGAAAAAACACACACACACAACTGTTATCTGCAATGTTATTTCATTTTAAATGTCAAAAAGGTTGGGTGGGTCCCAGTGTTTTTGTTGCTGTGGGTAAACGGGTACACATGACCACAGTATGTCACGTCGTTTTCTGGCGCTTGCTGAAAACAATTGCACTACCACCCTCCATGTCTATTGTTCCAAAATGAATCGAACTGGTCTCTGTTTTTAGAACTTCATTTGTGCCGGTTTGTGTTGTTGTAAGACGATCGCATTCAATGACGCAACCAGATGAACATATCTCAGTATATACAGGTCTGTCTGCTATCGCTGCCGGGTTGTTTCTACCCAGTTAATTGTGGCTTGTAGTTGTATATTTTGTTTTGTCCATCCATTTTTATCCACTTATCTGGAGTCGGTCACGGGGGCAGCAGCCTGAGTAGAGAGGCCCAGACTTCCCTCTCCCCAACCACTTGGGCCAGCTCCTCTGGGATAATCCCAAGGCGTTCCCTGGCCAGTTGAGAGACAATGTCCCTCTAGCGTGTCCTGGGTCTTGCTTTAGGTGTCATCCCGGTTGGGCGTGCCTGGAAAACCTCACCAGGGCAGCATCCAGAAGGCATCCAAACCAGATGCCCAAGCCACCTCTTCTGGCTCCTCTCAACATATGGTTGATCTAGGGCGCAAGGCAAAGCGGTTTAGAAAACGATGTTTTTAGCCTCGTTGACTTGCATTTATTTTTTCGTTCTTCCGGGGACACATGAGCCGACCGGAAAGGGAGGAGAGTTAGGCTCCCTATAAAGGGGGTATGGGGGCGGTCTCTGTGCTGCCGCAGACTTCCGTTTATCTTAGACATAACCTGCTTTTTATTGCTCATCAAAGTGTCTGTCTTCTGCAGTCCCTGTGTTTGAATCATTTTAGCCCTAAGTGCAAAGCTGCGCACACGTTTTATCTTTACGTTTTTCCATGACAGGATCAAACCAACGTTCTGCTCGAGTTCTGCTCCTTTTGGTTCTGCCTGGTCAGCTGATCTTTTTACACATTATTCACTTGATGAAAGGAGGCCTCACATTGCCCAGCCCTCTCTTCACAGTGTTCTTCCTGTCATTTTCCCTGATTCAGGTGAGTAAGTCTTGTGACGTTCCCTCCCTCTGCAGATTTCAGACGTTTGCAATTGAGTTCCTGTCTCTGTCTCTAAGGTCTTCTCACTGCTGTGCATAGCTGACTGGATGGTCCACTGTCTGTGGCAGAGGAGCAAAGATCCGGACAGTTATTCAATACCCTACCTGACAGCTCTTGGAGATCTTCTGGGGACTGCTTTACTCTCTCTGTCCTTTCTCTTACTGTGGTGCATTGGCGACCCAGGCGGTGTATAGAGTTACAATGACAAGCAGAAACAAAGTAGCCTAGTGAACTAGACCAAATTCTTGCTTTGCAAAGTTTGGTCTAGGCACGCTCCATTGGAACCTCCGCAGCTCCTACCAGGACTCTGGCTAGCCAATCACAGCTCTCTAGAGGGGTTTCAAACACATAAAGAGCTGTGATTGGTCCATAATGGTGGGCCAATCATAGTGCTCTATCTGCTTAGTGAACAAATCACAGAGCTTTATCTGCTTTGTGTGCCAATCAATGCACTCTATGCCTGGTGGGTGGGATGATGCAACAGAGTGAAACAAGACTATGTCACATTCATTGTCCAGTGGAATGCGGGGATCATTTGAAAGACAACGGTAGAACCCGCCCCACAACTGAGAGCCGTCAATGGAGCGTGGCCAGACTAAATAATACATTTATTTAATCTGGCTTGCCAGGCTAGAAACAAACAACATTCACAACAAAAACCTGTTTTCATTTTTTCTATCATGACCTAAGTTGAATAAAGTACAAGTAAGTTATTGCAGAGATGTCTTAAATGGGACATATTATGCTTCTTTCTGTGCTACTATGTTAGTCTACTGCTTCTACACACTTCCAACATGAAACAAACTACCAATCTGTTTTCTGTTTGTGTTTGGTTTTAGAAATTACTTGCCTAATACAAATAGCTTAAAAAGTCCCAGATTGTGACATCACAAACAGGGGAATTATAATAGAAACACCTCTCATGTGCAAGAGAGCAGCTACTGGAGGAGCAGTGGCTCAATTCAATTCAATTCAAGTTTATTTATACAGCGCGAAATCACTACAAGACTTGTCTTAAGGCACTTCGCATAATAAACATTCCAATACAGGTCAGTTCATTAAGCCAATCAGAAAAAAGTTTCCTATATAAGAAACCCAGCAAATTGCATCGAGTCACTTACTGGTGCAGCATACGGGATCAATAAAAATTACCCAACAGCAATAGTAGTAATTATAATAATAGTATCATTACAATTTCAAAATTACCCGTTTTAATCTACTTCAGAGCTTTTGTGCTCCAAGCAGTACTTTTAGAAGTTTTAATACAATTTTAAATCCTGCCTCAGAACTGAGACAGCTCTTTCAAGAGTCTTTATGTGGTATAAAGGGGATTATAGGGGCAGTCGTTACGCTGTCACGGACTTCCTTTTAGTCTGGATTAAACTTGTTTGTTATTGCGATCGAAGCCACACTCCTTACATTCGATTGACAAGCCACTCCTAAAGGTGACTGTCTGGTGATCTGAGCATCAGCTCTAACGCAGCGAAGCTTCTGGAGCTCTGCATCGCTCCACTTTATCGTCTCAGCTGATTCTGTTTACCAAAGCAAAACTCACGCCTGTGTTTACTTTCATTTTCAATATAGTTGCCAGCCAGAGCTTGGCGGACATTCCACACATGATCACAACACCACCTTCTGTTGCGCCATGGCCTAATCTTCATTCACAAGTCTGGCATTGTGGCAATATTACTACCAAGCTTGGCATCATTGCAGCCACTAAACTGCTGCATCACCTAGCGCTGTCATAAGACACACTGTGGCGGCAAAAACGGCTTCAAACTCACAGGATTTTTTTCCCCCTCAGCCAAAACCGGATGGCTGGAAACTTTCTACAGCTAAATGAAGATAAGACGGAGATCCCCATCTGTGCCCTGGTCAGCCCCTCAGACCAAACCCTCTGTCAGGAATGTTGGTGTGACCTTTGACCCAGCTCTTACCCTGGACTCTCATGTCAGTTTGTTAAGTTTCTTCTATTTGGTAAGGATTATTGTAAGGAAAGATGGATTTTTTTTTACCTGTCCCAACGGTTTTGGCTTCTCGCTTGAAGCTTTCTTCATGAGTTGCAGAAAAATCCATCTCTTTTCCACACCTTCATCTCCTCACGCTTAGACTACTGCAACTCTCTTTTCTCTTGTCAGAGCAAATCCTCCCTGAACTGATTACAGGTGGGTCAGAATGCCTGTGCTCGGCTTCTGACCAAACCGTCGAAACACACCCACATCACCCCGCTTCTCCTCCACCTTCACTGGCTGCTAGTTTAATTCAGAGTTACTTTCAAGATCCTGGTTCTGGTCTATAGGGCCTTACAAGGACAAACACCATCATACATTAGTGATCTTTTTAGTCCCTACACCCTGTTGGTCTTTCTTCTGTTAGACCAAGCACGGGTACGGAGAAGATGGAGTTAAACACCTTTTAAGTTGACAGAACGAGGAGACAAATGATCAGAAGTCCAGTCACTGTTTTCACCGCTCATGAGGGGGAGAGCCTTTGCAACATACAGCAGGTCCCGCGATCTGCTCCTGTCAGTTGCTTCGGACAGACTCTCGCCGTTCTACTGAAAACGGCTGATTTTTATTGAAGATTACAGGAATGTTACATACGCAGTTTGCCATGTACATACGTCAATGATTATGACAGGTGAAAATAACAGCCTTGTTAGCGGACAGTCTAGAACATTCATCCTTGAAATTACCAGGAACATCCTGATACATTCATGACAGGAGAAGATACATTCACGGTGTGGAGAGGCACTGAGTGGAGATGGAATGTGCACACTCCTTTCTCTGGTGCAGGAGAAGATATACAGCTATTAATCTTTGTGTGGAGGCCTTGAGTATCTGAGCGAGTTTCCATAGCATAGAATAATAAAATGAGCTTATAAGGTAAATATATATATATATTGCCTTGTTAGGCAGGATCTAACATGTCACAAGAACTTGTAATTATAAGATGAGCAGAAACATCCTGGGTAACCTGGTACAAGAAGAGACTGCAATGTCTCACTCCCTTTTGGAGTTCCTGCAGCTGTTTTAGAGCTTGTGCAGGAGAGAAACACAGAGAGGCCTTTAATATTATAACATGATCCCATAATGAAAAGAGTAGCATGTAAGAATGAATAATAAAAGAGCTTATATGAGAGTTACATATATTTTCAACCCCCAGCAGGTCCCTGAGGTCCAGTGACCAAAGCCTACTGGTTGTGCAGCACCAGGCTAAAGACCAAAGGTGACAGATCATTTGCTGCTGTGGCCCCCAGACTCTGGACCTCTCTCCCCCTGAGCCTGAGATCAGTGGACTCAGTGGTCTCCTTTAAAAAGCAAATCTGTTCAGGCTGACTTTGATGTGATGACCTGTTTATCCTCTCCTTCTTCACTGGCTTAAGCTTGGTTTATGCTTGACGTGTCCGTGAGGTTTGCACGGCTCCGTGCAGCAAAATTACGTCATTTTAACAACCACGCCCCTCCACTGCGCCTCCGCACAGCCCGAACTTTCCGCACCACGCACCTAGGAAATTTTCTGACCACGGAGACGGTCGGACGCGGAAAAACACGGCGGACTGGCAAGAACTAGTAAGGCCGAGGTTCGTAAATACAGACATTTGTATGATTCAGCTCTCAAAGATCACCGTGATCAACATGTTAATAATTCTTGGAGAGAACTAGCTTGCACTGTCGGAAAAGACGAGGACGCTGTTAAAAATGCTGGAATGCCATGTTGTAAACAACAGTAATTTTTACTTCTACTATGGTGTAGTGTTGGATGCATGCCGTAGAGCTCCATGCTGCCTTGTTCTGTTTGGGAGAATATTGGCTCACCGCAGAGACAAGCCCCATGAACCATACACGCTGCAAGTTGTGAAGCGCGTTCCATCCGCGAGCCGCATCACCAAGCAGAAAGTAAATGCATCAAGCATAAACCAAGCCTTATTTTCATGCCGATGTTTCTGTCAATTCTGTCTTTGACTGAATCCTGTCATTACAACTTACGTTTTCATTTATGTTAAAATTATTTAATCTTATTTTGTCTCAATTTCATTATGGATTTTCTGACCACTTTTTAAATTGTTCTTGTGAAGCACTTATTTTTATTATAACTCTCCCACTGTCTTTATGGGTGACTCCGCGAAGAAAGTTGACCATTGAGCAGGATTGATGGTTTATCCCGTGGTGCAGAAAATTCAACTCGCGAGGTCACACCTGTTAGGACAGTGGGAGGGTTAAGAGGGCATGTATAAAAATCCTTTCTTCTTGGTAATAATGGCTTGGTTTATCAAACAACTCAGTTATTTAAAATGAGCTGCTATTCAGTTGTAAAGGTATCCTTTGCATGCTGCAGAGCGCTGATGATGGCCCATTAAAATTTGCGTGTTAGCGGTGCATGAAAGTTCTCTGTCATCCAGCTGGCATCATCTTGAGTCCTTTTTACAAATGGGGAAGTTTGCATAGAATTCCCTTTCACCTCTCCAGACTGGAGGAACAGCATCTCTACTCCAAGTAGGGTGCTTAGACAATGTGGGACAGAGAAAACTGGGAGTGGGACAAGGTGAAATTGCACTGCAATGAGATAAAGTATAAGAGATCTAACATTATATACATTAAGTTATTATTATTATTAATATTATTATTATTATTATTATATTTAATCTCTAGTAGAATTTAACTTGAAAAATCAAACAGCAAATGAGGGATTTTGTGCAAAGAACTTCATAAACATAATTTATAGAGATATTATAACTCAAGACAACAAAGTCATAATACGTTTATTTATTTTCTTTATTTATTTAACCTTTATTTAACCAGATGTTAAAGGTTGAATATGGAACAATTTAATGAATGTTGACGCTGCCGTTTGAAGACCGGAGAACTGACGGCCAGTTACCTTTGACAGAGGAATGAACAAACGCCATGCAGGCACTATTCGGTGGGGACCGGTAGTTGCTGCAGCAGCACCACGTCCTTTTATTTACGCATGCTCACAGATCAGTCACAGCTGTAAGAGCACAACAAATCAGCAAAGCTTAACACCCCCACTTGCTCTTATACAGTGAACTTAATGAATTTGAGAGCATCACAAAATCCCTCTTGGTGTCACAAATGGCCTCTGAGCTACACAGAGGAGTTAGCAGGACAGTTAGAGCTCTGGATGATAACAGCAAAATAACTTAACAACAGAGTGCTGCTGTGTCATCAAAGTTCTGGCTAAAATTTTTTGGTTTCATGGCTCAAGTGGACGAAATTGTTGTTAATTAAACATTTGGTGGAAACAATGGTTAAGTTACAGGATAGATGGTTTTGTAACGGCATGAAGGTTCTCTGATGTGTGGCACAGGTCACATTTGCCCAGCTGGGTCAAGCTGGGTCAAACAGTACTTTTGAGTCCACAGATCAACCCAAGGAGCCACGATGTCTGCTCAAGATCATAACATCATATCTGCTGTTCCGTCCCAGAAGAAGGACACTTCAAGTCACAATGATAGTCATTAGATAATAATTAATAAACTCATTGATTTTATTACTGTTTAACATAATCATCATAAAATGACCACTTGGTTCAATATAAAGGTATTTTAATTACATGAAATGGATTATTATGCTTTGGGTATAATAATAATTATTATAACGATTGTAAAGATGTGTTCAGCAAACAAGGTCAAGTTCACCGTATCCAGCTAACACAGAGTTCAGATAAACAATAACTGCATCACATGTTTTTGATGCATGAACACGCTTTCTTCCAGAGCGAGTGTGATTGGTCCTGAGAGCTTTTGGTAAAACTAACCATCACAGATTTCAAGTTCAGTTCTTGAACCAACACCAGGAGGAAAGGGAATGCCCGTCCCTAAGCCTCCACCTGCTGTTCGGTCACGCCAACCAGAACAGCTAAGAATATACGAAACTGTCACCAGCTAACGAAGACTCTACCAGAGTGATTTCTGAAATTAAGTTAAGACGAGAACGTTCATCTGCCAAACGCTTCGTAAACCGTGTACCCAGGACATCTCCAGACGATCGGACACTTGCGTCTCCTCTACCAGCCGAAGTGTCATCTTGGATGAAACCTATCCTCCTGATGTCCGGATCCACAAAGGGTGTCCTGTTTGGGAGAGGTAGAACACGACAGATGGCGTTTGATGCAGTTTCTCTCAAAATAACTCATTTATCTGCAAAACATCATTTCACCCAGAACGCTTTCATTCTCTCTGAAAGAAACCTTCTGAGAACTTCATTCACGCATCCAAAACTCACCATTCGCAGATTAGTTTTCCATCCAACACAGGTTTGCTTCTGAAACAAGTTTAATATCAAAACTGTTAAAGATTGTCATTAATATTGCCATCCTTGAATTGTCATTTTTTATAATTGTCGTTTCAAATTTTCTGTTTAAAATTGTTAGTAATAAATTTCTTCATTTTTAAACTTGTCTCGTTATTGAAACGAAACACAGAAAAGGGTTGCATTTCCATTTATCGAATGAAAAGAATCTTACTGAATCCTCTGTTTAATAAACTTTTGCTATTAAATGGGTACATGTTAAAAGGAACTGATGTCTTTAAGAAACATAGATTCAGAACCAAAGTTAGGGAATGTAACATTTCTGTAAATGATGTAAGATTGTGGAATGCCATTAACAAGGAATTTAAAGAATCAACTACACTTGCAATATTTAAAAAAATGTATAAAATCTAATGTATTTAGTAATTATAAAAAGGAGAATCATAATGTCAAAGATTAGACGTGAAAATATTAGAAAGTGACTGAGGTTACACTGTGTTTGTTTGGCGGATAATTTTATTTCGTAAAAAGGGGCAGAAATTATAAGATTTTTTTCTTCTATCTGCTCCTTTTCATTCAAATGTTTTTTTTTCAATATGTTAATGTATCCTGTATTTGTTTGTGTTTATTTTATACATTGTGAATGAAATAAAAGATAAAAAAAAAATTAATTATCTTAAATTAAGTATTAATCCGTAGATTAATTATAGACCAAGCTCGTTGGTGTATGACCTTCTATCGCTTATATTAATATTTTATATGATAGAGGCTTCATAAATTCACTAGTATGTGTCATCCTAGGTCTAACATTAAATAGCACAGTGTTATGGGCTCGACACACGGGAGGCGACATCGCCTCTCCTCCATTCATTTTCAATGAGACATGTGCGACAAAGCGATAATCGCAGGTCTCCCTCTTACCAAGCGAAACGCGAAAAACCTGCGTGTGAAATTTTGCACTCGTGCACGTGTCGTGCACAGGCGACCCAGCGACGCGATCCCAGAAAGTTGAAACATTTTCAACTTTTCATCGCTGTCGCTCGGACGAGGACCAATCAGCGGAGGTTTCAGTCACTGACCAATGAGCGGACAGGATGCTCCGTACACCTCAGAGCAAACACGGAGGAGAAGTTGAATATTATTATGTTTTATATAGTAAAATCACAAGTAAGATTTCACATAACTCTAACAGCACCTTGTGAAACATCATATGTATCGCTTTATTAACTCTGAACCGCTTAAATAACCTTAATTCCCTCCAACCTGACACAGCCAAACAAAACAACGGAAGTTTCGATTTCGCTACGGAACAGAACGCGTAGACGGCTTTGCCGCTGGCCGCTGCCGCAGGTCGCCTCCCGTGTGTCAGGTAATAAAAGCGACAGCGACAAATTTCGCTGATCGCGGTCGTTTGTCGCCTCCCGTGTGTCGAGCCCATTAGAGCTGTGTTTGTGAGGTTTTAATCCACAACAGTTTTCTCGGTTTAATATCTAGAAGTCAAAATGTCCCACAAGACAGGTGGGTGGAAAGTTTTTTAATGTGGTTAGTTAGTTAGGAGATCCAGCAGATCCAGCCCACACCTTCCTGCTGACATTTATTTATTTTTATTCTTCTAATCCAGGCATTTGGCATTTACCATCGGGTGACAAACCTCCTTCAAAGTAAGTACATGTATTAAATAATAGTACTGAATGCCTGAAAGGGAGGGGGAAGAAGACGGCTTATTTAATCCCACCCCCATTTACACATAACATTTTCTATATGCTTCACTACTATTGGCTTAATAAGATTATAATTAATGCTTCTAGTTTTGTTTTAAAAAAATAGATTTTTTAAATGTTGCGGGCCGTTTACATGTGCCACCCATTGACATATAAATATTGGACAATGGGTTTCCATAGCTCCAATAACACGTTTTTGAAGAAAAATGGGAGGTGGCCACCACCGCCATTTTGACCGTGTCACAGGTTCCGTCAAGCCCAGACAATTCCACAAATGGGAAGAGAGGTGGAGCTGAGGGTGGGGCTGTAAGGCTGGGATCAACTGACGACACCCGGTCGAACTAGCTACAAGCTAACCTGAAGCTAACCCAAAGCTAACGCAGAGGTGGGAGCTAAGCTAACGGAGGTAGCAACCTTGCTACAACCGGAGTTAACTGTGCACAACACCAGAGCTTCTGAGTCAGAGATACGCCGCACTGACCGCTGGGCAAAACCGGGTGGAACACAGAGGTCTCCCGAGAGCTCCACAAGCTGGCAGCCGCACAGCAGACAAGCGCCACTGCGATCTGAAATGCGCAGAGCTGCCGCTGGGGAGAACCGGGTGGAAAGGTTTCCATCCCAGAGCTCCACAAGCCGGCAGCCCGCGCAGCAGACAGGAGCCGCGATCAGACAGAGATGCGACGAGCTGCGGGGAGGGGAGAACCGGGTGGAAAACATCGGTCTCCCGAGAGCTCCACAAGTCGATAGTCGGAACCCAGCTCCACCAACATTTTATATTTCAACCCATTTTCTAAAGTGCAGCATTATGTTAAATGCACTGGGTTTACCCTATTAGATTTAAATTTCATGGTTAAACAGTACATGTTAAAATCTAAGCTCAGCTCGGCAGTGACCTAAAATACATAAATATAATTTTACTTACCGAAAAAAATGAAGTGGAGACTCCTTGGACGCTCTATTAGTGCAATTAATGCCACAGCAAGTCATTTTGTCCAACAATTGCACAAAAAATATCCAAAAAAGAACGCACAAACGCTACAACTAATGGTCTAAGTTGAGAGACTGAAAATGACCGAACAGTTTTCAGGCGAGGCCGAGGCTCAGACTGAGGCCTTTCCCCGGAGCTAGCTCTGTGGTCACGTGGGTCTGATGCTCATTAATTATACAGAATTTTAGGCTTTTAATACACTTAAATGGAAGAGTGAGAAAAAAAATTCACCCCCTCAGAGTTGTCATGAGTGTAAACTCATTTAAACAAAAACCATGTTTGGTACCAGGCTGTGAACATGTTTATTTCTGCTGTGAAATTGGTATTTTTAACATGGGAGTCAATGAGGATTTGCTCGCTTCTGACACCAGCCCCCAGCGGATGAGGGTGGAACTGCAATTTATTTCATTTCAGCGTTTGCTTCAAAATTTCACCCGGATTGTGGGGGCTTGGTGCCACCCTTGTTCAAATGTGTGCCCCTGCTGTGCCCCCCCCCCCCCCCCCCCAAAAAAAAATTTTTTTTCTAGGCACGCCCCTCCCCACACGGGGCGTTGTTTGATGCGCGGGGGTTGTCCTAGAGGGGTTTCAGCCTGTCTCACCACGCTCGCTACAGCAGATTAAACAAACGCGCGTGATAACGTTTTGGAGAAGTTAAAAAAAAAAAAAAAGAAAGAAAAGAAAATCAATGATTTATGCACCACACCGTGTAGCCAACATCGCCGAATGGGATTATGGCGCATCTAACGGACTGATAGCAGATACTCCTGGTGATTCAAACTGTGGAGCTGGACCTCATCCTGAAAAAGTAAGTTGACAAACTGCAGGAGTTTACCGTGTTGGTGGATGAAGTTGCGCCAGTGAGAAGCACAGTTAACCAAAGTGGATGTTTTCTGACTCTAAAGCTTCGTTCTCAATTCGTTCTCTGCAGCGACTGTGAAGATCAGTGATCTGTTTTTCTATCTGAACAAGTCAGTTTAGTCTATTGGTGATGCAGCATGTGCGTCTGCACTGTTGAAGAATGGGTCATTCTTTCTCCTGTTGGTTAAGAGTAGTTTGAAGGAAATGCTTTCATGTTTATGTTTATTTATTTGGCAGACGCTTTATATCCAAAGCGACTTACAATTTATAACCTATAGGGCATGTTGTGATCTGTGGGGGAAACCGGAGTACCCGGAGGAGACCCACGCATGCATGAGGAGAACACTTAACTCCACGCAGAAAAGCCGCAGCCGAGTTTCGAACCTGCAACCTTCGTGCTGCGAGGAAACCGTGCTAACAACTGCGGCACCATGCAGCCGCAGAACTTAAGCCATGTAATTATATTTAGGTCACATGACTTTGAGCTCAAGTCGCCATTTTGCTGCAGCCAGGTGCCTCTCAGCGGCAGCGTTGAAGCTGCCAATAACACCTAGCTGCAGCTGCAGCATAGCAGGTAGGTAGCAGCAAGGCGCGTGCGCAACGCGAGTTTACAAACGCGCATGCGCGATATATAAAGGGTGCCGTGACGTCATATAGTCATAAAGGCGTTGCTCACCTTAACAGTCAGTTGTCTGTCTGTCAGCAACAGAAGTCAGTGGATCTTTCATTGGATAGCATCGTTTTTTTACAGTCTTGTAGAAATTCAGAAATGTCGTCTTTTAAAATGGAGGAAGGAGCGACTATTCGAAGTAAAACCAGAAGTTACCAAGTTGAAAAAGTGCTTAAAATGGATGAAGGTTTTCCAACTTTGGCCGTTTGCAGAGTAAAGGAAAATGGAGAAACAGTGACTCTGAAATGCGCTCAGAGAAATGTTTCACCTCAGTTTAAACAAGAAGCTAAAGTTTTTTATTATCTCATGCATCATAATCCAGATGAAAGCAATATTATCAAGTGTGACGAGGTATTTCATTTCCAGGACTGGATTTGCGTTGCACTAGAGAAGCTGGACACAAATTTGTGGGATTTCATGATAAGCAGAAACCACAAACCTTTAAAAGTTAAGGAAATTAGAGTGATCGCAAAGCAAATGCTTGTTGCTCTAAATAAGCTAGACAATTTATCCTTCACTCATTTGAATGTGGGACCAGAAGATATTATGTTAGTGGACCATGACTCACAGCCGTTCAAGGTAAAACTGAGTGGATTTGATTATGCCAGAAAGACATCAAATCTCACAGAGACGGTAATTCCCAAGACTACTGGTTTCTGCGCCCCAGAGGTTCTCTTGGACTGCCCGCTTAATAAGACTGTGGATATATGGAGTTTCGGTTGTACGCTCGCGTTCTTGTTTCTGGGGAGGCCCTTATTTCCAACAAAGTGTAACTATGAATATATGAGAACTATTATAAAGCTCCTCGGTCAGCCTGACCAAAAGTTTCTGGAGCAGGGGCGATCCGTCCAGCAGTATTTTACACAGAGTTCTGGTTGGAGGTTTAAAACGCCTGAAGAATACACGCAGGATACAGGAAGGACGATTCAGGACAGCCGTGAAAATTATTTTCATTTAGAGTCTCTGGATGAATTAGTCAACCTAGCAAGTGACATAAAAGATGAGAGCTTGGTGGCTTTCATAGATTTTCTTAAGATGATTTTAGCAGTGAACCCAGAGAACAGAGTTTCTTCAGCTGATGCTCTCAACCACAGATTCATCACGATGGAGTGTATTTCTGGTTCCAGTTTAAACTCTGTTTCAGATACACATGCAGTCTCAACAGGAGGCCAAACCACTGAGAAAGACAGCGTCACAGAGATGGGAATTCACGAGTCAGACTCAAACCTGACTAGGTCACCCAGTGACACCGAATACTCACCTTTAACACTGGAGAGAGGAGGTAAAATCATTCACACTTCCGATGTTTACCAAGTTGTGGGATTACTTGGAACTGGGTCGTTTGGAAAAGTTTTCAAATGCAGAAAAGAGGGAACGGATGAGACGGTAGCAATGAAAGTATTTAGAAAAGGAAATCACTGGCAAGCAAAGAGGGAGGTGAATTCACATAACCAGCTCAGTGTTCTGGACTTAGACAAGAACAATCTGATCAGACTTATTGACTCTTTTGTCTACAAGGACTGCTTTTGTCTCACGTTTGAATGTTTATACCTAAATTTGACTGAGCTTATAATAAGGAGGTATGAAGGTTTGGAGGTGAATGAAATCAGATCTATTGCTCAGCAAGTGTTGCTGGCCCTTCGAGCTCTGAAAATAATCGGCATGACTCACACAGACATAAAACCAAATAATATTATGCTGACTGCTCCTCAGGGTCCCCAGTCACTTAATGTCAAATTAATAAATTTCGGGTCGGCTCGTAAAACAGCTGAATTATCAGAGTACTCAGTGATGCAGAATGAAAGGTACCGGGCTCCAGAGGTAATCTTAGGTCTTCCACGTGATGAAAGTATAGATATGTGGGGGCTTGGGTGTACGTTGGCTTACCTATATCAAGCTTCCCATCTGTTTCCAAAAGATGAATACATAGCAATGCATTTTATTGTTAAACATTTGGGTCTGCCCGACAAAGAAATGCTTGATAAAGGTTGGCGTGCCAGACGCTTTTTGAAATTAGACAAGAGAAGAACCAAACCTTTTTGGAGGTTAAGAATATTTGAGGAATATAAACACCCAGTATGTTGTCATGCTGCACCAGAATATCCTTGTGATGACTTCCTAACATTGCCACCAAATTTGGGAAATCGTAATGACAGTTTAAGTTTTATAGATCTCGTCAAAAAAATGCTAGCTGCGAATCCAGCAGACAGGATCCTTCCGGAGGAGGCTCTCAACCACCCGTTCATCACGATGAATTATCTCCCTGGTTCCAGTTTAAGCTCTAATGTGTCAGAGATACATGAAATACCAACAGGAAGCCTAATTACTGACCAAGATAGGGTCACAGAGGTGAAAATTCACGAGTCAGGTCCAAACTTGACAAAATCAACCGATGAAATGGAATCCTCAGATTTAATATTGAAGACAGGAGTTAAAATCTTTCACCAATCAGATGCTTACCAAGTTGAGGAATTACTTGGAACTGGGTCGTTTGGAAACATTTTTAAATGCAGAAAAGAGGGAACAGATGAGACGGTAGCAATGAAAGTATTTAGAAAAGGAAATCACTGGCAAGCAAAGAGGGAGGTGAATTCACATAACCAGCTCAGAATTCTGCATGCAGACGCGAACAGTCTGATCAGATTTATCGACTCTTTCGTTTACAAAGACTGCTTTTGTCTCACGTTTGAATGCTTAAATACAACTTTTGTTGAGTTATTTAAAGAGACGCGCTTTAAACTTCAAAGGGTGATTTACCTCAGAACCGTCGGTCAACAGATGTTGCTGGCCCTTCAAGCCCTGAAAAGCGTCGGCGTGACTCACACAGACATAAAACCAGATAATGTCATGATTGCTCATCTGGATAACCAGTCTGTTAGGGTCAAATTGAGTGATTTCGGGTTGGCTCGTAAGACGGCTGAATTATCAGAATATTCTGTAATGCAGACTGAGGGATACAGGGCTCCAGAGGTTATCTTGGGTCTTCCACGTGATGAAAGTATAGATATGTGGGGGCTTGGGTGTATGCTAGGCTTTCTGTATCTAGGTAATCATCTGTTTCCAGATGATGACTACAAAGCTTTGCAGTGTATTGTTAAGCACATGGGTCTGCCTGACAAAAATGCGCTTAAGGAGGGTTGGCGTGTAAGACGCTTTTTCAAATTTGACAGGCTACATAAATGGAGGTTGAAAGATCCGAAGGAATATCAACACAAATATGGAAAGAAGAATTTCAAAAGACATTCGTTTAATTTATTTGATGAACCTCTTGATGACTTAGTGCGTCTCAAACCAGCTTGGTCTAATGCGAAAGGCAAAAAATTGTTTATAGACCTTCTTATAAAAATGCTAGCTGTGAATCCAGCAGATAGAATCCTTCCGGAGGACGCTCTCAGCCACCCGTTCATCACAATGGAGCATTTTCCTGTTCCAGATTACCTTATTAAATGGAAAGAGGCACATGAAATAGCAGAAAGCGAATTCACTGATCAAAATAGGGTCACAGAGGTGGAAATTCATGAGTCAGACGTGGACCTGACAAGCTCAACAGATGAAATAGAATCTTCATCTTTACTTTTGGACGAAGGAGTTAAAATCATTAACCAATCAGATGTTTACCGAACTGAGAGTTTAATCGGATCTGGGTCGTTTGGAACAGTTGTGAAATGCGCAAAAGAGGGGACAGATGAGATGGTAGCAATAAAAGTATTCAGTCAGAAGAAATTATGTTATGCTAAGGAGGAGGTGATTGTACATAACCAGCTCAGTGTTCTGGACCCCGACAAACACAACCTGATCAGATTTATTGATAGTTTTGCTTTCGAGGAAAGCTTTTGCCTTGTGTTTGAACTTTTATATCTGAGTTTAGCCGACTTATTAGAACAACCAGATTATGAACGTCTGAGTTTTAGTTACATCAGACCCATCGCTAATCAAATGTTAGTCGCCCTCCAAGCTTTGAAAAGCATTGGAATAACTCACACAGACATAAAACCAGATAATATCATGCTGGTTCATCAGAATCCCCAGTCTGTTAGGGTCAAATTGATTGATTTTGGGATGGCTCGTAAAACAGCTGAATTATCAGATGATTCTTTGATGCAGGCCGATGGGTACAGGGCTCCAGAGGTTATCTTGGGTCTTCCACGTGATGAAGGCATAGATATGTGGGGGCTTGGGTGTACGTTGGCCTTTCTGTATGCAGGCCAACAACTGTTTTCAGAGAATGATTATGACGCTATGAGGTGTATTGCTAGGTGTATTGGTCTACCTGACACAAATATGCTTGAGAATGGTAAGTATGTCGATCGCATTTTTAAAGTAGACAAGAGCAGCCCTGATCATATTGGGAGGTTTAAATATGAAAGTCAAGAAGAAGAAGAAACAGAATTTTACCCAAAAGACCAATTTGATTATAACGTTTATAATTCTCTTTATGACTTAATGTTATTCATACCACCGGGTGCTACTTACATAGAACGACAGGACGTAAAAAGTTTTATAGACCTCCTTCAAGAAATGCTAGCTGTGAATCCAGCAAATAGAATCCTTCCAGAGGACGCTCTCAACCACACGTTCATCACAATGGGGCATTTTCATATTAGCAGTTTTAGCTCTAGTGTGTCAGAGACGGATGAAATATCAGCAGGAAGCCCAACTACTGACCATGATAGTGTCACAAAGGTGGAAATTCACAAGTCGGACACAGACCTGACTGAATCACGCAGTGACACAGAGTCCTCACCTTTAACAATGGAGAAAGGAGTTAAATTAATTCATCAGTCAGATGTTTCCCAAATTGATGAAGCCTGTGGATCTGGGGGATGTACGCAAGAAGTAAAATGCAGAAAAGAGGGAACAGATGAGACAGTAGCAGTAAAAGTCCTTCAAGAAATGCCAGCTATGAATCCAGCAGATAGAATCCTTCCAGAAAACGCTCTCAACCACCCGTTCATCACAGTGGAGCATTTTCATAGGATCAGTTTTAGCTCTAGTGGGTCAGAGATAGATGAAATATCAACAGGAAGCCCAACTACTGACCATGATAGTGTCACAAAGGTGGAAATTCACAAGTCGGACACAGACCTGACTGAATCATGCAGTGACACAGAGTCCTCACCTTTAACACTAGAGAAAGGAGTTAAATTAATTCACCCGTCAGATGTTTCCTGTGGATCTGGGGGATGTACGCAAGAAGTAAAATGCAGAAAAGAGGGAACAGATGAGACAGTAGCAGTAAAAGTCCTTCAAGAGATGCCAGCTGTGAATCTAGCAGATACAACCCTTCCAGGGGACGCTGTCATCACAATTGAGCATTTTCATACTGGCAGTTTTAGCTCTAGTGTGTCAGAGACAGATGAAATATCAGCAGGAAGCCCAACTACTGACGATGATAGTGTCACAGAGGTGGAAATTCTCAAGTCAGACTCAGACCTGTCTGAATCATGCAGTAACACAGAATCCCCACCTTTAACACTGGAGAAAGGTGATAAATTAATTAACTCGTCAGATGTTTACCAAATTGAGGAAGTCTTTAGATCTGGGGGATGTACGCAAGTAGTCAAATGCAGAAAAGAGGGAACAGATGAGATAGTAGCAGTAAAAGTATTTACAAAACAAAAGAACTGGCAAGCAATGAAGGAGGTGAATGCATACGATGATCTCAGTGATCAGAACTCTGACAAAAACAAAGAGATCAGATTAATGGACACTTTTATTTACAAGGACTGCTTATGCCTTGTTTATGAATTTTCACCTCAAAGTTTTTGTGAACCATTAGAAGCACAAACATCTACATGTCTAAGTGTGGCTGTCAAGGTCTTCACCTGCGTCTCCCTTATGGGTCTCCTCGTGTACTCCACGTTCCTCTATGGATACTGTAACTAACCCTAAAATGACATCATCTTTTGCTTGTATTTTAATTTGGCACAAATTGCCTTTATTTATAATCCTTTTAAATCAACTTCCTGTTTGAATGAAATGCTTTTATTTCGAAGGGTCTATTTCCTGTTCTAACAGTTAATGCAAGCTATCTTAACGGCCAAAGCAGCTTTGACAGAGATCTAATAGTAGGATCGGAGCCAGAAGATCAGAGATGCAGTCAGGGTCCGAAATTAACACTCGCCACTCGCCAAATGTGAGTAAATTGCTCCATTTGGCGAGTAAATTTTTGAGCTCTACCTGCCACCTGGCGAGTAAATGTTTGCACCAAATTAGTTATGTTTATCAGTCATCTTCCACGGATTTCTGATACTCCTCCCGCCTGCATGCAACTTACACAAACGTACGCGAAACGTGAACGCCGCATCCAACGTCATTTCCACCTATCCCATTCAATCAGTTTATCAAGTTAGCGGTTAGCTTCGTGTTAAAACTAGCGGTGAAATGTGGCGGTTTTTAACTGGAGTCAGCCAGCCTTCCAAATGAAAACTCGTCGAACTGGAAAAAAAACCACCAGGACCAGTGGCAACCAGAAGATTTTGTGAAAAGTGGCGAACTGGAGACGGCGGAGTCGTGAGACAATGGCTACATTATGATGGCCACGTAGCGTTGCTGCGTTTCACAGACAACTGGCCCTCGGCATTCTTCAAATATCCAAAAAATGCCCATACTTCCGACTTTGTCTTCTTTGAAGGATAATAAATGTCCCAAGTGCTGCCGTCTCCTCCTGCCATTATTTCAGCTTTAGCTTAAAGAAAGTTTTGGTCGTAAACAACAAAGTGCGCATGTGCCGCCGGCAACTTCTAGCAGATGATACGGTGGCTGGTAAGGGTCACCGCGCTTACACCGCAGCCACGGTAATCCACCGAGATAATATATATATATATTTTCAAACAAGACTGTTATTATTTATTGTCAACTTTTTTACCGGGGTTTACTGCTACACCGGTTACCGTGACAACCCTAGCCCTGACACACTTTCAGATATTCTCATGGTGAAGCTGTGTTCTCCAGAGATCAAGGACTATGACCCAAATGAGGCTGTAATGCTTTGGCACAAAGACGGTATCAGAAGCAGGAGGCCAGACTTCATGGACAGAGAAAACAAGGAGTCTGACTAGATTTCAATGAAAGAGTTCATAAAAACATCTCTAAAAATAAATAAATAAATAGTAAAAATGACAAAAGAGTTGTTTTCCTTATTAATTGATGTTTTAATTATTTTGTCACTCTGTTTGGAATCAACATAATATAGAATTACATGCTTTAGGTAGATCTAAATCATTTATAATTTTGGCCGGTAAAAAATATGCTTGGCCGGTAGATTTTCATCATCTACCGGCCAACTTGGCCGGTGAGTAAAAAAATTAATTTCGGACCCTGGATGCAGCGGTGCAGACAGGGTAATCCAAAGGCGAAGTCGGGGACGGAGCAGGATCAGAGCCAGAAGATCAGAGATGCAGCGGTGCAGACAGGGTAATCCAAAGGCGAAGTCGGGGGCGGAGCAGGATCGGAGCCAGAAGATCAGAGATGCAGCGGTGCAGACAGGGTAATCCAAAAAGGCGAAGTCGGGGACGGAGCAGGGTTCTGGATCTTCAATGGTGAATAACCACTTAACTGTGGGCATCCCTTTTATTTGCCTCCATTATGTGGTATTGTTTTGCCATTTGGTTAAATGGCAAATGAACGTGTGCAAACCAAGAACAAATTCAAACTAATTTTTTATCAACTTAGTAAATATTTAATAAAGTATCTTTCTTTACATTGCAAGCTTCAGGTTCCTTATAAACAAGACAAAAAAACATTTTTATACATTACCCGTTCATCAAACTTCTGTAACAGGATGTCCATGTCATGGGCGTCGCACCTGTGGGGGATGTGGGGGTTTCACCACCCACACATTTCTTATTGAGATTGTTCAACACTAGGGTTGTCACGGTAATCGGTGTAGCGGTAAACCCCGGTAAAAAAGTTGACAATAATAATAACCGTCTTGTGTTTAAAAATCTATATTATCTCGGTGGATTACCATGGCTGTGGTGTAGGCGCGGTGACCCTTACCAGCCACCGTATCATCTGCTGAAGTTGCCGACGGCACATGCGCACTTTGTTGTTTACAACCAAAACTTTCTTGAAGCTAAAGCTGAAATAATGGCCAAAGGAGGAGATGGCAGCGCTCAGAACATTTATTATCCCTCAAAGAAGACAAAGTGGGAAGTACGGGCGTTTTTTGGATATTTGAAGAATGCCGAGGGACAGTTGATAGAAGACGGCTATCCTGTTTGCAGCACATGCAGGAAAAAGTGTCTGTGAAAGGCAGCAACGCTTCAAATCTCATGACACATCTGCGTGACCATCACCCACAACTCTACAGTCAACGCAAGGCAAGTTAACGTTAGCGTTTTAGCTAAAAATGCGTGATCCAAGGATTTGGGTTGAGGGAGAATGCAACGAGTCGCTATATAAAGCAGCCGCAGCGCCGCTACCTGCATATAAACCGTGTCACGGACACCCCCATATTGAAATGACGCTATGCATTACGGGGCTCCCAGGGGCAGATAAGAGTTGGTCTCTCTCTGAGAATAATTATGAATTTAACAACGATTACTGCCTGATGACATTTTCCCAAATCTGCAAAGCTCACTGGAAGGACACAAACCGAGGACAATATTTTCCTGATATAGGGTTTATTACTCAAGTAAGGGTAAAAAAGTATCTGATCAGAAGGCTACTTGAGTACTGAGTATCTGCTCTAATATTTTTAAAATGATGACATCAAACAGACAAACAATAAGAAGCTATGGGCAAAAATTGGTATTTTAAAGACTAAAGGGGAAATATGTAAACAAATAAGCAACACATTTACAAAATAACAAATTTTAGGCAACATTTAGACACAAACTGAGGACAATATTTTCCTGATATACAGGATTTATTTAGGTGTCTGAAAATGTAACACGTTTAAAAAAAATACCGCGATAATACCGAAAACCGTGATAATTTTGGTCACAATAACCGTGAGGTTAAATTTTCACACTGTGGCAACCCCAGTCTCTACTGATCTAACTGGACCTGGTTTTGTTGGAGATTGCTCCCAGGTTTCCCTGTCAATGAGGCAATATTTGCAGAAGTATCTGCTTCTACTGAAGGTTTCAGTAAAACCTCCAACTAGGGCTGGGCGATCATATGATCGCACTTTGTGATCACGATCATTTTCAGTTCAATTACGGTGATCAGCTGGGAGTCTCGATCAGAAATAACAGATGTTTGCAGCCTCAGTAGGGGGCGCTAACCCTCCATGCGCGTTGGTTGCCCACCGCCATTTAACAAAAAGAAGAAGCATTTACAATTACACTTTTCCTGCTCCGCTACTTCGGTGAAGAGGTTTAATATGCAGAGTGGCCAAACGTGGAGCTGAAGACAGCGAAGTAGATCCCAGTCATGACTCGGAGTTGTCTTCTGGAGATGAAGACATTGTTCAGAAGAAAAGTTACTCAACGTCAGTTGTGTGGCGGTGGTTCGGGTATCTCAAAAGTGACGTTGAGCAAATCAAGCCTACATGCAAGGTATGTCGGCGAATGGTGCCTTCAAAAACTGGCAACACTACGAATCTATTTAATCATCTAAAGAAATACCACCCAAGTGATTATACAGAGAGCGTGAAAATGCGAGCAGTGTCCGGACAACTTGTTAGCTTGTCTCAAAGTAGACTTAGCACTAGCGCGGCTGCTAGCAGTGGTCCAGCCGGCACTGGCGGTGCAGCTGCACAACCAAAACAGCAATCAATCATCTCGTCATTTTCAGCTGTTGCACCGTACGAGCAGAACTCAAAGAGAAGCAAAAGCATCACAAAAGCTATAACTTTTTGTATAGCAAAAGACATGATGCCTCTGAACACAGTAGAGAAAGAAGGATTTAAGCATTTAATCAAAGTGCTGGACCAGAGGTACGAAATACCTGGCCGAAAGTATTTTTCTCAAACTGCACTGCCACAGCTGTATGATGAATGCAGAGAAAATCTAGAGATGGAGCTCAAAGATGTTTCATTCTTTGCAACTACCACTGACCTTTGGTCGAGTCGTTCATCTGAGCCATATTTGAGTCTAACAATACACTACATTGACAAGGAGTGGACTCTTCAAAGCACATGCCTGCAGACAGCATATTTTCCGGAGGACCACACAGCTGAAATCATCAGTCGGGGGCTGGAGGATGCACTGGAATCATGGAACCTGAGCAAAGACCGCCAGGTGTGCATCACAACAGATAACGGAGCCAACGTAGTTAAAGCTGTTGCTCTCCAAGGATGTACTCGGCTACAGTGTTTTGGTCACCGGCTGCGCTCCGCTATAGGTAAGTAAATATCAAGAATATTGTTTTATGTTAATATATAACAAACAATGCAAATAGAAAATATGTTTTTAGAGCTTTAAATATTAGGGGGATCTTATAATTACATTTAAGAGGGAGGCAATGAAGGAGAGCTACAACAGGAGAAATGTTAACCTCCTGATACCTGAACTTGTATTTGTTGTGATTTAAAAGAAAAAGTATATCAAACTATTAAAGAGTAGTCTACTCTCATTAACAAACAAAATTACAAATATTAAAATAAATTTCATTAAATAAAGAATTTGTCAAATTTCCTATAAAAAAAGAAAACAAAAAAGTTAACATAGTCAATATCATGAGTCTATAAATGATAAAATGTTCTAAGGTGAAGATTATAACATTTCATAGTGCAAGGAGCCAATGTCCACATATGTGTGGACACAGGGCCCTAAGAGGTTGAAAAGTATTTATCAGGACTCTTGCTGTACCATTCTGGATCAACTGAAAGCTTTTTGTTGTCTGACACTGACTTAACCCATTTTTTGGTTATCCCTTGATTAATAGCATTTGAAAAAAATGCAAACTAAAATTGTTTTATGGAGTTTGTAGGTTTTGCATTTTGCAGTCTCTATGTCAATTCTAGTAATATTCAGATTTGTTAAGTTATTTAATATTTTTTTCAGGTGGAAGCATGAAAGACAAGAGGATTGAGAGAGCTGTTGGTGTGTCCAAAAAACTGGTCAGTGCTTTTTCTTACTCATGGAAAAAGAAAAAAGCACTAGCAGCTGCCCAGGATGAACTTAAACTGCCAAAGCACAAGTTGATCACAGAATCCCCCACCAGGTGGGGGTCGCTTCATGCAATGATTGCAAGAATTCTGGAGCAGGAGAAGGCCATTGCAAAGGTTTTGTCAGATGACAGAAAAAACAGGCACCTGATTCCTTCATGGCAGGACATAGATGTTCTAGAGTCTGTCCACAAGGCCCTGAGTCCCCTGGTTGACTTTACTGACGCCCTTTCTGGAGAAGCATATGTCAGTGTCTCTTGTGTGAAGCCTGTTCTTCAGCTCTTTAATGAAGAGGTCTTAAAGCCAGATGATACTGACACAGAACTTACCAAGGCCATCAAGAATTCAGTCACCTGCTACTTAAATGAAAAATATGATGATGATGTCACTGATGACCTCCTGAGCATGGCAACCCTTGTTGATCCTCGCTTCAAAACCAACTACATCCAGGCTGACAAAAAAGAGGCTTTAAAGATCAACACTGTGTCTCAGATGTTGGACGAATGGAAGACTTCACAGTCCAGACAAATTACCTCAGCAGAAGCCACATCTTCAGCTGCACCAATGAATGTAACAAAAAAGACACTTGGCAGCTTTTTCAAAAAGTCCTTTGCTGTTTCCACGTCTGGTCAAATAGATGAACAAGCTGTAGAGGCTGAACTAAACAGTTACCTGCAAGTGCCAAATGCAGACAGTGAAACCAATCCACTGGTATGGTGGAAGAGCCACTCCACAACATATCCCAGAGTTAGCCTCTTGGCAAAGCGGTACCTCTGTATTCCTGCTACTAGCTCACCCTCAGAGAGGGCTTTTAGCACAGGTGGCAATATTGTGTCATGCCACAGGGCAGCTTTAAAGCCAGATGCTGTGAACAGGTTAGTGTTCCTAGCAAAAAATCTGTCACCAAGTCCTAAGTAATGTGCACCTCGCTTCAAGACCAACTACATCCAGGCTGACAAAATAGAGACTGTAAAAATCAAGATGCTGGATGAATGGAAGACTTCCCAGTCCAGTCCAACTACCTCAGCAGAAGCCACATCTTCAGCTACACCAATAAATGTAACAAAAAAAGACTCTTGGCACCTTTTTCAAAAAGCCTTTTGCTGTTTCCATGTCTGGTCAAGCAGATGAACAGGCTGTAGTCCTAAGTAATGTGCACCAGTGTCATGCTCTTGTGTTTACCAGTTTTGCACATTTTATTCATTTGGTTTGTAACATGGCAAATCTGAAAATCAGGTTTACAGTTTAAACTTTGTTCTTTAGGTGTGTGATTTTCTTTGCCAAAAATACAGTTTAATTTGAGTTCAGTTCTAATTTTATATATTTTTTACTTGTTTTGCATTGTTTAATTTTGTAGCTGCAACATAGTTACACTGCATTGTTATCTAAGATAAAGTGTTTACAAATTTTGCACATTTTATTCAGTTGGTTTATAGCACAGCAAAACTGACATTCAGGTTTACAGTTTAAACTTTGGTCTATAGGTGTGTTATTGTTTCCATAAAATATTTGATTGGAGAATTCTGCACTGCTAATTTTTATATTTGTTTTCTGTTGTTTGATTTTGTACCTGCAAAGTAGCTAAACAGTATTGTTAAGATTAAGTGCCAGTAGCTATGGCATAAATGGCATTTACATATCACAGATTAAAAAGTTTACATTTTAGGGTACGTTAATTTTCCCAAAGCAGATCATTTGTTTATTTTGTGCCTGTATAGCATTAAAGACACACAGAATGTCAATAAAAGGTTTAACTAATATCTAGTTTCTTTATTTTTACATTTTAAGCTGCTTTAAACTGACTATATAAAAATTAATCGTGATTAAAATCGAGATCGAACAATATGGAAAAATATATCATGATCAATCTTTTTGCCATATCGCCCAGGCCTACATGAGATCCTAGATTATCTCCTGTTATGGCCAAAACAGTACCCCTCACATTGTTCCCTCTAGGACCATGAATATCATTGTCTTCAATTTCTTTCAGATCATTAACTGCAGTACAAAATACCTTTTCTTGGCCAGAAAATTTGAAGTCCTTCTCCCTGCACAACAAAACTAGTTGCATTTGGTCAACGGAAGACCTGTTGTGTGCCGTGATCTCTGCTAGCGTCAAATACATAGCCAAGATCTTGTGCTTCTTTCTGCCAGAACCAAGGGGGTTAGCAACCTCAAATGAATCTTGATATAAGATTATACCTACTGAGGATGGTGATTCATTTAATAATGTATTGTTTTTTTATGATTTTACCATCTCTCAGATCTTCGAGGACTTTAGGAGTTGATGTTTCAGATTTTGCTTGGAGATATTGCTGATGAAATGATCCTTGGCTAAGTAATGCCTTGAGTGTCTCTTTAATGGACACATACTGGAAAAATCTCTCTTTTCCATTTCTGTCAATACCCAGGTAAATCGCTGTTGGCTCAACATAATTGAATTCACGCTTGAAAAGTGTTTTCCGTATTTGATCACTTCTAAAAACTTTTCATCAGGTCGTTTTTTACGGATTATCAATGAGATTTCTGATTTCATTTTCAGGCACATTTAACTGAGTCAAATCTTGATGCAACTTAGACAAAAGATGGGCTGTGCTTGAACTGTGCACCTGCTGGAACTCTTCAATTATTTTTTGAATCACACTGGTAGGCAGCAGCATTTTAGCCTGCATCTAGACATAGAACAAGGCCAAATTGGTCATGAACTCATTCTCATCTAATTCAGTGTCACCGTCCAACACTTCTGCTTCATGACCGTCATCTAAACCTGGTTGAGCTGTTTTAGTCATTTCAGTGTCCAACGAGCTAGCTGTGCTAGCAGCAGCAGCAATAGAGGTGCAAATTATTGCTTTGTGTTTCAGACTGATGTGTGAGGGGAACGATGAATGGACAGCATAGGCGTCATTTTAACCAGGGACGCCGGGGACATGTCCCCGGCAAAATTTGTAATTGGCAGCTGTGTCCCCCCCACTTTCAAAAAAGCCTGCTGATGAGGATTTTTGTTTTACCAGCTCAGATCTTATACCAGGGGTCGACAACCTGTTCCCATCAAAGAGCCATTATAACCCGTTTCCCACAGTAAAGAAAACACTGGGAGCCACAGCAGCGCAGCGTTGTGGGCGGGGCCTACCCTCAGACAGCAGAGAGCTGCTCACAACAGGTGACAGCAGCCGGTACCATGGGCGTCGCACCCGTGGGGGATGCAACACCCACACTTTTCCAGCTGTTTTGCTCACCTCCACACCAGTCTGGTTTCTTTAGGTCGCACTCACTCTGTTTGCCTCATCTCCTTCTTCACTTCCGCTTCTGACAGCCGATGTCGGGTTCAAGGAGAGCAGGAGATGGAGGGACGGAAGAGGTTGACTGAATTCATAATTTTACATCTTGACATTAGCTGTACAAAGTCTGAGTTTGATCAAGTGAAGAACACCAATCTGCAGAGGTTTTAACAGGCGCAGCGCCAGGTTTTCATTTTTGGGTGGGCCACGGTAATTTTGGATGGACCTTAATAAGCAGAGACAAGTGAAGCAGGCAGGTCGCGCTAGAAAATTTTGTTTAAAAAGACGTCATAGATGTGTTCCCCGTCATTTTTATTTCTAAAATATGAAGTAAAAACTCCCAATTTAATTTTCATTCATTTGTCATTAATATGTAGTCTACACCCGTGCGTTAAGTGGACCATCTTCCAGTAAAAGCAAAGCATCCGGCCCACCTCTCCAAATGTGTAAAATGTGCATCACAGCCACTAGGCGCACCGCGCGCACCGTCAGCTGTCAGCCCAAACAAGAGCAGAGCAAATAGAGAAAGAATAGAGGATAATTGTCTGGATGTGGATGGAGATTACATTTTACATCAGTCTGATCATCATTTAAATACGTAAACCATCACCTGTCTTCTAGTCCATGCTATCAGCATTATTTTAATTGGTGTGTGTGTGTGTGTGTGTGTTTTCCACTTCAAACACTGGTCTAACCAACCAGCGTGTCCAGTAACACATTAATGTTACAATTAAACAGTTTCACTTCATGTAGGCTAGGAACATTTCACCTGCCGTAGCCCGACCGCTTCTGCTCCACATGAACTTTGTGCGTGACCAAATGTCTCTACAGGTGCTTTATGAGCTGAAGAGGCGACTGGATGCATCATGCGTCTCCATATTGGAGACAGGAACAAGCGCTATTCAGCCAAACTTTCATAATTTCATAAAAATAACATTTTCCAAGTGACACATCCCTCAGAGAGACCGGGTTTCCAGACCGCTTCAGTGGGAGGAAATCAACCAACATCCTTGAGTTTATCCGTCAAAATAAACAGTCAAATGGAAATATCTGTAACCTGTCATTTAACTGTTTTGCCTTCTTGTGAAGATTGTTGCAAAGAGAAAAAACTAAACTTGATTAACCCCAGAGCCACGCGCACTGTGCTGTACTGACTGTAAATGAGGGGGAAACGATTTAATCGGATCCTTTTCTTTTCAACATGGTTTAATGTAAAGTTTCATTCAGTACAAACTTTAGTTACACCGATCTAACGAGACAGATCCTGGATTTGTATTCTGAACAGTTTAAACATGTTTAAAACGGAGACGTGCGTGACGCGTCTAAAATTCGCACCTGCTCCGCTATTATGGAAATTAAACTAACAGGATGAATAACATGAAATTATTTTAGGCACAGACAACATCCCCCACACTTTTGAAAAGTTTGCAACGCGCCTGGTCGCTCGTGTACGTCAAAGTTATCTTTCATAAAAAGATAATCAATAAAACGATTAAATAAAGTGGATCCAGAAGCTGTAGCCCGTCTTTGCCTTCAATATTCACACTGTTGGTGGTTTTACTGAGCAGGTGCCACTTTTGTCATACGTTTCTTTTTAAAACATGTTTAGACTGTTCTGAATACAAATCCAGGCCCTGTCACGTTTGATTGTTGTAATTAAACTTTGTAGTTGGGGAAGGTCAGAAAGCAGCTCAGAAGCGCATGATTACGCACAATCGTGACGCGTCAACCCGGTCTCACAGACCGAGTTGGACCTGTTCAGGTTTACGCAGACAGTCTTTACATTTAGAATTGGCATACAGATGTAAAATTAATGCAGTAAAATATAAAGCATTTTATTTAAATATCCATTCATTATTTTACAAGCACAGAGAGCGCATTAGATGGATGGAGGAGCCGCATGCGGCTCCAGAGCCGCGGGTTGCCACCCCCTGTGCTAGCCTACTTTATTGTCCCCAGCAATTTTTAAGCCCCACTCAAGTGTATGGTTATTGTCCCCAGCAATTCTGAAAACAAACTGACGCCCTTGATGGACAGAAAAAGTCTTTGGACAGTTATTAAAGGGGCAAGGCACTTTTGTCCCATTTGTCTTGTGTAGCTGTAGATGCTCCCATAAGGTTGCTACACGATTTGACACAAAGGTACACCCCCCAAATTTGCATGTCAAAGCATGTCCTTGTGTTTGCGCCCTTTATTTAACTGTGGGTGTATGGACTCTGTACCATGGACGTCACTAGGATTGAGATATAGAGGGGGCTTAGCCCCAGGAGCTTGACCTTGAACGTTTTTTGTCACACCCTGCAAAAACTTTGTCAATTAATTCATTATATGAAGAACATTTAACAAAACCTATTATTTTATCACTTTCTTTTCCTTTCCTACCTTTGTGCATTTTCTCTCTTCTTTTTATAAAAAATAACACTTAATCAGTTCATTAGTGGGGTCTATGTTTTGTATTGTTTCATTCAACAGCATATGTTTATCGTATTCCTCATTTTAAAAAATATATATATTTGTATGCACCAGGAATATGGGGGAGGGCATATGCAATTTCATGTTTTCGATGGTTTGAGATAAATAAATAAATTAAAAAAAATATGTTGAAGAAAGATTTTATGCAAGTCCATTAAAAATTAGATATATTTCCAAATAAAGCTATTCATTTCAGTCTACTGCACTTAACAGGGGGAAATGTTGTAGTCATTTATTTAATTTGTTTAATTACAACTTGTTTAATTATAAATGTTACTGAAATGTGACAATAAAGAACAAATGAATAATTGTCAAACTTTTATTTTGCCAAATGAGTGTGCAGTTGATAGTTTTAATATATGAATAACACCGCTATGATATGGAATAAAGGAGTATATAATTAACAATTACAAGACAAAATAACAGTATATATAAAAATATCCAGCAAGTAGTAGAACTTATAATGCAGAAAGTCAACTATACAGATACAACTTGGCATAAGGTTGCAGGTCAGATGATAATTATAGTTTTTTTTTCTCAAGTTCTCTTACCTGTTCACTCCTAAATAGAAAACTGTTCAATTTTGCTTGGGAACTTTGTGCTCAGGTAAATGCTCATAACGATGCGCTCGCCCCTGTTTTCGCTGTAGATCACTGACCTTGACCATGCAGATTTCCTCAGCATCAACCACCCGGTCTCTCTCCTGTTCCTCACTCACTCTCTTAAAAAAATCTTCGTATATCCATCTAGCCAACACATTGAAAATCATTTTCAATTTCTAATGCCAAAAGAAATGCTACTAAGCCATTTAGTTTTCACTCACAATAACTGAAACAGCCATTGGTGGATAAATGGGACAGAATATAGACAACTGTTAGCCTAATATAGCCTATGTTTGGTTGCTCATGATGATGGCATTTTCCATAACGTCACATTAAGCTGCCAAAATTTATGTTAAAGTTAGATGAGTACAATATCTCCTTTCTTTACCATAGGTAAACATAGGAAATATTAAGCAATTGACAACCCACATGGAAAGAATTCATATAAACACATAGGTTTTAATATATGTTTTGATATAGCTTTTGAATATATGTGACATATATGAAACTGGCTGTTTACTAGGGATGGGTACCTTTGACATTTGAATCGATCCGGTACTAATTCCCGGTACCTACGAGTCGATACCGGTACTTAACGGTACCAATTTTCGATACTTTTGAGTGTTTATTATTTTAATTCTCTTTTATAATTATATATTTTTCTCAATATATAACCATATTTGATAAATATCACGATAAATAACATACAAGTTTGTATTTTAACATCGTCCTTGTAGTTTTATAAGCTGATAATTAAACTGAAGCAAACATCTTTACTTTGAACTAAATTTACTGTGTATCTGTATTCCTTTTGCCGTCCTTTTTCATTTGATTTTTCCTACTGGGAAGTTAGAATTTCCGAGGAGAAAGCGAACGCACCATTAGCTGATAACAACGGTGGCAATGGAAGCTAACATATCAAGCTAACGTTATCTTTAACAGTTTATTTAGCTGCTGGAGCAGATTAAAACGATGATGCCTCAAACTTAGATCGTTGTCACTGGTTTTACCTTCACCCAATCACCCGTCGCATTTAGTAAAGTAAAGCCAAACTTTAGAGCGCGTTCATGTTCTTCTAGTCGGAAATTCGGAGTTCCGATGAGAAAGCGAACGCACCATTAGCGAAACGGAAGCTAACAAATCAAGGTAACGTTATCTTGAACATTTTATTTACCTACCGGAGCAGATTAAGATGAGGATGTCTCACTTAGATCGTTGTCTGTCGCTAGTTTCATCACCCAGTTACCCATCACATTTAGTGAAGTGGACCCAAGCTTTAGCGTGCGTTCTTTCTACCATGCTACTCTGTTTACAACGGGCTCGCAGGGACCGGCGACATAACGCTCTTGCGCATGCGCAACTGTCTTGGCAGTACCGAAACGAGGCACCGTTTGAAATGACGTGAATCGGTGTTCGGTCGGTACTATGGAATTCGGTCGGTACCTTAAAAAGTACCGAATTCGGTACTCATCCCTACTGTTTACTATATTATAGATACATATATGTACCTATAATATTTATATTATAGAAAAAATATATAATATAGAAAAACGGTCAATAATATACTCATTCGGCCATATTCTGATTCAGGTTTTTAGTGTGGAGTGATTTTTGTGCCACCAACTGGAGCGTGCAGTGATCAATCTGCAAGAGCACAACCTGCTCTGCAGTCGTATGCAGCCCTCTCTCTGCATGCTCAACTCCGTCTTGTTGGTCTTTCTTCTGTTAGACCAAGCACGGGTACGGAGAAGATGGAGTTAAACACCTTTTGAGTTGGCAGAATGTGGAGACAAATGATCAGAAGTCCAGTCACTGTTTTCACCGCTCATGAGGGGGAGAGCCTTTGCAACATACAGCAGGTCCCGCGACCTGCTCCCGTCAGTTGCTTCGGACAGACTCTCCCCGTTCTGCTGAAACGGCTGATTTTTATTGAAGAGTACAGGAATGTAACATACGCAGTTTGCCATGTACATACGTCAATGATCATGACAGGTAAAGAATAACAGCCTTGTTAGTGGACAGTTAATTCATCACTAGAACATGCATCCTTGAGATTACCAGGAACATCCTGATACATTCATGACAGGAGAAGATACATTCACTGGTACCGAGAGGCACTGAGTGGAGATGGAATGTGCACACTCCCTTCTCTGGTGCAGGAGAAGATATACAGCTATTAACCTTTGTGTAGAGGCCTTGAGTATCTGAGCGAGTTTCCATAGCATAGAATAATAAAATGAGCTTATAAGGTAAATATATATATATTGCCTTGTTAGGCAGGAACTAACATGTCACAAGAACTTGTAATTCTAAGATGAGCAGAAGCATCCTTGGTAACCGGTACAAGAAGAGACTGCAATGTCTCACTCCCTTTTGGAGTTCCTGCAGCTGTTTTAGAGCTTGTGCAGGAGAGAAACACAGAGAGGCCTTTGATATTATAACATGATCCCATAATGAAAAGAGTAGCATGTAAGAATGAATAATAAAAGAGCTTATATGAGAGTTACATATATTTTCAGTCTCTGCCTGCACAAATCTCCCTGTTTTTGCTCAATTTGCAATTTACAAAGCAATGTAGCCTCTCCGTCAGCCAATCAGACAGCTCTCCATTATGCAATCAAAGCATGTCCAGGAAATACTGCCAGGAAAATTGCACTTTTTTCAGATAAAGAGGACTTTATATAATTATATTTGATTAGGTTGATTAACCCTCCTCTTTTCCTGGGACATTTCCACTGTTCACTTCCTTTTACACATCAAGGGATCATTTATGTCTAACCAAACAGAGAAGAAACACTTTATATGTTGAAATTAAAAGTTCTCTTTAACTGAAAAGAGTGCAATTTAACAGTTTTAGGAATGGGCAATGTGTCTTTTCTGTAAGTCAAATATGGTCACCCTAATCATGACACATGAATTACAACAAAGTATTTTGCAGGCAGTGGATGGTGACTGGTAGCTAACCAGCAGCAGAAAGCAGTTCAATAAGCTGTTAAATGGGTGTTTTTCTGTAAAGCAGTGTTTCCTGGACATGCTTTGATTGGATAAAACAGAGCTGTCTGTGATTGACTATTGGAGAGGCTACTTGTTGAGGAGAGCAGGGAGAGACAGAGTTGAACCCACAGAGGGCTGCAGCTCCTGCACACAAGCGCAGAGCAGGTTCTGTTTGTGCAGACTCATTACTGTACGCTCAAGTTGGTGGCACTAAGTCACTCAATGAACTGGCTGGCTCGTTAATGTCACTTCAGGGGAGTTTTCCGACCATTTTACTTGACATCAAAGCTTTTCGTTATGGTTTGCGGCATGTAAACATGCTAGCGGAGTTAGCATTAGCATGTCGGTGCGGTAGCATTTTCCTCTCTCTGAAGTCTGAACTATAACCTTGAAATGTTAACGGTGTGCTGCTGTTGCTGTCTTACCCTAATGTGATGTTGAGTGACTTACATGAGTGCTGAGCAGGGTTTGCTCATCAACATATAGGTTTTGCTGTATCGCCCCTGCCCCTGAATTGTCAACAAAGCTGTCGGGGCTTAAGGAAGGGGAGGAAGTCCTTTCTTGATACTTCCTGTGTGCGACGGTGTAGTTCTATATTCATTAATTATTATTTCTGTTTCAGACTAAAAAAAACTCCTGTTCCAACTACACGTGTCGTGATTGTGTTGAGCATGTAGATGTGAACAAATAAAAAAAAGTCAACTGAAAAAATTTAAATAAAAAAAAAACCAAAATGATAGGGGGGCTGAAGCCCCCCTAAAACGGACCTAACCACGTCAGCGCTCTGTACATATGCTTTTGAAGAGCAATTACTGTTGAAAAAGCAGAAGGACACTCTGCATAGCCACAGTGAAATCTAATGTTAGTGACATTTCTGTGCATTTTAACATGTCGAATAAATGGGAGTTGACGCAGCTTTGAATTTACAAACAGTACACGTGTAAGACATTTTGAACCAGAACGGCAGTTAACTCAAACTTTTTCTTTCTCAAATATTGGTGACTAGTCTTATGAGCAAACAATGTTTGACTTAAAGTCAGTAAAGAGAAAGGGCACTTACATGCAATGATGATCCACGCATCTATGTCGTGAAAACAGTCTTCGTCGTCCTGCAGCGGACTGGAGAACGTTGCGAATCCCTTTTTTCCTGCAGCTGAAGTTTTTTCCCCCTGTTCTTTTTCTTTCTTGCAGCTGTTCGGTTAGAACCGGTTAGAACACCGCCAAAGATTGCCGCGCAATTCTCGGCTGGACCAATTTGCGGCCCGGCAGCGTTCTTACGGTGCTGGCTACAGCTTGTGAACCGCTCATTGATTGTGTGAGCCAAGTGGTTTACCGGGCATGAGCGCATGAATACTGGGACTCGAGATGAATCACCAGTAAAATACACCATTTATAAATAACACAATAACTGCATGTTAGTCATCACCTACATCGCAAAATGCAGTTAATATTATTATCTATCCGATCTGACCGTTTTCCTGAATAGTTAATGAGTTGTACTGTGGGAGGCAGAAGAAAAAGTAGTTCCTAGCAACTGGGTATAATTCAAAGACTGTAGAAAAAAATGACAATTGGTATGGTATAATTCAGAAAACTAATTCTGAGACTTGGTGGAAGAAGTAAAATGCAATCAACTGAAATATAATTAAAATGTTAATAAGTTAGTATTAATAATTTGTATTTCTGCACATATCTGTGCAGAATTAAACATTCTGTTCCTCAGAAATGTATCCAGCCATAGTAAATTTCATTTAGACATATTTGTAGATTATAAAAATGGCATTTAAAAAGAAAGAAAATCCACCTGGTTGGTCCCAGAGGGCTATTTCTGTAGATAGGGACCATGAGTAACCTGCTAACCAGGTTATGTCAAATGTTTGTACAGTCAAACTTTATTTTTTTATTACATTGGCTATTTGCTAAATGTAAGATTCAGCTTCATTCCAGCATTATTTATATTTACAATAACTATTTCTTTAGCAGAAAAAAATAATTTTATATCAACGCAGTAGTTTATTAGTTGACTTTTTGTCATGAAATATTTAGCTTTTATTGTTACCTTTTATCTTGCTTTTGATATTGATGATGCTGGTAGAAATGTACCTACAGTTGTGTTATATGAGTGTTATGTTACCATACTTAATATTTATTTTACTTCATGCCATTCTCTGAACTGTGGTCAGTCAGAAATTTTGAAACAAGAAAACATAAAAACTAGTAAAAAAAATTTTAAAAAAGAAGCATAGTGTGTGTGTGTGTGTGTGTGTGTGTGTGTGTGTGTGTGTTAGGGCTGGGGGTAAACGATTATTTTTAAAACGATTATTCTGACGATTATTTTATCGAATAGTCGACTATTCTAATGACTATTTAGACCAGTGGTTCCCAAACTTATTTAGCCGCGCACCCCCTTCTATGTCCCGACCATGTCGACGCCCCCCCCCCCCCCCCCCCCCCCCCACACACACACACATCACGGCATGGCTATATATATATACATATATATATATATATATATATATATATAGATAGATAGATAGAGCTATCAGACGTCAAGCTAAACAGACAGGGTTAAAAAAATATGATCGACCTTTTTCCCCATCACTTTCATTTTTTAAATAGTAATTAATAAGCATTCGATACAATTACAATTTCCTTTGATTTAATTTTAAATAAATATTTAGAGTGCCCAGGTAGCACATAAACAATGAAATTTAACGGTTTTCTTAAAGTAGGAACGTTTAATCTGTGCGGCCAGAGCGCTCTCCTTCCTTCTGCTCTGCGTAAACCTGAACTGGCCACCTACTGGTGCGTAATCAAATGTCTATAGGGGAAAAGGAAAAAGCTTTAGCCATGAGGTTCACTTTTGCCTCAGACCGACTTATTGCTGTTTTATGGTGTGGCTGAATCTGCGATCCGCTGCCACGCGGACTGGAATAACAAATGCTGCAGGTTCGGAGTCACTGGCTGGAGCGGACCCGACTTTAATACATCATCCCAAAATAGAAGCTAATATCTTAATTTGACCTGGAATGAAAAATGTTATAAAACCTCTTAAAAGTTTTTATCACAGAGGAGGCAGAGCTCATTTCTGCCTTCAGTCTGACGGTATCAGTCTGGCGCGCCGGAGTTTGCGCAGCGTGCACTTATTGAATCTGTGTGTGTGTGTGTGTGTGTGTGTGTGTGCGCGCTCGCGCGGCACAGCTCCACGAAGCTTGGTTTATGCTTGACGCATTCACTTTCCGCTTGGTGATGCGTCTCGCGGATGGAACGTGCTTCACAACTTGCAGCGTTTAAGTCACTGTGTCTCGTTAATGGTGCTATTTAAACCAATGTTGTAAAATGACTTCTGCCCAGCCCAGATGTGCTCACTTGTGCACCCGTGAGCCGTGGTTCCGGAACGCGTCTGACCTCTGACAGACGCACTCTAAACTTCAGATCTTCAGCGCGTGTGAGGTTTACAATGTCAGAACACCTGCATGAGACAGGTGTTAATTACAATCTGCCAGAATGACTCACCACCTTCAGATTTCTCCAACACCGTTAAAAATGATAAAATACGGAACATATCGGCGTGCGCAGGCCAGAGTGCTGAAGCTCGGCGCATTGTTATTATGAAGTTAGGGCACATGTGGAGGACACACACACACACACACACACACATACACACACACACACACACACACACACACACACACACACACACACACACACACACACACACACACACACACACACACACACAAGTAAAATATACTTGTTTTCAATTACATTTATTGGGCCCACTTACTTTTTCTTTGGCCCACCCACAAATGAGTTTTCTGGCTACGCTAATGGTGACACCTGACAGACTTCTCTGAGCTCCGCAGCCATTACACTTTTCATCTCGCGCACCCCCTAGCGGCAGCTCGCGCACCCCCGGGGGTGCGCGCACCACACTTTGGGAATCCCTGATTTAGACAATTAATCTAATGATTATTTTTCTATTGCACAGTTAATAAAAACCAAAAAATCTCTAATAAATTCCTCAAAAAAATTGATAAATTTTTACTGTAAGAGAATAAACACTACAGGCCTTCCATTTTGTATAACACTGCTTTTATTGTGTTGCGGTTGGTTATGTTCTGGTGACATGTAGAACTTGGGAGTGCAGGCTGCTGCCTGAGAGGTGGTAGAAGATGGAGTGTCTCCATGCTGCTTTGTTTTGGTCAGTAGTGTGCGTGAGACGAGTGGTGTTACGACCCTTCCTGGGGAGTTTGGCTCGTGTGCAAAAAGGAAGGGACAATAACGGGATTTAAAAGTTAAAATGATGATCAGGTTTATTTACAACTACAAAAAAAAACATAAACCTTTCCATCCACAGGTTGGGAATAATAAAACTAATTCTGCCTGTGGGGAATTAAAACAAAAGTACAAATAACTAGGGATGTCCTACTGGGCAAAGATTACAGGGTTCTGGACCAAAACAATCTCCAAAGGTCCAACTCTAAACTGGGTGGTTAAACCAAACTGAAGGTGATATCTTAAACGAAACCAAAAACCCACAACACTCTAAATGTAATAAAAGGGAGATCTACGCCACAAAAAAAGATGAACTCTAAACCAAAACGTAACAGCTTATCCCAACGCAAGAAGCTGTTAGCGAAGATGCTAACAGCAGCTTTACCAACATTAAGTTCAAGTTACTAAGTTTAAATAAAACAAAAACACCCAGCAGCAAACAGACCAGCACAGAGGAGAGACTGCTACCACCAAAACAGCTCTCCTAATGTCTGAAAGAAGCTCCTTTATGAAGGGAGAAGCGCTCCCGGTGATTTTCTACATCTGCGGTAGAGACGGAGCTGCGCATCTGACCCCGGAAGTTGTTGTCCGTTGCCGAGAGACGAAGGCGGGCAAAACAGGAAAATAATCTAGTAGTGGGCGGACATTGTTCCGGGTCTTCGGTATTTGGCGGAGATGTTAGTGAAGGTGGAGAAGAGGGCGAACTAGAGGAAAAACATGCAGATTCCTCCTCTATTTACAAACTCCTGTGGATGCAACAAGTGGGCGTGGTGCGTCGACTACCGGATCTGACGTCGACAAATTTTTAGAATCGAGCCGTCGACGTCATCGAGGCGTCGCTACAGCCCTAGTGTGTGTGTGTGTGTGTGTGTGTGTGTGTGTGTGTGTGTCCTCAGAAGAGAAGGTGGCTGTGATGTGATTCCAAATCAGATTCTAGATGAATGTGGGTTGTTGTTCAGTTGTAAAGGATGTTGTTATTAGGTTGGACCAGAGCTCTCAAGTTTAGTGTAAAGTTCAGAGTGGGATCATGGAATTGGATCAGGAATTCCATCTGACAGGAAAAAGATCTCAGCCAACATAGCTGTATTTATCACACTGGATAACTATCTGTGGTTGCATACTGTTCAGTGTACTTCCTGGATGAGTGACTTTTTAAGGACCTTGTATCGGAACCGGACTCAGTATAAGATGATGATCAAACTTGGACTCGGATCAGGGGCAAAAAACGTGGTTGTAAAATAAGCCAGTTTTAGAAACTAAAACATATTACCGTAAATCCTCTAATACAGGCCCGGGCCTGTATTTGACTCAAGCTCATCAAGCTCCAGGCCTTTATTGGAAGGAGGGCCAGTATTAGAGGCAGGCCTCTATTTCTATTTGAGCAAAATGAACTAATGGTTCGCTGGAGTTTTTGACAATTAAAAGTGCCTCCACATTTTCAAAGTTAAACACATTTCTTTTAACAACGGTAGTTCCTGCTTCAGCCCTCTCCCCCCTCCCCCTGCGCAGCGGCCGCAAACTCACTGATGCGCCTGCAGCCTCTCGGAGTTCCTGCTGCTCTAAACATTGAAATAATTATTTCATTTTCTGTTCCTCACTTCTGATGACCTTCAATGGTGTCTGTTTGTTGCAACAGCAGGTACAAAAACTAACTTGTTTTTATTTGACTATTTTTCTGTCCTGTCTGTTTATTATCTTCCTGCATCTCCTCTCAATCCTAAAGAAAAACTGCTACCTGGGTTCATATATATTCACCTCATGAGTTACCTTTGAACTGCAGTTCTAAAAGATCTACCGACCGCTAAAACAGCGGAGCGCTTGCTGTTTGGCGGCTGTATCAGTGATCAGTGCGTCGGAGGACAAGGTGATGCGCGCAGTGCTCCGCTCCACAGCATGCAGCGAAACACATCAGGCGCAAATAAAAGACAGAAAACATTAAAGGAAATGAACTGACATGAACGATCGCGTGTTAAATTAGTTTTTGAGGTGGCGACACCTGATTGTTACTGTGGCCGTGCTCAGGAGGCAGATCTACCGACCGCGAAAACAGCTGAGCGCTCCCTGCTGTGATCTGTGCGTCGGAGGACAAGTTGATGCGCCCCGCTCCACAGCAGCGATACACATCAGGCGCAAATAAAAGACAGAAAACATTAAAGGAAATGAACCGACATGAACGATCGCGTGTCAGTACCTACGGTCTGGCACTTGAGTTTTACCCCCAAAAAGAGAATGTGATCATACGATAATTCAATAGGGAGCGTGGTTTCACAGACGCGGAAGTGATAGCGTCGGTGCTCTAGGAAACCCCCGAGCGTTCGAGCGTCAACGAAGTGACACGGAAATGCCGGGCTTTCCAGAAGTAAGTAAGATAACTTACTATGAGCTGATAGTTCGTTGGATTGATCGGTAGGTTGGAAACTCTGATCGTGAATCTGAAGAAACGATGACTGACTGGTGAGCTGGAAAGGCGACTTCCGTTTATAGCCGCGGTTTGTGACGTAGGTGACGTCTCGTCTCGTCTTCCTCCGCTTATCCGGGCCCAGGTCGCGGGGGCAGCATCCCAACTAGGGAGCTCCAGGCCGTCCTCTCCCCGGCCTTGTCCACCAGCTCCTCCGGCAGGACCCCAAGGCGTTCCCGGACCAGATTGGAGATGTAACCTCTCCAACGTGTCCTGGGTTGACCCGGGGGCCTTCTGCCGGCAGGACATGCCCGAAACACCTCCCCGGGGAGGCGTCCAGGAGGCACCCTGACCAGATGCCCAAACCACCTCAACTGGCTCCTTTCGATCCGGAGGAGCAGCGGTTCTACTCCGAGTCCCTCCCGAATGTCCGAGCTCCTCACCCTATCTCTAAGGCTGAGCCCGGCCACCCTACGGAGGAAACTCATTTCGGCCGCTTGTATCCGCGATCTCGTTCTTTCGGTCATTACCCAAAGCTCATGACCATAGGTGAGGATTGGGACGTAGATCGACTGGTAAATCGAGAGCCTGGCTTTCTGGCTCAGCTCCCTCTTCCCCACGACAGATCGGCTCAGCGTCCGCATCACTGCAGACGCCGAACCAATCCGCCTGTCGATCTCCCGATCCCTCCTACCCTCACTCGTGAACAAGACCCCGAGATACTTAAACTCCTCCACTTGAGGTAGGACCTCTCCCCCGACCCGGAGGTGGCAAGCCACCCTTTTCCGGTCGAGAACCATGGTCTCAGATTTGGAGGTGCTGATCCTCATCCCAGCCGCTTCACATTCGGCCGCGAACCTACCCAGCAAGAGCTGAAGGTCAGAGCTGGATGAAGCTAGGAGGACCACATCATCCGCAAAAAGCAGAGACGAGATTCTCCTGCCACCAAACTCGACACACTCCACACCACGGCTGCGTCTAGAAATTCTGTCCATAAAAGTGATGAACAGAACCGGTGACACAGGGCAGCCCTGGCGGAGTCCAACCCTCACTGGGAACAGGTCCGACTTACTACCGGCTATGCGGACCAAACTCACGCTCCTCTGGTAAAGGGACTGAATGGCCCTTAACAGAAAGCCACCCACCCCATACTCCTGGAGCGCCCCCCACAGGGTGCCCCTGGGGACACGGTCATAAGCCTTCTCCAAATCCACAAAGCACATGTGGATTGGTTGGGCAAACTCCCATGCCCCCTCCATCACCCTTGCAAGGGTATAGAGCTGGTCCACAGTTCCACGGCCAGGACGAAAACCACATTGCTCCTCCTCTATCTGAGATTCAACTATCGATCGGACCCTCCTCTCCAGTACCTTGGAGTAGACCTTTCCAGGGAGGCTGAGGAGTGTGATCCCCCTATAGTTGGAACACACCCTCAGGTCACCCTTCTTAAAGATGGGGACCACCACCCCGGTCTGCCACTCCCTAGGAACTGCCCCCGATGACCACGCAATGTTGTACAGACGTGTCAACCATGACAGCCCTACAACATCCATAGACTTGAGATACCCAGGACGAACCTCATCCGCCCCCGGGGCTCCGCCGCTGTGTAGTTTTTTGACTACCTCAGCAACTTCTGCCCCCGAGATCGGACAGTCCATCCCCAGGCCCCAGTATTTTGTCACATTTTGTTTTATTAGAGAAAATCTGGGAAGAATAAAATAAAATGATTTCCTCAAAAAGTAGGAAGTGGAAAGAAAACTTTTTGCTCTACTGTGGATTGTGGTTGGAGGGCTGATTCAAAAGTTGCATTGCAACATTATCGTGGCTTAGGTCATGTTACTTTTATCCTGAAAACCTGTTGTTTTCTTTAACTTTTAGGGTTAAACCTAATGAAACAATCACACTGTACACGAGTGGCTGTCTTTGTTCAGCTTTGCAAAGGGGAGAGAGAGTTTTTTTAGGGAAGTGTAACAGAGTACACCTGTGTCTCTGCTAGGGTTGTCACGGTAACCGGTATAGCGGTAAACCCCGGTAAAAAAGTTGACAATAAAAATAACCGTCCAGTTTTTAAAAAACTAAATTATCTCGGTGGGTTTACCGTGGCCGCGGTTTAGGCGCGGTGACCCTTACCAGCCACCGTCGCTTCTGTTGAAGATCCCGCTCGCCGCACACGCACTTTTTAGTTTGCACGGAAGCTGAAATAATGGCCGAAGGAGGAGACCGCAGCGCCCGGGAAATCCATCAGCCCTCAAAGAAAACTAAATCGGAAGTATGGGCGTATTTTGGATTTCTGAAGAATGCCGAGGGACAGTTAATAGAAGACGGCTATCCCGTTTGCAGAACGTGCAGGAAAAAAGTGTCTGCAAAAGGCAGCAACACTTCTAATCTAATGGCACATCTGCGTGACAATCACCCACGTCTCTACAGCCAGTGCAAGGTAAGTCAACATTAGCATTTTAGCTTAAATGCATGACGTGAGGACTTTTGGCTGAGGGAGAATGCAACGAGTCACTATAGACTGCAGCCGCAGCGTCCTCTGCCAGCATTTAAACCGTGTCACGGACACCCCCATATTAAAATGATGTTATGCATTATGGCTCCCATGGCGCAGATGAGTTGGTCGCCACTGCTCACCCTATTATTATGAATTTAATAATGGTTACTGCTTGATGACATTTACCCTAATCTGCAATGATATGATATATCATATCAACTTGAAGGACACAAACCGAGGACAATAATATTTTCCTGATATAGTTTTTTTTGTAGTTGTCTGAAACTGTAACACATTTCTGGCACTATAATTAGTACATTTAATACCCTTGAAGTGATCAACAACGCATAGTTATAATGAAATATTGGAATTAATGGGAAATATGCCTTGAACTTCCTTTAAAATTCCCTGTGAGATAATACATTTTTTGCCAATCCTTTTCTTTGGAGTTAGCAAAAAAAAAAAGGTATAGGCAAACACATCGTATGTATATTGATATGAATAGTTGAATAATTATAATGATTCAAAACATTGACATGGATATTTTTTTAATATATTTTATTTTTGTTTACAGAGAGGAGCAGTGGGACAGACAGCGAGGCAACGGAGTACCGCTACTGGATCATCAGTGACACAGACACTTGAGCAAGCATTCCAAAAACAGACCGATTATGTGCCTGCATCCCAAAAGGCTCAAGAACTGACTGCAGCCATCACCTATTTAATAGCAAAAGACATGATGCCTTTCCGGACAGTCGAGAGACCTGGCTTTCTGAGGATGATGAAGGTTGCCGTACCTCATTACAAAGTGCCTACACGCAATTATTTTTCTAAGACTGAAATCCCAAAAATGTACAACGCAGTCAAAGCTGATGTTAAGAAGAGTTTGGCTCAGGGTGAATTCTTTGCTGCCACTACTGACTTCTGGACCAGTGAAAGAGGGGGTGGTCTACCATACATCAGCTTTACAGTTCATTATCTCACCCCAGACTGGCAACTGGAATCACACTGCTTAGAAACTCAGTTTTTTCCAGAAGTTCACTCTGCTCAAAATATTGCAGTTTTTTGAAAATATGTTGGAGGAGTGGGAGATAAACAAGACAGATCTGGTCTCCATAACCACAGATAATGCAGCCAACATGACCAAAGCCTTTGAAGAGTTTCCAGATGTGTGGCTTGGATGCTTCTGTCACAATTTGAACCTGGCCATTTCAAAGGCTCTGAAAATACAGAGAGTTGAAACAGCAGTAAGGACCTGTCGTCATCTTGTCCAAGGCTTCTCACGGAGCTGGAAGAGAAAGAGAGGACTGAGAGAAAAGCAAGCTGCCCTCACCTTGCCACCGCTGGCTCTCATCCATGACGTTGTGACCCGATGGGGATCGACATACAAGATGCTTGAGCGGTTTATCAGCCAGCAGCAGGCAGTCTGTGCTACACTGGCTGCAGAAAGAGGAGCTTTGCATCTGATGCCCAAGGACACTGACATAATTGTCATGGAGCAAGTCTGCCAGCTCCTTGAACCACTAAGCAAGTTTACAGATGCACTTTGCTCAGAGACACGAGTGACTTTATCAGCCATTAAGCCAGTTCTTGACCACATCACTGGTGATGTCCTGGAGGAAAATGAAGAGGAACCAGCCCTGACCAAGCAGATGAAACAGGCAATGAGAGAAGACCTAAACAACCAGTACACAGAGAAAGCAAAATATGTCATGCAGATGGCTTGTTTCATTGACCCCAGGTTCAAGAATAACTTCTTAGATGCCCCTGTGGATGATGTAGTTGACCGCTGTGTTCAGGAGGCCTTGAAGCTGACCCCTGTACAAGTCAGGCAGGAACCACAAAGCACCAGCAGTAACTCTACAGCAGCAGCAGGAGGGAAAGGCCTTGCTGGGTTACTAAAAAAGATTACCTCAACAAGGCAGCAGCGATCTGAAGAGGGTTCAGGCTCAGCCACCCCAGAAGATAAAGTGAAGGAGGAAGTCAAAGTCTACATGTCTCTGCCATCCATTCCAGCTGATGATGATCCACTGGTGTGGTGGAGGGGCCATGCATCAGAGCTGCCTCATCTTGCCAGGCTGGCAAAAAAGCTTTTGTGTATCCCAGCAACTAGTGTTCCATCAGAGAGAATATTCAGTGCCAGCGGGCACATTCTTTCCTCTCTTAGATCACATCTTAAACCAGAAAAGGTTAATATGTTGACATTTTTGCATTTCAACCTGAAGTAAATGGTCATGCATACAGTCATGATGCTGGTTGCTGGATGAAGCATCTTACTTGTTGATGAAGGAAATATACAATTAGTTCCTTGTCATTGATTTGTTTACTTTTTCAATGCCATTTATACTTGAACATTTGGATTTGATTACATAGTGTAGTAGTTATTTTAGTAATTTGTTTAAAGTGGCTATTTGTTTTAAATACATATTTTTTAAGGTTGACTTGTACAGTGCTCAAGTCAAGTGTGGACTGGAGTTTTAGATTTTCATTTTGATAATGAAGAAAACAAGTGGTGTTTCTTTGATTTGTTTACATATTGTTTATGTTTTGAATGTTTGGATTTGTATAATTTAAACCTGCACTACTGTAACATGTTCCAGAAAAAGAAACTATTTGTTCCTTGTGAAAAGTTGCACTTTTGTTAAGGCTTTGTGTTATTTTAGGTTTAATAAACACTGTTAAACCTTTTCAAAACTATTTCAGTTTGTGTAGAACAGGACTATCAATGCTTTCTGAACATATGCAACACCGTTTAAAAAATACCGCGATAATACCGAAAACCGTGATAATTTTGGTCACAATAACCGTGAGGTTAAATTTTCATACCGTGACAACCCTAGTCTCTGCTCAACTCCAACTCCTCTCCCCCGTGCAGCATGTTTTATTACACACAGAACAAGTCAGGTGTTGCAGGTTATGCATCATGTTGTGACTAGATAGTGTATTGTGGGCATCTTCTGTTATTCTTAAAGAAGGAGTCGGAGACGGAGTTCTCAGCCTAGACAGCATGGTCTTTTTATTAATCTGCTCACAGCTTTCAGGACAGCCAAAAAACAAAAGACCTCGACCAAATGTGGAGTCCTAAATTTATAATTTTTGTCCCTGGCATTACTCCCACAGTCCTTTGACTTTGGACCAAGGATGGGGTGATGTTTTTCACTTCCCAATATGGTCGACGCACCCTCCAGCCCAGAGGTCGACGAGCCCTGTTATCTCTATTTACCCGATATGATCCGAGAGCTCAAGGTTTACTGGAGCTGGTTTACATAAGCTGGACTGAAAAACAGCATGTTAAACTGCATGCACACTGAAACAGCTTTTGGCACCTTCAATCTCAGTAAGCTGTTAACCTAAGGACTCACAATTCAGCTCAATATACGTTGTAGATGACCTCTTGACCTTTTTGGCGACAACAGTATCAAACCATTGACCTTAATCTTTTTGACTGTAGCAGAATGACCCGTCTTAGTCTACAATATGTTATCATGGCGTCAAATGCTAGGTTAAGACAACAAGTGGTTTAGTGACAGTTGTTTCCTAATACGTTCTCAACAGTTCTTTTAGTAGATTACATGAACTGAACACAAACCCTCTTATTGTGAGATAAATGAATACAAAATCCCTAACACCAACATTTTTAACTTGTGTTTATTCTCCTCCTTTAGGAACTTCTCCCTGACTTCTCACAAGGATTAGCGTGGGACACAGATGCATTCTTTAGAACAGAGAAACGGGCAACTTCAGTATACTGGATCCCTCCCACAACCAGCTTCTCATTCCTCCCATAATGCATCAAGTTCTTGGTCTGAAAACACCATGCATCAGTACATTAATGCAAACTCAGGGGTCCAACAATCACAGAGCGCAAATATTTCCTTTCTCAATGGAGTTTCTGCTAACGGACAAATGCCGAATCAGCAGTGCACTGAAGGCCTTCATCTGGAAACTAACCTTTGGAATAATAATTTGAAGGGTTGTAACAGAATGCTTTCTGGTAATCCGACAAACACTTCTAACTCTTTTCCATCACCAACGAGTGGACCTCAGATTCAAACTCTGCAATATTCTAATTCAAATTATGCTAATCAGAGTTTAGCAAGTTATTCCAGCCCAACTACTACATTCCACCACTGGAATCAAACAGCTGCAGTGAATGAGGCGTCCACATCAAGGATTCAGGATGCATCTCATCTCCAGCAAAACCAGTCTTCCCATAGTTACCATCAACCATCAAACGGATATGTTACCCCATATGCAACATCAGCTCCTTCACTTCCCTACCAACAGATGGTCAAGCCAGGCTCATTGACGTCTGCAGCCTCTGAAAATGTCCAAACATATCAAGTGGCTCATTACAACTCTGCACTACAATCCTCATCGATTACACTGGTTCAGAACTTTCCCAACACAAGTGAGAATTCTCAACAAGCAAGAACTCAACCAAACTCATCCTTTTACAACCTTGAAGGTCCCACCAACTCCAGAAATACAAATGTAAACAATCAGTATACTCAGAACCCTTCTCCAAAAAAATCCATCAAACATCCCATAGATTATAAGGCACAACAGCAGCTTCCACCTTCTTATGAAAGCCATTGTTTCAGTAATACATCCAGACAATCCAATCAAACTATGCAACCTGTGACCTCGGCTGGCTCTCGAAGTTGTAACTTGAGTGCTACCCAACCTCTATCACTCCATTCTGTGCAAACTTTACCTCAAGGTGCAATGCCAAGAGGGCCGCTCACTGTAAATCCTCTTCAGCAAAATGCTTTACCGGTGGGTTTCACCATGAACACAGCAGCAGGGGTGAAAGAGCGAGAGAAGCCAGTCGATGTTTCACTCCCTGGCAATAATATGGTCTCGAAACGTTGTCCAGCAGGATTCCAAAATGAGGGTCCATCAGAGAAAAGCTCAGTGAGGATAAATAAGGTTGATGCATTCTTGAAACAGCATCCATATCTAATTAATATATTAGGATATTCTCCAACTGTCAGACCTGCAGAAGACTCTGCTCGGCCAATGCCAGCTCATTCTGTTACCAGGGCTGTTGCTGTTGTGCCACCATTGTCACAGGAGGATGGGCATGCCTCCTCTTACACTCCAACTTGTAATCCTAAAAATATCACAGACATTATACCTGAAGTGGAAAAAGAGGTTGCATTTGTAGAGGAGTCTAATGTGGACCAAGAAGATCCAAATCCAGTGACAGTCAACAACACAGCGGCCAGTGATGGTGCTGTTGTAACAATCTCAGTCTCTGAAAGTCCTAGCTCCTCTCAAGGTTCTGAGCAGGACGGTCTTGGACCACCTACACTGAAATGTTCAGATATACTACCGAGTCAAACCCGTCCTGAGGAACAAAATGAAGTACCTACACCTCCATCACCACCTGTCTTAGAACTTTCTTCCATCCCAACTGTAACCTGGACAATGGATTCTCTAGATAATTTATTGTTAGAAACGGAAAAAGCTCAAGTCAAGCCAAGAGAAGATCCAAAGCATTCAGTCATAGACCAAATACTAAACACATTTTGGAATTCAGACATTGAAACATGCCATAAGTGCTACAAGGAGTTGATGGAATCAAAGCATATTACTTATGTTGCTTTTGTATGTAAACGTATCCCAAAACACTGTGTCATACTATCACAAATTCATCCTGCTTATAAGGAGAACCTCAAACAATACCACGTGCTTAAAAATGATGAGGTGTATTCAGAGCAGCTGTATAAATCGTTGTGGTTGAATGTCAACGATCAGTTGGATGACATTGACAAGGAATTTGGCTTCCCTTGGACTTTGATGCAGCATCATTATGTGCATGAGACTTGCAGCCAGATAAATACAACTGATAAAAATTCTGAACTACTTGCACCTGAGGTGCAGAACAATGTTTCATCACAGCTAGCGTCTGAATCGGTTGATCTAACTGATGATGACGAAGAAGCCTCTCCTGTTGCATCCCCCTCATCAGAAGATACGTCTGACTCAAAGTACTCATTTAAGTTGGATGTTTTGCCTCCAGAAGAAGCCAGAGCGATCTATGAAAAAGTTCAAAATCTGGTTAATCAAAACCTTGATTTTGAGGATGTGATGAAAGTGAGGGGTTCATTGCAACCAAAGATATCCAACGACTTAGATGGTGCAGCAGAATCAAACATGAAGAACAAACCGGAGCAAATTCAAGTCATTTGCTGCTTTGCAAAGTTCATAGAAATGCATTCACCAGTTGCTTCATCATCTCTTAGATGCACGTGCAAAGAAAAACAGAGTTGCAATGAAAGTGTTGTCAAACCTGATCTAGAGAACTCTTCAGAAAACACAGACAATGAACCTATAACACTAAGTTCCCCAGAGCACTGCTTTAAAATCGATAAAATCATTGACCTGACTAATGTGGATGAAGACCTCTACTCAAATTCTGATCAAGCATCAGAGATGACTGACAACAGTTGGTTGAACATTGTCAGCTCGAGTGATGTAGAGAATACAGATTTTATCCCTGAAGAACCTGAAAGTGTTAGTGAGAATGTAAACCTTGCAATTGCCATAACCCAATCAGAAGATGAGACTTTAAAAGGAGAGGTCAAATCCACAGAAGCCACTCAGTCTGCTTCTTCAGCCAGTAGTTCCACACAGAATGAACCCATGGAACTTCACAGCAGTGAAACTGAAGATATTCTACAGATGTCCGAACATGAAGAAAACTGTGAACAAGCAGAGGAGGCAGAGTCATGTTTAGAAAACGAAGGACAAACTCAGATTACCAATCCAACATTGTCAAGCCTTCATGTCAGAGAAAAAACAAATGAAGAAAGACAGAAACAACAGAGCAGTCTTGACCCATTTTCCCCAGACCTAAGTACACCAAAGAAACCAGTCAGTATTGCCACACAGAGTGAACATAAAGAACTTCCCATCAGTGAAACTGAAGATGATCTACAGATGTTAGACCATGTAGAGAACTGTGAACAAGCTTCTGAGGAGGCAGAGTCATGTTTAGAAAACGAAGGACAAACTCAGATTACCAGTCCAACATCGTCAAGCCTTCATGTCAGAAAAAAAACAAATGAAGAAAGACAGAGCAGTCTTGACCCGTTTTTACCAGACCTAAGTACACAAAGAAAAGCAAACTTCCAACTGCCTCCTCAGTCCGTATTGCCACACCTGAACACAAGGAACTTCCCATGTCAGACCAAGAAGAGAACTGTATACAAAACAGCAGAGGAGGCAGAGTCATGTTTAGAAAACGAAAGACAAACTCAGATTACCAATCCAGCATCTTTCAGCCTTCGTGAAAAAGTCAGAGAAAAAACAAATGAAGTAGGACAGAAGAGACAGAGCAGACTTGACAAGTTTTTCCCAGGCCTAAGTACACCAAAGAAACCCAAACTTCCAACTAGTCCGCTCCTGTTGGATGTCCCTGAACCTCAGCCTGAAGCCTCAGAAATAAAAACCATGAGGTTGGCATTGTTTGGCTCAAAAACAAGAAGAAATAGTGTTTTTTCTAGAAACAAAACTTTAATAAGTAGTTCTACAAAACTTGAACCACCAGAGATTCTGTCTTTTAAACTGGACACATCGACGAAGAAACCCACACAATCTGGTTTCACAGGAAACTACACAGTTAAACAGTATTTATATCAAAAATGGTTGAACAGTATGCCAACTCTGAACGGTTCAGTTAAAAATGGATGCAAAAACAAATTGAAAAGACAAAACGTGTCTGGATATACAAAGGATTCAAAAGTGGACTCAATATCTGACAGGAAACATAAGTGCTCCCTCAGTCTGAAGAAGAGGAGGAAGAGGGGGCGATACGGTGTCAGGGTGTGTCAGCCTGCAAATCAGGATCTGGACAAGAAGCAGTATAGAGATGTTCCCATCACGTCACTCAAGGAAAACATCGTCTTGAAGTTAAATGGCTTACCAAATACCTTTGACTTCAAAAATGGGTCCAACGGGGTGATGGAGATCCCTGGTCTTGAGTCAGGTAAATACCGACATTCTGCAGCTGTTGATACAAGTTCCTGAATTTGGCACACTTCAGAAGTTAAATAAACATCCTCATTGTCACTATTGAACACTCCTATAGGGAAACCTTACTTACACAGGTGTGTGTATGTACACAGGTGCTCATCTAAGTATGGCATTTTTGAAGCATGATCTAAGGCTGTGGTTGGCACTAAATGCACTAAGAATTATTACTGTGATTTTCAGCAAAAATTGTTACTGTTATATATCATTGTAACGGGGTGATTATGTATGTATTTGGGTGCTTTTAAAGCTTGATATACTACCCTACACTTTGACCAATATGATGTGAATTTCCATATAAATATGGAAATCCAGTCTGTTGGTCTTTGAATGTTTAACCAGAAGATTTGTTTATTCAAGGATTGTAAAACACTTCGTGTTAATTCAAGAAGAGAGGCAAGTTTATAAAAAGCAAGACATTTATTTTCTAAACAATTAAAACATGACAACGCAGACACTTTATGTGATGAATGGATTTAAGTGGATGGAATGTGAGGTGTGAGGACGTGTGAATGTGATGTTATCAGAACCCTCGTATCTGAAGAAACTGAGTTCTGAGTGGGAGTGAATTTGGTCTGCTATAAACTAACAAAGGTTGTTCTTATCAAAAACACATTAGACGCAATCTGTCGAGTCTACGTACCCTGATCGAAGAGCCCCATTGTATGTCCGGAATGTTGAGGTCCCGGGACCTCAGAGGTACCGAGGTCCGTAGAAGCAACCGCCGTGCTGACTAGACCAGTCTTGAGTTGTCTTCAGGTCACGACAGTTGTTATTTGCGACTTAGGAATAACTCTCAAGGAGTTGAAGTTGGTTCAGTTTTGTTCTGAAGGAACCGTTTGCGGTCAGCTGTAGTGTGCAACAGGTTTTTGACAGCTCGTCAAAAGGTGCTCTGGGTTAAAGAGGTTTTGCTTCAGATGGCCGGTCCGAAACTTTCTCAAGAACTCACAAGAACTAGTACTAACTCACAGTGAAGTGAGTCCTGTTTTAATAATCGTCATATTTTGATTCACCAACAAATCAGAATTTGACATGTAGAAGGGTTTTTACCAACAAACCTCAGAAAACACGCCTTGCATCAGATACAGGAGTTCTGATTGGTGGAACAGAAAGCATTGTCAGGATATTAGCTTAACCTTGTCATCGTTATGTGTCTGAGTGTGTGAGCTGTCAAAGATAGTGATTCACTTGTTAAATCTAAAATTACTGATCATAACATATTAATATTCATTTCAACCACAGTAATTTAAGCACAGATTAATCAAAACATTGTTATTATCCTTCCACCATTATTGTTTATTATATGATTTAATTTAGAAAGTTCATCCGTCTTGTGCTGTGAATAAAAACCAGTCTTAGATAAGAATGAGCTTGGAGGGACCTTGAAGCAACAGTTTCTTGCAGATTAAAGCACCAGTTAAGACTTATGTCTCCAAATGACCCAATACTGAAGAGGTGACCTGTAGATAGAAAAACAGACCACTTCCAGAGGCTACATCCTCATGTGGTATCGGGTCCTGGCAGGTATGCTGCCGGGAAGAAGGCAGGAACATGCAGCAGTGCCTGACCCGGGTTCAGGGGCCTCAGGTAGACATTGGCTCATCTGCCGTTCCATCACAGGGGAGGGGGAGGTCCTGGAGGGGGAGGACCCAACCTTACCTGGATGTCCCATGTCTTATATATTCTGGAAGTTGTGAAAATGCAGGGACGGGCATAGATATTCTGCTGGGGTGGGGCTGGGTTAGGGCCCTCGGACTCCGTGGGGCTCTGTAATGCTGCTGCTTTGGGCCCTGGCAGGATGGGCTGGGGTCTCCATGCCCTGGGTGGCGGTTTGACAACAGAGGTGCCTATCGGGGCCAGTAGGGGAGCTGGCTCCCTGGAGGGCTAAGCCTAACCAGCCATTCCTCCCCATCCCCGCATATTTCTCTCCTCCTGCTCCCTCACATAATCACACAAACATACACATAGGACCTTGGGGGGTGGGCAAGTCAGGGAGTGCGGGTATGGACCCCATTTCCGCATTCCTGTGGCAACCTGCCCCCCAATTTTATTTGCACCTTATACACTTCCACTGACGACATTCCACACAAACACACACTTAGGGCCTTGGGAGTGAGCACAATCAACGGCATTTGGCAGGGGGATATTTCAGCCTCCTCCCGAGTGCCGGTGCCCACTTCCAATTTTAAACTGCACTTGGACGCTGATGGCTGAGGGTGTAAGTGGGGTGGTGCGGTGGCATCAGCTGGCATAGGTCGGATGATGCCCGCACTGCCCAGTCACCACAGCCATGGAATACACCTCATGATCACACAACACTACATTGGAGCAGGCGGAGGGAGACTAGGGGTCTTAGCCACCTCTGTTGTTGCTAGGCTTCCTGGGGCTGGAGGCTAGGAGGGAGATATGGCCGTCTGGTTGGGGTCTGGGGTGGTGGGTTGCTGTGCTCAGCGTTGGGCGGGGGAGCCTGCTCATCAGCACCCCACCAGAAAGGGTCAAACTCTGGTTTCCGGTGATGGTTGTACCCAATGTGCAGCAGTACCGGGACCAGAGTGAATAGGGTGTGTATGGGGAGCATGAGTGGGTGTCCGGCGTGCATTTTTGTAAGTCTTGGGTTGTATGTGCATGTGTGAGCATGAGGGAGGGAGTGTGTGACTGTGTTTGTGTATGACTGTATATGTCAGGTGGGGCCTTTGACTCCTCCCCTCTCCTGGAACTTCTCTTGATGATATAGATCTTTGTCCCCCCTCCCCCTGCCACACCTGGTGTGAGGGGTTGTGCCATGGTCTGCCTGAGTGTTCGTGGCAACCGGGTCTGGGGGTTTAATATTTTGGCATCTGCCTGGATGGATGGATTGATTGATTGATTGATTGATTGATTGATTTATGGATTGATTTATGGATGGATGTATTATGTAACAAGTAATATTTAAAGTGTAAACTTTAATCTCCTGTCACATTTTAGGCTATGTTTTAGCACCTCATCCTGTGCCAGTGCCAGAAGATCTTTGTGCACAGTTCCACAGGGCATCAAAAGGTGACATCATCACTGCACGTGTGGTCGAGAATTGGTCAAAACTCACCATTATGCCGGAAACCTGTGTAGCGCCCATCAGAATCTGGAAACTCCTGCCCTATCCAGAGAACAGCTCACACTTGAATGACCACACGTATCATTTATCCCAGTAGCCAGCACCAGCTCACAAAACTGTGATAAGCTAATAAGGACACAAATGTGTTATCATTACTTGTAGCTGCTTTAGTCTTTTATTATGTCAGATATTATGTAAAATATTTTTTATGCTTTTGTGTAAATGTTTAATAAAGAAGTTTTTATAAAAATGTGTGTTTCTGTGTTGCCAGTCCCCACATGCCAAAGACAGTGGCAAGCTGAAACACACTGGACTGGCTTATGCGAGTAAAATCAGCCAGAAGACAGGAGCCCAGCTGCACAAACAAGCATCCAAGCTGAGGGTCACAGAAGGGTCACAGGGACAAGAGGACAGAACTGGGCAAAAGGTCAGGAGGCTGACCCAACCTCTGGCAGGAGCGGGAAAAGAAGGACTGGAACAGAGTGAAGACAGCCCATCGGATCCAGAAGTCCTCTCAGGAATGCTGAAGGGAAACTGACGCTTTGCTACACAGATGATTTATGACCTGTGCACTCATGTAGAATGCTGCATGTAGTGATCTGTGCCCTCATGTAGAATGCTGTATGTCGTGAAAATGATACCAAATGTCTTGTGTTGAGCTAAAAAGTGTGTATCTGGTAAATGACCCCATGACCTTACTGTCATGAGATAATGATATATGTGACTTTTACCTTGTCTAAGCTGGCCCAGGGAGGGTATAAAAGAGCAGCCCTGAGCAGAGCTGGGACAGAAGTTGGGGCATACGACAGGAAGAGACAGAGCAGAGCTGGGGGAGAAGAGGTCGGCCTCCGTCCTCTGGACGGAGGCTGACAGAGAGAAAAGTTTGGGGCGATCCACAGAAGACCGAGTTGGTGTAAATCAACTCCTTATTTCTTAATCAATCATTAGAACTAATTCCTCCTTGGGGGAAGCAGTTAATTTTATATTTACTCATTTTTGTATTTTTTGATCTTGTAATAAACTTTTTGGAAAAAGATCCATAATCCTTATTCTTTCAGGTTTTCTCTAGAGCTTAACGATTGGGGCCCTGACCATTGTTTGCACAGAAGTAAGCATATTAATTATAGGATCCTGAGTTATCAGGATTTACTTTACAGTTTGTGACAGATTAATTTAAAGAAACCTTAAGATAAGAGGAGCTTGTCTCCTCCCTCACCCGCGAGTAACGAGATGTCTTAAGGATGATAAAACCGAAACATTAGAGGTAAATTTTGGCTCTCATTGCAGGTTGAAAAAGTATCAGCGCTGGAGGGTTGGATTAATTAAATAAATTGATAAATCTATGTTAGCCTGATCAACTAACAAGAATCATTTAATAGTTACAAACCACCCACATAAGCTGATAGGGGCGCAATTAATTCCAAATAACCCAAACAATTGCCGGAAGGGCTGGCCTCCCGCCGGGCTTCGTCCCCAGTATTTTAACCAAAAAATAACGGGATTGCTTAAAAAGAAGTGGGCTATTACAAAGGTACAAGTCTTGCATATCATTTCACCTTTAAAATAGAAGAAATGATTCTTACTTAGGAAGTCCATAACCAGGGTCTAGTACAATAAAACTCACCGACATCCCCACCGAACCCTGAAAGATGCACAGTCTCATAAGTTCTAACGGAACTGGGTTTTAACGGAACCGACAAATGGGACGTGCACGCGACATGGCGCCCAACGTGGAGCTACGGAGTGAAGGTTTAAATATTAGATACCAGGCTATCCGACGTAGAACTGTCTTCTAGGCTTATAAAAGCTTGCGCACTAAGGACCTGATAAGCTTATAACCTTGGAGTGAAAACCGCACCAATTTCTCGAAAAGGAAAGAAATTTGGGAGAACGGACGATTAACTTAAAAAGGTATAACGAAATTACGGCTTTCCGACGCAAGAAAAGCCAAGGATAAACTAGGCAAAAATAAAAATAAATAAAGAATAAGAGTAAAAAATAAGATGTAAAAACGAATAAAAATAAAAAAATAAGAAACATTTTTAACCAGCCATGGCAGATAGATCTTTCAGTTTCCTGTAACCGGAGCTTTCAGAATGAGGCTGGAACAGCTAGCTGCGCCTGAGCGCTGTCCGAATGCTGAAACACAAGTGAGAAGAATAACATCACTGAAGAAATTACTTGATTAAACGTCATGGCTGGATCAAAATCTAGTGAAGAAATGATATGTGAGAATTTGTGTAGCCCGGGCCTAGTTTTGGTATCACGGGGAGGATTTGTCACGAACTGTAAAGTAGCCATGTTTCCTAGCTTCACAGAATCTCCGGTCGGGCATCGTTACGTCTAAGGGAGGGGCTGGAAGCCGGGAACATGTATAATGTGTGAAACTCTTTAATAAAATGATCGGGGCTCCGGGAGAAACCGTGCCGCCTGTAAAGGAGGACGGACTTATAACTGGGAGCATTGGAACTCTGCTCCAATTAAAATTTGTTTAGGACCTGTTTGAGACAAGGACCTAGCATCTGCTCTCGGCAGCCTGCAGATATGAGAAGAGACAGCTGAACAGAGAAAAAGCACCCAGTCAGCTGAGCAACAAGAGACAAGCGGAATGTGCAGGATGTGGTGACATCACCCCTCCCCCAGCAAGTTCTGTTAAGAAGGGGGAGTCCTGAACTTACCCCCAAATTCCACTACCTCCGTTCCGACACGAACGCCGGAGCAAAATCGGTCCCGTTGTAGTCAATCAGAGCTATTCCACTACTGCGGCCGTGCTCCGGCAGTGCGGCGCCGTGCGCCACCCTCTGTTCCGGCGTCCGGCAAAAATAGAATCGATCCTATTTTTGCCGGACGCCGGAGCACCTCCGCAGTATATGGACAGAAATCACTGATACCTGTTTGGATGAGGGTTGCCTCCAAACACCCAGAGAGTCACATCCTGCTCCGTTCAGGCTGGGAACCCATCATCACAGCCATGGTCATCAGCAGGTACTCAGCAGAGTTTAGTTTCAGCTTCAAGCTCAACAAAAATGTTCAGAAAATTCAACATTTTCTATGAAATTTGCACTTTTTCTGAATTTTGAACAGTTGAAGCTGAATGTGTTCATATTTAGATTATTATCATTTCACTTTACTGGTTACTGGACTCTATTAAACATACAAAATCTGCTTTCTACTCTGGAATTGGTTTCCTCCAATGAAGGCAACTCCAGGACTCTGTTCTCAATAATGCGCAATATTTTTCATCCCCCGGACTCTCTACCCCCCCCCCCCCCCCCCCCCCAATCTGTATTCTGCTGACTCATGTAACTCTTTAATAACCTTCTTTACTCAGAAAATTGCTTCCATACACCGGCAATTAATTCCAAGCTCTTCCCCTCCCCCTGAGATTTTTTCACCCCGCCAATCATTTTGTTCCTTTCTTCTTCCCACCTCATCCGAAATATCTGATCTTGTCTGTAAATCCAAGCCCACCACCTGCTCTCTCGACCCCCTTCCTACAGTTTTGGTTAAAACATGTCTCGCCTCCCTTCTCCCTCTCATAACCACCATAATCCACTCCTCCCTCTCTACTGGTATTGTTCCCTCACTTTTCAAAACTGCATCTATGTCTCCAATATTAAAGAAACACGGCACTGATCCCAATAATTTCAATAATCTTCGTCCCATCTCAAATCTTCCATTTCTTTCAAAAATGCTAGAAAAAATAAACTCTGTTCAACTCCATGCTCATCTCACCCTCAATAGCCTCTATGAGCCCTTCCAGTCTGGTTTTCGACCTGGCCACAGTACAGAAACTGCACTCATAAAAATCACTAACGACCTCTTCACTGCTGCCGATACTGGACTGCTCTCCATTCTCATCCTCCTTGACGTGAGTTCAGCCTTCGATACCATCTCTCACACCATCCTCCTCCATAGATTGTCTTCCCTTGGCATTTCTCATACCCCGCTTGATTGGTTCCGTTCATATCTCTCTGGCCGTACTCAGTTTATTCAACTCAAATCCTTCACTTCCCGTCCCTTCCCTGTCACTACTGGCTTCCCCCAAGGCTCTGTTCTCGGTCCACTCCTTTTCATCACTTACCTTCTTCCCCTGGGAAATATTTTCCGTAAATTTGACATCCATTTTCATTGTTACGCGGATGACACCCAGCTCTATGTATCCTCCAAACCCTCCTCTTCACTCCCTCCTTCCTCCCTCACCAATTGTTTATCTGAAATCAAAGACTGGTTCACATCAAACTTTCTCAAACTTAACAGTGATAAAACAGAAAGGTTACTTGTCGGCACTAAATCTTTACTATCCAAAATCCACAGCTTTACTCTTCCTGTCGACAACTCCTTAGTTTCCCCCTCCCCTCAGGTCAAGAGTCTGGGTGTCATCCTCGACTCCTCACTATCCTTCCAGTCCCACGTAAACAATATTACCCGGTCTGCCTACTTCCATCTACGTAACATTAACCGCCTACGCCCCTCCCTCACTACTCACTCGGTCGCCATCCTTGTCCACAGCCTCAGCACTTCCCGTATTGACTACTGCAACTCTCTTCTCTTCGATCTTCCTCACAAATCCCTCCATAAACTTCAACTTCTCCAGAACTCGGCAGCCCGCATCATTTCCAGAACTCCCTCCTTCCACCACATCACCCCTGTTCTTCAGCAGCTCCACTGGCTCCCAGTCACTTCCAGAAACCAATTCAAAATTCTGCTATATACATTCAAAGCCATCCATAACCTAGCGTCCCCCGTACCTCTCAGACCTCCTTCATCCTTCAACCTCCACCCGTTCCCTCAGGTCCTCCTCCTCCATCCACCTCTCTGTCCCACCTTGCCGTCTGGTCACTATGGGGAGCAGGGCCTTCAGTCGCTCTGCTCCCCAGCTCTGGAACTCACTCCCTCCTGACCTCCGTAACATTGATTCCCTCACTCTCTTTAAAACCAGACTCAAAACCCACCTGTTCCGTCTAGCATTCCAATAGTTACTCTCTTTGCTCCAATCTGTTTGTTTTATGCTGTTCTATCTTTTATTGTTTGTATTTTATCTCTGTCTGTAAAGTGTCCTTGAGTGTTTAGAAAGGCGCAGTTGAAATAAAATGATTATTATTATTATTATTAATTATTATTATTATTTTATTTTCCGTCTTCATCAGTTCCACTGATTTTGAGATGCCTTTTGCTTGCTCGCCATCATTGCATGTATTCAGTAATCATGAAACCCCGTTTATAGTCCTTGTTTTCTTTGTCTTATCAGATCTTCTGCTGATCTTTCTCTTCCTGGGTTCTGATATTATATTTTATGTTTCTGATACTGAATGTATTGATCCTTTTTTAATTTGTTTGCTGTTGCTATGTAATTACTTTTTGGGATAAAGATGCTATCAACATAGAACAATATCAGCAAGTGCATATCGGTTAATATTTCTGCATAAATAGAAATTTATAAATTTATAAACTATTAAATGAGTCAAATCACATAAACTGTCCCAAGGTGGTGGAAAAAAACGTAAAAATCCTTTATTAAGGAGTAAACCCAGAGAATGCAGGGCGCCAAAAAACAAAATCTGAAAATCCTAATAACTAAACCTAGAGAATCCAAAAACACAAGAGACCTAGAGATTCTAAAAGCTAGAGAGGGGGACAAGACGAGGTTGACACAAACAATGAACCAACAACACTCTGAGACGCAGACAGGGCTAAATACACTGGGGCAGGATGAGTGGGAGATGAGCTGCAGGTGTGTGGAGAGAGAAACCTAGTGAAAACAATTAACTAATCAGGGAGAGGAAAATAACATGTCCTAAGAGTAAAAACAAAACCTGAAGACAAGAAGATTAAGATAAACAACCAATGATCTGTGGATAACTAAAAAAACAGTGGAGAAAGAAAACACACTAAAAAGAGACTAATAAATGAAAAGCTGAACCTATAGGAAAAAACTACAGAAAGAAAAACTACACAGTTGTGACTGAGGCCCTGTCCACACGTAGCCGGGGATCTGCCAAAACGTAAATATTTTTCTACGTTTTGGCCTGTCATCCACACGAAAACTGAGTTTTTTTCACACGAAAATGGATATTTTTTTAAAACTCCGGCCAAAGTGAAGATCTGCGTTTTCTCCGTTTTGGGTGTCTGCGTGTGGACAGACAAAACCGGAGTTTTGAGGTCCGCAAGGTCACTTTCTGCGACAAAAAAATGCTGACATCACGTGTGCGACCTGTGTTTACACTAGCCGACAGCATGGATGCCCTCAGAGCTGCGCTCGCTTTATCAATTGTCCAAGCGCTTTTTGCTTGTTTGTGTTTGCAAGCGGAATTACTGCTCCTTGCGGAAGACCACAGACGAAGGACGAGGTTAAGAACGGGGGAAGTACTGCCGCCTACAGGTCTGGCATGTCCTTAAAAACGTATTTATCCGGGTACGTGATGACAGAGTTTTTTTTTTTAAACGAGGTGGTGTGGATGCAAGTTTTTGGAGGGGCGGATATTCGTTTTTAAAAAAAAAACCCGGCTACGTGTGGACTAGGCCTAAGGGAGACCACGGGAGCAAAGGACCTGGGGGGATACCTGGGGAGGGGGGAAAACCTAGATGGGCTGCAGATCAGGGGACACATGAGGAAGATGCAGACAAGGACACGAGGATGCTAGACACATAAGGAGAACCTAGAGAGGGATGGAGAACACAAGGAGACACATGAGGGAGACGAGACCATGACATAAACAACACAAAGTTGAAATATTTCTCTAAGTTTACAAATCAGAATGTGATCGGTGAATGACTCCTGTGTTGTAAAGCGCTTTGGGGGGCAGTAGGACTCTAGAAAGGCAGCCATTTATCATTTGTTTATTTACAATTTGCACATTTACAGTTTTGCTGTCCTCGTGAATGCAGGGAGCGATAAAACTGAGAAGCATTTCGCCAATCCAAGCAGATAATTTAAATCATAGTGCAATAATGTTAACTGTCTTCTTCTCAGTCGTGCACCAGCTCCTCTGGTTGCGCTTCAAGGATTTCCTGGGCCAGCCGAGAGATAAAATTCCTCTGTTGTGGCTGCTGACAGTTTGAAACACCTCCCCTCCCACACAAGTGTGGATGGTCACAGTTTGATCGAGATAAGCAGATGGTGAGGATGTGGAGAAACACATCTGGGGCTAAAACAACACTTAGTTTTATCAAGTGTCACAAAGTGCTTAGTTCTTGAGTTTAGAAATCCGAAAGCATTTGTGAGTACAACGATACTGGGTGGCAAAGGTTAAATAAACACGTAAAAATATATACATGCAAATAAATATTTCCTGGAAGCAACGGTGTAGAAATAGCTTTGATGCAGAAATTTTATTCAAGGTAAATCAAACTTATTGTAATGGTGACTGAGATTTTTGCTAATACCTCCAATTGCACCCCATGGGTCACCGTCACAAAAAAATAACTTTTTAATCTTATTTTTAGTGTTGGAAGACTTATTCTGGACAAGACTGTGTCTGATGAAAACTTAATGGGAATCGTTGTTTATGCTCCAGTCATAAATGGTAAGTAATGGTGGTTTTCTCTTTATCTGCACTTTTTTCGTCAGTTTGAAGTTTAGGTATCATTTCGTCATTGTAATTTGTTTATTTGTAAAAATTATTATGGAACAAAACTGCAGATCAGGGCCAGTACCTGTCTCTTGAAAGGAAAAATAATATTTGATCACACATGTGAACCTGAATGCTTATAAATAATCATCTCTGTGTTAATCCTCATATTCGTTTCAATGTCCGTGTGTTACTCATGCACCTTTAAACTGAATGATGCCCTAGCACTGAGTTAGACCTATATCAGATTTATGCAATAACTCCTCAAAATTTTTTCCACCTTCCTGGTTCTTGAAATCACTGAACAAACAAAAAGTAAGCCACCAAGTCGCCTTGTATTTCAATCACCCACTCTTTATTTACCCATACGCATTTAGGATTTATTTCTGCCACCTCCCAGTACCTGTGACAAATCGGATCTGTTCTCACAAAATGCAGTTTTATTCTCTGTCCTGCTGCAGATTCTCTTGCTGGCACCTCCCTAGATTTCTGAAGAACATCACCTGCTTCCTCAGAGAATAGCATTTCCACATTTTCAGTCAATCCTCCTGATAGGATGGGAGTCCACTTTTGCCTCGCTCTGTTTCCTGTTTTATCTCCCACACTGTGAACAGACTCCCCCTGCTCCTGGCCTTTGTTCTGCATGTGATTCTTCATGCATCAGCAGCAACTTAAACCAACTTAAACATGCATAGGTCAGATATGGCTAGAACTCAGTATGATGGCATACAGATCACAAGTGAACCATTCAAGATAAGAGTGCCCATGCATCATTCAGTTTAAAGGTAGATAACTTACATAAGAACACTGAAATTAATATAAGGATTAACATACAGAGGATTAATTATAAGTATTCAGGATTACATGTGTGATCAAACATTATGTTTCCTTTCATAGGCTAAGAATAGAAATGTTTACCCGTTTATCGGCTGTGATTGTTAGTACACAGGATGTGATGTAGGTTTTGCTATTGCTGCATCAAGCATGGTCAAAGAAGATCACATGTGACATGGGGCTGCATCATTTAAAAGGAACATTTTCCATTGTTCTCCTTATCAGGTGTTGGAGGAAACCTCGTCTCCATCCAGGCTAGTCGTATCTCAACTCATCTGCATTTGAATTACTCACCCAGAGAAATTCCTGACAGCCATAAAAGCTGCTTCAACCTCTGTCACACCTTCGTTGGAACAGGTTTTCTAACTTTTTCTGTATAATGTAATGTCAAATGTCCTGCTCTTTATTTAAATATTGCAAACAGATGTTTTTCTTTATATACATATATATTTTTTACTTCTTAAGTTAAGTGGGTTAGGGGTAAGTGTGGTGTGGTGCTGAGGTCTGACAACATCCTCCGGAGTAAAAAGAAGATAAAAATTTAGATGGACCAAAGCATCGACAGTACTTAGGAGATACGTTTGTTCCTTGCAGGCATGGAGGAATAATGTTTATTTATTTATTTTATTTTTTTGTTCAATTCATTCAGTCAGATATAAAACAAAACATAATATAATCATAAAACATAAATCATTACATTCAAAGTGACTGAAAAGGCTCAGGCAGAAGCAAAATGCTTATATTTATGCCTGTCCTTTTTATTATATTATAATATAATAATGTCCTTGTTAATATAATAATAGTAATTAATTAAAACACAGACTGTCAAACTGAAATACCCTCCTCAATTCTGTACCTGGTATAAATAATGTTTATTTATTTATTTTTTTATTCAATTAATTCAGTCAGATATAAAACAAAACATAATATAATCATAAAACATAAATCATTACATTCAAAGTGACTGAAAAGGCTCAGGCAGAAGCAAAATGCTTATATTTATGCATGTCCTTTTTATTATATTATAATATAATAATGTCCTTGTTAATATAATAATAGTAATTAATTAAAACACAGACTGTCAAACTGAAATACCCTCCTCAATTCTGTACCTGGTATAAATATTGTTTATTTATTTATTTTTAAACAGAATCATAGTAACACATTTCCATAGTGTCCCCTCCATCCTATTCTCCACATACCGAAATACAAAAGGTTTTACTTGTTGTACGTGCAAAAAGAACTCTGAAATGAAATTGTTCCCGTAATTTATAACCCCCTTCCTTTTCAATTAATAATTTTTGGATGTTTTCTGATAAAAGTTTTTTCTTGCTAGAAATAATATTTGTGCTGTCTGCAATTCTACAATGTCTCTAAATTTTAGTTGACTGTATAAATAATTTATTAGTGTGATCCCTATATCCTACCTTATAAATGATTTGTATTTATTTCTTTAGCAAAATTATTAATAGTTGATTATTAATGGTTCAATAATGTTAAATTAAAGGTGTGGATGTGCTACTTTGTGGGGCCGGTGGCATGGTGTCAAACATTAACCCCCAAATTCCACTACCTCCGCTCCGCTCCGGTCCGCCCCCGCCTTCCGCAGCCTCTCGCTTCCGAATTCAATTTTTACTGGTACCCGCTCTACAACGGCTCCGCTCCGGTGTGGAGACCTGAGGTGGGCAAACAAGCATGCGCGGGATTTTCAAGATCTTGCGATACAGTCCGAGCAATAAACGCGGAAGTTAGATCCAAACACCCGTTGTGTGTGTTGGTCTTTCTTCTGTTAGACCAAGCACAGGTACGGAGAAGATGGAGATAAACACCTTTCGTTGGCAGAATGTGGAGTCAAATGATCAGAAGTCCAGTCACTGTTTTCACCGCTCATGAGGGGGAGAGCGTGCAATTCCAGCAGAGCCCGCGTTCTGCTCCTGTCTGTTGCTTCAGACACTCTCCCCGTTCTGCTGAAACGGCTGATTTTTATTGAGGATTACAGGAATGAAACATACGCAGTTTGCCATGTACATACGTCATTGATCATGACAGGTGAAAAAAATAACAGCCTTGTTAGTGGACAGTTAATACATCACGAGAACATGCATCCGTGAGATAACTAGGAACATCCTGGTACGTCCTTGACAGGAAAAGATACACATACACCGGTACCGGAGAGGAACTCAACAGAGATGGAATGTGTTCACTCCTTTCTCTGGTGCAGGAGAAGATATACAGCTATTAATCATTGTGCAGAAGAACACTGAGAGGCCTTGAGTATCTGAGCAGGATTCTTTCCATAGCATATGATAATATATAATAGCATTGAATAATACAAAAGAGTTAACCAGGTGGATACATATATTTTCATGTGGGAGAAGCATCGAAATGAACAGTTTAATCTGCCCATCATTTGTGTTGAGAGATTAGCAGTGTTTGGATCAACAAAGTGTGATTACTTTGATAGTGGAAACTGTATTCATGGCTTACTTTTGTGCATTTAAACTTCAGCCGCCATTGATAGTTGTTAAAAGTTGTTAAACCTGTGCATATGAAACAAAAAACACCTTTTGTTTATCGATTTATTCTGTAAAACTGAAGTTGTGCTTGCTCCTTTACCTGTTGGGCGGTTGTGATTTCTGTCCATTTACTGCGGAGGTGCTCCGGCGCCCGGCGAAAATAGGATTGATTCTATTTTTGCCGGACGCCGGAACAGAGGGCGGCGCACGGTGCCGCACGGCCGGAGCACGGCCGCAGTAGTGGAATTGCTCTGATTGACTACAACGGGACCGATTTTGCTCCGGCGTTCGTGTCGGAGCGGAGCGGAGGTAGTGGAGTTTGGGGGTAAGAGTTCAAGACCTTCTACTTGAGTTCCTCCTACTGGAATCAAGATGTGGGTTTCCTAAAAATTTCAGCCTGAAAAAAGATCCAGTATCCACATATATGACGTCATTTATGGATTCAGCTTTGTGGGCGTTCTATGAGCAGAGAGGACGCAGCGGTAACGGCTCAAATACTCCAGCTGCGTCCTGCGCGCAGCCGCTGTTATATTCACAAAATTGTTCCACCAAAACAAAGTAATTTGTTTGCGATCGTTTATATCAGCTCATATTCTCGGGTACTTTGCGTACTTTTCAGCTGAGTTCATAATCTGTGTATTTACTAATCTGGGTGTAAAACTAGACTCCCCCTTGTCATTTGATGCCCAAGTTGCTGCAGTAGTTAGATCCTGCCGTTTTCAGTTACAACGCCTATCTACCATCAAGTCAATGATTTCAAGAAAGGATTTAGAGACCGTGACGGGTGCGTTTGTACTATCAAGGCTGGATTACTGCAGCTCCCTATATGCAGGAATGACTCAATCTGCAATTGCAAGATTGCAGATGGTGCAAAATGCTGCAGCCAGGTTCATCTATGGGGTAAAATGGTGGGAGCACATGTCGCTCTGCAGTGGTTGCCTGTGAAGCATAGTATCGAAATGAAATTCCTGATTAATGTTTTCCAGGCGCTTGCCGGAACAGTGCCACCCCTACTAACACAGGTCCGTTGCAACAACGTTGTCGCAACGTATTTTCTGACACCTTGTGATGTTGCAGGAACGTCGTATGTTACGTAGTAGCGACTTCCAAAGTGAAATTCCGCTACGACGTTGTCAGAACGTCACATAGGACGTTGCTGGAATGTTGTCGCGACATATCCACAACTTTACTGCGAAATTGTGACAACGTTGCTATTGTGACGTTGTGACAACATACCAACTAAATGTTTGTGGCATGTTGCAGAGACGTTTTCAGGTAAACTTTTTTTTTGTCACCTTTATTCATTATGTAGATACCACAGGAAATCATATTGCAAAACTAATGGCAGATTAACAGCAAAAACAACCAGAATGGCAAAACAAATGTATAAAAACCTTAAAAACAAGTAATATAGGACAGCGGTGTCTTGATTTCATTTTAAAAATAAGCTCTACTGCATATGTTTAGTAGTAGGCAGCAGGATCTGATGTAACTTCACAAAGGATGGACAATAAACTGACTTTTCAGCTTTTTATTACATGAAGGTTTGACATTTTCATACACAATTTAAACAAAACATTTTTATAGCACCTCTCAAAATAAAAATCACAAGGCGCTTCAAAAAAATAAAAATAAATGATCAAAAATAAGAAATAGCAAATAGAAAAAGCAAAAATTGTGAACAAAAGAAAGAAAAAAAAAGAAAACAGAAAGGGTGCAGGCGGCACCTATGTTTTGCGGATTTTGTTTTTATTGTTTTTTATATCTTATGACATCCTTTATTCATATGGTCTCATTGTTGTCTGTAATTTTAATTGATATGATCTATGATTTTATCATGTACTGCACTTTGGGCAGCCTTGGCTGGTGGCATTAAGGTGCTTTATAAATAAATAAATGAAAATGAAATGAAAAAACACACACACACAACTGTTATCTGCAATGTTATTTCATTTTAAATGTCAAAAAGGTTGGGTGGGTCCCAGTGTTTTTGTTGCTGTGGGTAAACGGGTACACGTGACCACAGTATGTCACGTCGTTTTCTGGCGCTTGCTGAAAACAATTGCACTACCACCCTCCATGTCTATTGTTCCAAAATGAATCGAACTGGTCTCTGTTTTTAGAACTTCATTTGTGCCGGTTTGTGTTGTTGTAAGACGATCGCATTCAATGACGCAACCAGATGAACATATCTCAGTATATACAGGTCTGTCTGCTATCGCTGCCGGGTTGTTTCTACCCAGTTAATTGTGGCTTGTAGTTGTATATTTTGTTTTGTCCATCCATTTTTATCCACTTATCTGGAGTCGGTCACGGGGGCAGCAGCCTGAGTAGAGAGGCCCAGACTTCCCTCTCCCCAACCACTTGGGCCAGCTCCTCTGGGATAATCCCAAGGCGTTCCCTGGCCAGTTGAGAGACAATGTCCCTCTAGCGTGTCCTGGGTCTTGCTTTAGGTGTCATCCCGGTTGGGCGTGCCTGGAAAACCTCACCAGGGCAGCATCCAGAAGGCATCCAAACCAGATGCCCAAGCCACCTCTTCTGGCTCCTCTCAACATATGGTTGATCTAGGGCGCAAGGCAAAGCGGTTTAGAAAACGATGTTTTTAGCCTCGTTGACTTGCATTTATTTTTTCGTTCTTCCGGGGACACATGAGCCGACCGGAAAGGGAGGAGAGTTAGGCTCCCTATAAAGGGGGTATGGGGGCGGTCTCTGTGCTGCCGCAGACTTCCGTTTATCTTAGACATAACCTGCTTTTTATTGCTCATCAAAGTGTCTGTCTTCTGCAGTCCCTGTGTTTGAATCATTTTAGCCCTAAGTGCAAAGCTGCGCACACGTTTTATCTTTACGTTTTTCCATGACAGGATCAAACCAACGTTCTGCTCGAGTTCTGCTCCTTTTGGTTCTGCCTGGTCAGCTGATCTTCTTACACATTATTCACTTGATGAAAGGAGGCCTCACATTGCCCAGCCCTCTCTTCACAGTGTTCTTCCTGTCATTTTCCCTGATTCAGGTGAGTAAGTCTTGTGACGTTCCCTCCCTCTGCAGATTTCAGACGTTTGCAATTGAGTTCCTGTCTCTGTCTCTAAGGTCTTCTCACTGCTGTGCATAGCTGACTGGATGGTCCACTGTCTGTGGCAGAGGAGCAAAGATCCGGACAGTTATTCAATACCCTACCTGACAGCTCTTGGAGATCTTCTGGGGACTGCTTTACTCTCTCTGTCCTTTCTCTTACTGTGGTGCATTGGCGACCCAGGCGGTGTATAGAGTTACAATGACAAGCAGAAACAAAGTAGCCTAGTGAACTAGACCAAATTCTTGCTTTGCAAAGTTTGGTCTAGGCACGCTCCATTGGAACCTCCGCAGCTCCTACCAGGACTCTGGCTAGCCAATCACAGCTCTCTAGAGGGGTTTCAAACACATAAAGAGCTGTGATTGGTCCATAATGGTGGGCCAATCATAGTGCTCTATCTGCTTAGTGAACAAATCACAGAGCTTTATCTGCTTTGTGTGCCAATCAATGCACTCTATGCCTGGTGGGTGGGATGATGCAACAGAGTGAAACAAGACTATGTCACATTCATTGTCCAGTGGAATGCGGGGATCATTTGAAAGACAACGGTAGAACCCGCCCCACAACTGAGAGCCGTCAATGGAGCGTGGCCAGACTAAATAATACATTTATTTAATCTGGCTTGCCAGGCTAGAAACAAACAACATTCACAACAAAAACCTGTTTTCATTTTTTCTATCATGACCTAAGTTGAATAAAGTACAAGTAAGTTATTGCAGAGATGTCTTAAATGGGACATATTATGCTTCTTTCTGTGCTGCTATGTTAGTCTACTGCTTCTACACACTTCCAACATGAAACAAACTACCAATCTGTTTTCTGTTTGTGTTTGGTTTTAGAAATTACTTGCCTAATACAAATAGCTTAAAAAGTCCCAGATTGTGACATCACAAACAGGGGAATTATAATAGAAACACCTCTCATGTGCAAGAGAGCAGCTACTGGAGGAGCAGTGGCTCAATTCAATTCAATTCAAGTTTATTTATACAGCGCGAAATCACTACAAGACTTGTCTTAAGGCACTTCGCATAATAAACATTCCAATACAGGTCAGTTCATTAAGCCAATCAGAAAAAAGTTTCCTATATAAGAAACCCAGCAAATTGCATCGAGTCACTTACTGGTGCAGCATACGGGATCAATAAAAATTACCCAACAGCAATAGTAGTAATTATAATAATAGTATCATTACAATTTCAAAATTACCCGTTTTAATCTACTTCAGAGCTTTTGTGCTCCAAGCAGTACTTTTAGAAGTTTTAATACAATTTTAAATCCTGCCTCAGAACTGAGACAGCTCTTTCAAGAGTCTTTATGTGGTATAAAGGGGATTATAGGGGCAGTCGTTACGCTGTCACGGACTTCCTTTTAGTCTGGATTAAACTTGTTTGTTATTGCGATCGAAGCCACACTCCTTACATTCGATTGACAAGCCGCTCCTAAAGGTGACTGTCTGGTGATCTGAGCATCAGCTCTAACGCAGCGAAGCTTCTGGAGCTCTGCATCGCTCCACTTTATCGTCTCAGCTGATTCTGTTTACCAAAGCAAAACTCACGCCTGTGTTTACTTTCATTTTCAATATAGTTGCCAGCCAGAGCTTGGCGGACATTCCACACATGATCACAACACCACCTTCTGTTGCGCCATGGCCTAATCTTCATTCACAAGTCTGGCATTGCGGCAATATTACTACCAAGCTTGGCATCATTGCAGCCACTAAACTGCTGCATCACCTAGCGCTGTCATAAGACACACTGTGGCGGCAAAAACGGCTTCAAACTCACAGGATTTTTTTCCCCCTCAGCCAAAACCGGATGGCTGGAAACTTTCTACAGCTAAATGAAGATAAGACGGAGATCCCCATCTGTGCCCTGGTCAGCCCCTCAGACCAAACCCTCTGTCAGGAATGTTGGTGTGACCTTTGACCCAGCTCTTACCCTGGACTCTCATGTCAGTTTGTTAAGTTTCTTCTATTTGGTAAGGATTATTGTAAGGAAAGATGGATTTTTTTTACCTGTCCCAACGGTTTTGGCTTCTCGCTTGAAGCTTTCTTCATGAGTTGCAGAAAAATCCATCTCTTTTCCACACCTTCATCTCCTCACGCTTAGACTACTGCAACTCTCTTTTCTCTTGTCAGAGCAAATCCTCCCTGAACTGATTACAGGTGGGTCAGAATGCCTGTGCTCGGCTTCTGACCAAACCGTCGAAACACACCCACATCACCCCGCTTCTCCTCCACCTTCACTTGGCTGCTAGTTAAATTCAGAGTTACTTTCAAGATCCTGGTTCTGGTCTATAGGGCCTTACAAGGACAAACACCATCATACATTAGTGATCTTTTTAGTCCCTACACCCCCAGCAGGTCCCTGAGGTCCAGTGACCAAAGCCTACTGGTTGTGCAGCACCAGGCTAAAGACCAAAGGTGACAGATCATTTGCTGCTGTGGCCCCCAGACTCTGGACCTCTCTCCCCCTGAGCCTGAGATCAGTGGACTCAGTGGTCTCCTTTAAAAAGCAAATCTGTTCAGGCTGACTTTGATGTGATGACCTGTTTATCCTCTCCTTCTTCACTGGCTTAAGCTTGGTTTATGCTTGACGTGTCCGTGAGGTTTGCACAGCTCCGTGCAGCAAAATTACGTCATTTTAACAACCACGCCCCTCCACTGCGCCTCCGCACAGCCCGAACTTTCCGCACCACGCACCTAGGAAATTTTCTGACCACGCAGACGGTCGGACGCGGAAAAACACGGCGGACTGGCAAGAACTAGTAAGGCCGAGGTTCGTAAATACAGACATTTGTATGATTCAGCTCTCAAAGATCACCGTGATCAACATGTTAATAATTCTTGGAGAGAACTAGCTTGCACTGTCGGAAAAGACGAGGACGCTGTTAAAAATGCTGGAATGCCATGTTGTAAACAACAGTAATTTTTACTTCTACTATGGTGTAGTGTTGGATGCATGCCGTAGAGCTCCATGCTGCCTTGTTCTGTTTGGGAGAATATTGGCTCACCGCAGAGACAAGCCCCATGAACCATACACGCTGCAAGTTGTGAAGCGCGTTCCATCCGCGAGCCGCATCACCAAGCAGAAAGTAAATGCATCAAGCATAAACCAAGCCTTATTTTCATGCCGATGTTTCTGTCAATTCTGTCTTTGACTGAATCCTGTCATTACAACTTACGTTTTCATTTATGTTAAAATTATTTAATCTTATTTTGTCTCAATTTCATTATGGATTTTCTGACCACTTTTTAAATTGTTCTTGTGAAGCACTTATTTTTATTATAACTCTCCCACTGTCTTTATGGGTGACTCCGCGAAGAAAGTTGACCATTGAGCAGGATTGATGGTTTATCCCGTGGTGCAGAAAATTCAACTCGCGAGGTCACACCTGTTAGGACAGTGGGAGGGTTAAGAGGGCATGTATAAAAATCCTTTCTTCTTGGTAATAATGGCTTGGTTTATCAAACAACTCAGTTATTTAAAATGAGCTGCTATTCAGTTGTAAAGGTATCCTTTGCATGCTGCAGAGCGCTGATGATGGCCCATTAAAATTTGCGTGTTAGCGGTGCATGAAAGTTCTCTGTCATCCAGCTGGCATCATCTTGAGTCCTTTTTACAAATGGGGAAGTTTGCATAGAATTCCCTTTCACCTCTCCAGACTGGAGGAACAGCATCTCTACTCCAAGTAGGGTGCTTAGACAATGTGGGACAGAGAAAACTGGGAGTGGGACAAGGTGAAATTGCACTGCAATGAGATAAAGTATAAGAGATCTAACATTATATACATACAGTTATTATTATTATTATTATTATTATTATTATTATATTTAATCTCTAGTAGAATTTAACTTGAAAAATCAAACAGCAAATGAGGGATTTTGTGCAAAGAACTTCATAAACATAATTTATAGAGATATTATAACTCAAGACAACAAAGTCATAATACGTTTATTTATTTTCTTTATTTATTTAACCTTTATTTAACCAGACGTTAAAGGTTGAATATGGAACAATTTAATGAATGTTGACGCTGCCGTTTGAAGACCGGAGAACTGACGGCCAGTTACCTTTGACAGAGGAATGAACAAACGCCATGCAGGCACTATTCGGTGGGGACCGGTAGTTGCTGCAGCAGCACCACGTCCTTTTATTTACGCATGCTCACAGATCAGTCACAGCTGTAAGAGCACAACAAATCAGCAAAGCTTAACACCCCCACTTGCTCTTATACAGTGAACTTAATGAATTTGAGAGCATCACAAAATCCCTCTTGGTGTCACAAATGGCCTCTGAGCTACACAGAGGAGTTAGCAGGACAGTTAGAGCTCTGGATGATAACAGCAAAATAACTTAACAACAGAGTGCTGCTGTGTCATCAAAGTTCTGGCTAAAATTTTTTGGTTTCATGGCTCAAGTGGACGAAATTGTTGTTAATTAAACATTTGGTGGAAACAATGGTTAAGTTACAGGATAGATGGTTTTGTAACGGCATGAAGGTTCTCTGATGTGTGGCACAGGTCACATTTGCCCAGCTGGGTCAAGCTGGGTCAAACAGTACCTTTGAGTCCACAGATCAACCCAAGGAGCCACGATGTCTGCTCAAGATCATAACATCATATCTGCTGTTCCGTCCCAGAAGAAGGACACTTCAAGTCACAATGATAGTCATTAGATAATAATTAATAAACTCATTGATTTTATTACTGTTTAACATAATCATCATAAAATGACCACTTGGTTCAATATAAAGGTATTTTAATTACATGAAATGGATTATTATGCTTTGGGTATAATAATAATTATTATAACGATTGTAAAGATGTGTTCAGCAAACAAGGTCAAGTTCACCGTATCCAGCTAACACAGAGTTCAGATAAACAATAACTGCATCACATGTTTTTGATGCATGAACACGCTTTCTTCCAGAGTGAGTGTGATTGGTCCTGAGAGCTTTTGGTAAAACTAACCATCACAGATTTCAAGTTCAGTTCTTGAACCAACACCAGGAGGAAAGGGAATGCCCGTCCCTAAGCCTCCACCTGCTGTTCGGTCACGCCAACCAGAACAGCTAAGAATATACGAAACTGTCACCAGCTAACAAAGACTCTACCAGAGTGATTTCTGAAATTAAGTTAAGACGAGAACGTTCATCTGCCAAACGCTTCGTAAACCGTGTACCCAGGACATCTCCAGACGATCGGACACTTGCGTCTCCTCTACCAGCCGAAGTGTCATCTTGGATGAAACCTATCCTCCTGATGTCCGGATCCACAAAGGGTGTCCTGTTTGGGAGAGGTAGAACACGACAGATGGCGTTTGATGCAGTTTCTCTCAAAATAACTCATTTATCTGCAAAACATCATTTCACCCAGAACGCTTTCATTCTCTCTGAAAGAAACCTTCTGAGAACTTCATTCACGCATCCAAAACTCACCATTCGCAGATTAGATTTCCATGCAACACAGGTTTGCTTCTGAAACAAGTTTAATATCAAAACTGTTAAAGATTGTCATTAATATTGCCATCCTTGAATTGTCATTTTTTATAATTGTCGTTTCAAATTTTCTGTTTAAAATTGTTAGTAATAAATTTCTTCATTTTTAAACTTGTCTCATTATTGAAACGAAACACAGAAAAGGGTTGCATTTCCATTTATCCAATGAAAAGAATCTTACTGAATCCTCTGTTTAATAAATAAACTTTTGCTATTAAA